AACCCCAACCCCAACCCCAACCCCAAACATAAATATTGTTAAATCAAAAAATAAATTATATTGTTCATATTTATAAAAAAAATCTGAGAGACTCTTTAATTGTATTTTTGATATTTATAGTGGCGACTTGATTAATTTGAAATACTATAACACTTTTTAAGATACTTAAAATAATAATTAAATAAATATATAAATTTATGGCTAATAATAAAAATGACAGAAATATAACTATAAATCGCAAAAAGTCAAGAGAATCCTGAGTTGGATGTAATCATAAAAGATTGGGCTATCAAGTTCATTAAGGATTTGGAGATTAAACATAACATGAAAGTTTTATTTGCAGCTGAAACAGGTAGTAGAGGTTATGGAACTCATATGAAAGATTCAGATTTTGATATTAAAGGATTTTTTATTTATCCTGCAAAAACATATATGAGTGTTATGGGTGGACCAAGTGCTATTAGAGAAGACCATTTTCGTGTAGAAGTTAATGGTAAAAAATATTTAATTTTACTCATTCATATTATAAAATATAATAACTCCTATATTATTTTGATTAGGTAAAGAATATGAACTAGACTTTGAATTTTATGATATCAAAAAATTTTTAAAGAAAAAAGTGATAGGAAACTTATTAGACCATATGAATTTTAGGTTTTACTCTTAAAAGTAGTATATAAATATGTTTGATAATGATATATTTTTAGAGATTAGAGATAATCTGAAGTTGCCTATTGAAAAGTTTTATGCTGTAACAAAAGGATTTTATACTGCATTCACTAAAGATATCAAATCAAAAAGATAAATAGTTGCAAAGGATATTTTAAATAGTATTGTAATTGGTTTTTAATTCTTACATTGTGCATACTTTTATGAATATCCTTTATATAACTTCCACTAAGAATAATAACTTTTTCTTAGTCGTATTAAATAGACTGACAATGATCAATATGAGTATTATAGTAAAGTCATATAGACTGCTTATGAGTACTATTAAATGAAAATTTCAGATAGAAAATTTAAGGTTTAAGATGTTAATCCTATAGTTATTGAATTTTTGTAAAAAATCATAAAAATGAATCCTTTAGAAAATGACTAAAAAATTATAGAAATTGTTAAAAGAAAAGAAATTACAGAAGAAAGGGCCAATCAAATATTTGAAAGTTTAATAGAAATAACTAAAAACTGAATAAAAATTTATTTAATTTATTAATAAAAAATATAATTTATAATTTAATAATATTATTTTTATAGTTTTGTAAATTTTTTGTTATAATTTATAAATTTGTTCAAAGTAGGCTTTAAATACCTCTGATAAATAAAAATGCTTCAATCTTTTTTTACTCTTTCTTAAAATACAATTAAAAATATTTAAGAGGTTTTTAATTAACTAGATAAAATAAAGTTTAAAATGTATTTCGATACAATAAATCGTTAGTTGAATAAATTAAATTAAGTCATTATGCAGAAGTAAGTTTATTGGTTCTTCCTTTAAAGTCATTCATAGAATCGTTGGCACCTAAGACATCGCCGATGAAGTCAGTGACTGAAACAGGAAGGAAAGATTTTATGAAAATAGCAATGTTTAATAAGAAGGGTGTAACAAGCATAGGTTCTTCTTAAAGAATGGCATTAACTATTCTTTAACTGGTCCAATTTTCTTCTAAGATTGGTAAAAGCAAAGGAATTTTTGTTTTTGCTCCATCAAACATACCAGTATTGATAAAGTAAGGACAGATGCATGTAGTTTTAATGTTTTTCTTAAGCTTGTTCATTTCCATACGAAGAGATTCGTCAAAGCCAACTGCACCAAACTTAGAAGCACAGTAGTCAACTAAACCACAGACACCGATTTGACCAGCAATAGAAGCTATTGTTACAATATGACCTTTGTTTCTCTACAACATATCAGGTAGGACTTCACGGACTGTATAATGATGAGAAGTGACGTTAACGGCGATGGTCTTTTCAATCATGAATTCAGAATTTTCTAAAATCTTTTTACCAGAAACAATACCTGCATTATTGATCAATATGTCTACTGGACCAAACTCTTACTTGGCTTCAGCGAATACTTGCTTTACATTTTATACATTAGAAACATCCATTTTGTAAGCTTTAGCTGAATTAGGGTAACCAAGAGCAATTATTTCGTTCATAACCTTTGTGGCACCTTCAAAATTTAAGTCTGCTATGGTTACTTTAGCTCCAAGCTTAGCAAATCTAATTGCCATTTGTCTTCCGATACCACTACCACTTCCTGTAATGAAAATGTGTTGTCCTGTTACTTTCTTCTTTGGTAACCAACCCTTGCTCTTTAAGTAAGTATGAATAGCATATACTAAGAGAAGAGTATGGACAGAGAATTTAAGTATTCCCATCTTGCCACCATTAATCAAGGTATTAAATATATAGGCACCTAATTTGCTTTTAATTAATTGCAGAATTTATGTAAAAGAATCCATCTTTGTTTCTTTATTGGTTTGTTTCCTTATCTAAACTTTCTTTAATGATATTTTAATTTTTAGATATTTAATATTTGGAATCTTAAAGATACTATTTATTTGAAGCCACTATAAACCTATTAATTTATATATTCAATTTAATAGAAAAGACGCTAATTATTTACAGTCAACGTCACTTCTATCAATAAAAAAATATTGATTACAACTACTTTAAAATTTAAAATTTGTTTACATATCCATTAAAACTTTAAAATGAAAATACTTATTTATTTATTATATTTCCATTCTTTTAATGTATGTTTAACAAAATAAACCCTAAATTGATATTTGTTTCTAAAAAACTTAAAAATAATTCATTTTTTATTTAAAAATTTTAGCTTTGTATTAAAATTATAAATACATACTGTGTTTTTTAATTCTGTAACCAAATTTAATTTATCAAAAATATTTTTAAAGGCTTTAAATAAAATTTTAATAATTAATTTTTAGATTCAAAAAAAATAAGCAAAGTAATTAAAATTGAGGTATATAAATAAACAGTTGGAATATGATTTTTAATAAAGAATAAAATATATAATTTTATTGAATTCATAGATTTTTTTTAATGAAAAGCAAATAAATTTCATGATATTTATGTTTCATTAATTAATTTTTAAATATATTTTGGATTAAAAGTTTATGGAAATTTTCAAATATTTATTTTTGGTAATTTACATGTAAATAGATAGATATTTTCTTTTCTTTTCTTTTGTAAAATTAAAAATATGCTAATTTATTTTTGTATAATGATATTTTAATCATTCATTTTTATTTACCTATTTACTCTTTTACCAATAAATTTATTAATTATTCCATAAATAAAAAAAATTAATATAATTTTAATTAACTATTGAATATAAATTTTATAATTGAATTATTATAATTTACATTTAATTCATATACATAATTTTTGAATTTAATATTCATACCAATTTTCAAGTTGTTTGCTGCAATAAAATAGATAACCTTTATTTAAATTATTATCTGAAAAAATTGAATAAATTTTAACATTGGTAAAGGTGGTTTAGTTTATCTTATGATAATAGGTAAATTCAGTAATTGTAGTCAAACATAGTGTCATAATAAAATCCAAGGTTTCAAATATAATCAAAATTTTGTAATTTGAATAAAAATTAATCAAAAATTAAAATGTTTTTTTTAAATGAAGATTTAATAGCAGTAATATAAAGAAAATAATTATATTCATTTAATAAATATAAATATTATTAAAAGGAGAAGAAAAGCAATTAGAGCTAATGCCATCTTTTTTATGCTTTAGTTACTTTGGGTCTGTTGCACTTTTTTAATTGACTCATTTTTAAACGATTTTTCTTGGCTATTTTGTTAATCAAAGCTTTCATATAATTAAGAATTTCTTTTTGAAACTTCATCTTTATTAAAATAAATGTTAAAAATTTATATGTACAATTTTTTAGTAAGAAATTACCTTCAATTACAAAGTCTTTGAATTCGTCGAATTCATCATTAAAAACATTGTTTTTAGTATTATTATTTGCTAGTCTAAACTAAACATTATCTTCTTCTTAAATAAATTAGCCATTTTCTTACTTATAATCCAATTTAAAATAATTAAGATTTATTCATTTATTTATCTGAAATTTTATTACATAATTTTAATATATTGGGCTAATTTCATCTCTTAAATACATTTAAGGGGATTCCTATCCTTTAAATGATGATTTTCTAGAATTTTAATAGCTAAAAGAAAGTAAATTTTATATTATGAAATTACAAGAAAAATTACCTGCTTTATTTACCAACAAAAGGAGTTGAAACATCAAAAACCTAATTTTTATTAACAAAATATATTTATATAATAAAATTTTATTTAAATTTACTGGTTTTTTTAATCCTGAATCATAAAGATTTTTAAAACTTTAAGTAGAACTTTTTTGACCTTGATAATTATGATTTTATTTTCTTTTCTTAAAAATAATTTTTAAATATAAAACAATAATATCTATCAAAATAATTACAATATTTTCATGAGGATTAGGTCCATCAAATAATAGTTTAGGGCTAAGGTTTGTTTCAGTTTTTATAGTTTAAGTTGATCTTTGATTCACGTTATTTTAAAAGTAATTTATTTATTAATCTAAAGATTGAGATGAAGAAATCATGTTTGTTGGAAATTATTAGTATTTTTAAGGAGAGCTGTAAATCACCTAGTTATATTTTTGTGGTGATTATAAAAATATAGGATCTTGAGATTTTTTTTCTGATTGAAATATAGGTTAATTGTATTAATTATTTATTTGATACACCTGCTATTAAAGAGGTACAGTTTGGTACAAGCTTTAACGATTATTTAATGGATATTCCTCTATTTTTATATTCGAGTTATTTTAAATAGGACTGTACTAATTTAATAAAATCTGCTGATTTTGATATTTTTCTGTTGGATAATTAAATGACTAATTTTCTACTTTTTAGTGAATAATAATTAAATAGAAGTGTTGGTTGAAATTTAATTTTAAGTACCTTAGCTAGTATTAACTCTTTTAATTGAACTTTGGTTAATTTTTCTTGTATCTATCAGAGAAATACCTTCTTTCACCTAGCTATTATTTAATGAATTTTAATTAACTTTAATAATCTTCATTTATCCTATTGGTTCATTGTCTTTTGTAGAAAAAATCTTATTTTTTTTCGGATCATTCATGTATCTTTTAATCAACAAATCATCAATACCTTTACGATCCATCAACATATCAACAAAACTAAATAAATTATTATAATATAAAATTTTATAATCATTTTTTATAAACTAAACAACGTTCTTTCATCTCTTTGAATTGCTTCATTTCTTCTTTTAATGTCATTTTGTTTGATGGATTCGAATCCATTCTATTAGTTTTAATTAATTTTCAAAGAAATTCACTATCTAAACTAATAACTAAAATTAACATACTTAATGCTAATCATATAAATAATACGAAGGTCCTTTAACCATATCCTAAAATCCCTTTGGCCTTTCTTCTTCTTTATACTTAAAAGGAACAAAATTCATTTTATGAAAACTTCAATTTCAGCTAAATTTCTAATAAAAATTAATTTTTATAATTATTGCTTATTGTATCTTTAATTTATTTAATTATTTATTTACTTGCCAGTATTTAACGCTAATTTAATAAATATTTCTTTTAATACATTTATTTCAAAATAGTGAAATTTTTACAAAATCAAAAACCTAATCAGCAAAAAAGTCATTAATAATTTTTAAATAAATTGATTCATAGTAGAAAATTTAATTAAAATATTATGTGTTTTTGATCAAAAAATTCAATAATTTTTAATTTATCTAATAAATTTAAATATAAATTATTCAATAATTTTTAAATTGTGTTATTTTAATTGATTAAAACAATAAATAATATCTATAAAAGACTTAAAATTTTGAAATAATTTTTTAGTTTAAAGGAAGGCTTCACTATTTTGAAGATGTTTCTTTTTCTTCTTTTAATCTTGAATCTTAGTAATTTAAAAATTCTAATGCAGGTTGATAGAACCACTAAAATAATTATAAAAAATAAATTTAATATAACTAAAGAAGTTAATATAATAAAAGCAACTCTATGGCATTTGTATGTTGTGAAATAGTCGATGTGACTACCTTTCTATGTTTAAACTAGCAGCAAATTTGGATTTTTAGAAAACTTATCTGTTGGTACACAATCTTATCTTATTGGAAAGAAATATTTTATTAAATTGATTATATTATAAAACTTTAACTTACACACATATTGGGTCGTTGTTACTTTGGATACATAATGTTGGCACTGTAATATTTTAAACTACATCTTTACAGCTACTTTATTCATACATCTTCAAAACATCGTTGTATCCACAAAGTTTTGTTGTAAAAGCATCATGAAATTCAAATGTATCATTAGTCTCAAGGGCTTTTTCTTTTAATTAATTAATTAAAATAAATAATTAGCATAAAAAATTAATTCTACTTAAATCAACTCCAAGCTCTTTCTCCTTATTTTCAAATAACTCTAAATTCTATTTTAGATTCCTCTTGAAATTGGCTGCAATATTGTAATTGTATATTTTCTTATACCATTTATTCATCTCTTCATTGCATTTAACTAAATCCCAAGGATTAGAAACACTTACCATAGATTTTAAAAGGCATTTTTCTTTTAATTCTCCTGCCATTTTAAGCATATAATTAGCTCCCATAGAAATACCTAATCCATACAAATTAGCCTTTGGATATTTAGCTTAAATACTTTGGATTATTTCTAAAATATCATCATTTTTAGTAAAATCAGTCATTTAAGGACTCTAATTTATATAAATCATAAGTTTTTAGTGTTAGATTAAATATTTATTACTGATAACTTTGAGTTGTAGCCTCTCATATTTACGCACACAGTTCTAAAACCATAATTTTAAGCTATTAATGCTCCTTATTTGATATAATTGCAATCACTACCACCAGTTAAACCATGGAAAATTATCAATATTCTTCTTTCCTCATCATTAGAAAATTTGCTTTATACAGGAACCCAATCTGTTTTATTCATTAAAGTTAGTTTCTTTTAATTTAATTCTATTTATTACCTAATCCTAGTTATCCTCCATCTTTTGTTTTAATATATTCTCTCTCATATGGAACATAAGGAGCTGGATCAAATTTGGCACCATAAACTGCCATTAAGAAATTATTAGGCAAATAGGAAGTAGGAAAGTATTTCCCCTATTAATTTAATAAATTTATTATTTGAAACTTGAATACAATTTATGTTTCTTTTTAATCTACTTACTTGTCTTAGTGATTTGCAATTTTTAATAGCTGCTATATTATCTTCATTCATTATACCTTTAAATTTAAGATCGGTGTTTATATCTGCTCTTGAGTAGAACTCTAATCCACAATATATAAGAAAACCATAAAGCATTTTCTTTTTGAACTTTCCGCTACGAAATTAAGCATATGAAGAAGGCGTTTTATAAGATTAAGCGATTCTGCTAAACATTATCTTTAACTTTAATAACAAAAATGTAAATTATAAAAATAATAAACTTTGATAATATCTTTATTTATTTATAAAATTAATCAAATTAGCCAATAATTTTTGAATTTTATCATAACTCTTAAAATTAACTACGAAGATTCTAGAATATTTGTCAAAAAATAATTTTAAAGAATAATATTATTAATTATAAAAAGCAATATCAATTTAAATATTTTATAAAGCAAATACTATTTTAAAATAAGATATTTATAAATGTTAAATATTTTTGAAATTTCATTTGTTTATTTATAAGTTGAATTTAATCATCATAACTTATACTACTTTATTAATGATATTGATTTATTTATAATTAATTTTAAATTCAACAATTAAAAAAATCAAACTAGTGTCAAAGATAGGTTTTATTACTATCAATAATTATGTATTTAAATATAAGATTAATTTATATCAAAAATTGTAGATAAAATTCCAAATAAAGTGTCATTTTTTTTTATTGTGATCCTATCGATATTATTTTTTAAGGATATAGATAAAAATTTTATTATCGATAATATACTGTTTGTGATTATTTTTAGAAAATTTATTTTTTAAAATTATTTATATCGGGTGGTCAAATTGAAGTATTTTTAAAATACTAAGAGAAAAAATATAAAAATTTTCGAAAAATATTGAAATTGTAATATATTAAAAAAAAAAATTAATAGATTTTAATTACATTAGTTTCAAATATATCAAATATAACTCTACTATCAATTTTTATTGAATATTTTTTATTTAATTTCATTATTACATTCATTATAAATTATCATTAACTTTTCTATTTTATATTGTATCTTATTTAAATATTGAATCTCCTCCTTGTTAGTCTTTATGCTAACTTTAATCTAGAGTTGATATATCTACTTATTATTATGACGTTTAAGATTACTATTTATTAAAAGTTATTTCATCCCTTACAGAAATGTCATCCTATTTGTCATCATCTTACTCATGTTAATTTATTTTTTAATAAATATAAAGATCATCATATCTTTTAGGATGAAAAAAGAGACATATACTATTTATGACTACCATCAAAAGTAAGCATGTTATAGACCATAATATAATAACTCCAGGAATGCTAATAACATTTACAAATTCAACTACTGCTTTGTAACACCCTTTTTAATATACTGGCAAGCCTCTATTAATATCACTAAATACGTAAACAGGATGAGGCTAGCAAATTCCAGCACATTAAAATGTAATCTCCATAGATCCAATATATGAAGGAATTGTATCATACTCATCCATTCTATTAAATTATTATTTAAGAGTATTAATATCTTATTATTTAAATTTAACATAATCCTTTTTAAAATATTTTGTAAATAAATTTAGTAAAATATTTATAAAACGCATTTTTAACGTTCTTTATGCTTTACATAAAATGAATAGATTTATTTTTATTCTTTAAAATTAATTTTTTTTAATATTAAAGATAAATATCTATTCATAAAATAATATGTTTAAATAAATATCTTATTTTAATAAAAATAAAATGTTTTAAGTTATTTCTTAAAGCTAATAATTGTGTAAATTTGACATCAATATCATGAAAATAATTTTTAAAATATTACTTGAGATCTGAAAGCATATCTGTATAATGAGGACAATTAAATACACTTGAATATCCATTTTATGGGTCATTTTAGAGATTCAATTAACGGAAATCACTATCCTTAAGGAATTAAGACATATCCTAAATATTAGTTTTGCAGTATGATGATCCATAGTACCTTTGAGCTTTATTTTGAACTCTTTCAGAGTCTTTAAAAAAGTCAGAGTGAAAACAAGGATTTGATTGAGATTAATTAATGGAATTAACAAAAATCAAACCAATAAAACCCATAGTAAAAAGTAAAATTGAAAAGAATATTATAAAAGAGGTGCAAGCAAACAATCCTACAGTTATATCATTGTTAACCTTTGTAGTTAAAAATCCTATTAATCCACAAAAAAGTAAAGCTATTCCACTGATAAAAATAGAATCATTTATAATTTTTAATCCATTAACTATTCTAATTGCTTGATACTTAGATTCGTCTTCTACTGAAACCATTATTGTTAATATAACTCCTACCACAATAGTTACTATTCCTAAAACTATAAGAACATTTGTAGTAAATCTAAGGAATTTTCTTATGTAATGAATATCGAAATACATTCGTTATTTATTAATTAGCTTCTCTTCTATATTTATACACTATACGTTTTTAAAAATTAATTATCATAAAAAAAGTATCTAATTTTAAGAATGTAAAATTATATTGATAAAAACTAATCTAAACTGTTAATACGTTTTAATATTCATAATACCTATCATTATGCAAGTTATTTAATTTAAAATTATTATTAAAATTCAATATCTAAATTAAAAATATAACAGCTATTTTAAATATTTTGAAGAAAAACAAAAATACAAGCAAAAAATCAAAAGAATTTCCATAAAATATATTCTACTTGTAAACATGTAATCAAATCCTTTTAAATGAATTAAAATTATTTTTTTAAAGAATCTTTCTTTAATTAGTTAAATCTTTATTATTTTTAAATTAAGTAACTGATGGGTAAATTAAAAGTTTTTACTATTTTTTAAAAAACTTATATGAATGAAATGGAAAATATGAATTTTAAAGGTTTATTTATATTCAAATATCAAAATCTATTTAACCTTTAGTAAATTGTAAAAAGGTATCGTTAAAGGGTTAAAGATTACTAATAATTATTTAGAATATATTTACTATTATTTTTAATAATTTTAAAGATTGACTAATTTAAATTATTTTATCACTCTCTAAATGATAATAAAAAATATAGTTTCTAAATGATTTTATTGATTTCTCCTTTAGAAATTAAATATTTTTTATTAAGTTATATTTAAAATTAAAATAAATTTTATTAATATTGATCTATATAAACTATTTTTAGATATTATAGATAGGATATTTTTTAGTTAATCTTTTAAATAAAGGATAATTTGTAAAATCAAAAATTATTTTGAATTCCTAAAGGATTTTTTAAAATTTAAATAGAATTAAATTATTTTTACTTTTGATAATTAAAAGTAATAAGAATGAGTTAATGATATTTTTTGAAAGATTTAAAATAAATAAAGCTACAACATTTATAAATTATTAAACATAATAACTCAGGATGGATGCATTTTATAAAAGTAAGGTTTACTATATTAATGAAATTGCTAAATATTACTTTAAAAATTTTCATAAAATTAAATAGAAGTAACAAATTTAAAAAAGCAAAAATTATAATTTAAATAAGTAAAAGGAGAGGATAAATGCATTTGAATCTAACAAAAAATCTGCTATTTACTAATTTCAAGTGTATTATTGAATGTGACCAATACTTTTTTATTTAATTATTACTTTTTCAATTACTATAAACTTATTTAAATAAGAAAATGGTGCTTTTATATAAAATTTATACCAAAGATAATAAAATTTAAGAAATTCAACAATTGCTTAACTTTAAATAAAAAATGTGAGTAAAAAAATTTATCTACTTTATTTTTAATAATTGTATGTAAAATTTGTCTAGACATAGTTATTCTCTACTTTGTTTCAAAGTAAGTTTTCTTGCATTTGTCTACTATGGCAAAGCTTTAACAGCATTGTTTCACAGTCAATATTTTAAATATTAGTAAAGTTGCTTAAATTTAATGTAACATAATAAAGTAGACTTTTAATTTTATTATTTTAGAGGCTTTCTTAAAATTTTAAAATAGAACTATGTTTTTCTGCAAATAATATAACTTCTTTCCTAACAAATAAAATACAACTTTTAAAAATAGATACTTTAAGAAAATTTTTTCATGTGATCATATTAGAAAAAAACTGTGTTGATGATGTAAATACTTTACAATAAACGAGAAAATTTTAGAAGATATTTATCTAGCACAAATAAATTAAGGAAAGCAAAATATAAAGAAAGAAGCGTTTAGATGATCTATTCCAAAATTTATTTTTTGATTAATATAGACAAAATTTTTAATTGGAGATTATTAAATTTACTTTATTTTGAATTTTTATTACTTTTGTTTTTTTTGAGAAAAAATTGATTTATTCTTAATAAAAGTTAATAAAAGAGATAATTTACTGTTATTGGTTGCTTATTTTTCCAAAGCTTTTACTTATTTTTCTAATAATTTAATCATTAAGTCTAATATATAATTTTGAGCACTTGAGAATAAGGAATTATTACTAGCAAAATTAAAAGTATTAAATTGAATGAAAATTTTCAAATGGAGAGTTAGAGTGGTCGAATAAGTTGAGAGTCTAGATAAATATTTACAAAACAAATGCAGCGTAATAATCAAATTAAAATACTTATTCGGAAAAATCTGATAAATTTTATCTTTCTTTTTTCTATTTGTAAATTACTTATCAAATAAATAAATAAATTTCCGCTTTAATTTTACTTTTATTTCACATAAAATTTAATACACTCCTCTTTAAGTTCTTTAAATAAAACATTATGACTAGACCTGTTACATCTATAAATATTTCTAAAAATAATTTACTTTTCTGAAAATGTTAAACCTATTGATTAAACGCATCTATATTAGTAGTTTTAATTGATAAAAACCCTTTAATGATCTAACTTTTGTATTAACTGGTATAAAAAATAAGGAATCTAATTTTAAATGTGATACAGCCAGATTACTAAAATGTTCTGAAAGAACAAAAATGAATGAATGATTCATTTATCATTTATGTATTCATAGCTAATTTGATTTGTCTCTCCTTAATAATTTTTCTTCAAGTCTTTTTTTTCACTTTATTTTGTGTAAGTAGGTTATTTGACCATTCAAATAGAAAGAATTACTAGAGTTTGTATTTGCTTTTTTTGCTAAAAACAGAAAGTTGAAAGGATTCATTTGAAATTAATTTAAATACATCTAGAAAGCTCGTTTATTTAAGATACTTTGCGAAATTTAATCACTTTTAAAAAAAAGTTAATTTATCAAATTTAACTTATTCGTTAATTGAAAAAAGCAGTAGGAATACTGATAAAAAATCCTCGCCATTACTAAGACAGACAAGTATTGATTTATGTGTAAAAACTCTTTTGTCACAAAAAACAATATGAAAAATAAGATATTGAGATAAAAAATATATACTTTTAGCTTAAAATAAGCGAAACCACGAGCTTTTTAGAGATGCATGCTAGCTTGTTTTGAGAGTCTCTTTTTAAATTTATAAATTCATTATTTTTAAAAAATCCATCGTGCTTATATTTTTAAATAATCAAAAAGTTATTCAATTAATAGATTTTTCTGTTTAAAAGTAACTAAGCAAATTCGGAAAAAAAATAACCTAATTTAACTAATTTATTCAAATTACTGCGATTTTAATTATTTAAATGAAAAACTTCATTAGCTAATATTGTAGACATAACTTATTTTTTGGTTTATGCTATATTTCTATTTTAAAAAATCAGATTAATTTATAATTTGTATGAAATGATAATTTTGTTCAGAATAGTTAGAAAAGTTATCCGTCGGAGTATATTGCTTTTAATTCTCCAAGTATTTGCATAGGGAAATCTATTGCTTTTTTCAATTAAAATAGAATGAAAAAGTATAAATAAATGAATGAATGAACCAATATATTGGCTTATTTTTCTTTATTAATTAATTAATTTATCTAATTCCCTATTCATTCATTTACAAAAATTAATTTTCTTTTACAAATTAATAATCAGATAGAAAAAAAAATTAAAGGAGAGTCAAGTAAAAAATCAGTCTTTTATTTATTTATTTATTAATTTTTGTTTTTACTTTGTGATGAATAATCGAAGCTATTTTTATTTAAATTTTGATTGCTTTTAAAAGTCTTTTTTCATTTTTTTTATGTGTACCGTGTGTTTATTAAATCAGAAAATAACTAATAGATAGATGGTTTTAAATCAAATAATTAAAGGGTTTTTTTTTTTTACTATTCATAAATAATTTAAAAGCATGCTAAGTAGAGTTTAGCGTTAGTCTTTTTTTATTATCAGTAATATAGTAAGGTTTTTACAGCTCTTGTTATCAAAAAATAATTTTAAGAGTGTTTTCTATGGAAAGCAGAATAGAGAAAATCAGTGAAAAGAACCGAGAGTAATTCAATTTTAAAAATATGCTATTGACATATTGCTCAGTTTTATAAAACACAAACAATAATGAATTATTTAGATAAAATCAAACAGCAAATCGATCAAATGAAAAATGTTTGCTGTTCTGTGTTATTAAGAAAAGAATAAAAGAAAAACAGGGAAGAAAGGAAGAAAGAAAAAAAGGGAAGAATGGGAATAGAGATGGTATAGATAGCAATTTCTGCTTTATATAATTTCACTAAAAAATCAAAAACTTGATAAAAAATAAATTAACAAAAAAATATTATTCAATAAAATAAATAAGAAAAACAAAAACACTTAAAAAATTATTAAAAACTAATAAAATAAACATACAATACATACAAACATAATAAAAATGAGCAATATGGAACAAAACGCTGCCAAATTCTGCACTGACTGCAACAGATTTTATGGAAATCCCGCTAATGACAACCTCTGCTCTGCCTGTTTCAAGTAAATTTCTAGGAATTATCTTCATAAATATCTAATTCTACTGCTTAATTGCCCTAAACCCTCTCACTAGACATATATTTTATTTTCGCCTGATTATTTTAAAAATTAACTAAAATTTAGCTGAATTAAGGTTCAGCATTCTATTTTTTATGAGGAAAGGCCAATAACTAGTAGGATTATAAGATAAAAATACTTCAACAAAGTTATAAATGATTAATTAATTGTTTATCATTTAAATTTATTAGGAAGAAATTCAAAAACTCTGCTCCCGTTGTTTAATAGCCCCCTGTTTAAGTACAATAACAATAATAACCTGTCGCTGTTTAGCCTGTCCAAGAACCTATTGTTGTTGAATAACCTGCATAAAATCCCGAAGTTCCTTAAAAACCTAAATAGGTATTTACAAATATTTAATTTATTTCTTAGCATAAGCATTCAGTGCGCACATGAGTTTGCTCCTTCCATATAATTATTAATATAATTCAAAAACATTATCTCCATAATCATCTCTAACAAAAATAATATTCGTACTAAAGAGACTCATAGATAACTTAAATATAGAATACAAATATAAAAATAGAAAGCTTATCCGAAGAGAAGTGTTATAATTGCGATTATAATCTACATAAATATGTACGATGAGAATCTGCAAAATAAAACCCTTGCCTCTTAATAAAATATTTTAAAAGTTAGAAAAGTATCAAACAAGTATATAGAATAAAAATATAAAGGAGTTTATTGTTAGGTCATCACTCAATTAATTAATTAATAACAAGAAGAAGAATATTTAATTCAAATAATTTGATTGATTGACTGATCTTTGTTAGAAAAAAGAGAGATTTTGTAAAAATACACCAACTGATGAATTAATAATTTAAAGAGTTTTAAATAATTTAGTTATATATTAATTGGATGATAGTGCGCATGAATAACTTTATCAAAATTATAATTATGATCAAAATATGACATATTAATTAAATTATTTAATTATTAATTATATAGGAAGATCATTCCAGATGCTGGACCTGCAAAAAGAAAGTCAACTTATTAGGTATCAAGTGCAAGTGCGATTTCACTTTCTGCAACAAGCACAGAATGCCTGAAGATCACTAATGTGAATATGACCACGCTTAATTCGGCAAAGAATTACTCAAACAAAACAACCCCTTAGTACAAAAGGCCAAGCTCGAAAAGATCTGAAAACTCTAATTAGTTAATCTTTTCCAGGCTTGTTGATTGAACTACGTCTTAAGTGTCTGTCAGATAAAAATCCTATTTTAATCTTAAGTTATTTGAAGTGTGTATTTCAGCTAATATAATATAGTTAACATCATTATCACCATATACGAACACAGACATTGTAAATTCCTGTACTTCACTGAAGACCTATTCCAATCATTCAATAAATTCTCACAAAATCACAATTACAAGCAACAACAACAATAACAACATTATTAATAATATATAATAAATATAAAACATTTTTAATCAATATATGAATAATAATAACAATATAATATATATAAACGAATAATGGGCCAGCCATTATACTGCCATTATTATACTTTATATTAAATCAACTGTCTCTAATAGCGATTGTTAAAAATTAAATCAAACAAATTTTTTTTATGTTGATGATTTTAAAACAAACTCTTGTAAACTGAGCAAAACAAAGGTAAAAATAGATTGATTGAACCTTTAAATTCAAGATGCAATATATCAATAGCATAAATTAAAACAACTATTCATTCAAGCAATTATCAATATCCAGCCAACCAACTAGCCAGTTGTGCAAGGATAGTACTTCTCAGATTAAGTTTATTATTTTAAAAGCTAAAGAAATACTTTAAATTAAACTTTAAAAAGAAGAATCGATCGATAAATTATTTAAATTATTTTGAAGTAATCTTTAAAAAACTAAATTGTATATGGATTATAACTATAATACTACTATATTGTTTATATCAATCTATCATAACAATTGCATTCCAAATCAAATTAATTGATTGTTATTTGTTATTCATTATATACACAAACATTTACCACTGTTGTAACTTCTAACTAACTATTTTATAATAATTTCTAATACCTCTACTTTTTGTTTTCTTTATTTAATTTAATAAGGACTTATTTAAATAATTTACTTTAATTTTCTCTTTCTTCTTCTTTTAGTTTACAACCATAAGTAAGTCACACATTTTTCAATTTCAAATCTATTTTAGTTTTACAAAAATCATATAAAGTTTATATAAATTTATATATTAATGTTAATTCTTCATAATATATAAAAGATAATAAGTAATAATCAAATTTTATCACTTCATATTATTATATTTTTTTAAAATATACTTTTTATTTTTAAATTTTTTAAATCTAGTTTTATCTATAATCTAGACAGTATTTTTCCATAATTGAAAATTAATCTTTTATATTTTTTTTAATATTTCTTACAAATTAAAAATTTTATAAGTTGTAAATGGTAATATTTAAAGTATTTATTTTCTTACCTTTTTTAAAAATATTTAATTCCAAAATATTAGAAAAGTAATTAAAATGAGAAATTATTTTGACCGTGGGATAAATTGCAGATTTATTTATTAATTTAAGTATTATTCTATTAGAAAATTTAATGATAAGATAAGTTACATAATTAATTAATCAGTAAAAAATGATTGGATATAATTAATGTTTAAAATATTTCTAAAAATTCAAAATATCATAAAATACCCTAAGGTTTATAAATAAAATAAAACTAAATTTATATTAAAAATATTTTTTTAAGAGATATCATATAATCAACAAATAAATTTAATTTAATTAAAAATCTCTTCTATCTTAAGCAAGTTAACAAAAATATAATTTACTTTTTTTAAATATATTTTGATAAGTTATAAACTAATAATCAAAAAACGCATGAAATATCTTAAAAACTATAAAAAAAAAGACAAACATTTTCTGATATATTTTTTAAAATAAAAAATTCCTATTTATTAACTAATTGCCTCAACATGTTTTTATTTATCCATAAAAAAATTTTTTATTTTGCTATTTTTTTCTAAATTTTATATTTACTTGATTTTAATAAAGCAATTCAATCTTTTAAATACTTTCTAAAATTAATATAAATAATTTTATAAAATATGTTAAAAAGATGTTTATAAAAATAATAATTTGCATTCAAATAGAATAACAAAGAATTTAATATGATCGTTTGACTATTATTATTTATTTAAATATATTAAGAAAGTAAATTTTTGAATTGAGAAATATGCATGATATATGATAACAATCAATTTTATTATTTAGATTTAATATTGAAATTTCAAATAATTTGATTTCATTCATAACAAAATAAATCAAAGAATCATGTTAATTGATTATCAAGTATTTAGTTAGAAATATTAAATCTTTATTCGAAAATTTTAAATAGATACTGATATATAATAATAATCATTGATTGTGATTAAAATAAATTTGTTTAAATTTTAACAATAAAATTATTTTTAGCATGAGTTCAAAGCATAAATACTCATTTGACCACCAATCTTCTATTGTAATTCAAAATTAAATCAATTTCGTTTATCTTTATCATTTATTAAAGGACTATTAAAAAATATAAATTCATTGATAATTCATAATAGTGCTGAAAAAAAGTTTAATATTTTTAAGATATGTTTGGATGTAATTCATTTTTAATAAAAAGCACGAGCCAGGATAGGATAACGAAATGGATTCTAGATCATTTGAAATAAGTGAGCTTGGAGAATCCAAAAAAGATAAGCAAATTGGGAGTAAATTAATGGCTGCAGATTAAAAATTGAAATAATCATTATAGGAAATCGAAAACTGGTAGTAAGAAAGAATAGTTAATGAATAGCAAAAGAATTAATTCTATAAAAATGAAATAGATAATATGAAATAGGAATTAAATTAGCTTTAAAGCCCTCCAAGCACAAAATAAATGTCTAATAATTAGTTTTAATAGTAGCAATTAGGATCTCCTTCTGAAGATCCTTTTACAAGTACTGAAAGAAACTAAATACACTACTAACACTAATTATAAAATATGTATGATTAATAAACAAATGTAAATCCTAGAGTATTTGAGTATGATTTAAATAAAAATAATTAAGATTTACATAATGACTTAGCTATTAAATAGTATGAATAGCAGTAGCTTAATGATCTTTACTAATAAGCAAATCAATATAGATAACAAGCTCTAAACTCAAATTACCACAACTATAATTATGACCCAAATAATAAGCTAAATTATAGAATTAACTAAGAAAATGATCAACTCAGACAAGAAATCAATTAATTAATGTAATTTTCATTTACTATTTAGATCAAAATATTTCAAACTAAACTCTTAAAAGTGGATTTGATTATTAATTTTATCCATTATTTATGAAATATATTCAAAAAATTTTGAAAAATAGTATTTAGATTAAAAATATTATTTAAATATTTACTATAAATAATTTCATTTAAACAGTAATTACCAACTTTAGAAAATTATATTGCTTAAAGAAAAAAATTTTTAAAGGATGTTTATTATTTACAAATATTTTCTTGATCTCGTTTCTACCTAAAAATGTTTTTGAAGATTGAATTTTTATAAAGATAAAAGGAAAAAATTAAATCTAAAAATCAATTAAAAATTTATCAACAAACTTTATTTGTTTTAATATTTAAAATATCAAATGCTTCAAATACTTATTTCATATTTTTTTTAAAGAAATTTTTTTAAAATAGCATGATTAATTGATAAGTTTTATTGAGCTAATAAATGATTAAAAATCATTTTATTTAAACTTAACTACTATGATAATATTTTTTAATGATTTTTCGATCAAAGTAATTATTTAGTTACTCTCAAAATAATTAAGAATTAATAAGATATTTTCCAAAAGAAGTAATCAATATCTTTAAAGGAATTATTTAATGGTTAGAATTTAGTAATCAAATTAAAAATTTGATTAATCAGTGATTACTATTTGAAATATATAAAACAACAAAATATTTTATTTATCAATTAATCAAATTTATAACATGATAAATGAATTTATGAATCTAAAAATCAAGATATTATTATAATTTTAATATTTACACTAATTTTATATTAAATTTTTCATCATTTTATTATTTTTAGAAACCAAATTTTTAGCAAAAGCTTTAATCAATCAAAATAAGAAATTTTTGAAGATTTTTACTTTTTTGATTTGATGATTAATTTATGGCTTATTTCTTGTTAAAAAATAAGCAATTTAAATATTTTCAACAACCAATCAGAATTTATAATTTATGATAAACAGATTAGGAAGATTACATATACACATCAAATTTAATTAATTATTAGTTAATTATAATAATAATCTATTTTGCTTTTCAAAAGGATTTTAGAGCTTTAGGCTGTTCATTTTTTCGTAAATTATGTAATCAAGAAATTATACCAACTAAAAAATATTTACTTTTAATAGAAGAATTAATTTAATGGAAAAATATAATTATTGTACAATTTAATTAAATTAAATGGTAAATAATCTTTTAATTCAAAAGTATTAATAAAGATAAAAAAAATCATATTCTTATCATTTTATTCAATTTAATTTGTGATGAATTATAATAATATTTAAATAAAAATCATTTAAAATTACAATCAGCAAATAAAATGAGCAGACATCACATATTAATTAGCGATTTGAAGTACCTGAAGAAATAAGAAGATACCAAGAAAAATAATTTAATGAACAAATAAAGTAGAAGTTTGAAAACGAATATTTAGACAAGATTCTTAATAATCAGAGATTTGTTGAAAATAATTATGGTAGTGATAAAGTAGCCAAAAATACCTATAAAGAGGAAAAACTTGAGTAATTAAAATAAATTAATTAAATATTTGTTTTACTTGACACCACATTATAATTTTTTACTTATTTATTTATTAACCAATCTTAATTAAAAATTAAAATAAAGGCAGCTCGTAAAATCAGTCAAGTCAAAAGTTAATTAAAATTTGAGAGATCCAATTAAAAAGTAATTTATTTTCTATCTTAAAAATTTCATTTCTAATCGTGTAAGTTGTATCTTGAAAATTTTTAAAAGACTTAAATTTAATACAATTTTATACAAAATTAACTTACAGCATCGATTTTTTATTTTAATTTTAAAGTTTATTTTGAGAAATTGATATTGAATACTAATTAAAAAATATTTGAACTTTAAATTCAATGTTTTTCATATTTTAGAATCTTAATAATTGGCATAAATTATCAATTTACCTCAAATTTAATGTTACTACATAATCAAACAACAATACTTGAATATAAATGTAATTTAAAGATTCACTCAATAAATTATGTTTGTAGATAGTTGTTAGTTTTAACACCATATTTGCCCGTATACAAATAGGCATTTTAGATTATTTTATGAATATTTCTATAAATCTCGTTAATATACTATCTTTAAGATTTCAGAAAATTTTTCATAATAATTAAATGTTTTTAATAAATATTTATGGGAAATAAAAAGTTAAAAGCTGAACAGATTTGATCCATAAAAGCTGAGTTAAAAACAGGTGAGCTTAATCAATCAAGAACAAGGCAAAAAAGACATTTTGGTGAGAGGACCACGTGATTAATTAGATTTGAAAATTTTTGGGTATATTTATGATTAATTTGTTAAGATTACTTTAAATTTTCAAGAATAAACATATCAGTTTATCTAACAAATATCTTTTTAAAATTGATCGATTAATTGATTTTTTCACAGCAACATGTATTGAAATTTAATTGTATTTGGCAATTTATGTGGCATGAATAATCATTGAATCAAATTGTGGCAAAATTATAATTTACATCAATACTAAAGAAATTTGTCAAAAAAGAATGGTCATAATTCAAAACATCTAATTTAACAAAATATTCTCAAAAATATCAGATATAATAAGAATTATTTACTATTTTCTTAATGAATTTGAATCATAATTGAAAACTGATTTAGCCATATACTTAATACGAAAATGAATAATTGCATATCCTTAAAAGAAAATTGTTTACTCTTAAAATTGACCTAGTTTAAGAATCTAGACTCTTAAAATTTAAGCAAAAAATCATTGAAAGCTATAAAAATTTTAATATGAATTGAATTTCGAGTATTAATTTTGAAATACAATTATTAAAAAAAGGCAAAGAAGAGTATGTAAGGAATGCACATTCCTTCTTTGTAAAGGTTTATCTAGTTAATACTGTTAAGACTGTGGAAATTATAAGGAAAAAAAACACCCAAGTAATATTTTACCTAAAAGATTTAGTGGTGTTCTCTGAAATTAAGAGCTTGATTAATTAATTAAATAAAATAAAATAAAACAAATAAAAATAAATACTAAATATTTAGTTTAGTTTATATTTGATTCTTTGATTATTAACGTGTAATGTTTTATAAATTCTTCATTCAATTCGGTTTATCATATTTCGTATTTATTCTATTAAAAAAAATATTAATAACGTAACAATTTTTACAATTTGTATCAGAGAGTAATTGATGAATAAAAAATAAATTTTTATTAACATTCTTGTAATTCAAAGCTCAATTTACAAATTGCTTTTAATAAAAAATATTTAATAGATGTTTTATTTGTAATATTTGATAGAGGATTATCAGAAAGGAGTAAATTACTTAAAAATTAATTTATTTTTTTCTAATAATTTTAGTAATAATTGAATGTTGAAAATATTATGTTCGTTCAATCTTTGCAGAATAATAAGTAAAGTCATCAGATTTATAAATTTATAAACTCTTTATATTAAGTAAAACATGATACATTTTTAATTAGTCCTTTTTTAATTTATCTATCAAACACTTAGCAAATATATAAGCAGATTTACTTACACTACTATGAAAAAATAAATAAAATATAAAATGATAAATTTTATCATATTGTATTTCCTGTTGTGTTTTAGTTTAAATATATATCTATTTTTAATTAGAGAGCATAGTCTCTTATTTTAGTTAGTATAATAATGATATAAAACTTAAAAAGATAGGAAAGCCTTAGCTTGTTTTACATTTTATAAATCTAAGAATTGGAGGGTTTTGATAAATATTTCCTGTTTCATGTATTTAATTGATGATACAATTAATAGAACAGGAAAATTTGTGGAGAAATCCGATAAAAAAATTTAAAATTAAACAATGAACATTTTGATTACTAAAAGATAATCAAAATAATGTGAGTCACTTGTTTGAAAAATTAATCTTATTTTTGATAGATAAAATATTACCTATTAATATATACTTGCATTCACGAATCAAGCAGTGTCTTTGCTTAAATAATATAAGCGAATGAATGATTTATTTATTATTAAATTTAATGATAGATTGATTGATACAATCTATCAAAGAATGAATGACATTAAAAGAAGGTAGATGTCTATTATCCTTTGTATTAAAAAGTATTATCATTCATTTATCATTCACTTTTTGATCTAACATTAATTAACAAATAGATAATATCCATAAATATTAATTGGTAAATGATTAAAAATCATAGCAAAATGAGTTGATCAGCTTAATTGCTTTTTTAATAATAAATTAATTAAAAAAGAAATAAGAAAAGAGGATAATAAAATAAGTATTTTTTAGATTAAAGATTACCAAACAAAAAAGTAGGATATACATATCTATCTTAATCAAAATATTTATTTAATCAACACAAAAAATACAAACTCCTTCTTCTTTATTCATTTATTAATAACACAAAACAACACAGCATATCACATCGCATTACATTCATTCATTTACTTGTGATTAAATAACAAGTTTCTACTGAAAATTGGACATAAAAACTAAAATTATTCCTTCAACAACAGAATAATTTAAAATAAAATATAGTTAATAATTGCTAGATCTTATTTGCTTTGAACTCTAAGAAATTAGACATATTTTTATACAAGGGATATCGAGTCAAGAATATTTTTTTATTTAATAATACATATAGCTTACTTTGATATATGGAAAATAAAAACTAGACTAATCAAAACAACAGCAGCTTTTAAAGCAATGACCTTACAACTTTAATCAAATAGGATTACGAGGTTTTATATTTAATTAATTTGAACATATCCTGATAAATTTTTACAATAATTTAACTCTCATCTAAACACATTTTTTATTAAAATAGATCAGAAATTAATACTGCACTTTCAGTAATGGTCTGTAATAAAATCTACTATACGCTCGTGAAAAAATTCTTTATTGGGTTTTAGATGTAATATTACTATTATTATTTATATGGATATACTAAAAATACGAAACGTTTGTCACTCATTTTGTGGTTACAGTAGCATTTAAATTGAAACATTTGCAATATAAATTGAATAGCTTTTGAGTTGTTTATTTAATTATTTATTAATTGATTGATCAAGGCTGTAATCAATATTTTTATAAAAACACATTTTACTCGAAAACAATTGATTTACGAGGATAGGGAAATTAATTATAAATACCAAAAACTTTTTTTATAACTTTTTTATGTAAACTTTTCATAGAAAGTAGATAGAAAAAAAAGTAAATCAAAAGAATAAAATAGACATATTAACTTTAATTTTATCGAATTAAATAATTCTTATCTCTTTTTACCATTAAAATTATTATTTAATTCTTATTTTTTCTATTTTACTTTACAATTTTTATGGGGTATCTAAGAGACTGAAATTAAACAAATGAGCTTAAATATTTTACTCAACTTTTAATGTATCTTAAACCACAAAACATTCAATTATTTTTCAAATTTATCCTTTACTTTTACAGGATTAATACATATTTTTTTACTATTGAAATCATCAGGTAATGGAGAAAATTGAGCTATCCTTAAGGTCGATCGAAATATTCGTCTTCATTTTTGAATTACATTGGGTGAAAAATTAGAATTCTATTCCTAAACAAGAGTTATAAAAGCTAGCTTTGAGCTCCCTTTATTTAGTCATTAAGGTAGCAATTTTTTATTTAACAAAGATTAAATAAATTAATTGAAAAATTCAAAAAATTTATTTAATATTTCCTTTTTGTTATTAGATTACTTACTAATAATTTGATTTCTTTGGTAAAGTTGGATTTGATAAATCAAATATTCATCTTATAATTATTATAGTAGAAATTTTAAATCAAAATCCAACATTAAAAATTAATTTTAATTGATTGCTTATCAAATTCAATCAACTTCCCACCCTAATGGAACAAGGTTTTCAAAATTTTATTATTATAAATACCAAATATTTTAGATATTGTCATTACCTTTAGCAATCAATCAATAACTTGCATCGCATTTAAAAAACACTCTTTTATTTTTTCCCATTTTACAAATAACGCTATTCTTTGGTTGAATCCTAAGTATTTTTTCTTTAATTCCGATTCATATTTTTGTTAAAATTTAATAAAGATTCATTTATAAATGCTAAATAAATATCAAATGGCTTATTTTTGATTCTGAGATACCCTTCATTTATAATTTTAAAATAAAATTTAAACATTTAATATGATTTTATTTTATTTCTTTATGCCAAAATGCTTGAAAAAAGATATTAAAATAGAGTTAAGATTTATCAGATTTATCTTACAAATTAAAGCATATAATTTTGGATTTTTAGTTAAATTTTTATTCAAGCATTTGATAAAGTTTAAAATTAAAACTGGTTAAGACAGTGGATGAAAATATGGATTTACAAAGATAGTAAACATACCTCTTAAAAGTATCCAAGAATTTATAACTACTTTTTAAGAGAAAATTAATTCAATATAATTCTATAACCCTTACTTCGGTTGGAGGGAAGGAATTTCTTTTTTCATTTATATTTGATTTCTTAATTTTGAAATATTCATTACAGCTTGAATAAATGCTTAATCGGAATTTCTCATGTGTGGGAGAAAGAAGATACATAAACATAAATAAATATAAATTTTTTTATAAATTTAATGGAATGAATATCTTCTTTTCAGTCAAATTAAATCAAATTATTTGAAATAGATTTGATCTTAATGACATATTTTACTTTTAAATATTAGGAAATAGAAAATGAAGAAATAACTGTCGATTATCTAAATTATATGTGTAAAAATGCCTATTCTAATGAAGAAATAGAAACTTAGATAAAGGATTAGATGAATTCCTTGCCAAATCTTAATTTTATAATTACTCCATCTATTCTTTTACCAGCTTTTAAGATTTAGATTGACGAAGAAGACTACAAAACTGCATCACTTTTCGTTTATTAAAGTAAAAAATTTTATTTAATAAATAAAAACACATTTTTTGAAGCTCTAACCAGCTAAATATCTAAAGATACAATCTATTAATTCAATTTGATACGTTAAATAAATTTTATAATTAATTTGCATCTAAAATAAAAAAACTGATTAAAACTATGCTTATAGATATATTTTAATAAATTTATTAGCTTATTCAAAATCAAACACAAATAAAGTAACAAGTATTATGATTAGTAAGATTGTAATCAAAAAAATATATTTACAACCTGTTACTTAAAATAAAAGAGCAAAGGAATTCAATTTACCACAAAATTTTTTATTTTGATTTTTTTAATAACTAACTATTTTTTAAATATCAACCAGCTTACGATAATATTATAAGTCTGAATTCTTCAGAAATACTTTTCATTACTCTCAAATTTATACAAACTTCTCCTCTCATAAATAGTAAATATGAGGACGAGAATATTAAAGCTATTATAAAATTACTTGCGCCTTTTATTTCTTCCTCATTAGAATAGCTTGAGCAAATAGTAAAAGAAATTAATGAATTTGTAGAACAACACGATGATAATCTCTCTGAAGACTTTAATTTTCCTAATGGTTCCTCTTAAGACATCAAAATTCGCAAAATGTCTTTAGAGTGCGATTTATCTATGAACTAGCAAAAATAATTTGATGGTGAATCTTAAATTCTTAACAATATCTCTGATAATAGCTTTTAAGACAATGATCACAACATCTCAATAGAGCAAGAAATAAAAAGTAATAGAGCTAATAGCAAACATCTAGATTAAGATATTTAGAACAACAAAGACAATGACTTTTTGCTTAATATTTTTGTTGATAAAAATGAAAAAAATAAGTAAGAAGAAATGGAAAAGCCCTAGTCTTGTAGCGATTGCTTCTATTTCCATAAGAGCAACTGCAATTTTGATTCAGGCATCTTTTCTTCCTTTGCATAATTGAATGATTTAGAGCTCAAAGGTGATACTATTTCTAATGTATCAACCTGCACTCCTATAAATAGTAACTATAATAGTAATAATCTTTACAATAGCAACAATACTCATTTTAATAGTTTAAACACTTAAAATAATATGAATAACTCTGGTCAACTTCACTAAGCATCATACCATTCACACATTTAGAGTCCTAATCTCACTAGCTTAAGGAGCAACAATAAAAATATAAATAATTAACATTTCAATACCAACTTTAGTTCATCAGATAATAGTTTCGCTAAATGCATGACAAACAGCTTAAATAAATAAAAGTAACCTGATGATATCTTATAAAGCTAATAAAATCTTAACTCTATATCTACCCGTCTCACTCTAGATGAAGAGCAACAAATAGAATGATAACCTCTCATTACCATAAATTAGTTATTATAATATAAAAATATATAAATCAATCAACTTACCAAATAAACTCATTTTTATCAATATTAAAACGCTATGCTGAAATTTAAAGAAAAATATAATTAGTACTTAAATCAAATTTCTATTTTAAAATCAATAAAAATACTATCACTAACTAGGGATAAATAAGAATTAAAAACAAATAAAAAGCATTATATGAACATATTTATATAAACTATTAATTAATTGACAGACTATCTTCAAAGATGATATAAAATCTTTATTCACAATAATAATAACAAATCCTATCTATTTATTATATTCAAATTAATAAGTAAGTAAGATTTTATTTATTTATTTAATGATAATGAAACAAACAAATTCATTCATCTAAAATAAAAACAAACATATTTCTATCTATCTATCTACTTAACTTTTAATTAATTAAAACTCTTAAACTTAATTAACCAATTCATAAAAAACCAATTACACATAATATAATAATCCAATCATCAAATATACAATTAGTGTACTTGAGCAATCAGTTTAGAGGATTTCAATCAGATTTATTTCAAAATAAATTTTTTAACTAATAAAATTAAAACAAAAATGTCTAATTATTGAATTTAAATCTTAAATTGTGTTTCTATATTTACCATTTACTGAATATTTCTTATTTGTTTATCCTAATTTATCCTAGCTATCTTATATTTTGAACATTTTAATTTTTTATTTATTTTTTAATCTATGCAATATACTGTAGAATTTCTATCCTATCCTTTGATATTGAGAGGCTATAAAAAAAAGATTAGTTATGTTAAAAAATTGAATGAATTTAAACTCTAAAAAATAAATGAATTAGTAAGTCTAAATATCTACAATAAAGTTACTGTTCCGCAATTATTAAAAAAATTAATTTTATTTTTATATTTTATTGTTATTTAAAAACTTTTTTTATGCTAATAAGCTCTTTAAAGGCCTTAAAATAATCAATCAAATATTTATTTTTTAATTGAATATATATTTTTCATTATGTTATGTTAAAATTGAAAGAAAAATTGATAAGTAAATACAAGTCATAAAAATATTTTGGTTATAAAACAGTTTAAAAATAATGAAAAAATAAAGAAAAAATTCCTAAATATTAATCCCAAAATACTTTCATTCTAAAATTTATTATTCTTCTTAATATCTCACTAACTTATTTAATAATTAGTTTTTACTCAATCCTGAGCAATTTGCTTACTTGTTACAATTACTTATTTTGCTCTAAAAATACAAATTATTATTTATTAATTACTAATATTAGAGAAGATTGAATAAAAAAATGATTAGAAATGAATTAATTAATACAAATATTTTTATATTAAATTTTTTATTTTTTTTGAACTTTTATCACTAATAATAAGATGTTTTCTTGATTATTGACAAGGATACTTTAACCAGAAAATTTAATATTTTAAGAAAAGTCAATTTTGTTGATTCTTACCAAATTTCAGATATTAATTTTAATAGTATTCTCGAATTGTTACAATTTTCATAACAATATTTCTAATAGTGAATTCACTTGTGATAAATTTTGACTATTACTAAATCAATATAAATATAAATAAATACATTTTTTATCTATTCCACCTTTATTTTAAGGTAAAGAATATTAACTATTACCTAAATTGTAAGATAAATTAAATTTTCTATAATAATCAAAATTTTTAGATTCAAATCAAATAATTTATTGATAATGGTTACAGATTAGATAAATATTACAAAAAAAGATATTTATATACGATAACATTAAAATTTTCTAAAATCTACTATCAACTAAAATTGTTTACACTAATTTAAAAATTAAAAACTATTATTATATAAAAACAAAAATTTTTGAAAGTCATCTACAAAAAAATTGTAAGGTCTAATATGAAATTTAATGATACAATATTCTATCTCAGATAAACAAGTAGTCAGGTATTTTCTCAAGAGATTTAGTTAAAAGCTTTTGTTGCTTTAAAATAAAAGCATATTTTATCTTTAAGTATTTTAAACAATTTTAGCTTTATAAAAAATTTTTAAACCTAATTTAGATTTTAATAAAATGAGAAATAAAATAAATATTTGAAATTTAAACAATAACTAAATTTGCAAGTAAATTTATGAATACTTCAATAGATTACTTTAAAGATGAGTAAATTAATATTATTTAATATTAATATTAGTTAGAATATTTAATTTAATTCAATATTTTGATTTCAGACTTAAAAATAAATACTTTAGCTAAAGTTAATAATTATTATTTTAATATTAGTATTTTTTTGATAATTTTGATCAAAAGTTATATTAAAAATTACAGAATAATTTTATAAGTTATATTAAGAGATGTAAAAATTTATTTAATGAAGTTTTATTATTGTAATATTATTATTTATCATAAATTTATAATTAACTTTATTAAATGTATTTTTTGCATATATTCTAACAAATAAAGCAAAATTAATTATATTTTAGTTATAAATTTAAATAAATAAAGATAAAAACTTATCTATTTAATTGATTGAGATAAATTTAAGTTACTTAACATCAAAATTTTATTAATTTAAAACTTATTATTTAGAAAATTTTAATGATCTTTTCTTTATTTAATTTTAAGAATTTTAAACAATTTATTTAAAAAATTTTTTTAGTTTTGTAAAATATCTATTAATGTTTGCATTAAAATTATAATTTTAATTGAAAATAAATAATTTATGTAATAATTATTAGATAAAAGAATAATTTGTATATTTAATTAAAGCTTTTGAGGAATCAGTTAACAAAATTTTTTTACAATAAAATTAATTTAAAAATACAAACTATTAAATTTGTCAAAATTTATGTATTATTATTGTTTTTAATGATTTTTTAATATAATTCAATTTTTTATTTATAAATGAGTTTTAACTGAATTAAATATGATAGAAATGATAAAAAATTCCTTTATAATATTATCTTCATATATTTAGAATGGAAAATTTAATTTTTTTTAGTTAAATGTATATTTACCTATCAATAATAATAAATGAGATAGCTAAGAAATGTTGTATATAAATTTAATTCGATTAGTATGCATGAATGAATGAATGAGGGAACGTATTATAGTAAAACAGTTTTTCTAGTTAATCAACGAAGGTGTGTTTGCTTATCTAAGAATTTATTTGATTGTTTGGTTATTTGGTTTTTTGATTTACTTGAAACTTGTTAAATATAAAATTGAAAAGTTGAATAATTGTTATCTTTTAAACTATTAAGAATATTAAAAGGCTTACTTAAAATCAAAAAAAGTAAATAAAAAGGGTGCTTTTAAAAATTAAATAAAGGAAAAACAAGAGTATATAGGTATATTAAGATAGATAAATTACTCTAAGTTGATGGATTTTAGTGATAGGAATTCAACAAGTTCTTCAGCTATATAAAAGGGAACAAATTAGTAATTCTAAAATGATATTATTAAACTTGACAATGATTGCGAACATATTTAAGGATTAATAAAAGAGGGAGAAAATCCGCTAAATTACTAATAAGTTGTTTAAATATTTTTAGAAAGAAACAAGCAATTTTGCTCTTAATTAATAAAAGCTACAGAGTTTAAAAACAGCTTCTTTGTTTATAGGAAACTTGAAAAGGTTTTACTGCCTTTATTGAAGCAAATGGAGATGTATGATGACTAAAATTTTCCTTTAAAAAGCATAAATTAATCATTAGCTCAATAAATACTAGAAATAGATACTACAAAAATAAGCAAATTACCAACTGAGTTAGTAGTAAAAAAATTGCCATAAAAATATTTGAGCGCTTATGATTTTTCCTCAAGCATCTTAAGTAACATTGTAAGCTGTTTTAACAACTAAGGTATTAAAAATTAACAATATTTTTCAAATTCTATCTTATAAATAATTACTAAAAATGAAAAAATAATTTATATATTTTAGATTAATATTTATTTTTTTTACTTAGGAACTATTTATATGCTTAGAGGTAAGGTTGATGTCGCTTTGAACTGCTATTCTAAAGCTTTAGAAGGGAGATTAAAATTTTTAAATAGTTATTAGCACCACTTTCAATTATCAATTTTATTTTTGAATATTGCTTTTTGCTATAAAAACAAAGAAAATTATGAAGAGGCCAGCAAATTATTAAATAAAGCAATACTGATGTTGGAAAATATAGAAAAAATATCTAAGGAATACGCAGATAGTGACAATTTAGTAGAATCAAGTTCATTTGTGCTATGCTTAATTGAGTAAGTATTTTTGTTTTTTTAACTTTGAAGACATTTAAAGTATACTTTAATCTATGAAAATGATAAGAATACCAATAAAATTACTTTCAAAATGAGTAAAGTCTATATAAAAGTAGCTAACATTAAAATATTGTTCACATTTAATTTGAACTATTGGAAATTAAGTATCTATTAATTGATTGTATTTACTAATTTGATTGACAATATAAGATGTTAGTTTAATTAAAGGGTTGATGATAAACAGAAAATATTTACAAAATTATAATTCTATTAATCAAAGCTTCTAATTAATTAAAACTATTGGATGTTATATTGTCATAAAATTAACAATAAATTGCAGATTATAAAATTTTACCATGCAAATAATTTAATATTGAAATAAACATCAATTTAAACAAATTATTCAAAACTAGTTAATTCAGAATATTGTTTGTATGATAATACAAAAAAATTTGAATATTCTAATTTTTACATTTATTTTTTGAATAAAATATTTTAGAATATATTCTGTGAGGTTATTGTTCAATGATTTTATCATAAATATTCCAATATTAATTGCAACAAAATATTATTTTTACTAATTTCTTCTTTACTAAAAATAAAAATACTTTTACAAAAGAGATTTTCTAACATTTTAGAATAATTAAAAGCATAGATTAATATTTAACCCATACAGAGAAATTATTTTTACAAACAAAATTATTTATAAGTAAAAAATTTAAGAAATAAATAATTAAATTCTTAAAAAAATAATCTAAGTTATTATTTTTAAATATTAATAAATTGAAACAGAAAAATATTTTGAAAAATTATTTTTATACTTATAGAATGCTGTATAATAAGAATGAGAAGGATTTCAGAGACAATGAAGTTACTTAAAGATAAAAATTACTTTATTTTTTGAGTATTTCATATAATTACTATGGAGAACTCCTTTCTAAATTATAAAAGTAAGAATTTTATTTCATTTCTAATAAAAGCTTATATTTTAATCCCATTAAATAGGACAAAGGAATCCGAATTTTGCAAAAAATAATCTGAGGTGCTATTCAAATAATTTAGAAAGAGAACTACATCAACGGTAAATTCTACTAATAATAGCATGCATTAATTAGAAAGACCCAGCAGTAGAGGAAATAGCATACATTAAAATATAAAAAGCTAAGAACATTCTATTTAAAATATTAATTAAATTTATTAAGATGAATCTAAAATGGATGACAATTTCAGTCAAGCATCTTTCCAAACAGTTAATACAACATAATCATATGCTGCTTTTGGAGGACAAAACATCTCAAAAGACAACATTATTTTTTAAAAATACATGTAAATAAATTACTTTAAAAATTTTTTTTAATTATTTTTTTAATTCTTAATTAGTAAATTAAACGATATAAGATATAAAATTATAATTCTTCAAATCAAAGAGTATAATTGTGTATAAATTATTCTATACAATAAACCCAATAATTTCCTTAGTAAAATTATTGTTGGTTTCTAAGAGTTAATAGACTATTCAATAAAAATTAAAATGAGTAACGCTTTCATAGATTAGGACTAACTAAATGAGTTCTTTAAAGAGTAAAATGTTATCAAAATTTATTTTTTATTATTCAATTTTAATTTTTTTAGTTGTTGCATTTAAAATAAAAATATATATATCAATGAATAGTTTTTTATCTAAAATTATATTTATCACTTTTATTTTAATAAATAGATTATCGAGAAGATTGTAAATAGAAAAAGGTCAATTGAAAATAAGAGACATGGAATATTACAATTCTGTAGAAGAATATACAAAATATACAAAAGTCCTTCCTCCAAACTTGACAAATCTTACTAAATGATCTTAAGCTCTTTTAAAATCACAACACTTTTTTTAAAAAGTATGCTTTAGATAAAATAATAATAATGATATTTTTATTGAAATAATTATAACATTAATTCAATCTTTTAGTGTTAAACGTGATTTATATCTGGAAAAATAAAATAGATATATTTAGAAGCAAGAATACTTTATAAAGATATAAAATTATATACAATAAAAGATAATAATTTAAACTTATTTTAAATATATTTAAATTTATAAAAAATCATGAATGTGTTAGCTAATAACTAGCTGCATCTTCTTGGTGCTTATCAAAAGTTGAAATTTAAATCTTTTAATTGAATTCGTTAATACATATTTATTTTATATTCAATTTATAAGCTTTTAAATCAATCAATTTAATTTATTAGTTTGCATATATTTGATCAATTTTTATTAGATTTTTTCAACTTTTTTTTAAAATTAATTCACATCAAAATTTCTCAAATAAATTTATTTGTAAATTGATGAGTTTTACTAATTAAAATTAAAAAAATAAGAAAAAATTCTATCACAATTTTATAAATTAATGTCAATAATATAAAAATGAAAAATTAAAGCAAATCTTTTTCACAAATATCTAATTTTATTTTACTACAATAAATGTAAATTATCAATAAATAAAAAAAAGATATATTAATGTAAATAATTAGAGTCATTCACTCTATGGTATTTTATGCGAAAAAGCATATGAAATAAAGAAAAATGAATGAAGGTGAGGACTGACTTAAAATAATATTAATAAAAAAGAAAAAAGAAAAATAGAAATCAAGAGAAAAAAGAAATGAAAAATGCAATTAAATTTTTGAAAATAAAGAAATTTGATTTGATTGATAAAAAGGAGTCGGTGATTTGTTCATTGATTTATTCAGCCAATAATTAGTATACCAGTCTATATATATATATATATATATATGAAAGAAAAGGAAATAGTGTGAGAGCTGATGTTGCTACATATAATGAACGAGTTGTGAATAAGTAATAATTTAAATATAATAATTAAAAAGAAGAAAAAGAAAACTTCCGTCTTAAAAAGTAAAACAAATTAATAAAAAATAATATTTAGAAATGGCTTAAGCTGACAGAAAAGCAGTTATTAAGAATGCAGATATGGCAGAAGAAATGTCATAAGATGCCATCGATTGCGCCAATCAAGCTTTGGAAAAATTTAATATTGAAAAAGATATTGCCGCTTTCATCAAAAAGGAATTCGACAAGAAGTACAATCCTACTTGGCATTGTATTGTCGGAAGAAACTTCGGTTCTTACGTCACTCACGAAACTAAGCATTTTATTTATTTCTATATGGGTTAGGTGGCTATTTTGCTATTTAAGTCTGGTTGATCTAAGCTGCCGACATTCATACATACTAATAATTTAGTTTTCGAACTGACTGACTAACAACTAATAAAATAAATTTCTAAATCAATTAATAGCAGAATTAATCATTTATTTGCACCATCTAGCAATTTATTAATTCATATAAAGCAATAATATAAAATATAAAATGCACCCTACGTATATATGATTTTTTATACTTAACATGTATTTTTTTAAAATGATTTTTCTCTAACTAAATGCTCGTTTATATCATTTTCTTTCTCTTTTCGCCATCAAACTGATAACTTACACCCACAAAAAAAAAATCTAACTAACTCTGAAATAAAAATGCACTTATCAATTCACTTAAAAATTTCCAAAAATAAATATTTCAAAAAAAAAATTAAATTAATTGAAATTTTTATTAATAAAAACGAAACAGATTATTAACAATTAGGCTTTTGCTTACTTTATTGCAAAAAAATTCAAATTCTATGCGATAAATTCCTTTCTATATACAATGTTTTTAAATATTGATAGTTTATATCATAGTAGCAAAGGTCTGCGCTTAAGAGAGAGATTTATTCAAAAATTCAGTTTCATTTTTAACTCAAAAAGAAAAAAATTACATTTTATTAAGCATAAATTTATGAATTAAATTAGCAATTACACTTAAAAGAATCTATTTGCTGTTTAAATCTTGGGTACATTTTAATGTTTTGCAATTAAAAAAATATTAAATACAAAACAATTCTAATTCTAAGATAAATGTATGCGTTTTCATCTATAAAAAGTTTAAAGAATACTATTTTATCTAAGTTGAATCACTTATTATTAATAAACAAACTACAAGTACCAAAATTATTAAATATATATTTTGATATAGTTTCAAAAGTGAAATTTGAAGTTAGTACTATATTTTTTTTATTTTAAATTAAATAACTAACTAGCTGGTAAAAGTTAGTTTAATAAAGTTTTGTAAAATTAAAATTATTGGTTAAAATATATTTTAAGATAGAAAAAGAAATGTATTTCTCAACTAAGAAACATGTAATGATATACAAAATTAAAATTAAATATTAATTTGAAGATTTGTTTTAAATCAATCATCTTTAAACTATTCTCACTCACTTTTTTAACAGTATAAACTTAAAAGGAGAAATAAATATAACTAAACCATCTTTCTTTATTCATATCATATTTATTTTTGTTTGCGTATATTAAATTAAGAAGATAATTATTTTAAATATTCCACTAAAAAAACTTTGTAATCAATTTCTAACAGCTTTTGCTAGCTTTAAAGTTCTCTTGTAGTCACGAAGACGCTTTTCTTCTCTTTCTAACAAACTTAGAACCAAAGCCTATTCTTTTGATGTCTAAAGTCTAAATCTTAAATTATCGATTTCATCCTAAATATCATGAATTGATCTCTTCTCTAATAATTAATTTAAATAATTTATAAAAATAATCAGCTACATCATTTTAAATAAAAAATAAATAGAAAAATAGAGTTTATAAATTGTAATTCATTAGCTTTTATTTGGATTGAAAATTTTTATGAAACTATGAATATAAAGTTGATGTTTCAAATTTAAGTTATTTATGAATTCTAATATCATTTGAATCAAATAGCAAATGTAAGAACTTATTTTTTATGTTATTTAATAAATTAAACCAATAAGATCAGTTGCATTCTTATTTTATTATATTATATAATACAATAAATTTTATTCCAATTTAAATTTCAGTCTAAAAAAATCTCAATATTCTATAATAATCAATACTTTCATTAATTTTTCTTCCAATTATTTGGAATACTTACTCATTATTTCATTCATCCAAATATAATTATCCCAATGAACTTATTAATATAAATTATTTATGAATGAATTAATTACATCTTTTTGAAATTTCTTCTAAGGCAGAAAGATATTTATCCATATTTTCATCTTCTTCTTCATCCTTAATATCCTTAGCGAATTCATTAATTTATTCTTCAAGAGACTATTCACTAACCAACAATTTGCTGTTGCTTTCAAATCTTTCGAGTTGCTTAAGAGTTTTACTTGATCTATTTATATTAATTTAAGATTATTATTATTTTTATGTGAATGCTTCATATTATGTATTACGTCTTGAGTTCTTCAATGACTGCATCATCTTTCTTAGGATTGCTTTTATAAAAATATTTAAAAATTAAATATATTTTTCTTCAAACGTAATTAATTATTTACTTGAGTTCTCTAAGATATTAATCAACAAGCTTTTTAATTAATTCAGTAGAGTATGTTGATTCTAAAATTATTATTTTAAAAACATTATTTTAAGAATATTTGAAGATATATTTAAATACAAGTTTGATTGAATTCAATAGTTTATAAGTGCAATTCAACTTGCTTAGTAGCCTTCTTATCGTTAAATAAATCTTCAGAATCTAATTCGTCTTTTAATAAACTTCTAACCATCAAGTCATGTTCACTAACTAAGTCTTCTTTTACTAAATCCTTAAACTATTTTCAATATAAAACAATTAATTTGTTAATTTAAAATTTTCAATTTAAAAAGCGGCAAAGCATTACGGTGTAAAGAATATTTTTGGCTTACTCTTCTTAGGCATCATTTGTTTATATGAAGACTTTAATCTATGGATTCTTTTTAGAAATATCCCTACAGATTTATGCCTTTGTTCTAATATCTGCATTTGAAATGTTAATAGATATCTAGATCTACTTTTTAGGCTTTTTGCTATCAACCTTACCTTTTAATTTAGTAATCAAATTTAATTTCAGATCAAACAAATTACAAGAAAAATATGAATTTGTTTTTTTCAACTAAACTTATCATCAATACAACAAATCGTTTAATTCTTAATTATTTACGTGATTCAGCTTCTTAAGAAATAATTTCTTTAGCAAATTTGGAGTAAATTTCTTCTTTATAGTTAACTGTTTTGCAAATAACTGGGTTAGATTGGCTATTAACGAGAACTATATCTAAATTCATATCTTTGGCTTTATTGCTATTTAATAATTAAAATAAAATGATTACTTATAATTTTCAATTAAATTATTTGTTTTTTTCATTTTATTTAGTATTCTGCTTCATTCAAAGTCTTAATAAATATATGCTTTCATCAAAAATAATTTAAAATAATAATATTTATCCTACAAAGCTTCTTCGAAGGGCATGACACCTAATTGCTTGTTATTGGAATTAATTAATCTAACTTAACCATCATAATCGATTTCCTCATTAATATCTAATTACTTTAATGTTATTTTAAAAAGTTCAGTTAATTTTCTGTAATTATTTTTTAATTTTTATAAAATCTCCTCCTTAATTTCGCTTATTCTTATCTCTCACTTGCTTGATAGTGATGAATTAACTAATCAAAGAAAAGATCTTATCATTGGTCAAAGTAAGAAAGCTTACTTTAGCATTCATAAGTTATGACAGCTTCTTCAAATTAGCGTAGTCTGAAGGTTAAGTTGGGAAAGCAAATCCATACTTTAAAGTATTATGAAGACCGCATTATTTAAATAAATTCTTCCCTAAAACTTTTGTTAATAAACCCTTTGAAAACATTCTTCTAATTTTGACTTCAAATAAATTTTTAATTCTTCAAAAAATAAAGCAAAAACCTTTCTAAATTTTTCTTTTTTCTTCAAGATTCTATGTATAGATAGATATACATTCATGCAAGTAATTTATTTATTTAATTCATTCAATTACTACTTAATTCGCAATACTTTGTAATATCCTATAATAAAAAGACATATCTCCTTAATTAATTATTCGTTTGAAACACCATAAATATAATTTTAAATAATAACACAATATAGTCAAATATAACAAAATACTTCAATTTTATTACAATTTTAAGAATTAACGATATTCAATTCCAAATAATTTTAAATCTACTTTACTTTTTCTATAAAAATTTAATTTTAGAATTTTGTTGTGTCTTTTTAACGTTTATTTTTAGTATTTATTTACATCACACATTTCTTTATTTTTTAAAACATTAAACTAAAAAATTAACATTTATTTTAAATTAAATTAAATAATATGTTTTATTTTTATCAATTTTTTTAGATGTTTTTTTAAATAAACTTTTTTAAAGCAATCATAATAAAAAATGAAAGTAAAATTCAAACTTAAAAAGTGTGGAATAAATGAATGAATAGAGTAAAAATGAAACTATATATAGATAGATGATAAAATGAATGCGAACAAGAAAAGGCTCTTTAGATTGCAAGCAATATGGTTTAAATACTTATAATTTTAAATATACTTTATATAATTGATAGATATGTTTTTATTATATATGGTGAGATTAAATTGTAAGTAGTTAGTTGGGCTATGACAAACAGCCTTATCAAATCAAATCAAGCATTTATCTTTTTTCTTTGAGGTTCAGTGATAAAATTGATTCAAAAATAATTTTATTCAAGCCATTTCCATTTGTTTTATATGTAAATTAAATATTAGTTGATTTTGCAGAATAGTATATTCTTTAGTCATGTTGTAAATAGATATACGTATTAATAATCTAGATTTAAATGCTATCAGAGGTTCTGAAAAAAAGACAGGCTGTCAAATGAACTAACTAAAATTACAAGCAAAGAATCAAAAACAATCAATCGATCAGTAATCAAAAAAGCAAATTCATGGTCGAATCATTATCATTTCAATTATATTTTAGTTATAGTTAATAGAGTTATGTTTATGTTTGAGAAGATTTATAGGTAGGTAGGTAAGTAGATAGATAGACTAGCAGATGAACAAATAAATGGATAGTTAGTTAAATTAATATTTTTATTTCATTCACTTCGATTTATCTATCTTGTTAAAATTAAGCTTTGAAAAGCCCCTCAGAGATCTTCTTTCTTTTTACCTTGAGCTCTCTTAACCTTATTTTATCTATTTAAGATTTCTTATTTAGCCTTAGCTATTTCAATGGCAGATTTGTTCTTTTGGGCTTATTATTGTTGAGCTCTCTTTTATAAGGCTTCCTTGGCAGCAGCAGCAGCATCAATTTGGATTTATTCAGCAGTCTTTTCTTCAGTCTTTTATTCAACCTTTTCTTCAACCTTTTGCTCAGTCTTTTCTTCTTTCTTTTCACCATTTTCCTTGTTTTTGTTTTTTTTCTTCTTCTTCTTTTCACCTTCTTATTAAGCAGATTCTTCCTTGTTTTCAGCGGGGAGGGGTACTTTATTTTTTTAATCATTATAAATTTTAACATTTAAACAAATAAAGGCATCATCTTAAAATAATTATTTATTTTAAAGAAGTTTAAAGTTAGTAAATATTTAGCATTTTTAATAGATATGTTTTGTTTGTTTGATAAATTGGTACTTATTTACTCATAAAAAGTATGATTTAACTTTAAAAATCAAAAATACTAATAGCTTATTCGTTTAATGGATTTTTAATGATTTATTTTAATGTTTAGTATTTTGCTATAAGTTGCTTTGATCTCAAATAATTTATATGATTATTTGAATGGAAAATTAAGAATTTTTTATATTAGAAAATTAATGATGCCTATTATTATATGAATTATAAAATTTATTTACATCCAGCTTCCTTCAAAGCAGCTTGAATTGCATTTAATTATTCTAATTATTGTTACTTCTTTGACTTTTTATCTATAATTATAAAAAAAAGATGAATTAAATTTATAATCAATACACAATTAACTAAATGCTTGAAAGAATGGTTAAAAGTAATTTTATTTTCCTATATTATATTTTTGAAATATTCATTTTATTTTACCTTCCTTAGGTGCCTTCTTGGTTTCAGCTTCGGGTTCATCCTTAATAGGTTCAACTTCTTCTTCTTCTTCTTCCTTTTCACTTTCAACCTTTTCAACTTTCTTCTTTTCAACCTTTTCTTGGGCTTCAACACCTTCAGCAGTTTCTTCTTCTTCTCCTTCTTCTTCAGAGCTAGATTCCATATCATAGACGTTTTTCTACATATAACATAGAAATAAAAATTAATAATTATTCTATAGACATGCTTAAAAACGAAATCATTCAGAAATATTTTTTAAAACAAATTATTTACAGCAGTCTTAATACCAGCTGACTTTGTTTCAAGATATTCAACCTTATATTTACGCTTAGGAGCACCCTTATTGTAAGGCTTCTTACCGAAGGGCTTCTTAGCACCGTATTTCTTATCGGCTTCACCTTCCTTAGCAGGTTGGGTAGCAGTTGTTATGGCAGAGGTGGTGTTTTCAACAACTTGTTCCTTCTTTTCGGTGACTTCTTCTTAATCATCGTCTTCATCAACGATATCTTTCCATTAAGGTTTAGCAGCTTTTTTTACAAAAATTTTGTTTAAAATATGGGAATTTATCTATTTTCTCAATATTTAGTTAATTCATGGATAATTATTAAAAAATAGTGATAGCTGATAGCATTCTTTAGGCACGAACCTTAGAATAATTTCCTCTATTTAAAATTTTTATTTTCTTCTACTCAATGGCTATGAACTAACACTTAGCAAAAATAATGCTAGCCATATAAGGCAGTTTAAAACTAAATGAAATGGTAACGTTAATCTATTGTTCATGATTATTTGTAGTCTAAATTGCTATCGAGCTACCGTTTTTTCTCTAATTTCATATTCAAATTCAAATCTTAAATAATTTACTGGTAGTCATTTTTTTTGCTTTAGTCCTTTTCTTTCTTGTCCTTTATTATTTTTATCTTTTTCAATCTTTTGTATGTTTTCTTTATTTATTAGTTTAACCTTCTCTCGTAAATTCTTAAATCATTATTTTTAGATTAATATCCTTTTCATTATTTTCAAATCGTTCATTCATTCATTCATTTTTTGATAGATTTACCTATTTACTTGATAAAATTTTATAGACAACTCATGTATTCATTCATTGATTGATTCATACATACATACAAAACTTCTGTCATATATCCCATATTTATAAACTAAGTAATTAAAATCTTTAATATACAAATCAAAGATTTTTTCTTAATTAAATTCATTCCATAATATTAAACAAGCAAGTGTATGCGTAATTCTATTAATTTATCTATTATGAAATATAAAAAAAATTATAAAAAAGCGAATTTAAATTTTGCCTAATTTTTGGCTCATTAAATAATAACATTCTTAATTTTTTTAGTTTACTAAAATTTACTTCTATCACTTTAATTTGATTCTATTATAAATTTATTTTTTAAAAAAATCTCTTCATATAAATAACAAAGGCTATTAGGCTATTAATAACATAAATATTTTAATTTTTATTCTTCTTCCTTCTATATTTTATCTAATTTATATTATTAATTTATTTAATTAGTCAATTATTTAGACTTTGACAATATTTAAGATATTAATTATAATTTTACATTTAATTATCTGTTTTAATTTATTAGAACTATTATAAAATAGATTTTATGATAAAAGATTTTTGAATGAAAAAAATATTAATATAAAGGCCATTATAATTAGACCATTTATATATTGCAGTATGCAAGGATATATTTGAAATTAAATAAATTAATTAAAAGTATATCTATCTATCCACTTTTCATATAAAAACTCTATTTTCACTTAAATTATATAGTTAAATTCTGAAAGAGTTAGAATTAAAAACAAAATAGAAGAAATATAAAAAAAATAATTATGAAGGTAACAATTGAATTAAGGTAATTTTTAAATAATTAGCAATTTTTTCAATTAGAACTTAATACAGAGTGCAAACTATATTTAAATAAAGCTATTATTAACTTGAAGATGATGATATTTTTACTTATAATGCAAATATACCCAATTGATCATTTCATATTATTTTAATTAATAAATAAATAGCGGAGGATTAGATTTGTGCTTTGATGGCCACAAAACCTTCGAAGTTGTTTTAGAAAACTAAGAAAATATTAAGATGGGAGATCTCATTACAGTTATTGCTAAAAATTATGTTAAGAAGAAACCAGAATTCTTTGTTGGAGCTGACAATTAATTGTATTAAATTTATTTATAATTTTATAAATAAAAAATATATTGAAATTCTACATTAGTTTAATAATTTACTAAAAATTTATTTTTCAAAGAAATATAAATTGATGCAGTCTATTAAATTGGAAGATTTTTTAACAAAATGCATTTAAAAAATACATTTTTTAATTATGATAAACAATCATATTTTAAGGAGACTTTATCAAATTTAAATTAATTTAAAAATAGACGTGCTGGAATTTTAGTTTTAATTAATGATGCTGATTGGGAACTTGAAGGCAAAGATGAAGCAAATGTTGAGAATAAAGATAGAATTAGTTTCATTTCTACTCTTCACGGTGGTTGAGAATCAATTGATAATATAAAACAAACTTATTTATTTTTGTTTAAATAAATATAAATTTATGTCGTTATATTAATTCTTTTAGATAAATCTTTTTATGGATATTATTACTCGATTTTGCAATTTATTATTTATCTATATCAACTAATATGGCTTTGAAATACGATAAAATTATCTTTTTCTCGCATTAATTATATATCGATTAGTCATTACTATTATTATTAATTATGTTATCTTAAATACTTGTTTCGAATTTCCTCTTTATTTACCATCAGTTAGAAAATAAGTAAGATTTCAAAAAAATTTTAATTGTAATTAAAACTATTAATTGGAAATTAGATAATTAGATTTTTACTCATAAATTTCAGTATTTTCTCATATAAAATCTGTCAAATTGTAATAGTAAAAATAGATTCCATCTTTTAGTATTTAGGTTAAAACTTTAAAACAGAGATAGATTAGTATAATTATACAGCAAGCTACTGTAAATAAATATAACTTCGCATTAAGACATTAATTTGTAAACTAGAAGTAAAACCTCAAAATAAACCTATAGAATAGTTGAGATAAACATACTTAATTTGCAAAAATTTTTGAAATATAAACACTATAAAGTGGTTAGTGACATAAAATGCAGTCATAGTATCAATCGCAAGCTGCTTAATAAAATGTAACTAATAATTAATAGAGTAATTAGCAATCTTAAATGTAATATTAGACTTAACCACAGTAACAGTAATAATTTCAAAGTTAGGCAGTAGTTTAAAACACTATGCAAAATTAACCAACTGTTAATTAGTAAAGCTAAAATGGTAATTCAAATAACACTAATTAATTACATTAAAACTTTTAGAATTAAAACACTTTAAGTAACTAGTCTGTTACTCAACAAAGCTAAGTTTAATAAAGTTCAAATAATGCTTAGACAAACTAAATGTAATTTAACTAATATTAAAACAAATAAAATGCTAATGGAACTTAAGCAAGTTAAATTTAGATTTAACCAAATAATGAAAATCAAGCTACTCAATAAAATTAAGCTAATGCTTAAATTTAGAATTAGAATAATTCTGGTTAACAACAAAACATTAATAGCCAGGTTAACAGTTAATAAACTTAAGCCTAATAATTTAATTAACCTACTTCAACTAGTTAAAATTAATAACAGTTTAACTAATAAACTTAATAATAACAAAACTATAATTAATAAAATGTTATTTAACCACCAATCAATAAGCAAAACTCTTTAACTTAAAATAATTCTAGTTAAGTTGTTTATATATAGCAATAATAATAATAATAACAACAACAGTAACAATAATAACCGAAATCTCTTTTGCAACAACCTTAAATGAGCTAACAATAGTAACAGCCTAGTAATAGCTTAAACTAAAATACATCAAATAATTAAAATAATACTCAATACTAAATTTAATAAAATCTTAATAATTAGCAATAATAGCATATTTAAAGCTAAACCATTTAAGGGTAAATTGCTAATTTTTAAATAAATTAACAGTAATAAGTATAATAATCTCAAAATGAAAAAAATAGTTTACCTTAATAAAGTAATTCTAATTTAACTATTGCTAATTAAAATAACTAATATGTTGGATAATCTCAATAACAAAATACAAGTTAGAACTCAATGTAAAATAATTAGCTTCCCCCTTAGTCACAACAAAATAATGCTAACTAATAGCAGCAATAAAATAATTAACCTGTTATTTAACATCAATCATAAAATGTAATTGCATAGTAGCAAAACAACTAATCTAATACATAGTAATAATAACAAGGTGTAAATTATTAATATTAATAAAATACAAATCAATAGGGTTAATAATAGAATACAATTTAGCAAACTTAACTCTAAAATCCAAATCAGTAAAATTAATAACAATTGGTAAAGCAAGAATAATAGTAAAATAATTAACTTACATCATAGAACAATTAATAAAATATAGGTTAGAAATAATAATAGAATAACTAACCTGTATTTTAATAATAATAACAACCTGTTTTATAATAATAATAACAATAATAATAAAATAACTTACCCTCTTCATAGCCTCATCAATAAAATTAATAACAAAATAATTAGCCAAACTAATAGCTATAATAGTAAATAGTAAATTAATAAATTTAATAAAATACTATTCTATAAAACCAGTAATAGAATCATAACTAATAAGCTTAATAATAAAATACAAATCAATAGGGTTAATAATAGAATACAATTTAGCAAACTTAACTCTAAAATCCAAATCAATAAAATTAATAATAATTGATAAAGCAAGAATAATAGTAAAATAATTAACTTACATCATAGAACAATTAATAAAATATAGGTTAGTAATAATAATAGAATAACTAGCCTGCATTTTAATAAAATTAAAAACCTGTTTTATAACAATAATAATAAAATAACTTACCTTCTTCATAGCCTCAACTATAAAATTAATATCAAAGCAATTAGCCAAGCTAATAACCACAATAATAAATAACAAATTAATAAATGTAATAAAATACTATTCTATAAAATTAATAATAAAATCATAGCCAATAAGCTTAATAATAAAATGCAAATCAATAAATATAGTAATAATTTATTTAATAATAATAGTAGTAAAGTAATTAACCTCCATAATAACCCTAACCTTAAAATACAGTAGCATAACAGTAATAGATCAATTAAACACAAGCATCAATTTAATAATAAAAGAATAATTAATAATCACAATAAAGTGACATACCTGCAGTTTAATTATAATAATAAAATTAAGTTTAAACACATCAATAAACTAATTAATCTTCAGCATAATCTAATCAAGTAAATACAAATTAACAAAGCCAATTTGTTAGTCAAGCTACTTTTTAGTAAAATCCTAGTTAGAATAACCAATAGAACGATTAAGCTATTTTACAATCTTAGGTATAAAATACGAATGTGTAATTGTAAAAAAATGATTAAAATCCTCAGATTTAATAATAATAAAATTCAAGTAATTAATCAAACACTTTTCAAAATTAAGGTTAATTTTAATCTCAACAAACTGCAAATTTTCCCTCTTAAAATACCTCACAAGTTAATTCACAAGTTCCAAGAAAAGATAATAATTAAAATGCATTTAACAATTAAGATTAGTTTTAAAAATAAGATAAAACAAATCCTGATATTAAAATTTAATTAGAATAAATTAGCTTAGATAAATAAAATACAAATCTTTTGCCAAATTAAACTAACTCTACTGTCCCAAATAACAGCAATCAAAATATGGTAGACAGTAAAAAAAGTGAGTAAACTGACTTATAATAAAAAAAATAATCAATCTAAAGAAGTAACTCAAGAAATACTCCAAAATCTTAAAAAGGAAATTAAGCAAGCACTTCAAATTTATCAGATAAGCCAAGTATATAAAATCAGGCAGTAGCAGAAAGCTAAAAAAAATCAACAGCTCTTACAACAGCTAATACTTCAAATACAAAATCAAAAGAAGGTGATAGATCATACATTTCAGACAATAACAATAATAATTCTTATTTGAATGCTTTAAAAATGTCTCCTAAAATGATTATAGGATATGAACCTAAAGGCAGAGATACTTCAAGTAAATTAAATTTATTTCATGTGTTTGATCATTTCAATGTAAACTAACAAATATTTAATGGTTTAATTATTTTAAATCAATTATTTAAATAACTTTAAAATTGTTAAATTTGGTTGAACATTTTTTATTATTTTTGCTAATTTAGGTATGAGTAGAATTCCTAAAGATAAAAATTTCAGGATACAAAGAAACAAAAGAAGTCAAAGATCTGTTACATAACCTAATGAATCACTTTCCCCTATAAGACCTTAGTATTATCAAGGTATAGATTAGTATAAAGCGTATGATGAAAGAGTTAAAAAATAAATTTAGTAATCTTTCCATGAAAGTAATTAATTAAATAGTCTTTATTTTTTTAAACTAAATATTTAATAAATTTTAAACTTTTTAAGATTAATATGATGATAAATAAAACACTGAAAGCGATTTAGCTTAAAATGAAACAGTTGAAATTAAAAATGATGATAAAAATTAAGAAAATTAAATATAAATTGATAGGTAAAAAATTAATAGCATATTATTTTCATTACAATTAATTATTAATTAAATATCATAATACATACAGCCCAAGAACTTTAGAAGCTATGAGAATGAAAGGAATTGATAAAAAAGATTTAGCCTACAAAAGTAAAAAAAGAATAAAAGAAGAGTCTGCTATTGCTCTTAAAGGGCTCAATAATCAAGATTAAAAATACTACATAGATGTAAAGTATGAAAAAACAGAGTTAAGAAGATAAGAGCTTATATAAGAAGTTATTTAGGTATTTAATCATTATTATAATATTATTTTAATTTATGATAGCAAAATTTATTTGAAATAAATACATTTTTAATTATTTTTTAATAAAAAATCTTTAATTTTTTTAAATTTTTACAAAAAAAAAATAGGAAAGATAAAAAATTATTATTGAGCAGTAAGAAAGAGAAGATCATGAAATGAGATCGAGATATATGAATTCAAAAGAACCCAGTGTCTACAGTGATAAGAAAAATAAAAGTTATTACATTTCAGAAAATCCATAACATGAAGTACTTTTTTACTTGCTATATTTTTAAGATTTTAAATAAATTAAATTGAAAAATTAATTTAGAGAAGTAGGAGTTTCTTAGATAAAAATAATTAAAGCTATACAAATATGGATAAATTTAATTCTAGTATGTATAGAGATCTCAGTTTCACATTAGAGAAAGAATAAAATTAATAAGAGAAATTGAGAGAAAAAAGATAAAAAGAATTAGATTAGGCTTTTTCCTCATAATAATACAAGAATTAATTGATAGAAGTACTTTTTTTAATTTAAATATAAAATATAAGCATATATATATAATTTAATATAATTAATAGGAAGAATATAAAAGTAGAGAAAGAAATAAATATGAAGAAAATTAAACATAATAGGATAAAAATTAATATTAATAAGTTGACTCATCGAAGCAGGTAGATAAAATTTAATTAAATTTTAATAATTAATTTTATAAAAACAGAAAGAAAGAGAAGATAGAAAATAAATTTTAGAGGAGTTGAGGGAAAAAGAGTAATTTTTGCTTAGAGAAAAATAATTATAATCGCAATACAATCAAAATGATTGGAATGAAATGCAGCTTGAGCATGAAAAGAAAATTAAGACTTAAATAAGAAACTAAAAAGTAGAAGACATCAAAAGAAAAAATTAAGAGAATGATGTAGTTAAAAAGGATGAATACGAGTCCAAGCTTAAAAAAATGCAAGAAAAGGATTTAAAAGTGAAAGAAGTAAAAATTATTTAAATTTCTTTAGATTATTAAAATAATTTTATCTAATTGTTCATTTAAATATCTAAATTTTTTATTAAATTAAAAAAGTAACTTGAAAGATTAAAAAATTAAAGAAGATAAATAAACGAATAGTATAAAACACAATTAGAACAAAGATAACTCAAAATATAAGAATAATAGATGTACAACGTATATAATGTTAAGCAGGTAAAATTTCTTTAAAAAACTTAAATCAATATATTTAATATGATAAAAGAAACTTGAAGAAAAAGAGTAAAGACTTGATAATTTTATTAAAGATCAAGAGTTGGTTAAAAAGCTGGAATAAGAGTATAAAAAGTAGCTTCTACTGCATAAAAATTATGATCCTAATGCTTCATAAATGGATGAAGAGCTAATTAAGCAAGACTTTCTTTAAAATTTATTAGATTAGGAATAATTATTAAGAAAGTAATCAGAAAAATATAAGTTTGATCGTTTCAAAAAAATTAAAACAGATGTAGAAAAGCAGGAAAATTTTAAATTTGTAAACTATTAAATTTCATTTTAATTTTGTCAACTTTTTAATTTTAATAATTTAGATTTTATGTTGAAAATAAAAGCTTTAATTTATTAAAATACTATTCAAAGAAAACTAATTATTTTTTATATTAAAAGCAAAGATCAAGATTAACACATGAATAATAAATATGGTAAGAAAACGTTAAAAAGAAATAATTACAAGAATTAGAGGAGGCCTAAAGAAAAAAAGAAAAGATGCTTTAAGAACACAAGAAAAAGTTTATCGAAGAGAAAATATAGCTTGAATTAAAATTAGAAAAAAGCAAATAAATTGAACAAGCTAAATAAGCTTAAAAAGAAAAAATATTAAAGAAAATAGAAGAAGATAATATAAGAAGACTTGCTTTAGAAAAATATAAAGTTTCTGTTTATGAGGAAAAAAAGAGATATAAAGAATAGCTTGAAAGAGAAAGAGATAATCATGAATTGCACTATGAAAATGAGCTATTAAAACCAAATAGAGAGAGTAAAACAAATCTTAGAGCAACTTCTGCCACTCCAAACAGATAAAATGACCTTGTTATGTCTAAATAACTAAGAACAAACAGCTTTGCAATCACCAATTCAATGTCACTACAAAGAAAAAATTCATAAATGAATATAAATAATAAGTCAATATCTTAAAATAGTTATTCAAGAGTATCAAACAATATTAAAAAAATAGATATGTTAAAAAGTAATTTTATTATTTTAATTTAATTAAAACAAAAATTTGCTATTTATCAAAATAATATGCCTTAAACAAATTTAAAGCTCAAAATTCAATATTTTTATAAAAAATTAAATAAAATTTCAAAAATTATTATTTTTGTTGTCTTAAATTAATTATTTCAATTTAAAATCAAAGAACCTTCTTACGATTCAGCAATAGGCATAAGCCATGAACAATTTTTCCCAGTTTAAGAGTTTTCAAGTATTAAATATGTCTCTGAATTTAATATGCTGAATGAAGAATAAACTTAAAAGTTTTTAGTCTAATTAGCCAGCCTTGATTTCTAATTAGTTGATTAACCTGCTACTCTTTTAAAGTAAATTATGGAGCCTCTTGTTATGTTAGCAGAGTAAATAATAACAATTGAATTATTATATTATTTTAAATAAAATTCTTTAAATCTAGGGTGTAAGAAAACGAAACAGTGGAGCTTCGTGAAAAACATAATCATATGCATCTTTATAATTGATTTTCATTTATAGTTAAAATTCAAATATTTTAATTTTGTATAAAATAAAAAAATGTGTATATATTATATTTTGTTATTTATTTTAGTTAAAACCTGATGATAAATAGAATATTTCTCCTTATTTAGTGTTGATAATTAATTTTTCTGACAATAACAAATTTTATCAAAATTCTAAGTATTTAAATTATCTATTATTTAGTTTAAAAAAATTTTTGATTGTAAGAATATTTAGTAGTGAATTATTTTATATAATTTTCTTGTAAAGATTGCTGAGAATTTTAAGCTGACAGAAAAATTATAATTAATTTGTAATTTAATTTATTAAAGAAGTTAATAAATTTGTTAGAATACAAAGCTAAAGTAGAGTAATTATATATCTTTAATTCTCAAAAATATAAATAAAAGCAACTCATATAAATTGAAATTAGGAATAAAAGCCATAAGTAAACATGAAAAAAGGACCAACAGAATATATTCAACATACTCTTTTAGATTAACTTCCAGTAAAGTTTAAAATATGCTGCATTAATGATTAAAAAAAAGTCTTGAGGTAATTTATAATTTTAGTAAAATCATTAATCTTAATATAAAGCCAATTTATTATTCTAAAATAAAGAAAATTACGAAATAAAACTCAGTTTAAAAATTATTTTACCCAAAAAATTTGTTAAACTAATTTAATTTTTTCGCTAAAACATTTTAGCCAATCAAAAATATAGATCTAAAAATTTTTCTTTGAATAAATTTGTAAAATAGATACTTTTTTAATGACGAAGATGGTAGCAGTAAATTAGAAAATTTGGAAGCAATGGTAACAGCTTAATTAGTTGTAAATGAAAAAAAAATATAGCCAGCATAGCAAACACTATTTATTGATAGGATGCTTTTTGAATAGAATATTATTTTTAATTATAAGTACAAAGATTTGAGTTATAATTCTATTATTGCAATTACATTATGGTGTTCCCAAAAAAATAAAGATGAAAAAAAACCTTTGGGATGCACAACTATAAGTCTTTTTGATGATTAATTTCGTTTGAGATAAGGGAAATATCATTTATATATATGGCCAGATACTCTACCTGATACTTCTTATACTTCTATAACTCCTGGATTAGTGACTGATGATAATATCAAGTAGATCAATTTCTCACATTAAAAAACAGAATAGGCCTTTACAAATGTAAATAAATTTCCATAAAAGACTGGCTCATCTATCCATAGAAACTAACTTAAAGAATAGCTTGATCTTTAAAAAATTTATGCTTTTCAAAAGATCCCTAGTGCCTTCCTTGAAATAGATTTTCCAAATTTTGAAACATTGGTGCTTTACCAAGAGCCAGAATACATAATTGATAATGATTTAAGTTCTAAAGAAATAAACAATTCTTAATCTAATTCATCAACAAATTCCAATCAATAATCACTTACTGGTGGTAAATCTTCTAAGTTTTTTATATAAGAAGTAGATTTTTCAGAATGCGTAGTTACATCTGATTTTGATTATGAGAATCGTAAAGATGATTTAATTTAAGAGCAAACTGCCCTTATTATTAGAGAAGATGAAAATCCTTAATAGCTAAAACCATCTAAAAATGAATTACAAATTATAGAAAATTCAATAAAAAAACCCATTTTAGGCGAATTGAAGCAAGATGAGAAGCTCTTATTTTATAGATTTAGGTTATTCTTTTAAATAATTTATTTTTTGATGAATTTTTATGTCAAAAACTTTTCAATTTTATGATTAAAATTAAAAATTATTTTTATTTTTTTTGTAATTAAATTTTATTTTATTTTATTTTAGATACTCTTTGGTTTAGAATCCTGAGGCCTTAGTAAAGTTTTTGCACTCAATTAATTGGGATAACTAAAAAGAATTAAATGAAGCTAAGAAATTATTGAAAATTTGGGCAAAATGCTCATACGGAGATGCTTTGCACTTACTTTCAAGCTCATTTTGTGCAAACGAGTTCTATAATAAAAAATATAAAAAGCCATAAGATACTGCAATATATATACGTAAATATGCTTGTGAATAACTGGAAAAAGAATAAACATCAACAATTTGTTCAATTCTATTGTAGCTTACACAAGCTTTAAGATATGAACCTTTTGATTATTAAAAAAGTCATCTTGCTTAATTTTTAGTAAAAAAGGCATGCGAAAACACAGAAATAGCTACACTGTTTTATTGGTAATTAAATTGTTTACTTAATTTAAATCTTGATATTATTTATTCTTTATATATGCTAATAATCTAATTAATTTTAGCTTACAGCTTAACAGAAAAATTATTTATAATTTAATTAAGGTATCTTTTAGTCGAATGTGATAAAGAAATGGACTTAAAAGAAAAAGCAAAACTTAGTTCTACTAACTAAAAAGTGTAGGAATGGTTTAATTAAGTATTTGAAAGGATGAATGAAGAATTGGAGGAAAAATGTGAAGAAAACCATTAAGTTTTAAGTCTTTAGTCAGAATTTAGATAGAAACTAAGACAAATTGTCGCTTCTATGGCTAAAAAAGACAGAACTTAAAAAATAGAAATTATCAAAAAAAAGCTTGCATCAGAGGAATTTAAAAGACCTAACTTTAAAGAACATCCTTTTTGTTTAAACCCAAATTTAATGATTGTAGAATCAATTCATTAGCAATCAACTGTTTTTAAGAGTGCTATGGCTCCAATAAAAATGACATTTACATCTTACCCAATTGGTAATCTTAATTAAAATTTGAAATAATTTTACATTACACATAAATATCAATTATTTATCAATCATCTTTTATTTATAAGCTTTAAAAATTCAGTTTACATTCAAGTACTATTTAATTGAATAAAATTTCATTTCGATTCAAGCAACAAAAAAAGAAAATATCCATTTAATTTTTTTTTTACAATTGTAAGTTATGTATTCCTATCAAATATTTGAAAGCAACAACTTACAACTTAATTAACAATATTTTATCCTAAAAAATAATGAATAATGCTTAAAATAATTAAAATACTAATCCATAAAATACAAATAAAATACTACATTTCACACAATCACAATCAAGAAAAATAATGATAAAAATTTATTATTATTAGCTGTTTAAAAAATAAACTATGCAAACTAATTTATTAGAATTTTATTAATAATCAATTAATATTCGTTTAAATTAATTTACAATCTAGTTAAGCTATAGAGCGGACTTAACTTCTAATAGAGAATAACTACCCTTATAAATTCAGTTTTTATAATGAAAATATATCTTAAAAAGTCTTTTATAACCCAATATCAAAAATAAAACAAAAGATATTTTGTCATATTTTATATTTAAAAAGAAATTTTTACTTTTTATGATTCAATATAAAAAGTTTTACTAGATAAATTGGGTTTTCAATTTCTTTTATAGAATTTAATCTGATTAATACTGCTTCTTTTAAAACTAAGAGTGAATCATGAACAAACTTTCATTTTAATTTTACAAAAGGTTAAAAGGAGAAGGAAGGCAAAGTAGAAATGATCTATAAGAACGGTGATGATTTGAGACAAGATTAGCTTGTTATGTAAATATTTAACCTCATGGATGGATTACTTAAAGGAGTTGGTTAGGATTTCAGGCTAATGCCTTATAAGGTACTTGCATGTTCAAAAAACGATGGATTTATGGAATTCGTGCCTAATTCTACTACTATTTAGGATTTGCTAAAAGGAGGCAAGTAATTTTCTTAGTATTTGTAAAACTTAGCTGCAAATCCCGAAAATCCTATATACGAAGAATACAAACGCTTAAGAATGTAAAATGATGAATAAGGAAAGCTAAGTAATATAGAATATGTCAGTCAAAAAATAATGGAAAATTATATGCTCAGTTGCGCAGGTTATAGTGTAATGACTTATTTCTTAGGTGTGGGTGATCGTCACTTAGAAAATTTGATGGTTGATATTACAGGAAAATTTTTCCATATTGATTTTGGGTTTATTCTAGGACAAGATCCTAAACCTTACCCACCACCTTTGAAATTATGTAGATAAATGATCGAAGGTATGGGAGGAAAGGATAGTAAAGTTTATGCAGAATTTAGAAAGAAATGTGTACATGCTTACATATATTTAAGAAAATATGCTAAATTGATTGTAAATTTATTCCATTTAATGATAGACTCAGGTATTAAGGATATGAGTATTGAAGCACTCGAAAAGTTAGCTGAGAAATTTTACTTGGATTTCAACGATACTCAAGCAGAGCTGCATTTCTTGAATATTTTAGATGAAAGTGAAACAGCTCTTTTTGCTAGAGTTACAGATATGATTCATAAATGGGCCACTTATTGGAGAGCTTGAGTTTCTTTTTTAGTTTTTTTTAATTTTCAAAAATTATAAACTAATATTTTTATTACGTTTACAGATGTATAAATACTTATTTTTATATCTTCTAATAAAAGTATTAAATAATAAAATTATTAATTATTTATAAATAATTTTAAAATATTATTTGCTATCCAATGTAAAATTAATTGTTACATTTTAGCTTAAAAGTAAATAAGAACGAAGTAGTTTTACTCTTTTTTAAATTTTAATTTTTAGTTCTAACAAATAATCTTAATTAAAATCATTCAATTTTTAATTTATCAGCAACCTTAAGATTTTATTAATTTGTTTGGCTATTTTTATTTGTTTGTTGCACGCATTCAACTGTCGAATTACAGGATTGAAAATAAAGCGTGTAAAAATTGAAAATTGTCTGCTTTATTAAAGATAAAAACAAATTTTCATTCAAACTGTATTTAAGGAAAATAGAAACATAAATTTAAGTATGTATCAAGAATTACTTTTGATATTTTAAATAGCAGAAATGCTTACCAGAAAAATGTTACTTATTTAAATGATTCTATTTTTATCAAAAAATAGAAAAGCGATTCAAATAAATAAGAGATAGATGGAATACTTTCTTTAATTATTTTTGGGTAAGTGTTTATTTATTTCTAATATTTTTTTTTTGCGCGTATTAAATAAAATAGTGGGAAGAAATGAATCAATTAGAAAAAAGAAAGAAAAATAAAAATTAGGGAAATAAGAGGTAATCTAATGAAAGGAAGGTTATTACATTTACAAAAGAAAATATCAAGCATTAAGGAAAATAAAAATTATAAATAAAAGATTTGATTTATGTAATACATGTCTATGTTTAATATATATTTGGGTTTATCAAATTTATTACCTTTTTTGGTAATCTTTCCCAAAAGATCTAACACAATTTCACAATTCCTAAAGCAATACAAGATAATTTAATTTTTTTTTGTGATAACTTAACAACTCAAATAAAAAAATTTCATATTAACATTTTAAATGAGTAAAAATAAGTTCTTAATTTCTAAAACAAAGTTAATATATTTTAATGTATTCACTCAAGCGCTTCTATATGTCGGAATTTAAGGTTACCAAAATAAGCGATTAAGCCTATGAGGTGTAAAAGTGAACTTATTTGTTTTAGTATATTAATGAAAGAAGCTATAATATATTTTCTTACTTTGATTTTTTTACTTTTAGAAGAATACGAATTATATGCCTACTTGCAAAGCTATCAAAAAAAAAAAAAATTAAAAAAAAAAGCAAACAAATTTAGAAGATTGATAAGAATTTAATTAAGAGCATGCTAATATATTTATTGATTGCATGAGTGAATGAATGATTAAGGTTGAGAGATTCTTTCATACTTTACTTTGACAAAGAGGAATCGCAAATTTTGTAATAATAATAATTAATAATTTGATATTAAGAAAAGAAAAATAAGAAAACTGATTTTATATTTAGCATTTTAGAGCTAACAAAAATATCTATTTATTTTTCTCGATACCTCACAGCCAACAACAGATATTTATAAATTAAATCTACTTTTATTATCATAGAAAGGTTCTTTGTTACATTTACTGCAGAATTGGATTAAATATTAATCAAAAAGACTAAAGCCAAGGATAGTATTAACATTCAGTAAGTCATACAAAGATTCATTTATTCAAAAAATAAGTATTCTTTAAGAAAACCATATGAGTGGCTTAAAGGAATAAAGCAATACATAGCAGCAGCAAGTTGTTAACAATAAAAGCATTAATTTAGTTGAGGCAAAGCAGAATAATTAAAGCTAAACTAAAGATTCATTTAATCAAGGTGATTAGACTAAGGAGAAGAAGGTTGAAATTAACAATAATTAAAATTTTATGAATTACGATGACATTTAGATCAATAAAGAAGATGATGAGGATAAATATATCCTCATGGAGCTAATTGCGAAAAAAAATTCTTAGCTCATAGATTAACCATAAATTGCTGATTTATCTGCTATGAAGGAATCTAAAGTATCTCAAGGACGCGTTTTATCTAGATAAATTGAAAATAACTCAATAGCATCATAATAGACATAGAATACCAATAATAATAATTGTCAAGGATTTATTGATAACAACTAACCAGTTCTCCCTAGTCTTTCTTAGCTTGAAAGGCGTCGTTACATTAGCACAGAAATAGAACAACAATCTTCAAATATTTCTAGTAATAATTACATGGATACCTTGGCTGCCCAATATACTAACACAAAAAGTAGATATGCTGCAAGAGCTGCAGCTCTAGGATAAGGTAGTGTCCAAAGCAATAGCTAAACTTAAAACCAAGAATAAAGTGAAAAATAATAGCTTTAAATTGGACTTCAAGGGATTAATCAGTAAATTTAATTTAAAAATCCTCCTCCTAGAAGTTAAGTGTAATACTAATCAGGTCTTTCTTCCTCTCAAAGCCTAACTGTTTAGAGAGATTTTCACATATACTATTAAATTGGAAGCAGTAACAATACAGATAGCAGTAAATCATATGAAGACGATACTCTAATGATGAATTAAGATGCCAACGAAATGGTTAAAGTTCCTATTGATGAAATATAAGAAGATACAACTGTATAGGATGCAATCCAATCTGCTGTTTGTCAAATAAATAATTACTTCTCCATATAAAAGGCTAATTATAGACTCGAATATGATGATAGTCTATATGACATGTATCTTGCGAAAAAGAATGGAGAAAAAAAATCTCTCCCAGCTTTATACCCGCTTGAAAAAATGAAAAAATTTTCCAACTCTAACATGGTGCTTATCCCTAAAGATGGATCAGCATTAAAAAGACTTGTGCTTAACGGATCTCCTAAAAAATACAAAAGTAATATTATGTCAGATTAAAAAGCTCCTAATAGAGAAACTATTAAAGAGGAATCTTTTATTTCAAATAACCAATCTCCTACTAACTCATACATCTTCAATTAAACTAATCGTAACGGCTCTTAAAGTTAAAATAAAACTTCATCCTCTTTCACAGGTTATCCTCCATAAAATAATAATAATAACCCAAATACTCGCAAAAGTATGCAGTCTACAATTACTCAAAAATAAACAAAAATAGGTAATTAAGAAAGAGAAGGAGGTGATTCAGAAATAATTTCTTCTCCCTCTAAATGTTTTCCTTTCTTTTGTTGTATGAGAGGAAATGGATCATCTAGTAACAAACAAAGTAGCTCGTAATCAAATTCATCTAAAAAGCGCTCAACAATTGCAACTAGTTGAAATTCGATCTACTAATAAGCTTGCTTATAGCATGCTTGCCAATCAAACAATTAAAATTTCTTATATTTACAATGACTTATTTATTTATTTCTCGAATAAATTTAGTTGATTTCTAATCATAAATTTTTTACTCTAATTTTTACAAAACAATAAAAACAGAATATCAAATCGATGCTCAGAAAGATGATAATTTATCTAATTTGCTTTCAAACTTTGAAATGAATAAATAAAGAAAACCAAAATTTTACTTCTCAAGAGAAATTAATAAATTAAATCTAGTTACATCAAAAATTATCTTTTGTGAAAGACTTATTTTTTATTCCAAAAAATATTAAAAGTCTTGAAATCTAATAACATAAATAAATTATCACTTCCAATAGCAATCAAATAAATAAATAATAATTAAAACTATCAATCCTCAGTCTCAAACATCCTTATCTTTAATATATTTAAATAATTTACCAATTACTTTAGAATTTCGCACTTTACTTTTTCAGATAAAATAGATTATTTTTTTCACATCAGCTTACTTGAATATTTTCTATTGATTAAAATAGAACCAAATAGAATAAACTGAAGAAAATTTTATCTCACACATTAACAAATTTATTTATATATCAAAAGGTTAAAATAACCATTAAAATAATAAAACAAAATTATTTTACAATAACTATATTAATGCTATATATTAACTAATAAACTATATTAACTTATGAATAAAATTATTCTAATATATATATAGCTTTATTTACAAAAGAAATTAATTGATCAGTACTTTATAATAAATTAAAATTTATCAAATTTATTTTATATTTTTATATCATAAAAGTAAGAAATTTATATTCTCATTTTATATTTTAAAAATATTTCATTGAACTTTTTTATAAAACTTGTATTTTATCTTAATAGAAATTCCTCTATCTTTTTACTTACATATTTAATTTTATATTAAAATTGTAATAGAAGGTGTTAGACTTTATTAAACCTAGTTACTCTTTTCTAATTTTAAATCTATTAAAATGAGCATAAATTTTTTTACAAGCCAAAATAATATTTATAAAAACTGTTTGAGCCTTAATTCGAGTGATTACTTAACTTTTAAAAGGAAGATATTATCATAAATGTATTCAAAGAATAATTTAAAAATTAATTTTATTTGTCTGTTAATTTTATCATTTTTAAAGATATTTATATTATATTAATGTGTTGATATTATTCTAACATATTGTATCATTGTATGTTTGTGCAAAAAATAATAATATTTATATATTCTATTAAAGTTACTATCATAAATACCGTAGTGCTCTTCTATAAGGAGGGTCTAAAAATAACTTATTTTTAAATTTTACTCTCCTTTTTCCTCCTTATTCAAAAATCATCCTTATACTTAAATTATCCTAAAATACGAGTATATACGGTATTTTGTAAATTCAATATTTCTATATATTTGAAATAAAAATGAAATATTGATTATTTTAAAATGCAAAGTTAAATATTTATAATTAGTTTGTTTGATTTTTTATTTTAAAAATTAATAAAAACCTTCTTGATTTAATAAATGAAAAAAAATATATCTTTTTTAATAAACTATGATTATTGTTTTCTATTGATAATAAACCTAAAAAAATATTGCTATTATTTGATGTTATTCATAGATTTTTGAGAATATTAATTAAATTTGTTTTTATGTTGAATATTAATAAATAATTTATGATTAGTATACAATAAATATTTAATTTGTAAATTGTTAAATCTTTGAGTCTAATTCGAAGATTAATAAATGTAATTTACAAAAAATTCAAATAAATCTAAATATTTCTCAATAAAATATAAAATGACATTATTACAAATCTATTTAAAATAGAAACAAGCAACATTAAAATACTTAAAAAATTTTAGTAAAATTTAAATTAAATAAATCACCAAACACAACAGCAACATGCTGCAGTGCACCATCTGATACAATTGGTGCCCTTACAGTTGCATAATTCATCACTAGAATCGGATTTAGGAGGCTCAACATATTGTTGTTAGAACCCAGCAAAGTATTAGAAAATTTATTCTAAATCTGCATGATGTAATGAAAAATCGTCTATGAAGTTTTAGCTTAAATGCTAAACTAAGGTAAAAACTTAGGAGAAAACGAAATTACTTTCATGGATTTGATAAGTTAAGGTGTTAGGAATTCTTGAGTATAAGTTTTGACATTAGGGTAAAGATTGTACTATAAAAAGATGAGCGTTTTCAGGAATAGCATTTTGCTTAAGTTTTAAAGTTAGTCTATAACCTTTACCGAACCTCATAGATAGATGTTCAGGAGACCCCATACAAGCAAATTAACCATTAACCAAAATACCTTTTATTTTTTAATTTTAATTAATAGATTAAAACAAAAGTTATTTTACCTATTTTATTGCATAAAGATTCTGCTTCACCCATAGAATGAGTTGTCAAAACAATAGATGAATTTCTAATTTAAACATTTTGTTGCAGAGTTTACCATAAGAATCTTTTAGCAATAGGATCTAGTCCACTTGAAGGTTCATCAAAGAATTAAATAGTAGGACCACCGATTAAACTCATACAAACACTAAGCTTTCTTTTATTACCACCAGATAAATTCTTAGATTTCTTTAATACATGTTCTTCTAACTGCATAATTTAGAGATAGTAACTATTTAATATATAAATATTTTTTTTATTTATTTGATTATTCAATAAATATTTTACTCAATAACTTCTCTTCTATCAATGCCTGATAAACCTTTTAATGCAGCATATATTTCTAGATGATCTTTAGGAGTAAGATGGTCCCATAGGCAGTCAAATTAAGGACAAATACCTATTTGTGAAAATTGTATTAATATTTTAAACAATTAAAAAAATAAATTTTACCTGACTCACTCCAGACATCCTCATTTTATTAGCTAACTTTACCACCTTAAATGAAAGCCTATCCAGTAAATTCTTCATCCTTAGCAGTTAATATGTTAAAAGAAGTTGATTTACCAGCTCCATTAGGTCCTAATAAACCAAATATTTGTCTTCTTTCTACACCAAAACTAATAGAATTTATAGCAGTATACCCATTCTCATATGTTTTAGAAACTCTAACTTGTCTAATAGGATCTTAAGAAGCACAAACTCTAATATCTTCTTATCTAACATCTTCATCATTCAGTTAAGCTGGAGGAGCTGATACGTTATTTTTCTTTTTTCTACAAATGAATGAAAATATATCATAGTAATCAAGAACAACAGCTAATATTATTTAAATTATTGACAAGATGATTCCATAAACATAATATCCTCCTGTACTTTATCCTAACCAAAAGTTATTAGAGATGACGCTACCATCTTTATATAAAAATGTAATAAGCCCAGTAAATATTACTACACAAGGTGAAGATACCAAAGGGAATATTTAGAACAAAGACCATATATCTTACGTAGCAGTAGCCATGAACATTAATATAAACATAACCCAGAATATTACTAAGAACATAAACATAGGTAAACCAAGTACAGCTTCATAGAAAGTACTAAACATTCTACCATATAAAAAGCTTGATGCCATTGTTGCAAATGTTAATAAGAAAATCTAAATAATGAATTCAAACTCAGAGACATTATAGTAAGAGACTTTTGCATCTGAAATTAGATAAAATCCGTAGAATATTCCAGTAAAAAGTAAGGAAAGTAATATTTCTGAAAGTAAATTTCCTAACCAATAAGCTTTCATTTTGCATCCCATAACTCTTAAAGAATATTTTAAATTCTTTTCTCTTTCAAATATTGTCAAACCAACAAAATTCAAAGAATGGAATGATAAAGCTTATATTTTAATAAAAAAATATTAATTTCAAAAGAATTTGATTTTTAAATTAAAATCTTAGATAAATTGATCCAAAATATTTTTTTTATCAAATCTAATGTTAAATTATTTTAATCTAAATTTAACTTTTCAATAAAAAATAAAACTAAATATTACAAAAAATAACAAAGATAAGGAATAACTGAACTGCTCCATTAGCACCATTGTTGTTAACAAAGAGAATTCCCATCAAAGCAAATGAGAAAGGCATAGTTAAAGTAAATAAATTCACCCAATCAGAAATAAGATATTTAAATCTTCTTTTTATAATAGCATTGGTCTAAGTGAACAGATTGTAAGATGGCTTAAGATGAAGAGCTTGAGGCATTTAGATATGAGAAAAATCAGAGAATTTAATTTAATTTTCTTATCCATTATTAATAGATTTATTATGAAGATATTTTTCTTCGTCCATACCAATATTAACAAAAGCATCTTCTAAGCTATTCATTTGAAGATTTATCATCAAATTTTATTCTTTAAATTATTTAGAATCAATTATTGAAAATAAAATTAAAAAAATAATTACATTATTCAAGCTAAGCAAACAAATAACTATATCTATCTTAGGTTTCAAAAGGTAGTAAAACTCTGATAACGTTATCTTAGCTTTGAGGATCAATTTTAGCTTAGGGGATTTGTTAAAGGACAATTTATTTATAAAGTTCTTTATTTGCAATAAAGTGTTATTTAGATTCTTAATTATCTTAAGAATTTGTTAATTTTAGATAGTAACCAGTACCAAATTACTTTGTGATATATTCAACTGTACCTAATGCCAACAGTTAACCTTATGCCATAATACAGACCCTATCAGCAAGTGCTTCAGCCTCTTCCAAATGATGTGTAGTTAAAATTATAACTCTGCCATCATTCTTCACTTCTCTTAAAATATTCCAAATTTCAGATCTTGTAACAGGATCAACACCTATTCATTATTTTTAAAAGGTAAACAATAAACAAACAAAAATATTTTATTCGCTAATTGAACTTATTAAATAAAATTTTAAACTTTAATTAATTCTCTAAATAAAATAAATTTAAATAAGCTTTACCAGAGGTTGGTTCGTCTAAGAAAATCATTTTTGCTCTACCAATCAATGCTATTGCTAAACAAAGCTTTCTCTTGTTACCTCCTGAAAGATGAGCAGCAAATTTATGTCTTTCGTTATGCAATTAGCATTTTTAAATGATGTATTCTATATCTTACTATTTATGAGCCTCAGAGATTCCTATAATTTTAGATGATATGATTTACATTTTTTAAATTAATCAATATACCTTTAATATCTGCATAGTAACTTAGATGGTCTTCTACTGATAGCATGTTATACAAAATATTCTTTTAGCTACAAAGCCCTATAGATTTTCTAATTTGTTCAATATTATAATCTTAATCTAACCCATTCATAAAGATTTTTCCTTTAGATTTCTTTTGCATACCACAAAGTAAATTTATGGTTGTAGTTTTACCAGCACCTATTCAATAAATTCAAATCTATAAATATTTTATATTAAAAAAATATACCATTATGACCCAATAAACAGAAAATTTGCCCCTCATAAAGATTAAATGACACGTTATTTACAGCTGGATAATCAGCGAAATATTTAGTTAATCCTAAAACATTAACGCATTTTTTCAACCCATGAGTGTTTATAACTTGGTGATAAACTGCACTGCTTATATCATTACTATTTTATTCGTTTGGATTTAATGATACTCCTAATTCAATATCTTCTTGTTCTTAATAATCTGAATTATTATTTGTCTTTTTACATAAATTGAAAAGACATTAAAGGAAAAACCAGGGCTTTTTCTAAGTACCATAATCATTAGGCCATACTTAGTCAAAATAAAGGTAAATAATCAAATAGATTGCACCACTTACTGCAAGAGAACTTAAACCATAGCCATAAGTAAAGCTAAAGTCATTAAATTAACTAAAATTTAATAATCAAATAATAATTAATATATTTATTATATAAAAATAATTTTAAGGTAATAAAAATAAAAATATCTAATTTATTTTAGAATAGAAAATGTGATAAATTTAATACTCTGTATCAAGCAACCAACCTTTAGAGAAGAAAGTAAATGATATGCCTGCTTAGGGGAATAGAGAGATCAAGTATAAAAATACCTGATTAGTTCTAATGGAATCTTTATAAACAGCAAAGTAAGAAAAACAAAAGACGACATTAATAATAGAAATAATTTCTCCAGATAATTTTGAATTTGTGAAAAATGCTGACAAACAGTAGACTTAATTGACGAGCGAGAAGACAAAAATCAGATAAGCAATTATAACTTCATAAAAGTAGAGCTCTTCATATACTTTTGCAATCAAAGTAGGAATTAAGTATATAAATGATAATACAAGTGTAACTATTATGCTTGATAACCAATTTCCAGCCATATAGCTAAATGTACTCAAGCCCATAATTTTTTAGTTTTCTTTTTGCTACTCATTTTTTTCTGTGACAATTTCCATCATAACATATCTCACATACCCATTAACAGCTACTACTTGATATCTATGATATTATTTTATTTTAAAGAATAAAATTACATAAAAGCCAATCTTAAAAATAGCATAGAATTCAATAAAATATTATTTTAAATAAAAAAATTAAATATTAATCTTATTTAACTATCTCTACATGTATGATTAATCAACCATATTATATTAAATGTTTGTAAAGCTAATTTTAAATTGATAAAAATAAATTATTTACAGAGGCCAAAATATTTTGTAAGCAGAGAAATATTATCCACCATATTTGGAAATTATTGTAAAGATAACACATAGGACTGGAATGTAAAGAGATTAAACAAACATCTTTGTCCTAAAAAGAACTTTAAAGTTCTTTTTCATTACTATCAATATCTACATTTTTGACTTTTTGATGAACTTTTAGTCTTTAGATATTCAATTTTTTTAATTTATTATTTAACAATATTTTAATATCAAAATAAGTGCTATTACTTTTAAAGAATACAAATAAAAATCTTATCAACACTAGCTATCTTTCTTTAATATTTGCTATATCAAATATTGAAAAATCTTATTTTCACATAACAATTATTTGTCTGATCATACAATCAATAATAGTACTATTCGATTTTGATTTTGAATCATCATATGCAGAATTTATTAATATTCATAACACAAAACACAAAGTATAAATTAAAAATTATATTTTACTTTACCATCTGTTACTTAGCTTAAAATTAAATTATAAAAATACTTAAAATTTTTATATTGTTGTAATTTCACATAATATCTAACTTTGTTATGAAATAATTTATCTATTTTATTTACATCTACATTAAGCTTATTGAGTGTAGATCAATTTCTACTAAAAAATATCTCTAATTCCTAAATCTTGGCTGATAATTGCTATTATTCATATGTGTCTGATCATACAGCTGATCTCATTTTAAATATGAATCATAATATATCATAAATGTTGTTATTCATCCTAAGCCACTGATCATATTACTCAATTTATTTAAAATATTAACAAAATTTATCAGATCCTTCAATCTTACTTATTTTTAAAAGATAAAATTCCCATTTATTTTTGATTGATTTTTCATCTATATTAACGAATTAAAAAAAATTAGATTTTAAATATAAATTTATATTCAGCTAAAATTAGATTAAATCTTAAATAAAATTCGTTTTTTTCTTAAAATATTAAAAAAAATATATCAATTTATAAAGAGAGCACTAACCTCTCCTTTAATCATAGGTTTAGTTATACTATTTTAAATTAAGTCCCACTTTTTATACTAAATTAGTTGATCTTCAATACAAATTTACTTATGTGAATAATAATTTTAAAATATACTCTACATTCTTATTAATTGGTAAGTAAATATCAAAATAAAATTTTATTCATTTTTAGTTTTATTTTTAAATTTTATTAAAGTTTAAATAAATTTTTATGCATTTTTTTATTCGTAACATCAGTATAATAAAAAGTAGAAATATATTTTAGTGATCATATTTATTTTTATATTCATTATTTTTTATAGTATTTTTAAATATTATTATATTTAATTTAAAATAAATTTATAATTTAAATTGCTTACAAATTGATTTTGAATTAAATAAAGTTTGGTTTTATATTTAAATATCATTTATTTGTGAATATATTTTAAATTTTTTTTCTTTTTTAAAATAATATCAAAAACATCAGGATTAATCAATTTTTGATCATTTTTTTGATGCTGATCAGCTTTTTTTATTTAATATATTATTTATTTTTTTTCTATTTAATATATATAATTAATTAAAAAATTAATAATTACTAATAAATATGTCAAATATTTGCTTCTATTTAAATCAAGTAAAATCTATAATTAAATAAATGCTGATCTTATAAGAAAAAAAAATACAATTATTAAATAATTAACAAAATATTTATAAATGAAACAATTAATTATTTAAATAAGATTTTCGTAATCAATTTTATATACTCCATATTTTTATAATTAAAATATTTAATTATTTTATATGGAATACTTTTTAACATAATAAATTTCTAAAAAGCGTATCTAAAAAATAAAAAAACCCTTTCCGTTTTAAAATTGAAAGAAATATATTTCTAAACTGCTTTCTAACAAATTCTTTTTAAATCTCTTTTATAATTAGAATAAATAATAAAATTTATTTTTTATAGTAAATTATCTTTCCTCTTATTTGCATAAATTATTAATTAAATAATTATTCAGAAAAAACTAAATAATATTCTTCCTTTAAGAATTAATTTTATTTGGTTTACTAAGCATTTACATTTTATTATATTTAAATATTCATAATAATTTAATATAATGATAGCAACGTACCAATGCAATATTTAGTGGATTAGATTCCATTAAAAATTCAACTTGAATATTTAAAAAAATTAAAAATAAGTTTTTAAAAAATTTACAATAGATTTATTTATACAATTATTTATTTTAAAGTGAATTATTGAAGATAAGTCCAATAAATTAATTAACCAAGTAATTTTATGTTATTAAAATCTCCATATCCATTTCAAATAAATTCTACTTATTTCGTAACAGGATCTCAAATTTAAAATTATTTTATTTAGTAATAAAATTTAAATAAAAATATGATTATTAAAATGTATGTAATCAAGTTTATGTATAATATGAAATAATTATTTTATTTAATTAAATATAAATTGTGAAATCTATAATTATATTAATAATTTATTTTTATATTCATTATTTGTTTATTTTTTTTAATTGACAAAAAAATTTATTTAATGTAAACAAACAGACAAATAAAAACCCTAAAAATATTATTTTAATGTTTATAAATTGAATTTTAATAAATTATTATAATATTGTGATTTCAAGTTATCTACTCAAATGAAGAAACTTCCTGAATATTCTCAATAGTAATATGTGAATTTGAAAAATAAAAAGCTAAGACATATTCTTCATCTGAAAATTTAAATTAGCCATTTATAGCATTTATATTTTTCACCTCTGGATAATCATAATAATCAATATAATTATTTTCTAAGTCTATTCTCATCTCTATTTTTAGGCCTTATTAGCATATATAACTTAAGTTACTACCTTTAACAACTTAAATATTATAGCTTTCATCTTAAAATGCGATATAAAAATTATTAATATTTGTTTAAGTTACTCCATAAAATTCAACAACACTTTTCTTTATTACTCCAATATATAAATAATCTGCAATATTTTAATCAAATCTAAATCTGATTATGTATTTCTTTTCTTTTTAAAGAGGTAAATCAATATAATATTATGTTTCATAATCAGGGTTATTAGAAGATATTTTAATTTCTCCTTGGTCATTTACTTTGATTTCTTTCTAAGAATTATTTCCATAATCACTACTTGAAAGCTAAGGACATATCTTTGTTACTATTTAACTTAAATCAATATTGAATCCTCCAATAAATGATTTTGATATTTTTTTATTAGTTGAAATTTTAATATCTTCTAAATCTTTAAATACTTTTGCAAAAGAACTGAACTTTTAAATTGCATCATTCCAAATAAACTTATTCTTACTAAAAATTATGCTATTCTTCATTTTATTTAATTGTTCTTAAATATTTTGATTTTAGAATAAACTCAATGCATTTACAATAGTATTCTATAGTTCTGCTTGCATACCCTAAGGAGCAACATAAGACTCGATTTCACACTAAATTTTTTGTTTTAGATAATCTAATTTCTACCTAAAGTTGTCTATTTCATCAAAAATAGTATCAAGGTTATCGATATCAATTTTTTAGTTATTTAATTTTTCATTATATTTTTGTTCATTCAAAAATTTTGCTAACTTAATAAAATACTCTTCAATATCTATTTCTGACTTTTTAACACTTTTTTAATGTTCATCTTAATGGCACTTACCACATATTAATTGCATATATCTCTCTATACCACAGTGTTTATTTACGCATATCTTATCTGCTCTCCTTTTTAAGCAATTACCACAGAAAGGTGAATCGAATTTTTAAAGTAGTTCCTGAACATGGTTTTAAATGTTTTCATTTTCAATATTTATTAATATTTTTTCTTAAGTTTTTCTAAGATTTTTTAAATTTTTTAAGTCTTTAAGGCTCATTTTAACATGCTCTTTGGTGTCTTCTTATTCTGTATTTCTAGTAGAATTAGTTATTTTTGTTTAATTTTATGATTTAAACAATTTTTTTGATATGCTTTCTAGAGGAATTTCTTCTTCATAGGTTAATATCTCTTCACACTTGGAAGATTACCTTGATGATCTTTTATTCATTTATTTATTTATTTATTAAATATTAAAATAAGTGTTTATATTTTGTAGTTTTAAATTTATTATTTTCTGATAAATTATAGTTAAACTTAAACTACCGCGAAAAAAAATTTCATACTTGAATAAATTCAAAGAATTATTTTATACATTGTATTTATGATAATAAATAATATAAATAAGCATTATAACACCGTTATTGATACTAGAGATATATTTAATAAACATTTTATAAAATTTAAAAAATTCATTTTTTTTAAACCTAATGACATGAAAAAAAAATATGTCAACAAATAGAAACAATACTGATTGTAAAATATTTTGATAAAAATATCTTTAAAAATACTTACTAAAAACAAATAATATAAATTGATATTTTTGCAATAACATATTATCAATAGAAATATGGAGACGGTTTTTAAACTTAATAGAAGCATAGCAACGTTTTAAATTTGTAGTCTACCTGATCAAAATCTAAACTCCATGAATTTTTCAAAAATTATCTTAGATTTTCAAAATTTAATCTAATTTTTTTTATTAACCTAAACATTTATCTAAATTTCTTTTAATTAAATATTTACTAGTATACTCTACCAAAATTAAAATAGTATTTTACTCTACTATTTTTTCATTTAATTAAATAATAATTGTAAAATATTAGCAAAGAAAGAATAATTGAAAAAATTTATCAATAAAAATAATATTTAATAAAAACGAATATTTATTTTTTTTTTTTTAAATAAATTAAAAAAACAATTTAAAGGTATTTATTTATAAAAAAAATTTGAAAGTAATTATATAATAATAAAAATTTTATTTTAGCTAAGACACATAAAGAATTAAACTCATTTTAATTTTTAAAAAAAAGTATGATTGCTATTAAATATTTAATTTGATAAATAAATTAATTGTTTTATTTAATGAAAAAAATAAGAGTTAAAAAAAATAAAAATAAAAAAATAATGAATTAGTAAGCAAATTTATCAATTTATTTTTTTCTTATTTTATTAATTTAATCAAATATATTTTTGCTAGTATAATATGAATTTTTTTAATTAATATGAGCATACATTAATTTGTACCTTAAAAATAATAAATTTTTTTAAATTAGTAATAGATTCTTTCAAAAAATAAACAGAAAATTAGGCTGTAATACAGCCGTTGGAATCATATTAGAAAATATACATATATATGTATATATTATAAATTTGATAATATTTTGTAATATTTTTAAAAAAAGTTAGAAGTAAAAGCAAAAAGATTTAGAAAATTAGATGTTAAGTCATTTTTAAGCAAAAAAAAAAAAAATTTAAGGTTTTTAATTTTAATAATAATATTATTTGCTCATTAATACTAAGAGATTAATTTAACAAATATTTGCTAAAAAATAATTTAATATTTTGATTAGGTTTTAATTTTTTTATAAATTGTTTAATATCATGCACTTCCTCTCAATATGCTATTAATGCATTTCTTTTAATAAAGAATTACAAAATACTTACTGTGATTGATAAAGAAATGAGTAATGTTTCTTTATTGGTTAGCTATATTAGAAAAAGCTGATTTAACTTTTAAATTAATGGTAACATTCGAGAAATAATTTTATATTTTACAGTTGAATTATGTCTTTTTATTAATTGTATTAAGCTTTATTTATTTATTTATTTATTTTTTTCAACAAATATAATACAGCATATTTTGAAATCCTAGAAATCATTTCAAATAACCAATACTTCAATTTTATAGGTTTACCACAAGCCTTACTTTTTTTTATTTGTATATAAATGTCTCGTTTAACTCTATATCTTATCATCATAAAATACTATTTTTTTTTACTTGTGCTAAGCATATTAATGGGTTAAATATTAGTAAAATTAGTAATATCTAATTAATGTAACTAATGAATTTTTTTAAAAGTAAATTTGTTAAATCAAGTCTTAGTATTAATTATTTGTGTATTTTTTTATATGACATTATAATATCAAGAAATGAATAACAAACGGAATAGAACTGTGGCTAAATATTGTATTTATTTTAAGAAAAATACTTCTTACTAAATTCACAGTTTTTCTTTTTAATGTTTTATTTTTAAAGTGGTTATTTCATTTTAACAAAAAGTGAAATAACATTTATTTAAAAATTTATAATGCGATAACATTTCAATAACTTTTTCTTCTTCTCCAAGATCTAAAACGATGATACAATACCTTCATAAATAAAAAAAATATCTACAAATAAAACATAAATTACAATGCAAACCATCAAAGATTAAGAAGATAATAAAAAACAAAAGTATTTTAAAAAATGATAATTATAAAATCAAGAAAATAGTGATTCAGAATGATAAACAGAAGAAGAAGAATATCAAAATGTTAAATAGAAATAATCATAAAAAAAAAATATCTATAAAAAACCAATTATTTAAAGATGATAGCTTTTTTGATTAACAAATTATAGTGAATTTGTATGTTTCATTTTCGTTACTTTACAAAATTATTTAATTTTTATTAAAATATTACAAATATTATCAAATATTATGATGTATACATATATATATATGAAATATATATACTAATATATCATAATATATTTTAATATGCAATAATATATTATAAATATATATGTATATTTTTTAATATGATTCCAACAGCTGTATTATAACCGAAAATTAATAGTTTATAATAACTTGTAAGTTTAAACATGAAAATATTTTTAAGTCTAAATAATAACAATATAGAAAAAAAAATATTAGGTTATAGTGAAATAGGAGTCATGTAATCCACTTTTACAGTATTTTGTTTTCTTGAAGTTTTAAAAATATATATAATTGATATAAAAAGTTTATTTAATACATATAGATGAATAAAAACCCTAATAATAATATTTTAATATTTCTAATTTAAATTTTAATAAATTATTAGAATATTGTGAATTAATTCAACTTATCTCCTCTAGTGAAGAAACTTCCTAAATATTTTCAATAGTAATATGTAAATTTCCAAAATAAAAAGCTAAGACATATTCTTCATCTGAAAATTTAACTTAGTCGTTAAGAGCATTTATATTTTTCATCTCTGGATAATCATAATAATCAATAAAATTATTTTCTAAATCTATTCTCATCTCTATTTTTAAGCCTTATTAGCATATATAACTTAAGTTACTTCCTTTAATCACTTTAGTGTTATAGCTTTCATCTGAAAATCCAACATAAAAATTATTAATATCTACCTCAATTACACTTGAAGTTTCAACAAGACTTTTCTTCATAACTCCAAAATATAAATATTATTGAATAGCTAAATCAAATCTAAATCTGACAATGTATTTCTTTCCTTTTTAAAGAGGCAGATCTATATAATATTATGTGTTATAATTAGGGTTATTAGAAAGTATTTTAATTTCACCTTCTTCATTTACTTTGATTTCCTTCTAAAAATTATTTCCATAGCTACTGCCTGGAATATAGGGACATATCTTTATTACTATTTAACTTAAATCAATATTAAATCTTCCAATAAATGATTTTGATATTTTTTTATTAGTTGAAATTTTAATATCTTCTAAATCTTTAAATATTTTTGCAAAAGAACTGAACTTTTAAATTGCATCATTCCAAATAAACTTATTCTTACTAAAAATTATGCTATTCTTCATTTTATTTAATTGTTCTTAAATATTTTGATTTTTGAATAAACTCAATGCATTTACAATAGTATTCTATAGTTCTGCTTGCATACCCTAAGGAGCAACATAAGACTCGATTTCACACTAAATTTTTTGTTTTAGATAATCTAATTTCTACCTAAAGTTGTATATTTCATCAAAAATAGTATCAAGGTTATCGATATCAATTTTTTAGTTATTTAATTTTTCATTATATTTTTGTTCATTCAAAAATTTTGCTAACTTAATAAAATACTCTTCAATATCTATCTCAGACTTTTTAGAACTTTTCTAATGTTCATCTTAATGGCACTTACCGCATATTAATTGCATATATTTTTCTATACCACAGTGTTTATTTACGCATACCTTATCTGCTCTCCTTTTTAAGCAATTACCACAGAAAGGTGAATCGAATTTTTAAAGTAGTTCCTGAACATGGTTTTAAATGTTTTCATTTTCAATATTTATTAATATTTTTTCTTAAGTTATTCTAAGATTTTTAAAATTTTTTAAGTCTTTAAGGCTCATTTTAACATGCTCTTTGGTGTCTTTTTATTCTGTTTTTCTAGTAGAATTAGTTATTTTTGTTTAATTTTATGATTTAAACAATTTTTTTGATATGCTTTCTAGAGGAATTTCTTCTTCATATGTTAATTTCTCTTCACATTTGGAAGATTACCTGGATGATCTTTTATTCATTTATTTATTTATTAATTAAATATTAAAATAAGTATTTATATTTTGTAATTTTAAATTGATTTGTTTCTGATAAATTATAATGAAACTTAAACTACCGCGAAATAAAAATTTAATACTTAAATATTTTCAAAGAATTATTATATACATTGTATTTATGATTATAAATAATATAAATAAGCATAATAACACCATTATAATTGATATTATTAAAGATATTTCCAATAAACATTTTGTAAAATTAAAAAAATTCATTTTTATGAGCTTAATGACAATAAAAAAAGATAGAGAAACTAATAGAATAGATACTTTTTGCAATATATTTTGATAAAAATATCATTACAAATTCTTGCTTAAATTATTTGATATGAATTTATATTTTTGCAGTAACATATTCTCTATTGAAATAAGGAGACAGTTTTTAAACTTAATAGAAGCATATTAATATTTTAAATATGTAATCTACCTGATCAAAATCTAAACTAATTAATAAATACTCTCCTTTGTTTATTTTTATAAATTTTAATGGAATATATCCAATTTCAAAGTAGCCAATCTAAAATTTTGATACAAAAGATTATTTTTTTAAATTAATTCATAATTTATTTAACTTAACTTAATTATAAAAAAATTATTTTTAAATAGATTACCTTCAATTAACTAAGTACTTTTTTTCATTTAATTATATATTAATTTTAAAATATTAGCAAAAAAAGTATAATTTGAAATAATTCATCAATTAAAATAATAAATAATGAAAACGAATATATATTATTTTAAATTAAAAAAAACAATCTAAAGATAGTTATTTAATTTATAAAAAAAGTTTTAAATTAAATCTCTTAGAATATAATTTTACATTTTAATTAAGACCCACAAAAAATTGTGGTTGACTAAACAAATTTTTTGCTTTAATGAAAAAAAGATGATTGAAAGAAAAAATAAATATTAAAAAAATAATGAATTAAACTATTTATTTTTTCTTTAATTTTTCTTAATTTAATAAAATATATTTTTTAAGTATTAACATTTTTTTTTTACTAAATAGAGCGAAAATTAATTTGTGTCTTAAAAATAATAATTTTTTCATCATTTTTATGTGATTAAAATTTTTTAAATACCCTAAAAAATTGTAAAATTAAATTTAAATTCTCTCAACAATTAAAAATTTTAACAAAATATTATGAAATTAAAAAATCTAATTATTTAGCTTAATTATAATTTATACACTTATTTTTATTTTTAAGTTGTGTAACTTGCTATAAAATTTAAAAAAAACTATCAGCTTACTTAAAATTAATACTAAAAACTATTAAATTCTACCAAACGCTTAACCCAATAGCAAGACTTTAAACTTCTTCATCTCTAATTTTATTCTATTGTTCAAAATAAAAAAATTTTAAAAATAAAATATAAATGTTAAATTGAATTTTAGTTGAAAAATTATAATTTTTAAATGTATTTTTACATTATTTCTTATGTTGAAAGATAGCTTTTAAATTAACATATCCGTAATAAAAATATTGCTTTTAATTAAATTTAATTAAGATCATTTTACAACAACAAAAAATGAATATTTCTCTCTACAAATTTAAAAATGAAGAACTTAAAATATTTAATAGAAAATAAATTTCAATGATACTATTATTGTTAAAATATCTTAGAATAAAGAAAATTAAATTTAGATAAATATTATTTTAGACAATTTTTGTGGAATTAATTTATTTAAATAAATAATTGGTTTTTTTGTAAATTCAAAATATTTAAAATTCTAAAAATGATTGATTTAAGTTCAGTTTCTGATCGACATTTAAAGCAAATTATAATAAAAAAGATTTGTAAATTTCAAAAAAAGTATTGATACTATAAATAAGATTATTAATTAAAAGCGCGGGAGAAGAAATTATAAAAGTAGATTAGAAGATATAGAAAAATGCTACATTACAGAACAAAAGAGCAAAAGATAGATTTGCCACATAGTTTTTTAGAAGGCGCTTAAATATAGAAAATTTTATGCTTAGAGTTATAAAAAGTATGGATTCTGTTTACCTCTGGAGCATATTAAGTATGGAATTTAAATCACAAGACAAAATAATGTGAAGGTTAGATATCTGCATAATCTAAGAATCACACAATATTAAATGCCTTTAATATAGCCTACATAGATTTACTGGAGTCAAAGCTTAAAATTTTAGATCTACAAGCAAACCAAATTAACTAAAAAATCAATATGGATTTACCCACAATAACAGCAAGAAATGAGTAAAAGCCATCAGGAAGCGGAAGTGTTAACAATAACATTCCTTAACAAAACTAGCAAAAATTATAATTAATGGTAGAGGAAAACACTTAATTAATATCGCTACCACAGCAAAGTCTATTGATATTATGCGAGCAGCGCACAAATTTAAAGGGATAATTTGAATACATAATAACAGTTATTCAGCTAGAGATATTTCCATAGTTTTTTTCCTAATTCATTTATACTTCACAGCAACTTTGTTTAATCAAACCTCTCAATAAAAAGGATAGCCTTATTCTTTGGCCTAATCTTGTAGAAAATACTTAAATGTCCTTTTTAGTATGGAATGTCTTAAATAAAGAAAAAGGCTGTCTTTCTTTAAGTTTCAAGGAGCCTTTTTCGGGGTGTGCTGTAGATGCTACCTCATGGGGATCAAATAAAATTGCATTCTGGATAAATGGGAACACTTACTCCAAGCCTGAAATGAAAATTTTAAATATAAAAGATGGGCAAGAGTTCAAGGGTTTGATTGATTGCTATTCTCAAAATGGAGATAATGATTCTGCTTGGCTTTTGGCAGATGTTTACCATATTGATACAGAGAAGAATTTTGCTGTAATCTAAAAGATAGATGAAAACACAAGCAGCTTAGATATAATTTCACTAGGAAAGTTTAAATGCAGTCATTCAATACCTTATGATAGCAGTAGTTAATAAAATACACAATTTGCATTTAGTTAAGATAGCAAATATTTTATTTAATACACACAGTAGCTGTTTAACTCAGGAAATGACATTGAAATTATTGTGCATACATTTGAACCATTTATTGCAAACACTCGTATAAGAGCAATGTTTTTAATGGAAAAAACAGGCCTTCTTGCTTAATATGATGAACAAGTAATTAGAAAAGCTTTAAGCATGATATATCCAAAAAATAAAATTTGATAAATAAATCCTAATCTGCTAAAAAAGAGAACTCTTTCACAAAACCCAAGTACAAAAAAGCACCCTTTATTGTTTCACAGTTTTTAAAAAATAATATTTGAATTTAATTAAGCGCTTATTTATCTTTAATTTATATCATATTTATAAAGTCTACTAACATAAAAACTTTGATTTAAAAATACTAATTTTTTTTACTTTAAAAATTTCAATAGAACTATTTAAAATTTAGCTTACAGCTTGAATAATATAAAAAAATAAATTTTAAAATTTGTCAAAATTAAAAAAATACTGTTTTAGTGTAAAAATTTATAAAATTACACATAAATTGATTATAGAAGATAGTAATCATAAATCATATTTAATTTAAACATAATTTTTTTTAACTTTTTTAGTATTTTGAATTTATAAAATTTATGGTGAACTTAATTTTACTTACTAGCTGCATTTTTATAACATTTCTCTGTAACAAAAAATTATAATTTTAGACAATACTGGAAAAACAGCTTTTTAAAAATTTAATTACCCACAAATTAATCAATCAGTTATCTTATTAGATTTACACTGAATTTATTTTTAGGATGAATACACTTAAGATTGGAGAAAAAACAAACTACTAAAATTATGTTTGAAGAGAGAGAAAAACTCCATAAAAATAATTATTTTCTTTTAAATTTATTCTTAGTATTTCAAATTAAAAATATGGAAAAAGCTAATTTTAATTAATAAAATTTTGTATTTTTTATAAATAAAATGATCAATAATATTTTGCAATTAGAAAATAAAGAAAATGAAGACTTTTCAAAGTAATAAATTTTTTATTTTAATGAGATGATACTATTTAATGGTGAATTTTAATTAAGCGTAATTAACCAAGAATGCTAATATTGGGTTGGCCATAAAGAGATGGATAAATAGTTTTAAGAAATGAAAAGACTTGAGATAAATACTACAAATATCAGTGATCAATATTTATTGATTAAAAAATATAAAATTTATCCTAAAAAATTGAATTACATTAGAAGAGATAATTAAATGTAGTAACTAGGGTTTATTTCCTCAATCAACCAGCTATTTTTATTATAATTTTCTTATCTTAAAACAAGGCCAGTCTCTTTTTTTTATATTTTGCAAGGAAGTTCACAAATATTTGTTTAAAATCTAAATTATTTGTTAATTAAAAATATTGTTAATTAATTAATTAGATTGTTTTTCAATTTTTTTTTACTTTTGAATACTGTTTTTTCCTTTCTGTATTTCTTCGTAGAATAAACAAAAATTGATTATGTTTATTTTCTTTAATCTTTTTGTTATTCTTACTCATTTTTTTGATTTTTGCATTTAAAAAATTATTCAAATAAGTAAGAATCAAACAGAACAAATTCTTTAAAAATTTAAAAGTTAATAAAACTTAAATCCTAGATTTCATATTGTTATATTAACAAATTCCTATACTTAAGATATCTAAATATAATTTAAAATTTCAAAAATATTTTTAATAAATCTATATTTCAAACAAATACTTTAAATTATTTGCTTTAAAAATAAATAAAGTTGATTTACTTAATTTTTCTTTTTGGTTGGTAAAAAAGCAAAACAAAGTATGAGATAGTTCGAATCAATTATTAAATTCAGAAAAGAAAAAAATTGAAAAATCTAGTATAAAAATCAATTGATAAAGAGCTGTTTAATGCAAAGTGTTAAAAAATTAATAAAAAAAATGAAAAATAATTTAAATAAACTATGTTTAGGTAAGTATGATAGTATTTAAATCCCTGAAAATAGAAGAGAAATTTCTGTAAAACAAAATAAATAAAATCAATAACATTTTGCTCTAATCTTTAGAATAAAGAGAGGAGAGATATAGAGTGAGTATTTGCATCGGGTGGGCTTAAAAGCAAGTTAATTATTAAAAAATTAAACAAGCTAGTAAGTAAGTGAAAACGATAGATAGATAGATTGATCAATCAATATAATATGTGTGCACTTGATTGAAAGTGCACTGTTAATCAAAAAATTAAATTAATCAATATATCATAAATAAATTGATATACAGAGATATTAAATAAGTTATCAAGTAAAAAAAAAAAAAATCAAAGAAACTAGCTAACAAATAAATAAATAAGAATAAGATTGAACAATATTAAATAAAAGCGCATAAAAATAAACAAAGAAGAAAAAACTGAAATTCTATTTTTAAAAGCCAAAAGCAAAGTAAGTTTAGGAAAGCTAGAAGAAGCATTAAATAGAGCAAGCAAACAAGTATTTACCAGTTTTATTAAAAATTTTGCATTTAATGGGGACAATTATGAAAAGATTTTGGATTAAATGAAAATCTTAAGAATTTAGTTATAATGAAAAATATTAAAATAAAGTCGCCCAAATATAAATTTTGTAATTACGTCTGTAAAATAAAATTTATGTATTGTGATAGAATAGGTTGAAGGAGGCAATAAAAATGGAACAAATATTAAGCTAAAACTCTGTCAGCCAAAATCACCCAGATAGCAATGAGATAATTGATGAAGAAATTGAAGGTATATATTTTAATTATACAAAGCAATATATCTATTTATCTATCTATCAATTTATCTTTGGAATTATTAGTCTTTTCTGATGCTTTTTTTTGTGGTTCTTCTTTTCAATTAATTTTCTTCTTTTGTTTTGGTTTTAAATAAATAAAGAAAGCACTGTAAAATTAATTAATTAATAGGCTCTATATATTTTACTTAAGAAAATTTGAATAATCATTCATTCAAGCAATTGCTATTATACTGACCAATCAGTTCAATTTATAGATAAATAGAGATATATATTAAAAGTGCAAAACTACTCATTCAATAAATACTATTATATAATTTATAAATTGTTTTTTTAATTACTAATAGAACGTAAGCAAATTACAGAGTAGGCAAAAAAAGTTTTTGATGAATTTGCTCTTGAGTTGAAGGAAAAAGTCAACGAAGCAGTCGATTTAGAATCTTTTAAAGATTAGTTCAAATTCAAAACAAAGTTAAAGCAAATCACTTTTGAAGAAATAAAGTTAACATGGGAAAGAGTTTAAAACAAGTAAATTCTCATATTTTAGATTTAATTCACTTATTGATATGCAACATCTAGGTTTTTAACTTGTTCAAAGCTCAAATTTCGCAACTATAATATTTGTTTATTTATTCATCCACTAAACCTAGCTTACTCATTCTTAAGTGCAATAAAATACACTTGTGTATCAAAAGAAAATACAAATAATATCAAATATTTTTATGCTATCTTAATTTGAATACATGAAAATAGACTTCTTGAACGAAGAACGCACTTTTGTTTACAAATTTTTAAAAAAATATTCATTTTAATAGGCTACTTTCCTCCAAATCGCCAAGAAAGAATTGGTCAGAAGATGAAGTTAATATTATGATTTGGCTTGTTATCAAATATGCTGACTTCTATTCAAAGGATATTGAAGAAATAGTAATTTTGTATTTTTATTTATGCACCATATAAATACGCACTGATTTAGCATATTATTCACTTAAACCATTTACAAAGTTCAAGTTATTTACAATTTAAGGCACAATTATTTAGTTGAAAAAATATGAAAAATCAAGCAATAAGTTAAAATACATAGAAAGTATTTGAAATAGGTTTTAAGATAAATAAAATAATTCAAGTCAAAGGTTTTGCAAACAATAAAAAGTATCAAAATTAATTGAATACAAAAAATGCACTTAGGTAATTTATAATAAATAGGACAGGGAGAATAAATGAGAGAATTTGTTTTCTATTTTAATACAATAATCAAACAACATCGAAATAAATATGTTTTCTGCTCTCACAAAATTATACTTCTTTATTTATTATTTTTCTCTCTGGAGATTATCCAGTAATTTGTTATAAAATTTATACTGAATTAAAAAATTCTGATCTCTGAAAACAAGCATTATACAAGTTATAAAAAGTAAATAGTTTTTAAAAATATTGGCAGACTGGATTTAATAAATATAGTCTCTGATATTTATTTAGTAATTCCTCAGAGGAAATTTTTCAAATTAAGTATGAACTAGCTCTTTATATGAATTTGAACTGATTAAGATAAATAGTTAAGATATTTGCAATTACTGTGAAAAATTGAACAGTAAATTATTTTTTGAGCAAAAAATAAGTAAGTAAATAAATAAATAGGTGTATAAAATTACCTAGCCAAATAATTTGAAATATGTAATCAATAAAAATTAGATTTCTTAGGCAAATATTGACACAAGTTTAGTGTTTAGATATGACTAAAATAGCATAGGTTTATTAAAGAAAATTTATTTAAGTAGTTTTAAAATTTTGAAAAAGACTGACTACTTTTAAAAAATTTGATAATTTACTTAGAATTCATAAGAATATAATTACTCTGTATTTTAAATGGATTCTCTTTTAAATTTATTATTTTATCTAATGTTTATTTATATTATTATAAGTGAATATGCATTCTCAGTAATTTTTTATATGGTGGGCAAAGCATAATTTTAAATGTTTTATTATTATAAATTTACTCATTTTTTGAATTAAATTAACAAAAGGAAGATGAATGTTTTGATAATTTAGCAAAGATGATCCCGTTCAAGGATGGAGTCACGTTTAAACATAAATGGCTGCAAATGAAGCAAATTAATTTATCATAAATACCGTGGACTAAAGAAGAAGATGACCTTCTTACTCAGATATATTTAGATTTTAAAAAATAAGATAAATAAAATAAATGGAGCGATATAAGCAAAGTATTGGAAAATAAAACAAAAATATTTAGGAGAGGAAAGTAATGTAGAGAAAGATGGAATAACTATTTAGATCCTGATATGAATAGGTAATAAATATATCATTGAAAAATAATTCTTTCAATTAAAAAAGCACACTATAAAAATATTTTATGAGAGGGTTACAACTTAAAGCAAAAAAGCTTACGAATTTTAAATCATTTTTGCTATTTCTAAAAACAAATCTTGTATGTGGAATGTGCGCTTGAAAAAATTTTTATTTTAAAAAATTAGAGGTAATTGGTCTGACGAAGAAGACTATAAATTACTCAGTATCGCTTTAGAAATAGGGAGTAATTGATTGTTTTTTGTTATTATCATAAATTATTTCTGATTCAACCTTTAGATATTTATCTATACACAATTTGAAATTTGAGAGTGTAAGCAAAGAATACAAGATTAAAAAAATAAGAAAAAAAGCTAAGTAGTTAATTATTAAAGGTAGCATTATTTTAAGTAGGAATTAAAAATCTTGTAAACAAATTAGGTATTAAGGTGTTAAAAATAGCCAAATATAATTAATTTAGTGTGTTATATAACCTTAGACAAAATACTTCCAATTTTGCAGCTATTACACGATTTTTAACTTACACTCACAATATTTCTATTTCATTTATACTGCGTTTATTTTTCATAAATTTATTTTCTATCTTTAAAAGGCACTTAATGGTCAAGCTTAGCCAAGAGACTTAGTAAAAGAACAGAAAATGCAGTTAAAAATAGATTCAAAAGTCTCATGAAGAAGGAAAGAAAGGAAAGGATTAAAAACGGTCAAGATGTTAAAAGCGCAGAATCCCTAACGGAACACATTGACAAAGAAATTTTAACACAAATACTTGAAAAGCTAAAGCAAAAAATAGCTATGAAGAATTTACAGTAATAATAAGAAAACAATCAAATTAATGCCACTAATCCAGCTCTATTCTAATTATATTTCAACCCTCAATAAAATTATTCTCAGCTTTCAGCAGCCGCAGCAGCTGCTTTTTTGACTCAACCATAGTAATAGCAATTGAATTTTTAGATGCTTAATGCACATCACTCTTCAAATACTCCTTATTCCTCCCCTGATCATTCACCTTAGCGCTTAATGGCATAGAAGGTATTTTAATATTTATTTAATCTGAACTAATATTTTTTTAATTCGGCTATGAGAATAAATATCTTTCGATTAATAGGTTTAGTAGCAGCAAATGGGAGTGAAGACAAAAGAAGAAGAATTCCCCAATTAATTGAATTTTACTAATGGATTAAACTCCTTTTCTTAAGCATAGCAAGCATATTAATAATTTTAGCAGTAATAGACTACTCCTTAGGCAAATTAAGGAGCAATGACCGAGTAATAAATATAGCAACAAAACTAGGCTTTGCAATAATAATTGCAAAACCTAAATTTAAATGCAGCTATGAGTCCTATGAATCATAATCTTCTTAAAAACTAGTTAATTTAATAGTAAATGTTTTAATAGCAAGCTCAAGTAGCCGCTGCTGCTTAATAGTAACAATAAACACAAGCAGGTAATCCTCCTCTTCCTTAACTTGCATCTTTACCAGGTGGACCAAATACTCCTAATTTAGCTTCATTGATGCAAAGTCTTTAAAACTAAGCTATGTAGAATCATACTAATCTAGTACAGTCACCTTAATTTATAAAATAGGTTGTTCCTAATAACAATCAAATCAATCAGCAATTCCTTAATTAAGTCAATTCTAGTAATTTAATAGATTAATCATTTTTAATTTTGTTCTACAATTTAAATATTAATAATAGATCGTTCACTAAATGGAGCATCCGTACCAGCTAGCTTTTCAGATGCATTAAATATCTACAGCACAGGTAATACACCTTAAAATGGCAATTAACTCAATAATGCTCTCGCACAAGCCTAGTCGAACGGACTTCTTGGAGCTTAAAATACTCCATTTATCTAATTAGCCAATCCAACCACACTTTTTACAAATTAAATTTCTGGACTATCTCCAACAGCTCGTTTGCAGCTACACTAACTCAACTAAAACACGGGAGGAGAATACACACCTTAATAAAAAAATTTAATACCTGGACTTTCTACATTAAATCCTAGCTTCAGCTGTGGTAATACACCTCAATCTAACAGAAATAAAAGATCAGATAAACCAACTTTATTTTCTGACTTTGAAAAATTTTAGAAAATACGTATCTCAGAGAATGAAGAGCTAGAACAATAAGATTAAAAAAGCAATGAAAAATCTAATTGTAACTTAATTTATTTATTTTTACATTAATTTTATGTGAATTTTTTAATAAAATAACAGAAAAGAAGGCATAAAAAATTTTCATGAATCCTAAGATTGAGGAAGAGGAAGAAGAAGAACACTAAATTATTTGCGAAAAAAATGAAAAACCTTCTGAAGCTTAATAAAAAATAATATCTAAGCAAGAAGTAGAGTAAGATAACCATGAAAATTATGCTGACTCACCAATTATTTCTTAAAACAATCTAATACGTGCTAACGAAGATTAAGATTCTGACAGTAACACAGAAGCTGGAAGAATGAAGCGTTAAATGCTTAACCTCTAAGTAAGCTAAAATAGTAGTTTTAATAAATTTCGCAAAGACGAATACGGAAATTCTATCATTAAACCATAAAAACTTCCTATCTCACCAAGCAGTGCGTTCTAATTAGAAGAAGACTCAAAGTCTTCTCCCCAGAAAACAGCTGTAAATGGAAACTCAAAGCCTTAAAATCCTACAATTAATATAAATTTAACACATAGTCCACAATTACAAAACAATATCAATACAATAAATATGGCCAGTCTCAACAACCTTGGATCATTAAACGATATAACTATTACTCCTCATATTCCTATCAGCTAAAACTAATTCAGCAACCATTAACTATCCTTCTAGCAACTAGACTTTTTGACAAAGTAAATAGACTTTAACATTATTTAAATTATTTAAGCAATATTTTATATAATTAAAATAGCCAACAAAATCAAAATAAACAGTTTTAAGCAATCTATTCTCCTTCTCATTAAAAATAAAATTAAGTACCTCCTTTGAATTTCTCAATTTATAGCTAGATGAATTCCGTTTCCCCTTCTAACTCAATAAATATTTAATTACAGAAGTAACTTCAACAACAATAGTAATAAAATTAGCAATAAAACAACATATTATAAAATGGAATTAACTCACTAAACTTATAACTTAATTAAGGTGATATTAAAAATTAATCTTTAATGAACCTTTTCAGTAGCAATAATAGTAATGGTGGTAGCAGCAACAACTTTTTATGTTAATCAGAAAAGAAAGAACCAGAAAATTAAAATGAACTTTTAGTAATTTAAAATATCTTACCAAACCTATCTCTATAGCAAATAGAATTGCTTTCATAACAGCTACAATAATAATAAATAGCTAAAAAAAGTTAGTAAGAATAGTAATAATAATAATAATTATTTCAATAGCAAATGTAATAAAATACTTAAATATAAAAACTTCTCAACCAACAGCACCTCAATAATAATGGAGCAAGTGAGGGCATTCGCATAGATCTAACATAAGTAAACTTGAATTAATTTTGATATAACAAAAATTGCTTACTTGCTTGCTTGCTATTTTAAATAATTTTTAGTTAAAAAACTCTCGCTATTTTAATGAAAATTAAACAATTAACTTGAAATATTCATACACTGTTTACAATAAGTAATAAAATAATAATATTGTACCAATCAATCATATAATTTAAAACTTAACTCAATTTTAACAATAAAAAATTAATCTTCTTACTTTATATTCTCTAACTAAAATAGTATATCCTTTTGTCATTATTAATAATCATATCTATTCTTTTTGCCAACTATACAAATCATTTATATATATATTATTATTTTTTTAATTAATCTTATTATAAATATTTTTACATTTTTTCATACTTAAACGATAATATTAGATCAATAAAAATTATCTTTATTTTTATCATCTTTATTTTTGGTAAATATTTTTATTATTTAATTTTTGATAATTTTGTTAAAAAATTATTTGCATATGCTATTTCAAGAAAAATGAACAATCAATAAAAATAAGTTTGATAATAGATCTTATTTTCATTTTAATTTTAAAATTATAATGCATTTATGTTTCATATTTATTATGAAGTTTAATTTAAAGCTTTATTTTGATTAATTTAAAAATAATTTTAGAAGGTTTTGGTTTTTTTTTTTTGAATTATTTGTTAGTTTTTCTTTCTAGACATTAAAAATAATAAATAATAAATTTGAGGGTTATTTATTATATAGTTAATTTTGTTAAGTAATTAAATTACGAAGAGTTTTAAGTCAATAGTATCTTAGAAGAATTAAAAGTGAAGTTATTGTTAATTTGAAATAAATTGTCAATAAGATTTTTTGTTTAATAGTAAAAATAAATATTAGATCTTAAGTGTAATATTAGATTCTAAAAAAGTAATTGTAAATATTAAAATCAAGAGATGTCAGCGAATTGGTTAGAGTAAACAAGAAGTGTTTTAGAAAACATTGAACTTCTTGATCAGACTGTTTTGGATTTCATGTTTGATAAACTTGAAAATCCTAAAGATTAGGTGATCATTGATAATAAATTAAAAAATTTGATTGAAATGAAGTAAAGTAAATGCATGGATGCTTTAATATTACTATAAGATTTTGATGGCGTTAAGAAAGAAGAAATGGCTATCCTTGAAGGCAAAAAGAGTGTTAGTGCTGGTACAAGATAGCCTGATATTTGGTATAATTTCTAATAGCGCTTAAAGGATATTAAGGAATATTATAAAAAGCATTAGAATCAAAATATTTAAGTAATCGATAAGGAATTCTTGAAAAAAAATGTATTCAGTCCTCCTTATTCTGAACCTTTATTTTCTACTGATGAATAATAAGGAAAATATGTTGATATGAATGTGCTTTATTATGAATTTTTAAGTTTTGATTTAAAGAAAAAGAAAAAAGTTAGACTTTCTGAAGATTACCACATTGGTGATTATTTGTGGTACTTAGAAAAGTTTGATGCCTTCCACGAAATTCCTCTTGCTCTTAAATAAAAAGAATATTCAAGTTATAAGTAATACTTATAGAACCTTATTAATTACTTGAAGGAATTCTTTTTAAAAACTCAACCTTTGACTGAGTTTTCCATTATTGATAGATAAATTCAGTAGGACTTCGAATATCGCTGGAAAGAAGGATCTATTCCAGGCTGGACAAATTCAGGATATGAAGATGTTATTGATTATTCAAGCAATGAACTTTTCTGCAAAGCATGTAAGAAGTTATTCTCCAACAGTAGTATTTTCGCCCATCACTTAGAAGGTAAGAAACATAAAATGGCTCAAAAAAATCTTGAAAAAGAAGAAGAAAAAATGTCTAAATTAGAAGGAGCTCCTGAAAAAACTGATATGGGATAGGATGATTAAGATTAGTAAACTACAGGAGAAATTAACATGAAGGATGAGTAAAAGAAAAAATAATTAGCTCATTTAGAATAATATATTATAGGCTTGAAAAAATAATTAGGTGAGGTAATTAATGAAACTATCCTCTATGTTAAAAAGAAGCAAACAAGGTAAAGATCATTTATTTTAATTAAAAGATGTATTTTAAATTTATTTTTAAAAAAGAACATATTAAGAAATTGAAGCAGAAAACCAATAAGAAAAGGATGCTGAACCCTAGAGTGATAGTGAAGATGATGACATTCCATACAATCCTAAGAATGTGCCTTTGGGCCCTGATGGAAAGCCTATTCCATATTGGTTGTACAAGCTTCACTAGCTAGGTATTGAGTACAAATGTGAAATATGTGGTAACTACAGTTACTGGGGAAGAAGAGCTTTTGAAAAGCATTTCTCAGAATGGAGACACAGTTATGGTATGAAGTGCTTAAAAATACCCAATACTATTCACTTCAAGGAAATTACATCTATCAAGGATGCTCTCGCTCTTCACCATAAACTTTCTATGGAAAGCGAATATTCTTAATTCAACATTGATCAAGAAGAAGAATATGAAGATTCTGATGGAAATATACTTAACAAAAAGACTTATAATGATCTTAAAAAGCAAGGATTGTTGTGATTTATTTTATTGTAAAATAGTTTTTAAGTATTCATCTCTTGTAAATTTTAACTTCATTAAGAAAAAAATGACCACTTATTATGTTAAAAATTCACTTCAATTTAATATATTTAATAATATATTTTTATCGTATAGAAACAAAATTTAAATATTTCATCAAGATTTAAATCGAAAGGTACATTAGTTAAATAACTAATCATATTTTCTTTAACAATGTAAAAAGGATATAAATATCTAATTTTAGTGATACCAAATTTATATATATTTTCTTTACAATATTTTATATTTTGTTTATTATTATTTAATGATAACCATTGATAAATATTCAAAAATTACGGATTTAGCTTTAAGAGGCTTCTTAAACGGCTTTACTAGCCTACTGGTTAACTTAATAGAAAATATTACCTATATTTGCAACAGTATCCATTGAGTGATCAACAAGTAATCCTGCCTATTGTCCATATTTTGCATTTACAACAGAAGTTGTAGTAGATTAAAATCCTCTAGCTATTGTTGCTAATGATTCAAATAATCCATCATAAATTGAAGCTACAGCATTAATAGTGCCTTTAGTTACATTTCTAATATCTGCATAATTTTTATGTTATTATATTTATTATCCAGTTTATGACTGTGCTACTTATGAGAATATTTCTTATCCAATACTTTTAGCATTATCCAAAATATATTCTAATTATTATTATGTATATGTTAAAATGTAATCAGATGTAGCATGGGCCATTTGAACTTTTTAAAGAGTTTATGGATCGATTTCCTTTACTTCAGGCTTAGAAAATGTAGATTTTATAAGTCTTCCACCTATCTTTATTCCATATGCTATTGCATTTCCTCCTAGGATTATTCCAGTTCTAATCATATCACCACCTATTAATGTACAAAAAATATATTAATACCATAAAAATAATTAAAATCTCTGATCAAAAAATGTAAAATATTAAGATACCTTTCTACAAATAACCCTAAATCCATTTAGAAGTCGAAAGTGGTTGCTATTGTTATTATTAATAGTCTTAATTGATGTTGTTGATGTTTTAATTTTCTTCTTAAGGAGTAGCAATTACAAAATCACTACATTATGTAAAAATGCTTTCCAAGATCTATTCTTAATCTTATGTGGTATAAGGTCCCAAAACTAAACCGAAATTTCCTTAGTTAGATGGAAATGCATACATTTTTTTATTGCATGACTCTAAAAACATAACAGGAAGATCTTAAGAAAGACTATATTACCATTAGCCTAGTTTTAAAACAACTAGATTGTATTATCTCAATACATAAATAGCTAAAGGGGCTTAGTCAATAATAGAAAGTGAGTTATTTTAAATATTATATAAAATACTATCAGCAATTTCAAAAACAAGTTCCATACGATATTCCATTTCCTAAATATGATTTTTGTTTTTTAGTAGAAATTATGAATTTTTTATATTTGTATTCGTCTCAGATTAATATTGTCTTTAGAATATCTAATCTATCTTTTAATTTATCAAATATAGGTTTAGTTGGAATATATCAGTAATTTTTCATGATATCATCAAAACATTACATTAATTGCATCTTATACACTATCACATCATTTTATATCTAAAATAATTATTTATGAAGTTATATATCTTAATATTTTTAAAATTTTAAATAAAATCTCGAAAACATTTTAATTCAAATTATTAAATTTAAAGAAATTTTTTTAAAATATTTTTGAGATTCATTAATCAGTAATTGATCATACATTTTTAATTTTATTAATAATTTGAAGAGTAATAAATTACTATTAAAAAATGCATATATTAAAATTTTTATCAGATTATCATTAAATCTTCAATTTAATACTTTGAAATAATTGATGTTTCTTAAGATTTTAAACAAATTACTTAATTATCAATAAAAACATTAAAAATACTTTATTTTCTAATATTTAAAATTTTTGTGATTTAATAGTGTATTATAAAATTATTTTTTTAACCAAACAAAAATTGCAAATATTTCTTTTTTTTATCATTAAAAATAATTAATTTACTGAAATAAAAATTTTTGAAATGACTTTTCCTAATTAGTCCGTTATAAAGATTTTATATAATAAAACAAATATTTATTGAATGATATGTTATATATTTTAGTAATATTTATTGCTTTTAGAAGAGATTAGCAGCTTTCATAAAGCAAACTGACAGATTGATCAACTTGTGAATTTTTAAAGAGATCTATTTCTGCTCATGATTGGATGACTGTCAATACGTTTGATTCTTTCTTTATATACTTCTAAAAGGAATTTATAATCTATAAGTCCATTTCTTTCAGCAAATTTAAGTATTATTGGCCAAGATTCTTCTTTAAGAGACTATCCACTGTTTCTAAGCATCTAACCAATGATAGCTTTAGCTCTTTCGAATGTAATTGGTATATTTCTTTATTAGAGGGAACCAAACATGTCTAAAAGGAATCTACGATTCTTTCCGATAGAAATAATGATCTTATCGAATTCTTTAGTTTTACCCCATTCACCTAAAATTTAATTGAAGTGATTATCTTAAACTGGCTTTGATTCTGGTTATCTCTCTACTTCGTCAAAGAACTTATTCATAGTGCCATATTTCTCCTTGTCTGAAATCTAATGAATCTTTTCATTCTTAACTGTCAATGGATAGTTACTGCTAATATATTCTAGGTTAAATTTATTGTGGGGAAGCTCATTTAAAGTAGATTTGTTGAATGATGTTTGAGGACGCTTTTGGAGATTATAAACAGTTGCTTTTGATAAAGGTTGCTTGTTGATAGAAGCCTAAGGGACATATTCAAATTTGTTAAATATATCCATCCACTCAGCTTAATCAATGACTCCATCTTTCTTTGAGTCAATATACTCAAATAGATCCTTAATGATTGAATAAGGAAGCATGTCATGTCCAGAGAGTTATGATAATTTACCAATAAATTGAGAGAACTAATCAAAGTCTAAATAGCCATTTGAGTCTACATCGAACTATTAAACAACAAACAAGCTTTAATAAAATATAAAATAATTTTTAAAAGATTTACCATTCTAAATGCATCCTTAGGAGATAGAAGGAAAGTATAGACTTGGTTTGTTATTTCTCTTAATTTAAGAATTGATCTTTAAACGATTTTCTTATCACTCTCGCTGGTATTAAAAGTTATAATTTAATTTAAAATCTTAAAATAAAAAGTATTTTAAACCTAAAATCGATGAATTTGAGGAATTATTTGATGTTGACTCTTCCATCTATTTCACAAATGTTCAAGAGCAAGTCAACTTCATTTTAGGCTAAACCTAAGTTGAGAGTTTTTATGGCATTTCTAAATTCTAAGTTAGTAATATATCCAATATTATTAACATCGAGCTATTCAAGAACTTTTTTCACTGATTTTATGGTAGGTCTAAGAAGTCTACGAATCTTAGAGAGCAATTTTTCTTCAAAAACATCATCTTCATTACCATCAACGATACTGCTGGTTCCGAAGGGATTTTGAGAGTTTCCATTTAACTAGCTGGCTCCATAAATGTTATTCCATGAAGTTGATTTACTCAAACTGCTCCTTTTATTCGGTTTTATAAAAAATTTAAATAGATGTTAAATTGGATAAATTCTTACAATGGTCCAGCTGTTTTTGGCCTCATATTTTCTTGGTCATACTCAATAGTTCTTTCATAGTGAGGGATGTATTTCTAGAAGGCTATCTTAAACCTGTGGAAATCAACTTAAGGTTGACCGCTTGATACATACACCCATAAATCTTTCAAATCAGAATCAATAAATCTTTTGGGAAGAATAGAATTTATAGCTTTATTGAAATCTGCTTATTCAATAATCTTATTTTAGTTTCCTTAACAGAAAAATTCAAAGGCCTTTTCAATTGATTTAAAGTTTTACTTTACATACTCTTTAATTTCCTCATGCATTTAATGTTCCCAGTCAAATCCACCTGAATTATAAATAAAACATAAATTTTTAATCAGATTAATTATATTCAATAAAATAAATTTACCAAAAGCAATCTCCCAATCGCTTTCAGAAAGATATCCCTTATTGTGAGAATCTAAGTCAGAGAATAGCTCTTGCATAAGACTTTCAGTTAGATCGAATCCTCTAAGAGCATCAGTGTCTTGAACCCATTTTTTAAAGTGAGAGAATAGCAACTTCTTTCTATATCCACTTATAACTGTATGAAAATAATAAATAAATTATTAATTAATTAAAATTTAAAAATCATACCATCGAAGCTGTGGCTTAATGTAGAGAATCTTCTAGTCAAAACTAAACCAAGCTATTATCTTGCATTAATTTTCCAATCAAAAGAAGAAATATTATCAATTTTCTTTCCTCCCATGATGGTTTGGTTCATACCATATCCGAAGTCTTCCATAATAAATCTCTTCCAATCAACAAAATTAACTTTTCCTCTCTTGTATTAGTCAATTAACTTGAAGAGTCTATCTAGTTTTGCCTTATTTAGCTCTTCAGATTTCACCTTCAAGCAATCCTTAAGGAAAATTTCAAGATCATCAACGTTAATTTCTCTCTTAAAATTTTAATCTATAGCTCTAAAGGAATCTTCAACGGTAATACCTTCTTTTTTGAACCATTATCTAATTCTGAAAACCATTTCATTTTCCCAATCAAAATTATCTTCTTTAATTGGCTAATCTTTAGTAACTATACTCTTTCTCATCACTTTTAAGAAACTGCTCAAATCTACCATACCAGTATGCAACTTATCCATGTATGCAAAGAAGCCATCAATAGCAGGTTATGAAAGCTCAATTATCTAGTTTTTCAAATAAATGAAATAAATGGTAAATAAATTATTTATAAAGTAAGTTACTTTTCTGATATTTTCACTGAATTCATTAATTGTAAGGAATCCATCTTAATCTGCATCTAAAGTACTGAATAATTCAGCAGCTTTCATCTTTTTGAGTTCCATTTTTTTTCTAAGATCTCTAAGAATTGTGTCGACCTTAGCTTCGCTTAAAGCCTTAAAAGGATATAGAGTTTTAGTATTCATGCTAACAGTACGAGGATCAAGAGATTTTAAAGTGAGAGATCTTGTCATACTAAGAGGAGTGTATTAGGTTTAGTCGAAATAGGTGTATCTATTTAAGAAAGATTAAACATCATTTTCCTTAATATAGCCATCACAATCAATATCCAATTCGTTTACATAAAAATCAATATCTAATCTATCATTTCCCTTAAAAACGTTTCTATGCAAAAATTCAGACATCTAATATTAAAAAAATTCATTCAATATTAATAATTTTAAATAAACAAAACTTATATTATTACTTATGTAAGAGTGACAAAGTAATCTTAGTTATTTGAGGAATCCAAAACAAAAGAGAATCTTCTAACTGTCTTCAAGAAAGAAGGGATTGTAAATTTCTTATCTTTAATGAATTTTCCTAATTTGACTGCAAATTCGCTTATATCAGAAACGGCATCAGGAGCTGAAGCATTAATGTCAACTCTTTCAACGAGTTTTAGGAAATTATAGTAATCGATGTTATTAACTTTTACCTTAGGAAGATATCTTACAATTCTATTGATTTCTTTTACTGTGAGCTTTAATTGACTTCTCATCAAGCAAGTTTTGAAGTTAGCAGTATCTAAAATACCTTCATTATGTTCATCGTAATTCTATTTTTAAACATTAAATAATTTTTTTATTGTTAATAAATTTTAGATATATATCTATCTACTTCAAACGATTCTCTAATCTCATTAGGATTTTCAAGAGCCATAATTTTCTGCTTAATTTTGTACAAAATATCTTTAAACCAGCTTGGATCAAATATTTTATCATCTAAAAAAATATAAATTAATTTATATATATTTTATAATTCAAAAAATAAATGAATGAGATTACCTTCTTCGATAGTTTCAAAAGACCTGGCTAAGTCATACATGGAGATATATTCTTCATGACCAAGCAGAGTCTAAGCAACTCTAATAGCTTTTATGTCAGTGAGAGTTAAATCGAGCTTCTTCAAAGCATCTTTGAGTTAATATTTATTAATAGGAGGATGTTCTCTGTCTAATCCCATAGTCTTTAATACATCATCAGTGTGTAATTATCTCTTGTAAATAACATCCTTTATGTACTGCAAATGATCATCTATAAATTTTAAATAATTTTCTTGTTACTTTTTAAATATTTATCAATCAATTTACTATCATCCTTAATAGTGTTTCTCCAATCTGTGTAATTTATATATCCATCTTTGTTTGCATCTAACTGCTTAAATAACTCTTAAATCTTTTTTAATTTTTAAAAATTTAATTATTTATTTATTTAATTTTACTTATTATATCATTTTAAATTTACTTATTCCTCATTTAAATCAAGCTCCATCTTATTTATAGCTTCGAAAAACTATTTATAATCAACTTTTACTCTTTAAGCACGAGTTCTGCCTAAAGCACAATTGCACATTTCTAAGAAAGCCTTATTTAATTAGCAAAAAAATAATGTTTTAAAGATTATTTGCCAAAAAAAATTTTCTTTTTGAAAATCTTTTAAAATATGAAATTCATTTAAATTAATTATTTATTACGTCTTGTGCATTAAAACAGTTTTGTCTAATCCAAAATTTAAGTCTCTTCAAACCAAACTCTAATGGACCCAATTCAGGTTACTTTAAATTAATAGCAGATTATCTGAGAGTGGTGGAAGTGGCTGGACGTTAGAGAGTTTTATTATTTGGTTAAAGTAAATTAGAAGTAGAAGCATTTCTGACAGCTGTTAAAGGTCTGCTTTTTGTTGAAATATTATCAATATCAATTCCTAATTTAGTTTTCAAATATTATTCAGCATCTGCTCCTATTCTTGAAGTATTTTCCAACATACTTAATCTATCAGCAGTTAAGTTCATATCACCTTTTTGTTTTCTTTCACTTAAAGGTCTTTTGGGGACACCCTTGTTTATAATTAAATTCATTTATATTTTATGATACATTTTATGTTAGATATTACTTTGATATTTTAAATTAAGTACTCATCAAAGTGAACAGCAGCAATATTATTTCTTACTTAGAATACACCAATTCCAGGAATTTCCATGTCAACGACTCTTTTCTATTATTTTAGATATTTAAATTAAGTTTAAATAATTTCAGCTCACATAAAGTTTGAATGTTCCTAAAAATATATATAAATTATCTGATTTTAATTTACTTTTTGATTTAAAACTATTTTAACTAATTAATTATATTTTATTTTGAAGCTAAATATTTTTATTTATTTTTAAATTATAGGAACTTCTTCTTCAAGCATTTATGCTGCCAAAGCTAATATAAAGAATATCCTAAAATACCTATCTGGTTTAATCAGCTAATTATCTGATGATTCTTTCAAATGAAATTTTGACAGCTTCCTTGTTTTGATCAGCATATTGTGCTATTTCTGTGAAATTTATTTTTGTTACTGATATTGAACCACTGGTTTAAACGTTGTAAGGTCTTATATGCTTATCGATGAAAATACCAGTTTTAATAGGTTAACCGAGCACAAATTCCTTAGAAACTAAAAATACTGGAACTCTGAATTGCTTATCTCTTTCAATAGGATTAGTAACACCCTATTAACATTTTATTATGAAAATTAAGTTAATAAATAAATTTTATTTGCATTTTTTTAAAATAATTAAATAAGCATTGCTTATTAAAAAACAAATTTAATTAATTGCGTTTTTCTTTAGATTTTTATCTGAAATTATTCTATTAATCAATATAAGAAAGCAAAATAGTTAAATTGAGTTAATGCATTAATTATTTATTTATTAAAATGAATGAAGCAATATTTTATGTACTGTCAAATTGCATTCAGGAGCACTAAATGTGAATGTACCAAAATGAGGAATATTTGTACCTCTACCCATTCTTAGCTATCTAGAAAGATATAAACCTATTTTAACAATATAAATCATTATTATCGCAATGTTTATCATTCCTAATTATATTATTCTAAGAGCACTGAATGGTGCTATATTGTAATTCGTAGACATCCAAAAAGGAGTTAAATTTTAAAAATTTCGCAAATTTAAATAAATCATTATTACCAAATGCTCCCCAAGTCTTTGTAAGACTCTCTTCATCGAGTTGACCTTCGAGAAGGGGAATCCTTTTATAAATTATACAAAAAAAGACATTTAATAAGCTGTTTTTTATTGATAGATTGTTTGATATTTTGGGACAGTTAATCAAAATATGAATATATCAGATTTAAATATGCTTAAAAGGATTTGCTTAAATCTTTCATAAAAATCTTTCAATAAAACTCATTTGATTTTCAAATTGCAAATAATTACTTGGATTGCCCTTTTGATATTAAATTATTAAAGAGTTTCTATGTTTTTGTTGATGCTAGAGACTACTCTGAAATTACACTCCTCATTTGCTTTTACTTTATATTCCTTATTATTACTCAAGAAAATCAGATATTTTTATTTTAAGTTTCAGAATCCGATTATTATCTTTTTATCTATCTTTTATATTATTTTTATGAAGAAATTTAAATGAAATATCGCAAATTCATGCAATTAGCTAATTAATTTATGGGTCAGTCAGTCAGTCAATCAATCAGTCAGTCAAACAGCAACAAAAAAACAAATTATAAATGTAATTTTGCATATAAAAAAATTAGAAATAAATAAATAAACTTTCCAGCTTAGAAATAATTGTGTTTTTTAAAGATTAATTAACATATTGATTATTTTATTTTCAGCTTTTTTGTTAATCTTCTAAAAATTTAATATTATGTAAAAAAATCATGATTAGATAAACTTTAATAATAATATAAAATTAATTTATTTGATTGTAGGAAAAATATAAAAATAAATCTAACTATTTAATTGATAAAATGATAACACTTAACAAAAAATATAATAAATATAAAATAAAAACTTATACAATCTTATTTAATATTCTTATCTAACAAAGAAGTATCTCCGTGCTTTTATTGTTTTGATAAATTAAATAGATTATATAAATTATAAGATTGATTGAATATTTAATGATTTAAATCTATGAAAGTAATTACTCCAAATTATAAAATTAAAAATTGAATTTTGTTATCTTTGATTAGAAATATTTAATATTTTTATAATTAAAGGGATTTTTTTTTTTAGTGTATATATATAATGAATAGCGAGAAACCTGAAGGAGAAGATAACATATCTTTAGTAGCAAATAAATTATAATAATATGAAGATGAGATAGTTAAAAAAGCTAAGCAAGTAGAGCAAGAAATGTTTTAGCTTAAGGAATAAAAACTTGAATTGCTTTTGAAGATGTTCAAAGATTAATTGGCAAAAGATTATCAAAATGATATATAAAAGTTTAAGCAAGATCAAGAAGATGAGTAGAAAAAGAATGAATAAAGTCTCAACAAAGAAAAAAATATGAAATTAGAAAAAATAGAAAAAATGAGTGTAAATATTTATATTTGAATGAAAATAACTTAAAAAAAGAAAAGAACATTTAATAGATTCTCTTAGTGAATCCATTTTATTATTATAAATATCTAAAAATAAGAATCAAGAAAATTATTTATAAAAATAGGCAAACATAGCATAATAAATAAAAACCCTTCAATTAATGTAAGAAGATATATTAGAAAAGAAAGAAGAAATCGAGAATTCATACTTAGCTGCTTTAGAATACCTAAAAAAAGAAACACAAAATAATATTCTTGAATTCTAGTAGAGATGCAAAGCATAGATAGAAAACAAAGTCAAAGAATTTAAAGGCTAAGTTTCTATGAGAAATTTTTGAAATATTTAATGAATGATGTAAATAGAATGAAGAACATATAATCAAGTCGAATTAATTTATTTATTTAACAAATAAAAATAATTAATTTTAATTAATATATAAAATAATAAATTATTTCTTTATTTATATTCCATGTTAATTATTGTGTTTAGTTTTACTAAATTATATAATAAAACTCAAAAAATAAATTAATTTTTTTGTCATAAATTAAACAAAATAAAAATTTAAATAAAAAAACAATTTAATTTTCGAGATAAACCTAAATTTTCAAAAGATATATTAAAAGCTTTTTTTAATTTATTTAAATAAATCAAATCTTTTATCGACTTATTTTAATTTAATACTAAACATTTTAATTAATGTTAATTTATGGAAAATTAAAAAATAATTTGATAAAAATATTCTTAAAGAAAATATACATTCAGATTTATTTTAAAAGTTCAATTAGTGTCGTAATTTATATTAAAAAAAAAATAATTTTATAAATTTGGTCAAAATGAAATATCTCTCTTTTTATTGACTGCTTAAATACATACCCTCCTTTATAGATTATCTTAAAAAGATTTACATACTTCCTATTGACCAATTTTTACTATTTAGTCTTACAATTCAATAATAACTTGGAAGATAGAAAAATAATAAACAAATAAAGTTAGCACTGATAAATAAAAGCATAAAAAATAAAAATTAATTTTTAACTTATTATAAGATGAATTTACTTTTTTCTAATTTAAAAACTACATACAACTAACTCCTACTTTTCACATTAAATCTTATATAAATATAATTATGCTACTAGATGATATATTTATGTAAAGAGCACTTAGAAGCAAGTGATAAATTCACTCTTATTATTATTTATTTATTTTTAATTTATTTAATTATTTTTAAATACAGATAGAATCACATCTTATAAAGCTGAACATATTTTAATTATATTCATAATTTATTTATTTAACTTTTATTTGTTTTTTCTTAATAAATTTATAATGTTCATTCATTTTTAACTAATATTTTATTTCTAAAATATTATTAGGTGCATAGGGTGCATCGGACTTAAATTTTATTTTAGCAAAGTGCATTCATCTCTTATCTTTTGCAATAATGAAACAATAAAATAATTTTTTTTTTTATTAAATCTTTAACAAAAAAAATGTAAAATTTTTGTTTTTTCTTGAATTTAATTCTAAATTAAATTTTATAATTAGATTTATTCTCAAATAAATAAAAATAAAAATTTTTAATTTTGATTAGATTCCATTAAAAAGGTTTGTTTTCTCTAAGATGTAATGTTTCATAATTAACTTTTTAATAAGAAAAAATAATAAAATATAAAAAATCTTCACATATGATTATATGCTGTATAATAATATGATGAGACTCTATATTAATTTTTTTATTTTTGTTTTATTAAATAAGTTTTTTTATCAAATGTACTACAAAATACTTTATGTTTTTAAAAAAGCTTTGAAAGATATATTTATTATTAATCCCTTAACTTTAATACCTCAACAAAAAAATAATTTGCATTTATACTCTTTAAGGAGTAAATGTAATAAATTTATTTTGATGATAAAAAAATAAAATTTTAAAAAAAGTTAAAATTCTTATTTATATGAAGCAATTTCACACAATTTTCATTAATTCATAATTAATTAATAAATAAATAAAAATAAACTTAACAAAAACTATTTTAACTATTTCATAGCATATTAAAAGTTTATCAAACATAAATTTTACTTTTTGTTGTAATATTTGGCCTATTTTCATTGTTTTTAAATAGTAAAATAAAAGTGATTTAATGAATAAATGAAGAAATTCTATATTCTAAACAATCAAATATAAAAAATTATTAATTCATAAAGGATTTATTTTTAAGCTAGATATTGCAAAATATCTTATACTAATGTTTAGTGATACATTTTAATAAAAACCAATAAATCCATTGATAAATTGAGGATATATATTAAATATTATTTTTAAAATATAAAATTAACAAAAAAGTTTTACAATTTTATTAGAGAAAAATTAATTTTGATAAAAATAATTGCATTTATTAGATAGTAGCAACAGATAGATAATGACTAACTATAAATTAAGCAATAGAAGAATATATGTTTGTATAATTATGTGAGTGTGTAAGTGAATAAATATGTGTATCTACAAAGTAAAATTTAAGGATCAATCTGTGTTAGTAGGTACTAAAGGATCAAAACCTAGTTCTTCTACAGGTATAACGAATTCAGAAAGTTTTCCTTCATAAGCCTTAACCATGTGTGAGTGAGCTTTTCTGATTTATTTTAATTGTGCTTGTAATTCAGAAATGAGTTCATTTTTAAGTGATTCAACTTCTTCCAAACTTTTATTGATAGATCCTAAAAATTAAAATAATTTGTAAATAATTTAGCAATTTAACTAACTAAGAAACTAAATTATTGATTAATTATTCTTTTACCAACAGAATTAGGATCGATGTTAGCAGCTGTTAAAACTTGGTGAATTTATAAGTCTTTAATTTCTAAATCTTCTCTTAAATTAGTTACTTTCTTTTCTAAGATTAAGTTCTAATTTAAAATAAAATAAATATCTAAATTTTGCTTAATTGAAAAAATATTTTTACTTCCAATCCTGATTTTTAATGTATTTCGAAGACAGTTTAATTAAATTTAGCATAAAGAGCATTCCTTTCTCTTTCTAGGTACTAGAATTACTAAAGTTTAACTTCGTATTCGTATTCAAGTTTTCTGAAAAGTCTTTCTTAGTTATCAATTTTCTATTTAAGTTCTTCCTTTTCTTTAATGATAGCTTCTTGCTCTTCATCTTATTTTTTCAGCTATATAATCTCTATTCCCAAAGCCTAAAGAGGTTCATTTAATTCTTTGTATCCCTTCTCTGTTTATTGAAGAGTCTTTTTGTATTCCTCATCTTTGGTTTGAAGTTCCTTTATTTCATTTTTTAATGTTTTTCTGTAATCGAGGTTTGTTGCTGTAATTTCAGAATAATAATTTTTAATATCATTGTATTTCTGTGTGTGTTCCTTAATAATTTCTGCTATCTTTTAATTTTTATTGTCTTCCAATTGCTTAATCATAGCTGCTCTAGCTTCTTCCATTTCCTTAGTTAAATTTTACATTTTTAAGTCATATTTTCTCTTGATATCATTAACTTGTCTCTCATAGTCTATTAATTTATTTATTATTTATTAATTAAGCATATTGAAAACAAAAAATTCAATTAAAATTACCTTAACGCATGAGAGTCATTTATTTGTCATGCTCAGATTTTAATGCAAAGAGGTAATCCTACTAAGATATTTCTTACTCTTTTTTCTATTATTTTACAACAAAATGTTGATAAATTCTTTTAATTTATTTGTTTATATGTAAATTTATTTGGTTATGTATAAGTGAGTATATCTTTTGTTTTGTCTAAGTCTTCGCACAAATATATTCAAATTATTAATTACAGTGACTTTAAGAGAGCGGACGTCAGTTTTAAGTTCTCTTGATTTAATTCTATGTTGATCTTCTAATTACTTAAGTGTCACTTCAACATCTTTTTTAAGTTCGCTTTGTTAATCCTGATTCTAAAAGAGCAAGTGTTTAATTCTATTTATTGAAGTAAAATAAAATAATTTGAAAGGTTCTTTATTTACTATTTGTGTTTGTTTGAATGAATAACATAATAATTATTTTGAACATTAATTTAATAGCTATTTATTTATTGCATTCAAACTAAACAATTTAATTACTTTTATTTATAAACATTTAATGTCATGAAATGATTTTCTTGAAGATCTTAGATTTCTCTTTCTTTATTGATTAATTCGCTCTTTTTATCTTCAAGTTCCTTCTTCGCAATAATCCAATTGTAGTTTATTTTTTATCTTTCTTGCTAATAAAATGCCAAGAGCTTCTTTTCCTCATTAAACTATTCAACCAGAGCTCTGGCTTCCTTCCTCATTGCTTTCTTTTAAAGTATTAAAAAAACAAACAATTAATTTTTCTGAGTTTCAACTGATTTTTATATTCAACATTAATTATAACTTGACTAAAATTATTACTTTGAATTCTTCGCTTTCATTATCATTAACACCCTCAGCTGCCTTTCTTGCATCAGCTTCAAGCTCTTTTGATAAAGAAATAAAAATTAAAATCAAGCAACCCTAATTAAACTCTTTGATTAATTAATAAAGTATATTTATGATGTACTTGAAACCACAGGTACATTTTTTTTAGCTTTAGCAGCTTTCGACATTCCTAAAAAATAATTTGATGGTTTTTATATGTGTTATTTATAATAAATACAAATTAGTTAATTAATTAATTAATTAATAATATAACTTTCTTTATTATTCAATTATTTTTAAATTCAATTATCTCTTTGCAAGCTGTACATATGTATGTATGCCTGCCTATAATTTATTAATGAAATAATATAAATCAATACTGAAAAAATATATTTCCATTATTACAGCCATTATCTATAAAACTATGAGTAAAAATCGAATTAAGCTATTTGCCAACTAATTATAATTAACAAGAATCCTTAATTCAACTGTCTCTATATACCTGCTATTCTGATAATTTTTTACTTCTATGAACGACCCTTAAATGTCTATTTATTTTTAAAGCTAAATCTATTACTTTATTTTTCTATATATTTAATTCTTCAATGCAAAATCATTTTTTTAAAATTATATTAAAAAATTATTCAAATTTAAAACTTAAATTTATTCGAAATATATTAAATTTTAACAATAAAAAAATAGAATTGTTTGATTTAACAAAATAGAATAAATGATTTAAAAATATAACTCTAAAATGAAAAATTATTATAAATAATGTTTATTTATTTTTAATTGATCAAACATTTTAAATTAAAACATTTTTTAGTAATAAATAAATAATTGCATCAAAAGATTTAGATTTTAGAAGAATAATAAATGTTTTTACATCTCATATTTTTGATAAGAAGGAATATAACAAATAAATTTTAGTTTTTAAATAGCTTATTTAAGCTACCTAATTCAAAAAAAATTAGTTTTTTAACAAGAAAAAAATAGAATTGTTTGATTTAACTAAATAGAATTAATTTGATTAAAAAATGTTACTCATAAATGAAAAATTGTTGTTAATAATATAATGGTTATTTATTTTTAGTTGATCAAAAATTTTAAATTAAAACTTTTTTTTAGTAAATAAAATTGAAATGAAAATAGTATTAAATAAATAAATAATTTCATCAAAATATTTAGATTTTACAAGAATAATTAATTTTTTTATTTCTCTTATTTTTAATAAGAAAGAATATGATAATTTAATAAGGAAAAAATTTTTATTATTTAATAGCTTATTTAAGCTTCCTATTTCAAAAAAGAATTAGTTTTTAACTTTGTTAAATATTAAAATAATTATGAATACCTTTTAATCTTATTTAAGCTACCTATATTTCAAAAAAGAATTAGTTTTTAACTGTGTTAAATATTAAAATAATTATGAATACCTTTTAATTTTTAAAGTTTTTTAAGATTTTTAAAGTATTTTGGATATATATATCAAATTCAATATATTTGCACAAAAATGTATTCTTTTAATCCCTCAAACAAATTAAGCATTAATTTAACTAAATAAATATAAATACAGTAATTCATATCACTTTTCAAAATAAGAATTATATAAATAATTTTAAATTTTAAATAAATTTTAACTAATTGAACAGATCAGCAAAAAGTAAACAAAATTAATTTATGAATATTTTAAAATTGAATAAATAACTATCAGAATTAAAAAGTGTTCCCTTTGAAATAATTATTCCGAGAATATTTAATGTCAAATGTAAGCTATTTATTTTACTAATAATTAGAAAATGATTAACTAATCTTTCTTTATCAACATATTGATTCAGATAATAAATACATAAAATACACAGTATTTCCTTTAATTTTAGAATTGAAAATCTATTTGATTTATTTAAGATTAAATAGAAATCTCGAAACTTGAAAATTATCTTTGTGCTAGAGCTTTAATCAAGTTTAAATGCAATGATTTTTTTTAATTAAAATTAGTAACAATAAATATTTTCCATAATTTTATTTTGCTTTTCTTCATTAAATTCTTTTATTAAATAAAAAATACTGATGAAATATTAAAATAGCAGTAATTTATATGTTTTATAGAACATTCAATTTAAGAGCCTACTTAAGAAAATGATTAACATAAGTAAACAAGTAAGTGAGTATATATTTTTTGTTAATCTAAAATTAAAATCTTGCTTAACTCTAAAAAATACGGTTTCTGATTTATGGAATTTTTCCAGCAGCTTATGAATGTAAAATAAGTATTGTAAGCTATATCAAAACAAAAAAGATTACAATATTACAAATTTCCTTATGGTATCTCACAAATAGATAATGTAAGAAAAGAGGAGTAATAACAAATTCAAACTGATGTTGAATTAAAATGTAATCAACCAAAAATTATAACAAAAAATAATAAATACTAATTAAGAAATACAAATTAATAAAAAAGAGTAAAAGATGACTAAAAAGATATCATCTACTTTCCTCCTTTTATTGCTTGCTTTAGCATTCGCAAACGCAGAGCTAAAATTTGTCTTCTAACTTTACAGACACGGTGCTAGAGGACCTATTAATGACTGGTTTAATGGTGGTGAATAAAAAGATATTTATAATGAATTGACTCCTACAGGTGAAAGACAACATTATAATCTCGGTTCTAAGATGAGAGAAGAATACAAAGGCTTCCTTCCTAGCAAGTTTAATCACTCAGAAATTTATGTTAGATCAACTGATATGAACAGAACCTTGATGAGCGCAGCTTCTCATCTTTAAGGAATGTTCCCAGAAAATACTGGTGACTTTTTACCATCTAATTTGACAGATAATTACACTCTTCCTTATTTTGCAGGTGCTAAAAACTATTTGCCAAACTAAAAGACAGCCCTTCCTCACAACATTTAAGTTGTTCCAATCCATACTCAACCAAAGAAGGGAGATTTAGTGCTCTAGCCTGATTCTAATTGCTAGTATTATGATGATATTAGACTTGCTTTCTACGCACAAAAGAAGGAAACAATTGATTTTATCACTTAGCAGTTCAACACAACTTATCAATAGTATTCTTTATTGGCAAACAAAACATTCTCAAATTTCGATGACATGGAAGATGTCGATGACACTCTTTAATGCAACAGGTATAACGCCAAATGGGTTCCTTAAATATCTTAAGAATTAAAAGCGAATGCTACTTATCTTAGCTCTTTAGCATGGAACTTTTGGTATAACTAACCAGAACTTCTTCGTGCTTTGAACACACCTTTCTTGAACTAATTAATGGATTATTTAAACCCAGTTGTTTAAGGCAAAAACGTTAATGGATTAAAATGGGTAATGTTCAGTGCTCATGATACCAATGTCCAATTAATTAGTGCAGCTCTTAACTTGACCAGTATTGATTGTCTTCTTCATAAAAGATTCCCTGACAAATTTAAACCCAGCACTCCTTATTATAATTGTGAGTTTGCTCCCGAGTTTGCTTCAAGTCTTATCTTTGAATTATACCAAGCTGACGTAAAAGTTGATGAATAAATCAATAAAGGAGATTTCTACATCAGACTTAGAAGGGATGGTAAATACATGAATCTATGCGAAAGAAACTCAACTCTATGCTCCATGAAAGAATTCACTTAAAGAGTAAGCTGGTTTGCTTATGATTTTAATGCAGTTTGCAACACTCCTCCATCAAAAGCAGTTTTAAGCACTTAGATTATCACCCAATCTCATAATCCACAAGCTGATTAAACTAATTTCTTCGAGATAGGCTTTTATTTACAGTCGATAGTCATAATCTTAGGAGGTTTTGCTTTCTACAGATCAAATTTGAATAAGAAAAAATTAGAATTCAAGTAATTCTCAGACTGTGAAGTCGGTCTAACTCATTGATAAAATAATAAATATATAAACAAAAAATATTTTAAATACTAAAAATCATCATCGAATTGTTGTTCATTTAATTTTTTAGTATTAATTTATATAATCATAAATGTGAAACTTTTTTTTAATCATTTAAAAAATATATGATGAATTAAAAAAATAAATTTCATCTAAAAAAATTAATTTATAAAACAAATAATTAAATAAGAAAGTTATTTATACAATAAAAAATATTAAAGTAAAATTTTATTTTTATTTACTTTTTTCATTTAAACTTTGATAAATATTTATTTATTTAATTATTAGATTTGCTTGAAATTATTAACTTTTATTGTAAAATTATTTTATGAGTATGTCATTAATTGTATGATATTATTTTTTAAATTGGATTTCATTTGCTTTTCTTGATGCTAGTTAGATCAAGATTTCATTTTTAAAGAAAAAAAGCAAGCAAGCAAGGAATTAATTTAATAAATAAATAAATTTAATTAGATAGATTTGTTAGTTCCTTATTATTTAATTTTAAATTATTATGTTTTATAAACTACTACAAATTATAAATAAATATAAAAACAAAAAATTTAAAATTAATTTAACTTTTATAGGAAAAAATATTTAAAATTAATTAATTTAATAAATTCTAAAAATTAGAGGAGTTATTTAATTTTTTGATGATTAGATAGATAGATGTTGGTTGTATTTATAAGAAGAAAAAGAAATTAATTAAAAAGATTCCCTAAATCTAATGAAGCTGCCACACTATATTAGTAAGAGAGATTAAAGAGTAAGTAATCTGTTGATTTTTTTTAATTGGTTTGGTTGAAGATAAGTTATAAAATTTAAATTAGCATTAATAATTAATTAGATCCATCAATGTAGCAACTCACTTTATTATTTAGTTTACCCATCTATTACAGATTTACAATATTCGTATACTATAAAAGTGATTGTATTTGCAGGGAGCACTCTAACTAAATCTACTTTTAATCCTCTATATAAGCCATTTAATCCTTCTTTATGAACTATATCCATCACTATATCTTTAATTCTCAGTCTATGGGATAAATTAAGGCTTCCATAATTTTATCTATTATCTTACAGTCTAATTTAATTATTTAAACAAAAACTAATAAAAACTTTATCATTTCAATATTAAAAATTACCTTGTTCTAATAACTATGTGTGGATATGTTATGGAGCATGCTATAACTGTAATATAATAAAAAAAATAAATTAAAAATATAAAATAAAAAGCTAAATTTATCCCAATAAAATATCAATTAATTGACAAAAAAACAATAAATATTCCTAATAATTTAAAATTAATTACATTTAGAAATAACTGAAGCAACAAAAATATCTTTTGAGTTTACTTTTTTATTTTAAAGACTTTTATTGTGTTCGAACTTAGCTTTTAAGTACTCATAAATGGGGAATTGGAAGGCAACATGAGTCAGACCTATTTTTAAAGCAAGATTAGTTAAATTTTTATTGAAAAAAGCAAATGATACCTAATAATGAAGCACCAAGACCTTTGTAGAGAGCCTTAAATCCTTCCTAGTTGATATAATTTTAAAAAGTTTAGTTTTAAAACAAAACTAAAGAAATTTCAGAAAGTTTTGATGAATTTCTATAAAAAATCTTTTGACGATAAATTATGAGTGCCACCAGATTTGTTTAATTTATTTATTTATTTTTCTAGTAAGGTTATTAAATGTGTTTTTGGTTTTGTTAATTAAATAAATTACAGTTAAAATTTGAATGCACCCAAATAAATTGAATAAATAAATTAATACCTCTTATTAAATCTTTCTGAATGTTTTAAATAAACCATCTGAGTACTTACTCGAATCTTAATGCATATGTTATACCTGTAGTCTAGTTCTGACAACCTAATTTTACATATAAAAATTCATTTTCGATTTGCTTTCATTTATGATTTTTGTTTATTTTATATTTTTGGCCTTATTGAAGTGTTTGATTGTATTCTATTTTATCCAAAAGAATTATTATAATAAAATAAAGTGCATACCCATAAAGGATTTGTGAGAGTATCGCAAATAAAACCAGTAATTGTAGATGCACAGATATGTTGGATTACAAGTGGAGTATCTGTCATGTGATTTTTGATAAATGGCTTCATTTAGTTATAAATTGTGAAAAAAAGAGAATGAAATAGTGGAATGCTGATCACTGTTGCATTATAACCTATTTTTATATTTAAATTATTCAAATAATGAAAACACTTTTTATTCATAAAAATTAGACATTATAAATCCTTTCTCTCCTTTCAATTATATTTTATTGCTCTTTTAACAAACTAAAATGTTTCATTTCATTTATGTCTAATTTTTTACATATTTTATATTTTATGAAAAAATTACCTTTGTAAAATCCTCTAAAACCTTCCTCTTTTTGTATTGTCTGTAAGGCATGCAAGAAACCTTCATACTTTTTAACAGAATACTGAGAATTCTATTATAATAATATGTATTTTTAGAAATTAATCGCTTTCATAGTAAATTTTTAGAATTGTGAGAATTATTTCAAGATTTTATTTTAGAGCAATTACCATCATGTTTAAACGAGTACGAGCTATATCTAGAGGTGCACAAGCTGTGACAGAAACAAGTCCACCTATTAGCCCTGATATTAAATCAGAAAACCATTTATGTTCTATATTGCTTGCTTTTATGCTAATTTCGGATTTAAGCTATTTATTCATTTTCAAAATAAAATTGCAGAATTTATTTATTTAGTTAGTTAATAATTAATTAATTGATTGATTGATGTAGGCTTTGTATTTATTTATGTATTTTGATAAGGACTTTATTCTATATGCTTGCTTGTTTGATAATCAAATTTACAGGATAAAATTTTTATCAATTCAATTTTTAATATAATTTTAGATGAATCTATCTATTTATTTATTTATATATCTATCTATATTTCTTTCTGTACATTAATGTGTTTATAAAATAAACTAATATTTTTATAGTAACTAGAGCTTTTGGTCATTGATTAAACATCACTGCTTTCTTTATTTCATCTATGTACATTTATTTACTAATTAATTTACATATTTTTATTTAAGGTAGAATGTTGTTTATTTTTCATCTATTTGATAAGTAAAGCTGCCTAACTAAATTTGAATAATCTGACTGACTAATAAAATAATTGATTAGATAAATAATCATAAAAGATATATTAACAAATTCATTGCTCTACATTCCGTTCATTTTATTTAGTTTATTTTTTAAGTCATTTCATTTACTAGCATTTAACCACATATGTAGCTATAAATATTAGTTTGATCTATCTTAAAGTATAAAGTTAATATTTTTTTTAGTTATTGAATATCTACTCAGAATTTATATAAATATTCTTTCTGCATTTCTTCGAAGAAGTTTCTGAATATTTTCAATAAAACTTCACATAAAATTTCCTATTTCTAGAAAAAATAGTAAAGTTAAAAAATTAATCTGCTTAAGCTCAGTCTATTTTAATTTATTATTATTTAATTAAGATATTTGTTTTCAAAATTAAAAATTAGATGAAAATAAATGAAAAATTAATATTTTGTTTTAAATAATAAATAGAAAGCTAAAAAATATATACAATAAAAATAAATGTTAATATTTTTTTCATTAAAGATGTTTATTTTTACAAGATTAAAAATAAAAAATATTATTCAAATAAATTTATTGACAACGCTCATTTTATTTATTTTTTACATATATTTTGAAAAGAACTAATAAGTTTAATGCAGTTATAAGCTTTATTTGTTGGGTCATTAGCGTTAATCCAAACTTCATTTTTTAATAAATTAATAATACATACTTAATACACTCAAAATAAAACCATGATAAAATAAATTTTTCTTCCTAAATAGAGTTTGGTATTATAATAAATTAACCTTATATTTTGAAATCAATACTCATAATATAATATTACATACAGCTAAAATAAAATGATGGAAATAGATAAATGAATATATTTAAGTATTTTCATTATGTTAAAATGAAATGAATTCAAGGCAAAAAAAATATGGCTATTATAAAATTTTTAATTTCTAAGTTTTAGTTAGTGTTTTAATTAATTTGTATTTATTTTATCAATTTTTATTTATTTTTTATTTCTTTTATTAATTTTATTTTATCTTTCTTATTAATTTATTTTTCAATATTATTTATTTATTTATTTAATTTAATTTTATTTATTTATTTATTTTTAATCAATCTTTTTTGGTTTTTCCTCTTTTTCTCTTCCTCCACCTTCTCGATCAGCAAAATTTCCTAATTTAAAAAATACTAATTATAATTTGGAGCCAATGCTCTCTAAAATCTGCTAAGAAAGAATTTCAAAGATAGTCTTTGTAAGTTAAGATGTTTTTTGCTATTCCTTTTCTTACTTTAAGTAAGGCAATCGGCGTAAGTCGATTGAATAGGATCTTAATACTAATTATGAAGGATATCAAATGATATATTTTTTTTATTTGAGGGTAATGCTTATATTTGATATAACCACTTTTTATAAGTTTGTTATGATGAAGTGGGTGGTCCATATCATTTATTTATGCAATTGAATAGTATCGCATAGTTCGGGTTTTAAAAACTTTTCTTGATATCCTTCACATTAATATTAGTCCTATTTGCTAAAGAAGTTGTTTTTCTTTGCTGTGAAATTAATTTACAAATTTAAAAAAATTATTTATTATAAAAAGAAAATTTAATAATTAATTTTTATATTAATCAAAAAAAGAAGTCACATCAAAAAGCTTTTTCACAAATAATTTGAGATAAAAAAATCAAAATAATTAATTAAAAAATGTTTCTAATCGAATTCAAAATAAATTTTTAATTAAAAATACAAATATAAACTTAATCAAGGAATTTAATAATTTGAATTTAATTTTCATTTATTTTAGCATATAAAAAAATAATTTAGATATTTAATTAATAAATAAATATTTTATAAATCTCAATTCTAAGAATTATATTTATATTATGTGTAAACCAAATATCATTTATATACTTTAACAATTACAGCTGCTACGAGTATGGCAAAACCAAAATGAATCAAATTCAATTATTTTGTTTTTAATGAAATGATTTCCCTTGTTAATTTGTTCATTTTTTCACACATATCTTTATTAGCTTTTTAGATTTCTTCACTTATATTTTATAGTTATTTCTCAATTTAAAGCGTATTATTGTTTAGTAGTCTTATTTCGTATAACATTTGTTAATTTTGTTGCTTTAAAAAATGGTAATAATAATAAGCTTTTTGCTATGTGTTGATCAATTGTTTTTCTTTTGTATTTAAAGTGCTCTAATTTTTAAAAATGCAAATAAAATAATTAATTTTAAAAAAGAAAAATTTTGTTTTACATTTTATTTTGAGCTAGCAAATTATAAAATTTAGTAATTCTTGCCAAATAATGCATTTCTCAATAATTGCATAGAAGCACTTTATTTTTTACCTGCCTACTAATTCATTTTACCTGTTTAAATGGTTTTTATTTTTTTAAATTTAAGCTTTTAATAATTAAAAATAATTATTATATTTTATTATAAAATCTCTGAAATAAATAAAAAATTTAATATTATTAAAAATAAAAATATTTATTTGAAAATTAAATTAATAGCAAGCTAAGAATCTTCATTTTAGTTATATTTGCCTTTAATAATTCGCCTTAGCTATATATAAAGATACTAATGATTGATTTGAGTAAAAAAAGCAAAAATTAAGAAAAAAATTTTAATATTTCTCATAAGTAATAACAAATATAATAAATATATTTAAAATATCAGATTATTGTCCAGTTAAAATAATTTAATGTTCACATTTGGTATTTTGATGTAAATTTATTATTTTATTTTAAGTTTAATAAAAGTTTAATGTATTAATTTTTTTAAAAGTTGAAATAATTTTAATTTTTTAATAAAATCATAAATTAAATTAATAGCAATTTGAAGAAATAAATAATTAAATGAAATAAGAATTTTTTAATCAAGTTTAATTTAATTTTGAATGCAAAATATTTGATTTAAGATTAAATAAAAAAAACTGAAAAAATTAATTTTAAAGAAAAAATATTTTATAAATCCATTCTTTGCATAATAAATTATTTAAAATTTAAAAGATTTAATTTTATTTTATAATCGTTTTTCTTAGTTCATTCATATTAGCTCATTTTTTAAAAATATTCGTTTTTCTTATTTTTGCAAAAAAGGTCTGAGGATATTTCAAAGCAATTAAAAAAAAACGTATTTGTTTCATTCAATTATAGCTTTAAAAACCAATGATTATATGATATAAAATGAATGAGCACACTCAAAATAATAAGGAAAGTGGCTTCCTAAAAACAAAATACAGGAAATTAAATGAAGCAAAAAAATTTTTTTTCATTGATTTTAGTAAGGGTATTAATTTGTTTTGACTTATCAATGTAAATATGAATGAAAATAAACAAATAAAGACAACAACTCATGTTTTGATGTAAAGTGAGTGAGTTTTGATTAACTAAAACGAACTTTTAAAATATAAAGAAAAACAAACAAAAAAAAGGGAAATCATAATATATTAGATATCAAAATTAATATGGGAAAAAGGTTGGCATTATTAGCAATTTTTTGCCTAAGTTTGAGCATGATTGGCAGTGTCTCATGTAATGATACTACCTCTGCTATGCTTTAAGGAATTTAACTAGTTTAAATGCAAACAGAATATGTTGTCGATGACATTTTGGCATTTTTGAAATCATTCTCAACTGATATTAACTAACAAATCCTCCATTTAGATGAAGCTGTCAAAATCGAAACTGCATATCTTGAAAAATTGATTGAAGATTTAAACACTTAAAAGGAATCTAAGTTCGCTGAGTGTGGTCAAGATAAGGACGCTCTTGACGAAGTCATTCATGAGTACAACTAACAACTTGACTTTGTTAATTGGATTACAAATAAGACTAATGAAGATTACGATAAGATTGCTAAGTATTAAAAGCAAAGTTGTTAGTAGACTCTCGATTTTGTTGAGTATCTTAGACACGCCTAGACTGCTCTCAACTTAATTGACTTCTTGAGACACGCTCTTGATAACTACTCATTTACCTAATTAAAGGCTATTACCAAGGTTGTTAGAGAAAACTAAAACGATAGCTCTTTGTTTTCCACTTCAAATGGTCTCCAATTGATGCTCCTCTAATTCTAGGCAACGATTTAATAAGTTGATGCCTCCAAGTACAATGTTGGAGATTCTTTGGATGATAAGGTTTCAGATAGAACCAGTAAAAATAATTAATTTTTAACATTATTACATCAATTTTCAAATGCACAATTGAACCTAATTTATTAATTACTCTTTTTAAAAGCTCCATTAAACTTTTATTTCAATGAGACTGTAGAAATTAATTTATAGTTAAGTATGAGATTTTGATACATCATATAAAAAATTTTTTTAGAAGTATTTAACCAATAAATTCAGAATCAATTGCGAATTATCAAAAAATGTAGAAAATAAATCATAAAATCTAAATTTATTTTAATGTAAAAAAAACAATTTAATCAAGAATTGCTAGTCTGTGAATAAAATTAGACCAAATTTTTTATTTGAATAAAATAATAGTTTAAATAAAATCAATTTAGTTTTTTAAAATTATATTGGTTAAAATTTTTAAGATAAGTTAAACATGCATTTAAATATGAACAAATGAAAAACATTTAGAAATTATAAACTTATTTATTGATTATTTAACTAATAATTTGTTAATAGAGGATGAAATCGGAACTGGACACATCGATAACGATAAGGGTGATATCGATGTTGATAGCTTTTAGAGTGGATCCAGACTTGGATTATAAGCTATTAAATAAGAATTATTCGCTATTTTAGATGAACTCGAGGCTGTCATCAAGAAAAACATGAATGATAAAATTAATGACATGATCAATTTGGCTGAATCTATTTCAGACTATATTATCTAATTGAAAAAGGAAATTGATTACCTCCAAAAAGAATTAATCACTTAATAATAAGTTTTGAGAGAAATTGAATTAAGAGTTGAAGCTGCCTAACACACAGTAGACTAATGTTTGATTGATTATAACGCAATTGTCAAAACTATTTAAGATACCTAAGAAAAGCACGATAGCTACATCAAGGATAGATCTCACTACAGAGAAGTTTTACTTGATTAATTAGATTAATTGACTGCAATCATTAACATCTATGAAAAACAAATTGCAACTGCAGGTGAAAGCTACAAGAAGCGTTATGATGATCTCATTGATAATGGAGTAGTTGATTACACCGCCAACGTTGATGACAGAGTTTTATACACTGACTACAATGCTCATCAAACACCCGATCAATTAGACGATATTGTTGAAGGAGAAGTTGTTGCTACTGCTCCTAATGATAACGATGAATCCATTACCTTCTGATGAGATAATTCATTTAAAATATATTTTTTAGCAAACACTCTTTGCCTACAAGCTAAATATAGATTTGAACATCTAAAATATCTACTAACTAGTAAAACATACATATTAAATCACTTATGTATCACAAATTCCATCTTCTAACACATAAATAAGATTACAATAAAATACTTTATAAAGTATAGCATGTACTTACTTATGAATGAGTTATTTCTTCAGGTTAATTCTTAAATCACAATCACTTGTATGGAATAAGTTAAGCTAATATAAAATAAACAAACAAATAAATAAATACATCTATTATTTTTACTAAATTGCATGGAAATTTATTATCTATTGTTAAAAACAATCTAGTTAGTATTCAATCAAATATATTTCATTACTTTTTCTTTACTTTTATTTACCATAATAAAATTAATTAGTTATTTTAAAATGAAAAGAATAAATAATAAAAACAAACGTTTTTTAAAATTAAATCTTCTAAAAAGATTGATTTATTCGTTAAGCCTAATTATTAAATTTTTAATTTATTATTAATCCTTTTTTTAACAAACTCATCAAAAATCTATATCTTATATTGTGTTTTATGAATGGTCATTTATTGATAATTTTATTAAATTTGTGTATTCTTGTTTAAATAATAAATTTAGATAAAATATTCAAACTAATCTTATTTATTTATTAAAATTAAATTAAATATGAATATGATTTTCACAAAACATGCATAATTTCTTCAAAAAATATTTTTAATACATCAATTCTATTAACATAATTTTAATTATTGATGATTTTTTAAATTTATAAATTTAGTTTTTATCATCAATTTTTTAAAAGCAAGTTTTTTCAAATATTTTTGTTTAAATTATTTTATAATTGAGATTATTTGTTTTTTATTAAATTATGAATTAATAATTTTAAAGTAAATATGATATTTATGATTCTAAAATAATATTTTTTAGAAGAAATTTAACAAACAAATTTAACCAAACCAACTTTTTATTTGAAATTGAAATATTAGAAGATAGAAAATAGTTTAAAAATGCATTTTAAAAAATAAAATAATCTAAAAATATTGTTAAGACTAAACAAAAAATACAATTTATTTTTTAGATTTAGTTAAATTTGGTAGGCTAATATTTGTTAATAAATGTTTAGAATAAATAATTCATAAATGATTAATTTTAGTTTGGATTTCAATAAGTTAAAATGGAAATAAATATATTAAATAATTATGTTAGTTTATTTAAATTTTATTTTTATAAATTTTCATTTTTTCTTTTGATATTATGCTGCTCTTTGCAAGACATAAGAATCCAACTTAACAGATTTGCCATTTAAAATTTCTATTAAAATATCTTCGTATGCTTTATGCCCATAAAAAGCATTTTTTTCAAGATTTATCCATACTTTACCTAGAGTTGTAAGTTCACTTCTTGAATAACCAACAAAACTTGCTTACATGTTGGCAAATTCACTCACATGGATCATTTTTGTTTATGGAACCTATCATATTAATAATATATATATTTATTATAAGTCATTAAGTAAATATACCTTTTGAATACATGAAAATATAATATAAAATTTATATATTATTTTAGAAATTTAAACATTTAAAAAACCATTTACCCAAAACGCGTTGAAAAAAGTTACTTCAACGAAGTCGCCTGTTCTGAGCAACTTCATTTTATGAATAGTTCTTTTAGAAAATACACTAAAAAATGTTAGAAGACCTATGCCTGTCAATGCACATAATGAAAATGAAAAACTATTCCATCCACCAAAGACTAAGTTTTAAGACAATTGAATGATTTAAAATAAAAAGCAATGTAGAATTTTATTTAATTTTATGAAATATCTTATTATATAATATCATTAAAAGTAAAATAAAATCAATTTATTCCTATTACTTGGATATTAATATTCTCCAACAGCTAAAAAGACATTCATGATGGTAAAAATAGTAAAAATTCTTATTGCAATCCTTAAATCTCTCTAAATTGATATTTTAAAAGCCGTTAATATTATAAATACTTAAATTATTCATTTTATATTATGTTTTTTATTTCTTTTTTGAACTATTCATTCATTTTTAACATATTTTCTAATTATTTAATTACTTCTCCTAGCATATGTTCAAAGATAGGAGTCTTATTTTCTTCATCAAACAAAAACGCTGTGTATTATTGATCCTTATTTGGTCTTGGACCTCTTTCCTTCTTTTCTTACTCTTTTTTCTAAGCAAAGTACCTTTATGTGCTAAATGTAAGCTATTTGTAATTGCTTAAAGCAATTTTTTATTGTTGAATTACAGGTCTTAAAATTTTTGAAAATATCATTTCTAAGACTAGTTAAAAGAATATATTAATTTTTAATTAAATCTTATATATCTTTCAAGTTTTTGTTATTCTTTAAGAACCTAATAGAAATTACTAAATATTATTCTCAAATCATCTACTAATATGGTAGTTATCCAAATATTTATATATCATCAAATATCTACTAAATATTAAGATATATATTTAAATATATAAACAGAGATATTTTTAAATATAAATAAGTAGTTTGAGAGATATAATAATTTATCTGAATATATTAATATATTTAAATCAACTTAACAGTAACTTCTCCTTAATCTTACTAATAAAATACATAAATACCTTAAATTTCAAAAATTTTGTAAAATAAAATGAGAGTACCTAAATATATGAAGATTTATAATAATTTTTTTTAAAAATGTTGGAATATTAATATATGATATTAAAGAAATTTACATTCACTAAAAAAAAATTTTATGATTTTTTATTAAATTATTTTATTATCATTTTATAAATTGTTATTTTTAAACTTTTTATTTAATTATTTGATTAAAAGAATCAATCATTAGAATAAATTAATTTTGAGAAATTATTATTAGATTTAAATATACTTAGATTCAACAATAAAAATGATTAAGTAGATATTATTTTTTATTATTAATTTCAAATTAGCGAAATTTAAAATGAATAGTAGAATAGAATATTAAGATATTCATTATTTCATGTATTTTTTTTACCAGCTTTGCTTGTTCATTATTTTAGAAATTAATAAGTTAATTAATTAATTAATTAAATAAGATTAAATACTGACTGACTGATTGATTGATTTCAAACATAAGGAGATTGATTATAAATAAATTAATTAGCTTTTATCATAAATAGTTATATATTTTGATACTTACTTAAAATATTATCTCTCAATTTACATTTTTATTAGCAATATATATTCTCATAGAAAACACTATGCTTAAATTCTTTGCTACTGGAGAGCATTTCAAAGATAAGATTGATCCTCCACGCTTTCCTCCTTGTTATGCTTCAGCTGTAACTTAATATTCTTATTTATTTTTAAAATTATTATTTGCACATTATGCTTTAATTAGCTGGACTTATTATGTAGAAAAACATTTTTAGCATAAAAAATGCCTTATATTAAAAATGAAGATATTTATTATATGAAAAGGGAGAAGGAGCAAGAATTGAAAATAGAAATTATTCAGATTAGTTTTCATATGATTTCAAATAAGCTGCAAAGCGTTAGCATACTAGTGTTGATTATTCAAAATAATACAATACCATTAACAATAACTACAGTGATTAAAAGTAATAATTAATTGTTTGAAAATTAAACAAAGAAAATCATTTTATAAAAAGTGATTAAAAATATTCATCAAACCCTTTTTAAATAAATTCTAATTTAAAATAATAAAGTAAGTTCTTCTAAAGTAAATACAACAAAATATCTCAAGAAAAGTAATAATTAACAGCAACTGGCTAAACTGATCATAGATAGTAAAACTTAGAAATATGCAATCATTAATCTAATTGGAAGATAGTTAAAGAACGTTCTTTTGCAAAGTAATTAGTCAAAATTTTAATTGTAGTTTCTTTTAATGCTTAAAAAAAAAAAAACATTATTTAGAAATAAAAATTTTTTGTGTAATATTTATTATTATTTAAATAATAATCAATGTTCTTAAAATTATAAAATCAAAATAAATGAAACCTTTGTGTATAAATAATAGTTAAGCAAGACTTCCGAGTGAACAGATAAGATAATCTTAAGTTATTCAAAAGTAAGATTTCGAATCTCAAAAACAGAGCTAAAGCGATTTCATGAAAAAATCATAGTCTTCTTATCTAAATAGAGAAAATTTATTTGTTACTAAACCTTTGGTAAGACTAGATAAAGACTTCAAAGAGCAACCCTTACTTAGAAATGTCTTGTAATCATATGAATTTGAAATTGCATAATAATATAAAATTAAAGAATAAAATAAGCATGTTAATAAATTACTACTTTTAATTAAAAAGGACTGTTTCAGATGATACTCCAAACTGGTGTCAGACTGTTAATAAATTTTACACTGTTGAGAACTTTGATCTAAGCAAAAAATCACGTTTCAAACCTTCTCTAAATACAGATATTTTTGGAAACAAAATATAAAAATACGAAAATAATTTTTTATTTAAATGTATCGAACCAAACTCATCATTAAGATTTGTAATAGGAATAATAAATTAAGAATATTTTACTAAATTTAATTTTATTAAAATAAGGAATAAAAAAAAATGATAGTAGCTGATAAATCTTCAGTTGCAGACATGAAAAAACTCAGTAATAAATTCACGTTTTAATAAATTTTTTAAGTTTATCAATTTTATATTTTTAGAATTAATTAATCTTGATTTTTAAATAGCTAAAGAAGATTTGAAAAGAGGCAAATGCAAAATAGAATGGAATGAATAAATATCAAAATAGAAATTTGATAATCCACCTCCAATAAGGAAAATTGGATTTACATAAGAACCTTTCATAAAATAATTAGAAAGAAAAAGACATCCTAATAAATTAGCTCTTAATAAGATAGGAGAATCAGAAACATATACTAAAATAGATAAAGAAAGACTTACTTAGTTGAAAATAGGTCACGGTACTCCATAAACACTCAATCCTCTTAAATATTGACTTAAATTAATAAATTTTTTCTATATATTTATTTAAATTCTAAATTATTTTGTTTTCGAATATATTAAGTGAGTAAACAAATTTTATTAAAATAAATTCATATACTTATTAAAATTAATTTCAGATTTTTAATAAAATAATTTTCAATAATTTTTCAAATTTATTCTAATTTGATATAATTTAGTTTGTATGTCAAGCTCGTTAATTTAGCTGTAGTATTCATTTAAAAATAAAATTAATTAAATTATAGCACTTTGCAATACTAAAAAATAATCATCACTATTTATTGGCGATGATTTAAATAATATTTAGAAATAAAAATAATTAAATTAAAGATTATGTATATTAAAAAAAAAATTTTATTTTGTGATATATTTTGATGTTTTAAATAAAAGATAGTTAGTGTGTCTCATTTAAATATTTAAGAATTGCATGCAAAAAATTTCAAAAAATTGCTCTAATTAAAATTTTGGATTTTATTTAAGAATTTTTGGACTTAAAATATTATTTAATTAAGCTAATACAATATTATTATTATAAAAAAAAACATAAAAATTAATAATTATATTTTTATTCTATTATTTATTGAATAAAATAATTAATTAAAAAAGCATCTTATCACTATTAATCAAACTGCACTTGCACCCTTCTTTACAATGGTAATTTAGCAAGTTTGATCTTATTCACCAACTTCACATTTCCAACCAGAGTATCTAACGACATTTCCTTCTCTGCTAACAGAAATTATACAGCTAGATATATGTTCAAAGTCATAATTGAAGCTAAATGAGCCATGACACAATCCTGATCCACCACGTAATCCTTCACACTCGAGATTAATAGTAGTTACAGAGTCGTTAACCATTCTAAAATCTGTTGAGCATACTGAGCCAAAAGCAAAAGAAATTGCTAAGGACAAGAGCAATATTTGTAAGAATTGTTTCATTTACTATTTTTTTCTGGTTTAATATTTTTTATTTGATCATTTATTTATTTATGCCAAAATATATCGAGTTTTTATATACATAGAATAAAAATATCTTTAATGATGACTAAAAGTATTAAATTAAGTAATTAAAATACTATATTTATATATTTGAGTTTATACGAGTATTCTAAAAATAGATTTAATCTAAAGTGATATATATATTAGATATCTTTATGAAATCAAAAAATAGATAAGACGCACTTTAATTAAATAATTTAAATAGCATTAACACCTAAAATAAAATTTAATTAAATTTGCTTAACCATTCTAAAATCTGTTGAGCATATAGAGCCAAGAGCAAAAGAAATTGCTAAGGACAGACAAGTACAATATTTGTAAGAATTGTTTCATTTACTATTTTTTTGGTTATTATTTCTGGTTTAATAAATCTATCGAGCTTTTATATACATAGAATAAAAATATCTTTAACTATGACTAAAAGTATTAGATTAAGTAATTAAAATAGTAGATTTATATATTTGAGTTTATACGAGTATTCTAAAATTAAATTTAATCTAAAGTGATATATATTTGATATCTTTATGAAATCAAAAATAGATAAGAAGCACTTTAATTAGATAATTTAAATAGCATTAACACCAAAAATAAAATTTAATTAAATTTGCTTAACCTTAATTTTAATTAGATACTTATTATGCTTATCATCTTCTTTAAATATAGAAATCTTTACAGCTGGAAATTAACATAAATCTATTCTCTTAATTTTTAAATTATTTTTATACTCTTATTTGTAGGGATGTACTAAATTTCACTTAAAATCTCAATATATTTTATTGAATAATTACAAAAATAGCTTTATGAAATTTATCTTTACCTATCACTTTGCTAACCTTTTATTTTATTTAACCAAATTACTTAAAAAAGAAAAAAAAATTTATTAAATGAAACATTTTTATATATCAAGAATTAAACAAACACTTAGATAGAAAATAAAAGTCTTTTGATGGCTTTTTTTATTACTAATAGCAGCATGATGAAGTATTTTGAAAACAGATACATATTATTTTAACTCAAAGTAATAAATTTAGCTTTAAAATTTTTCAGTTTATACGAGTTAATTTTATCAATTTAATAAAAATAGTGCATGAATATAAAATTAAAAAGCAAATAGAAATTTCTTAATTTATGAAATCAAATTTAACATAAATAGATAAATTTGAATTTTTACCCACATAATATGATTATTAAATATTATAAGATTTTAAATTGAATATTGGGAAAATATGTAAACATAAAGCAAATATTTAAATTGAAAATGATAATTAATAATAAGGTTTATAGCTTAAAATTCTTAATATTAATGTTTAATTAATAACTAACTTTCTATTAATAAAATTTGCATTTGTATTTATCTAATTTACATTTTATTTCAAAAAAATTTCAAAGAAACTTATTTATATAATAATTAATGAATTAAGTTATTATAAAAGCTATTTTTAAGATTTATTTTAAGTAAATTATTTGAGCAAGTATTTCTATTCTTCTACTACATATTTAATTGTATGTAACTTTTAATAAATTTTTAAAAATTATAAAATTTTAAGTTAGTTAGAAGGAAAAAATGAAGAAAAAAGATGAAATGAAAAGAAATTAACAACAATAAAAGCAAAAATTGAAAATTAAAAAATGAGTAATAGCTAAATGCCTTTATTTTTTAATAATGTTTTTTAAAAAATATTTATATTATATTTTTATTAAAAATATTATAAATTTTAAATCTTTTGAAAAAATTCAATTTTTTATCAAATTTTTTTAATTTTAGCGTACTTAAATTAGAACACATTCTAAAATTAGAATCAGCTTAAGATAAATTATTTACAGTACATAAATAAATAATAGTGGATTTCTTTTTACTTTTTAAATAAAAAATAAATTTGAAATACATTTTAAGGAATCTTAATTAAATTAATTTGTATTTATTTGCTTAAACTAATTTTTTTGAAATTAACCAAATTAATTAATACATAAATTTTTTACTTGAATTATTTTAAACTAAAAAAAAATAAAGTTTTAAATTAAAAATCAAAAAAGAAAAAATAAAGACTTATAGAATGAAATATCCAACTTTAGAAGCAGTAATTTATCATCTAAATTAATTTCTCTAAGTCAAATTTACCTTTTTATTAAAAAAGTTTTTAAAATCAAATAATTTTAATGATTAATTGATTGAGCTAGATTTTAAGTAAATAAATAAACCTTTTGTCTTTTAAATATATCAATTTTAAAATAAAAAATTTAAATAAGAAATCTTTACTATGGAGTATAGCGCCTATAAAAAATAAAACTAAAATTAGCTTAATATAAAAATCTTCAATAGCTAAAGCTAAATTTAGAGTGAGTTATTTTCTTTTAGTATATTTTATAAAAACTATTTTTCTTAGAAATAACTAACTCAGCCAGTAAGGTGCTTCCTTTTTAGCTTAAGCAATATTAAATCACGCAAACTTAACAAATTTAGATATAAACCTTAGGTAAGTATTATATTTACTTTTAAAAACTTCTATTTATTAAAGATTCGTAATTTTAATACTATTATTATTATAAGCTCGGCCAATTTGTTAAATAAGAAAATGTTTGTTATAAAAATTATAAAGATATTTAATTGAATATTAAAAATGATAAATATATTAATATTAAAATATATAGCTCTAATAATATAAATGATACAGGATCCTCTAATCTAGGCAAAGGTATTGGAGATTGCACTAATCTTACAACTTTAAACTTAAATTTAAAGTAAATACCATATTTAGTCTCGAATATTTTCATTTAAGTATAATTTTTTTTAAATTAAACTCAGCTGTAACAATTTGACTAATGTAGGTCTGTCTAATTTAGCTTTAAGATTAACATAGTGCACAAATTTAAAATATTTAAATTTGTCTATTAGGTAAATATATTTCAAGGTAAAAATAATTCCTAATTTTATTTTTAACTTTTATTTTAGCAATAATAATATCAATGGAGCTAAAGCTTTAGATTTTCTTAATTCAATAAGCTTGTGTTTAAATTTAGTTTATTTAGAGCTTAATTTTGAGTAATTTCTTTATAAATTTGACTTAATATGCTAAATCATAAAAATACTTTTTTTAAGAATAACAAAATATGAAAAATTCAATTTAAATTGAAATTATATTTTGTTATTTATTTGGATATGCTATTCAAAAAATGCTTTTAAAATTTTTTTAGAATTTATTTTATTAATTTATATGATTGATTGTGATAGATTAAAAAAAAAATTTTTAAATAAAAATTTGACTTAAAACAAATTTTTGAAATTATTTTAATTAAATTTAATTAGCTTTACTTAACAATTTAAAAATATTATTTTTGGAGATAAAAAAATGGAATTTATATTTAATAAATAAACAAATATTTAAATCAAATATATTTTTAAGATAAAATAAGTTAGGAATTTAAGGAGCTCAATAATTAGGAACAAGTATAACTAAATGCTAAAGCCTTGAGACCATAAAAATTGAACTATTGTAATTTGTTTCAATTAAATTTAAACTTTTTTATTTCAAAAAACTTATAAATTATCTTAAAGATACAATGTAATTAGTGATAAAGGATTATTTGGATTAACAAACGGATTGATTTAGCTAAGCAACTTAAAAAATCTTACACTTTATTTGAAGTAAACATTTTCTTTAAAATCCAAGCAATCTTTTATCTTAAATACACACATACACTAGATTTAATCAAATAACTGATGAGGGAGCTTCTTAATTAGGAAATTAACTATTAATTTCAAAATCTATAGCTAATTTAACTTTGAAATTGGAGTATAATTTAATTATAATTTATTTATAACTTGATCTATTTAATTTATTTTTATTTTCTTTATATTTAAAAATAGCTCAAATGAAATTAAAGGGTAAGGAGCAATAAATTTGATTGTTTTATTAGGAAAATCTACAACTATAAAAAATCTAATTTTATATTTGAGGTAATTTTTTATTTTTATTTTAGCAAATTAACTTATTTTAGACATTAAGACATATTTTAACTTGGAAAAAATTCAAATTTATTATTTTAGTTGAAATGTTTATTCAATTTTTAAAACAAAATAAAATTAATATTTTTAAAATTGTAAATAAACAAAAAATAATAATATTAAATATGGATATTTAGTGTTAATAATATTTATTGTCAAAAGATAGATTTTTATTTTTAATAAATTGGATTAATTTCATACAATTAAGTTCTATGAGTTTGTTATAAATTATTTCTTAACCTTCATCTATTGAATTTTTATGATTATTAAAATAAATTTTATATATAATCTTTAAAAATATAAAATAAATGTAATAAGTTAGTCTTTTATTTTAAAAAGTAATAATTAACGAAATCAAAATTACCTTTTGTAGTTTAAAATCATTAAAAACTTTATTATCAAAACAGATATAATTAAATTGATGATTAAAATATGAATTAATTTTGTTAAGGAATGTTAAAATGTCAGAATTTAAATAACTTCTAAATTTATATGAGGTAAATTATTTTATTTTTTTTTTCTTAAAGTAACAAATTTAAAAATAATTAGATATAATTGGTTCAAAAGTAACACTTAATCCTTTTACCATAAGATTTTAAAAATGAAAAGATTAGTTTAATATGATTATTTGATATGAAAAATATTAATAATGTTAATTAATTACATCGAATTAAATATATTCAATAAAGAATTTAGTAAAATATAATTAAATAATAAATATTTAATATTTATTGTATTTATAAAATTATATCTTTGAATAATATTAAAATAAGTTTTTTAATTTAATGTTAAAAATTGATTTTAAAAATTGGGTGTAAAAAATTATTCGCCAAACCTCACTTTTCCTCTTATATAAAAATAAATCAAAAAAATAAAAAGCTAATAAATAAATAAAAAGATTAATTTTGTTTTAAATACATTTTTATATTAAAAATATCACTATTCAAAATAAATAAACTATATTTACCAAACAGAAAGTTTAAAATTTGAGAGATGAGTGCAATTTGCTAAAGCAATACCTAAGCCTGTTGCAACTTTTCACCAATTTAATAAATTATTAAATATTGAGAAAAAAAAAATATAATTAATTAGTAAGTTAGAAGGAAAAAATGAAAAAAATATGAAATAATAAGAAATGAAAAAAGAAACAAAGAAAAAACACAAACAGAATAATAAAAAAATAAATTAAATAAAAACCAACAAATGAATTAGAAGATTAGTATTGTTTTAAATTCATTTTTATATTAAAAAGTATCACAATCCAAAATTAATAAACTTTTTTTACTTAAGATCAAGTATTAAATTTATGAGATTAATGCACTTTAATAAAGCAGAATATAAGCTTGATACTACTTCATCATCAATTTAATTTCCACTTTTTAAAAAATCAAGGAAATTTAAAGAATATTGGTAAAAAAGTAAATAATTTCTATTATTAGTAATAAAATTTATTTGATTTTATCATTTATTTTTATTTTTTTTCAAAAATATAGATTAGTAATTTATGGAATTTTAATTAATTAAATTTTTATAAAAAGTTTATTTTCAAATGGATAGAGCGAATTTTATTTCTAAAAAAAGGAAAATTTTGTTATCAATTTATTTAAAAAATAGATAATAATTTAAAGCTTCAAATGAAATTGAATATATTTATTTATTTATATTTTAATTTATTAGACATCAACTTAGCTTACATTATTTTGAATATAATTTCAGGATAGAAACTAGTTTAATAAATAAATTAAATATTTAAGACAAATATTTGAAACTCTAGTGATATTCTATATCTAGATTGGCTCTTTAAATAGCAAATAGAATCAACAAATACATATCTATAATAGTAAAATGTAATTTTTTTTATTGAATTGAAGTTATTTTTATAAAATTTTAACAAGTTTAAACCCGAATTATATTTGATATTTCATTTTCTTTTTTGTTCATAAAGGTGATTGTTTGGATAAATCATAAAATTAAATTTACATTAATTCAACCAAATATTGAGGACAATATTTTACTTGAGAAGATTTTTATTTTTAAAAATTTTGATAATCTAATTCGTGCGATTTTTCTTTCCTTATGATTTTTAATTACTAATTAAGAGTAAGTAAAAAAATATAAAATTAATATTTTTTATCATATGAACAAAATAATAATTTAAATAGCATTGAGCTATAATTAGTAGATATTTTTATTGATTGAAAATAATTAGTTTTAATTGTTATATTAAATCTTTGTAGGATGATATCTAATCAGATTTTATGGAATTTAATAGAGTAAACTAAAATCTACAATTAATAAAAAAGATAAGTCAAAGACTATTGTTAGGTGGTAAATAACCTTAAGGTATTTGGTAGTATGAATAAATGTAAATTGATATCAAAAAAAATTTAATAAGAAACTATAAAATTTCTATTATTTTTATAAACATTTAATAAAAGACTAATTAGATTTTGTTTTTTTTTGTTTTTGATTTTAAATCCATCTAAATTATTAATTAAGTAATTAACTAAAAGAATAAATTAAAAGCTAACAAAAATTTAATCTAGAGAACATGGAAAGTGAACTCTATAATAAAGAAGAAATAGTTTAAGATTTAGTATAATAAATCAAAATTCTTAAGGCAAACTTCAACCATTATTTTATATTTTTTATATTACAATCTTAACTATGAAGATCAGAATAACCAAAAAGAAATTCAGTGTAATTTTTATTATTAATTTTTAGCTTTATATATTTTAATAGCCATAAAAATAATGTTCTAAGTTTGATTATATTTTTTGAAACTTCTAAATAAAAGAGCCAAGAAGTAATAAAATTTTAACTTATTTTTATGAAATATAAAGTGGGTGCACCATAAGCTGATGGAGCTAGAAAGAAAAAGAAAAAGAAGAAGAAAAAAAGAGTTGAAGAAGAGGAATAAGTTTAAGACCAATAAATTGAAATTCAGTAGGAATAGGCATATGGTAAAAAATACAAGAAAATACTAAAAGTTTTTAAAATATAAACCAAAGAATTCTTTTGAATGAAAAAAAATAGTTTTTGATATTCAAGAAAAAGGTTTTTCATTAGAATGTAAATTTAATTTTTTATTTAAAAGATGAGGCATATGCAGAAAATAAGCAAGTTGTAGAAAGTGCTTTAGACTCGTTTAGAGCAACTACTTCTAAAAAGCCTTAGCAAGAAGAAATTATTGATTTAAACCAAAATAATGATGCAATTGATTAAATTTTGCAACAAGATCAGCATCAAATTGTCTAGTTAGATGATGGTAATTATTAGTAAATCTACTACGATTAGCAGTAGCAATAAGATTAGATCAATAACTAGGAAGGGTTTGACTAATCTACTGTGAAAAAGAAAAAAAAGAAGAAAAAAAAGAAACAAGTTGAAAACTCTGAAATTTAAGATGGAAATTTTGCTAGTGAAATTGTAAATCCTGAGAGTAATTATCAAGAAAGCAACTAATAATAACCATAGTAAATGTATGGTACAGATCAAGGATAGACCTTAAATGGAAACGAACAGAAAGCAGATATCGATTAATTGATCAATGAATTGTAATAAGAAGACCACTAAATGTAAAACCAGTAAAATATAACCTCACAAGAATAAAATAATATGCTTTTTACAGATAATAACTTATTTCCTACTCATCCTAACAATACCATTAATGATACAGAATAAAACGAGCTTGTGCCTCCCGTTAAAAGTATTTTACTTAAATTAATACCAAAAATACAAACAAAAAGTCTAATTTTAAGTTTTTTTGCTAAAAGATAATTTGAGTAAGGTTTTTTTGTGGATAAAAAATAAATAAATACACAAAATTTAATTTTTTAGCGAAATGCTGTTAACGTTGATTAATTTATATTTGTTAATTAAATTGGTTGATTTGTTAATCAAAATTATCGAAAAAGTAGAAATTTCAACTCAAATTATAGTAAGCATAAGCAAAATTAAAAATGATGAGATATCTATCAATCTAACTATTGTTAAGAAAATAAATTTTAAATTTGTTAGATAAATAAAAGCTTTTTGATAATGTTATTTAATTAATTAATGAATATTTTATTTTGTTGTTAAAGCTAAGAAAAAAAAGAAAAAGAAGAAAGCAGAAAACTCAACATAAGATGAAGAAAATAGCAGAGTAGTTTTATTGGTTGATTCAATAAATCACCTTGAAGAATAAGGAAATCATGTGAGCGATCAGAGTAAATTTGTTAATTATTATGCGAAAATGCAAATTAAATGAATAATTGGAATAGATTTGAGTCCTGAAAAGCAAAGAATAATTAAAACTGCGGAGAAACATAACATCGGGAGAGATCAAATTATCTATGAAGAAGAATGTAATACTTTGTTATAAATAATAAATTTTATAATTATAATTAGACTCTTTTTAAAACAAAAACTGTAATCTAAATTAAAACTCATAAATCACTCTCTAATTTTTTTTATTTTTCAATAATCAAATCATGCAAACTTACAATTTCTTATGACTAATAAACAAACTATTAATCAACCATTACTTTTTAAAAGCAATTTATTTTTAGTTAAAAGCTGTCAAATATCTTTTTTATTTATTGAGAGTGTTTAGTTAGTATTGTTGTTGTTTATTTTTCATAGTGAATTTACCCAAAATATTTAAATTTTTAATTTACTCATTTTTTTACAGAGAAAGAAGTTCATGAAGATTTTAATCAAAGTATGTATAAAGGCGTTAATCAAAGTCTTGTTTATGGTAATTCCTCTCAGTTAAATGAGTCTCTAGTTCAAGATGACCAGAAGTTCATAAGGGAAAACTAAGACAATAATATTATTAGATCTCAGTCACGCATGAATAATGATCCAATTATATTGAACCAAGCAGAAGATAATTAAGAGCAATTTTAGGCAGATCAGAATAATTAAATGAGCGCTCCATATGGAAATAATTAATTACAAAATCCATCTGAATTCAAGCAATCAGCTTGCAAAAGAATATGTACTAAGTTATGCAATGCCATTTAATATTAAAGTCAAACTAAACCCTATGAGTAAAAATCAAAAATAGCTAAAATTTTCTCTTCAAATCCTCAGCTTTTACGTCCTAAAATAAAACCTCTAGACATATCTTTTGGAAATAACAAAGTGAATTCTTAATTATAAAATAGTATTGCTCCTGCTAAAAATAGATTCACCTTCACTCTCTACTTATTATTGCAAATTGCCTTCAAAAAAATAAATGTTTATTTCTTCTTTTTAGGTGTCATCGCATCTGTTATTTATTGGTAGAATTCGAGAGTAACTATTTTCCATAACCTTCTTAAATCATTTTAAAAATCCAAATAGCCAAATTATTTTTGAAAATTTAGCAAAAAACAAAAAAATAAAATAGAAAATAAAATCAATAAATAAATAAATAAAACTCGCCTAAAATCCTTATTATTAATTAGGATTTTTTAATTGATTGATGATTTTTGCTAAATTTATCAAATTCTTTTACAAAATTAAATTAAAAAGCAAGCTTCAGTTCAGATTATTAATCAATTAGTTCGAATATTTTTAGGTTTATTTAATTAAAATGTTATTATATTAAATAAAAAGAATTTCCCATGCATGATTGCTCTATATTTATTCTCAGTTTTCTCCTAGTTAGTTATTGACTACAATTTAAAGAAAAGAAATTTTTATTTCTGCTAAGCTGTTGATAATTAGACTGTTTAAAAAAGCTCTAATGGAAGCTTTGTATCCTGTAAAAGAGGTGAACTGAGACAGGGTGACATTGTTAAAATAAAATAAGGTGAATTTCTTCCAGCTGATTTGATTTTGGTTTCATCTTCAGGTGAAGACATATTTATTAATTTGGATTCTCATGGCTCTCAGGTGTGTATTTTTTATGAAGTAATTTTATCTAAATTTATTTAAAATAAATTAGTCTGGTTTTGAAAGAAAATATGTACCTTAGCAAATAAGAGAGCTGGATAAGTCTTAACTAATTAGCAATGCCTTTAGTATAGATGGTACTATTAAGTCTAATAGTGATACTCTTTCTATCTAAGAGGGTAAATGGGAAGGAACATTTAAGTCATCTGCAGTAAATTCTGGAAACGAATTTTAAATCACGTAAATTGTTAAAAAAAACATATTAATGATTAATTTTTACTTAATGTATAAAGAGAAGAGAACATTGGCATTAAAAATATGAGATTGCTTAATTCTGATTTTATCATTGGAATTGTTTTGTTCACTTCATAAAAATCTAAATACAATGGAGTTAATTTCTAAAGAGAAACATTTTAACATATTTTGAACAGTTTCATCAACTTACACGTCTTCTTTTCACTTATTTTTATTATAGTTTTTGCTATTATTTTTGCCATCCTTGGTAGCTCCTTCGCTTCTGATGCCTTAAACAACTACCATTATCTTAAAGTATTATCAATTATTATAATTTATATAATTTAATAAGGCTAGACCGAATATTTTGTTTAATCGAATATTTTGTCTATTCAGCATTGGGCAATTAGCATTCGGTTAATTTTTAGTGAGAAATAAATTATTCAGCCGAATTTTAATATTTATCGTATCTATCCCTATAATTTATAATAATAAATATTATTTGAAATAAATTACATCAGCAAGTAGATCCAGTATTTAAGGTATTCATGAATTATCTTGTAATCCTTACAAGTACTCTTCCAACTTTCTTATATCCTGTTTTAGGAGCTGTAGATTTGTTGTAAACATACTTAATTAACAGAATGCCAGACGATTGGGATGACATTATAGAGAGTTAAAAGCAGATGAATGCCATTTCGTTTACTTAATTGGATTAAGAAATGAAACCCTTAGATGCTAGTAAATCTTATTACGAAACTAAACCTAAGTAGAGAATATTAAAAAGTGAAAAAGAATTTTAAGAAAGCAAAAAGAAGCTTAATTTTGAGGATGAGAAGAAAAGAGTTGATCTCAATAAAAGCACTGCCACTTAACAGGAGCCTGGTAAATAAATCAAATCAAAATAATTTATTAATACTAAATCTTAATAAATAAATAATTAGAAGCAAAGAACTAAAAGAAAGAAATTAGTAAATACAAAGAAATAATTTTTGATGGATAAAAAATAAGTTTCTTAGGAAAACTTAATGTAATTGTTTCCGATTTAGAAAATGTAAATGAGAGATATACTGAATTCTAAGGATTTACTGCTTACGATATTGGTTTTGATTAAAACAATAACTCAGTAATTAGCTTTTTTAAAAATTAAATAATCTTTAAATTAAATAAATGTTTTTTTGAATGAAATGCAAAATCAAAAATTTAAATTTTGTTTAATTCAAATATTTTAAATTAATTGTAAATTTTAATAGATTTATTACAGAATAAAATGATTAATTCAATTATTTGGAAAATAAAAATTGTTAATTAATTGAATCTTTATAAAAAACAGCATTTATTTGATGGAATGGGAGAAAGATAAATTCAGTAGGTAGTTAAACTCTTCAAATTTGGCTTGATGTCGAATGGAAAATATTAATAAACAAAAGAAGATATTGCTTTAAAGGAGTACTGTGAAAAACTGGAAATCTTTTATACAAACGGAGAAGAGCAAAACTAATTTATAATCAGTACAATGAACGTGGAAGAAAATTTCACTTTGAACTTTTAGTAAGCTCCTAGTGCTGATAGACCTTACTAAACAAGTTATATATCTAGAACAAACAGTGATAATTAGCTATTAATGAGAGGTTCTCCAGAAGTAGTTATGGATAAAATGATTATGGATAATGAATTATCAGAGAGTATTAAGCTTTCTATTAAGTAATTTAGAGCTAGAGGATATACTTGCTAAATTCTTGCTACCAAACATGTTGACGATAGATTCTTTGCAGTATTAAGCGATCTCAAACAGAATACAGTTTAAACAGATCAACTTTTAGCTAATATCGAAAATAACTTAGAGTATTTAGGTTTATTTGCCTTTAAAACATTTTACAGAGATCCTTTCAACAGATTAACTCAATCAAGTATTAAGCCTTGGTATCTTACTGAATAAAATTATAACTAACAGTAAAATATCTTCAAAGAAAACTCACTTGCTCCAACATTCAGAATCTCCTAATAAGATCCAACCCTTCTCATTAAAGAAATTGACTTCTACTTCAAATAATATGTAAAATTAAATCTTCAAATATTTTTTTAAACAAACAAACAAAGTTATTTTTTAAAGAAAAAAAAATTAAAATTTTACTTTTAAAAAAAAAGAAAATTTTTTTATATTTATAAAATAGCGAATTTTCTCAAGTATGATTTCTCTTCATATTTGAGTAGCTATTTTATATTATTATCACAGATAAATCTTAATATATTTTTATATTGAGAAGCTATATCTTTATTATGAATAATAATTGATTGTTAATTAATCAGTTATTTTTACTATTTTATTCTTTAAATATTTTAAATTTAAATTAATCAAAAATAATTAATTAATTTATTTATTTATTAATATATTTTACTATGATTTTATGAATAGAAACTAAGCACGTTCGGATCTAATATTGTTAGTTAGATATCTAGCTATAAGATAAAATATAATATGGAATCGGATGCCAAAGTTCTTTAAACACTATTTAGCTCTCAAGACCAAAACATGCAAATTTTCAAAGTGATGTTTTTCACTATGATGTTACATGCATAAAATTGTGTCATATGGGGTATGAGTCCTTTACTAAAATAAACTTTGATTTCATAGGTGAAAGGATGTATATCTCCTTCTCTAAACTTCTTGGCAGTTGGCTCAAGTGAAAAAGATATTCCTTTAATGTAGACCTCAGATGTTTCTCTAGTTTACAGTAAAGAAGGAGAGGATAATTCAAATTAGTAATCTATATTACCATATGCTGATGGTTAATTCACAAGTTTCAAGCAACTCAATTATCTTATATTATCATATGGTAGACAGCATTATCACAAAAGCTAGCAATTATGTACTTATATGATAGAAAAGAGTATAATATTTACAACTTTAGAATTAATTTATGCTTTCCATGTGATGTACTCTGGTTAATTGTTTTTCTGTAATTTGATCTATTTCTTCTATGAGTTCCTATTCGCTAATTGGGGTGCAGCTTTCTTTTACCTCTTAGATTTCGATATCTAAATGTATTAGCAAATTGAATATCCTTAAGTTTATCTCTAAGGAAGTCTTCAAAAACTTACCTCAATACCTAAATATTTCTATAGAGCTTTTCTTTCTTTGTGCTAAGGAATATTTATTTTCTTTATTACCTCCTACGTAATCAAACATATTTTTTTTATTATTTTTCATATTAAGAATATTCATAGGCTAAAGATAGCTAAATACATTCAAATATTAACATATTTTTGAAGTGAAATTAATATTAACTAAAAATACAAGTCTATCGTACTAAAATTTATTGAATTTATAATTTGAATGGCTTTACAATTATTAGTGAAAACATAAAAGCAAATTAATTTCTTTTATAAATTTATGTTTTAATTTTTGATAAAGTTTTTGTTGAATTTTTTCTTTCCCTCATTTACAAATTTTATTTGAATAAAATCTAAGATAATTTGATTAAAATTTTATAAATAATGAATAGACTTTGCAAGAAGCTGTAGATGGAACAGGTGTTGTTATGAACCATGGTTTCACATAAATTTGTGCTTTGTTTACCATTTTTAATTTGATGAAATACAAATAAATAGTTCATTCTACAAATATTTCATATCATTAGTAACACTTTTTAACTTTTTTTTTTTACCTAAGTGTTTTATTTGAAATTAAAAAATAGTTGGGTGATGGTTATTGATTACATCCTATTTATTATAGTCATGTTCATAATACAAACAAAGGGAATTTCTAGAATTTCATATAATAATTTGGATAAGATGGTCAGTGCTTTCTTCTCAAGCACATCCTCATTCTTCATATTCCTAACAATTGGATTTATTTGCCTTATTCCTGAAATTATCCAGCTTGTAAATGAGAGATTAATAAACAGAAATCCAATTTATAAAATAATTGGCTTCAACTATGGGCTCTACGAAAGGAGAGTAGGTGCAAATGTGCCAATACTAACACAAAATGTGTACTATACAAACTAAGTAGACAACTTTGCAAAAATAGCTCCTGAAGAGAAATCAAAAATAGGGCTAAAAAAGCTAGTTTCTTGAAATATAATAGAGAGAAATTTAGTTAAGATTAGAATATTAAAAATAATTAATAAATCATTAACAATTTAGAATAGACTCAGTAACAAATTTTCATTATCATTTTCTATGTAATCATTTTATCAATATATATCAATTTATATTCAAAACGTAGTCAATTCTTCTTTAAAAACAAAATATTTTGACCAAAAAATTATAAAAAAATTGAAATATCATAAAAATCTAAAAACAATTTTTTCAAACAAAATATTTTAAAAAAATATCCTCTAAAATTTAATCTGAAAATTTTTGTTTAATTTCACATTAAACTTATTTTATTTATTTATTTTTAAGATGAAATGATGGAATCATTATTTTTGTTTAAAATAATAAATGATTTATTGTCTCTTTATTTTAGAAAATGAAATAAAATACACCATAAAATAAATATTTCTTAAATTAATTTTCTTGATGTATTTTATTGAATTTCAAAATTTTTCTTTCTTAAATTTTTTATAAGATATCAAATGAGAAGATAATAATTATTTTTTTAATTTTTGTATGGATAAATGATTGAGCTTTAACATTTTTTATAAATTTATATTAATTAAGTGAAAAAGAATGTCTAAAATTCACCATATTTTTAATTAATTGTTCCATAAATTCTACTTGTTCTTAGAAAATTTTAATCCTTTATAATTAATTTGAAAAAATTTTTGACTTGAAGCATTTTCTGATAAGAGTTTATAAAATATTCTTTTTTAAATAATATATTTTACAGGAAAAAAACAATTATATAGAAAAAATATATTTTATCAAGAAATAAAAAACGAATTTGAAGTTATTAGTTAAAATTTGCTCTAGATTAATTACAAAAGTAATTTTAATAATATTTTAATAAAGAGTAAGTGATTTTTGTGTTTATATTTGTATTTATCTTTTAAGATTCATATTAAGTTGAAAAAAATTTGTATAAATACATAAACTTTACATGTTTAAAAATATAAATACTGTATAATTGATTGAAAAGAGAAATCCAAAATTTAAATTATTTTAATTTATTATAAATATATTTTACTTATTTATCTGCTTAAATGAATATTGTCATTCAATTTTAATTGTGTTTAATTGCTTTTGTCATTTTTTATTTTATTTAAAACAATAATTTTAATTATTTCATTATTTATTTTTACTTTCTAAATCTTTTAACTATTTTTTAGTAGTCTTTAACATGTCTTTTAATGCTTATTCCTTCTCTTAAGCAACTCTTTTCAGCTCTTTTTGGATTTATTTTACTTCCAAATCTAGAAGTTCTTGCTTTTAATTGTATTCATCACAAAGCTCATGGATTCTTGAAAATGTTGAAAAATTGTATTCGTCTCTTGCTAAAAATCCGCAGTAAGCGCCAGCTATTATTCCTAAATAGCCAAAATTACGCGCAACTCTTACTAAAATCTTTTCAGCCATTGCAGATGATGCTAAATTATAAAAATTTTAATTAAAGAATAGATCTATTTTTTTCTACTTTTATAATAAAGAATAAGTAGGTTTGTTAAGATGCAAATATTATACGTAATAATTAATATTAGTGAAAGCGTCAACGAGATTATATTTCTCGATTATTCTTCTAAAACAAATAAAGAATATGCAATTAAATTTTAATAAGTTTTGCATACATTTAATATTAAAGTTGAAGTCATTCAATATTCATATGCAAATCAGATACATTTATTCAATTACGTTCATTAATTCAATCCAAGAAAATTAAAAGGAATCTAGAAAAAATATTTATTATTAAACAGGTTGCAACTATAATAAAATAAATTAATATAAATTCCTTTAATTTATTCTACTAAGTTAAGTCCTAAACAAGATTATGTTCGATTGCATTTAAATTGCTTTACTTAAGCTAGATAAAATTAAACGTCTGAAATAGATTTTCTATTTACAGAGATAAGTAAAAATATTTATTGATTGAATGAGTGTTGTTGATGATTATAAGACTATTGTCTATTCGCAGATTACTTAATTATAATTTAACTCTATTTGTTTATTTAAAGTAGAGAGAATATGTACTAAAGTGATGTAAGATGGTTTCACCAATAATTAATGCAAATTTAATTTTTTACGGCTTGTATGACGTAATTTTCGGTATTTATCTGCTAATTAGGCAAACATATTAAGATGTATAAATACCTTCTATCAGATATGTTATTACGCTGATTGATGCATTCATTCCCTCATCAATCTCTCCTTAAACGTATTTCTTTAATAATATTTAAGAGATTTAAAAAATAATCAACTAAAATTTCCAAAAGAAAAAAAAGTAAAAAAATTTATTAGAAAAAAAATAAAAGCAAAAAGGATTTTCGATTACTTTTAAAAAAGTTAGAAAGAAAGAATTTTATATTTAAAAACAGGAAGGTGGACTAAAGTCTAGAAAAATAAAAGCTTATTTAAAGTCATCAATAATTTAGCATATTTAAAGCCTATTGATAAAAAATTTCCTTGAAAAATGAAGAAAATGCAACTTTACATTCTACCTGTTAACAACAGAGTAGTATTTCCATACTAAACCATCAACATAAGGATTCCTGAAACTTACTAATATGATGGTAAATTCATTGTTATATTCTATAAAATTAATTTACTTTTATAGACTAATGCTTAATTAGCATCATTCTAAACCAAATAAACATAAGACTTTTTTAAATTACTCATTGAAACAAATTTATCAGTTTATTCTTTATCATTTAGTTTTATGATTACTTAGTCTGAATAAAATGTTTAAAATAATTTAAATTATAGCTAAGAAGTTCAACAGCATGATAGGTGTTTTACCAAATTTAGATCCTACTTTGTGCAAAGAAAAAAATATCGAAACAATCGAAAATTTTGCTAGATATGGAACTATATTGAAGATAACCAGTGAAGATAGAACTTTTTATACATTTACAGCTGGTTATTAAAAAAATCATAGAGAAGTTAGGTATTACGGAGCATTCGCATTTGGTCGTTTTAAAGTAATTGATTTTGATAAAACCTCTCCTTATTACATCGCTAACGTAGAATTGATTTCAGATGAAATCCCTCCTGAAATAGAAAAAGCTGTTAAAGCTGACAATACCATCTCTGACTTCCGTAATTTAGCTAAAACCTATGTAGAAATAGTTTGCAAACCTGAAGCTGTCCCGCCTAAAAAGCAACTTATAGAGAATGAATAATCAATCAATAAGTTAGTTTTTTCAGTAGCTAATTATTTGGACGTTCAGCCAGAGGTAAAGCAAGTCATTTTACAAGTTAATGAAATCAAAGAGCGTATCAAAGAAATATGCAAAATTTTATAATCAAAAAACGATGAGCTCAAACTTGCTAATGAGTTAGAAAAGAAAGTCAAAAAAGAAATGTCAAATGAATCACAATCCCGTCAATTAATTCTTCGTCAACAACCTCCATAATATGAAATTGGAGGATTCAATGTTTCTCCTGAAGACGAAATGTCTCAACTAGAAATGCAAATTAAGTAGAAGCAACTACCAGAAAACGTGTTTAATGCTGTAATGAGAGAATTTAAAAGGTAAATAAATAAATAAATTAATTAAGTTTTATTTAAAAATTAAAAAGTAGTAGTATCTATTGCTATCTAGCATTCAAATTAATTACAAAATTTTTATTCAAAAACTAAAAAATACAAATTTTTCAAAAAAAAATATGAAGTAAGGAAAAAAATATTTTTATTTGTTTATTTCTTTCTTTCTTTGTTAAAGGAAGAAAATAAGTGTTAAAATATCGAAAAATTTTTAAATATTATGTTTAAGATATACCTGAAAGCAAATTAAATAGAACATGCTAAAAATTATTAAATATCATTTTTTGTTATAAATTAATAATTATTTTTTTTTAATTTTTAAAATCTAAATTGTTTTTATAATATAAAAAGATTGAAAAGTATTAGAAGTCAAAACGCAGAAACTAATGTGATTAGGACTTATATTGATACTGTGTTGGAGCTTCCTTGGAATGAAACAACTTAAGATACTTATGACTTAAAGTTAGCAGAAGAAATATTACATAGAGACCATTCAGGATTAGAAAAAGTTAAGAAAAGAATTTTAGAATTCCTTGCTGTTCGCTCTTTGAAAGGAAACTCTAAAGGAACAATTATTTGTCTTTGTGGACCTCCTGGTGTTGGAAAAACATCTTTAGGTAAATAAGAATAAAATGAAGTTATTATTTTTTACTAAAAAAGTTCATTTATATATAGGAAAATCTATAGCAGATAGCTTAGGAAGAAAATTTGAAAGAATATCTTTAGGTGGTGTTAGAGATGAAGCAGAAGTTAGAGGACACAGAAGAACTTACGTTGGTGCTCTCCCTGGTGTTATTATCCAAGCTTTAAGAAAGTGCTAATCTAAAAATCCAGTAATTTTACTTGATGAAATCGATAAAATAAATAGAGATTACAGAGGAGATCCATCTAGTGCCTTATTGGAAGTTCTTGACCCTAACTAAAATTCTACATTTACTGATCACTATCTTGCTTTGCCTTTTGATCTTTCTAATGTGATGTTTATTGCTACTGCAAATTAATTGGATACAATTTAAGGACCTCTTCTTGACAGAATGGAAGTTATTTAAATTCCAGGATACACTTTGGATGAAAAGAAAGACATTGCTCACAAGTACTTAATACCAAAATAAATTGAAGAAAACGGAATCAACTAAAGTATCATTGACCTTGATAAAGAGTCAGTTGATTTGATTATAAAGGCCTATACAAGAGAAGCTGGAGTACGTCAATTAGAAAGAAACATAGGTTCTGTTTGCAGAAGTGTTGCTGTTAAATATTCCACCCACAAATAATCTCACAAAGACAAGCCAAATTTGCCTGTAAATTTTATTAAAATTATAATTCAATTAATTATTTTATTAAATGTTTCTGAGAATAAATCCTTTTTTATTGGATTTTAAAATTTCAATTTGAATTATTTCATATTTTATTTTAATTTGAAATATTTCTTGACTAAATTTTTATTCGAATTAAATTTTGATCTAAATAGGAATTCTAAAAAGTAAAAATAACTCCTGATTATGTGAGAGATGTCTTAGGCATTGAAATATATGATGAAGAGGAAATAAAAGACCGTATTAATTCTCCAGGTATAGCAGTGGGAATGGCTTATACAGCTGTTGGTGGAAAAACATTGATCATAGAAGCAAGCATGAGTTAAGGAAGCGGTAAATTTAAATTTCTAAATTCTTGAAAAATTCTAAGTTTTGTTTTAATAATTTAGGTAAAATTAACTTAACTGGTTAGTTAGGCGATGTTATGAAGGAATCTGTACAAACTGCTATAGGATGGATTAAATCAAATTGGTAGAACATTCAATTCATGATGAAAGATCCTGATATTTTTAAGGCTGAAAAATTATTTGACAATATTGATATTCATGTGCATTTCCCTGCAGCAGCTACACCAAAGGATGGTCCTTCAGCTGGTATTACAATCACAACTGCATTAGTAAGATATTTAAATCTTTTTTTTTTTTGTAATTGTAAATAATTTATTATTATAATAGCTTTCTTTACTTTCAATGAGAAAGATTAGAAGTGATATTGCTATGACTGGTGAAATAACTTTGAAGGGTTTAGTTCTTCCAGTGGGAGGAATTAAGGAAAAGGTATTAGCCGCTTATGCCAATGGTATCAAAACGTAATTAAAATTTTTAATGAAAGCTATTAAAATTAATTTATTTTAATTAAATAATTAGAATCATTCTACCTTACAAGAATCGCAAAGATACAGAAGATATCACTCCTGAGATTAAGAAAAACATAGAGTAAATAAATTAATTGATAAATTTAGTAAAAAATGAATATATTAATAATTATTTAATAAAAAAAATAAATAGTTTTAAGTTTGTAAAGAATATATTCGAAGTTCTTGATATTGCATTTGATGAATAAGAAGAACTAAGCTTACGCAAGGCTAAATTTGAAGCCGATCAAATGAATAAACAAAGCAAGCTCTGATAAAAATATAAAAAAAACTAACTACTCATTTTAATTTTATAATTAATAATTTACTATTTATATGTAAAAACTATTCATTCATATGTCTTCTTTTTATTTTTATAAATAAAGCTCAGCCATTTCTCTATTTATTCTTTCAATTAACACTCTAATTTTACAATTACATTTAAATTTTAGTGAAATACTTAAAAAATAATTCCAAATAGAAAAATTATGCAATTAGGTTGAATTAAGAAAGTTAAATATTTAATTTAAATAAATTCATTTATTAAAGCAAAATTTATTTTTTTTTTAATTTATTTAAAAATTAAAGAATTTAAATCAGTTTCTTTAAATTTATTAAAAATTTATTTTAAAAACTGGTTATTTTATTTGTAAATAAATTTAAATGATTAACTTAAATAAAGTGATTGTTTGCAGATTAAATCTAATATTCGTTTGTTTAAGGATAAAGACATAAAAGGTATGTATGCATGTATTTACATTTCTCAAATATTATAAAGTTATAAAAAACAAGTTATAAATTTTTTAGTTCAAACAATCTTTTCAATTTCATGAGCATAACTTAGTGCTGTTGAAATAAGAAATTCAGAGTTGAATAATGCTTTTTTATCAGAATCTTTATGACGGAAGACTAATCTATTATTTTCGAAAACCCAAGAAAATCCTTGTTCCTTAAAAAAAATAATAATTATTGATTAATTAATTGCTCATTCAAATAGTTAATTTACTTCTCCTTATTTTGATTGTTCAGCTGAAAAGCTTTTAAGTTAATCGGCATTTTGAAGGTTAAATAATTTAATTGCATCATTTATTGATAAACTTTCATAGGCTTTTTCAGCACTTCTAGCAGTTTCAAATCTGTTTTTTTAAAATTAATATTAATTTCTTAGCTTTTATTTGTTTCTACTAATTTATTTGTTATAATTCCCTTAATAAACTCTATTAACAAACGCTCTCTAACACATTTAATGAATCATTTAAATTCATTTTTTATAAATATAAAGAATAAATCTCTTAATCAGTTAAAAATCAAAAGAATATCCTAAGTTACCTAATAGTTTCGAAGATTCTATCCAAGAATATATCGAAGTGAGCAAGAGGAGACTTGTTTTTAGAAAGGAGAGCTTCAGAGTAGTTACCAATAGCCAACTACTTTTCTAATTCAGTAACGAATTGAATAAATTAATTATTGTGCAAGTCTTCAACTGGAACTAACTCCAAAGCTGAATGGTATTCAGTGTTTCTATTTAATAATAAAATTTATTAATTCTATTTTAAAATTTATTTATATTGAATTACTTATTGAAAGAAAGAAGATATAACAAATTCAATGCAATAATTTAATTTCTATCTTGAGAAGCTGGCAATTAAGGATAATTTTCGTAATAAGCTCTTAAGTAATTAATTGCTGACTCAAAGCTTTGAATGTTTTTGGATTAAATGCTATGTAAAATGCACAATTCGTGGAAACGTCCTTTTTTAAAACAAATATTTAATACTCCCAATTTATCGTTTTATCTGTTTTATGAAATAATTTAGAGATTAAAAATTAAAGCTGTTCATTACTGGATGCAATCAACTCTTATTCATTTTTTGTTTTAGTGAGAGGATCATTACTGGGTAGGAGGAATATAATACGCTATTTGTTTTTATAAAAGTAAATGTTTGATATTTAGAAGTAAATGATTTATTGATTGATTAAATTCACTTAAAATAGATACTAAACTTAATTTTTTCTTTTAAAAGAAATACCTTTAACTAAGATATTAATTAGCCTACTCTAGGAGCATTGCTGTTAGAAGCTATTAAAGTTTCAAATTCTGCTAAGAGAGGTTAAGCTTACTATAAAGTCATTGTTGTAATTTTATTTTATGAATTTAAAATAATCTAAAGGTAGGATCAGCTAAATATTGATTACTTGCTATTTTAATTGATTTTATTTGGATTAAATATTTCTATTGGAATCTTTCAAAGATTTTTATTTTTTAAAAACTAAACAATCAATAAAATTAGTATCTAATTAACCTTTTAAATTACTAAATATATATGTATATATATTCTCTGCGCTCTCTCATGCATACATTAATGCACTATCTTTTCTTAAATGCATAACAAAAGATCAGAGAGATTTATTCGCTTTTCTGAATTCTTTTGTTTGATTCTTTCATCTTTCTTAAAAACTGCAAGTCTGATAGAATAAAAGCTCTCTCACTCTCTCTATCAACCAATAACCTAAACGGATAAATTATATCTAAAATTTCAAATTGATTTTTATTCAAAATTAATTTAAAATTAATAATAAAATTAACAAATAAAATATATTATTTATATTAAAATGAAATTTCTTCTTTTATATTTTTCTATATTAAAGTTAAAATATTTTATAAATTAAAATATTAATAATAGGAAATCTTAATTAAAAATAATGATTATTTTTTATTTTAAGCTATTCTCAAAATTCAGAAATATTAAAATTTTTGATTAAAAATTAGGACTATTAAAACCATAAAAGGAAAATAAGCTAATATTTTAAAAATTTACATAGTAAAAAAACAAATTAAATAAAAAGGAAAAACATTTTTTAATTAATATATTCAATAAAGGTTGATTAATTTTTCATTAATATTTATTTATTTATTTTAAAAAAGTTTAATTTATTAGTAAGCAAGCAATCATTTGAATTTACAAATAATAAATAATTAAATTATTTAATACAGTAATAATTTTTTATTTTAATTCAAAAATAATACACTGCAAAAATAAAATATTAAATTTGCTGAAGTTTATTTAAAATAAATAGTAAATATGTTTTAATATTAATTTAAAAAAGAAAATTACTTTTTTTATATTGTAATTCAAAATTCTATCAAAAAATAAATTAATTTTGTAAATATTTTTTTTAATTTACTTTTGAAGTTTCAAAACAATTTATTAAATATGAATAAAATTTTACAGATTAAAAAATAAATAAATATAAAGCATTAAATTAAATATCTTTTATTAATATTTTTTCAAAATCAATAAGTATTATCATACTTTTAGCCTTTATTTTAGGAATTTCTCTTTATCAAAAAATGATATTTTAAAACATAATTTAAGAGAAAAAAGTTGAGTAATTCTAAATATTTTTTGTATTTTTTAGAAAAAAAACAAACACATTTTAATCCATTTTGATTATTTATAGAATTGCTTTTATATTAAAAATTCTTTAATAGTTTATTTTGAATAATTTTTTTTTAGATTTAATCAAAAATTTTCAAGAGCTTTTTCAATTTTATATAAAAAATAAGATTTTATTTGGTTTTTAAAATTAAGTAAAACATTTGGTTAAAGTTTTCTCTTTTATATAATTTATACTAATTTTTTTCAAAAATATGTTATAGAAAAAAGAGGAGAGAAAGTTGTATTTTTGATAATTTTATAGAATCATTTAATACAACAAATAAATTATATATAATTTTCGTGAATAGAAAAAGTAGTTTCAATAGATAACAATTATTAAAAACTAATTTTGGTTGATTAAGCATGAAAGCTCATTTGAGATTAATGTTTTATTTATTTATTATTTATTTAGCAGGCTAAATATGTATAACATTCTATGTTAAAATAGTTCATTTATGGTCAAAGTAAACCCAAGAAAAACCTTCAAGAAGACCTTCCAACTAATTTTAATAATAAGAATAATCAGTAAAAATAAATATTGTTAATAATTTATTTATTTATTTAATATTTCTTATTGCCAAAGTAAGTAAATTCTTTATGCAATTACTTTTGATTTAAATCATTTATTTATTTATTTATTGATTATTACTTGACTAATAACTAAGGAATTCTACTTAACAAATAAAATTTAATTTTTTTAAAATATGGAATATTCTATTTCATTCAAAGCAATCCTTTAAATGTGTGCTTTGAACTCTTTAAGTTGATAGAACTATTATTAGTTTGTTTGTTTGTTTTTTTTATTTTTGTAAATAGCATTTGTTTAATTTAATAATTGATGATATTGTTTTTATATTTTTTACCTCTTCTTCTATTTCCTATTCTGAATAACCTGCTTTTTTAACTGAGTTCCAGAATTCCATCCATTCATCTTCAGTAATTGTGCCGCTATTATCAACGTCTACAGCTTTGAAAAGTTCATCTGTATTAACTTTTGCATAGTTAGATTTCCTATTTTGATGATTATTGAAGAAGTTTTTAAAAATAGATCTAGAAACAATAGAACATGTTATGAAATGAAAATGATATCAATTTGTTTGATGCTCTTTTTCAAAATTTTAAGTGTGTATTTACCAGAACTTGAGAGTTTCTTCTTTATCGATACACTTTGAACCATCAGTATCAATCTTTCTAAAAACACCCATAATTTTGTTTGCCAATTCAGGTGAAAGCTTAAAGTTTTTAAAAAAAATGGTTTTTCTATGAATTTGAAATAAATGCCAAAAGCAGATAATGCTGAATAGTAGAATTACTTGGTTTGAACTTGAATTTCCCATTTGTTTCTATAGTTATTTTGTATATCTCCTTCTAAATTAATTGTTAGACTTTCTTTCCTTTTTAATGGATATTAATTATATTGCAATTAAATAATTATTATTGAAATTATGATTACGCAAATCAAATTTAATGAGTAATACTATTATCAAATTTGTTATAATTAACTCTTTCTTACTACTTGCTTTATTGCTTATTTGCTTATCGTTTTCCTTTATTTTTCGCACTTTTTATTTATTGGTATATTTAATTTTTGATAACAATCTGTCAAGTTCTTCCATTTATTTATTCTTCAGTAAAATTTGATTTCAGTTCAGCCCCATACTCCTAGTGATTTGTATCATTTATGAATATGTTTGCTATCTTCTCTCTGTCTTCTTTTCTACATGCGGCTATTTCATTCGTATTTAAAATTAAACATATTTTTTTAAAGACTAGTTTAATTTTTTAATAAAAATAAAGAAATTTACAAAGTCCATTTAATAAAATCGAATCAGCAGCTTCTCTAGTTAAATCACACAAAAAAAACTCTTTGAAAAATAAAAAAACTTAAAAACTTTGAAAATTTATTGTTCTGATATGCATTTAAAAAATTTTATAACCAATAAATGGATTGATTATTTTACTTGTTAAGTTTATAAAGATAAATGTTAACTAGCATAATTTTATTTATATTAGTTAGAATTAAATATGTAAGATTATCAAATTTCAACATTTTTAAATTTATGGAGTATTTTTAGAGCCTAAAGAATTTTTTGTAAAATTAGGACAATAGATTTTAATGTCTAAAGAATAAATAAATAAATAAAAATTAACATCAGATTTTTGTGAACTATAATTAAACCCATTAAACTTTATTTCACATCTTATAAATCGATTTGAAAGCCTATTTTATTTTTGAGAACAAATATTAAAAAACTTTAATATCAAATATTTCAAAATATATTGATAAATATTTATCTCCATATAAAACAAAATTCTAATATAATCCTACATTAAAATGTTAAATAATATTGATTTAGACATAATAAAAGCATTAAAAGTTTCGGAAAGTATTTGAAATTAATTTAAGAAATAAAATTTAACTATTTCAAAAAATTAATTTGCAAAAATATTTTGTGCTAAAAACTTAACAAAAATGAAATGAGAATTTTATTTATTTATTATTTTTTTTGTTTTAATTTATTTTATAATTAATTTTTATTTCAATAATATCAAAAAAGAATAAAACAATATTTATGCTTTAATTAAATGTGAATAAAATTTTTTAATTCTTAAAAGTTAATTTATTTTTTAAACATAAATAATTTGCAACCTAGATATTATAAAATTTAATAATTTTGTTTGCCTATATTGATATAAAATATTTAATTAAATTATTTTATTTCATTCTTAAAATACAAAAACATAAAAATTGCAAATTTTATAAATTTTTAATATTATGATAAGATTTATTGTTGCTTGTTTTATGCTGATAGAAACAAATATTATAAATTAAATAAATTTAAAGCATTTTGATTAAGAGAATGGTATTCAAAAAATTTTATATCAAATAAAAGTGATTCAAAAATTTAATAAATTTAGGTAATTGAAATTTAATTTTTGTTTGAAGGATTTTGGATATAAGTAAGATTCAGATTAAATAGCAGATTGCTTTTTATATTTTTTATTTGTCAATGAATGAAAGTTTTACAAAATTTAAAATAATTTGCATATGATTTTATTAATAATATGCAAAAAAAGAATATACAAGCAATCAAAGAAAGAAAGAAATAAATAAATATAGTTTGTTATTTTGTTTGCTTATTTGGATGTTTGATTTTTTATTTGTTTGTTTCTTTGAGAGGGGAAAGAAAAAAGAGAAAAGAGAAAAATATTAATATAATTATTTAATAATCAAAGAAAAGTAAAGAGAAAAGACTTAAATCTTAGAAAAGCGGTAGAAAAAGGAAGTCTATAGACAATATCTAAATAAACTAAGTTAAGGTATAAATTTTAGTTAGCTAGCTTATTAGTAAAGGAAAGCAAAGAAAGCAAGTAAGGTAGTAAAAGTTAGTTAGTAGTAGAAGTAGTAAGGTTAATAGTAAAAGTAAGTAAATAAGTAAGTTTAAGTTTTAGAAATGGCTGAGAAATTAAGTCGTATGTATGGTACAGAAGAAGACAAGGTCAATTGTCCCTTCTACTTTAAAATTGGTGCTTGCAGATATGAAAATAAATGTCTCAGAATCCACAACAGACCCTCTGAGAGTTAGACTATCTTGATTAAGCACATGTACTAGAACTCCCCCACTGAGTTGGCTTTGGCTTAGGGTAATAGAGTCAGCGAAGAAGAAGCTTAGAAGGCTTTGAATCACTACGAAGAATTTTATGAGGAAGTCTTTTTGGAGTTAGCAAGTTACGGAGAAATTGATGACTTGATCATTTGTGATAACATCGGTGATCACATGAAAGGAAACGTTTACGTTAAATATGTTAGGGAAAGCGAAGCTCTTAAGTGCTTGATGTCCTTAAAGACTCGTTATTACGACAAGCAACAGCTCCAACCTGAATTCTCTCCCGTTACTGATTTCTCTAATGCAAAATGCAAACAATATATTGAAGGTCAGTGCAAAAGAAGTGGATACTGTAATTACATTCACTCTAAGCCTATCGGTAGACCATTCAGAAGATCCCTTTTCAGATAAATGTACGAAGAGCATCCTGAATACAAGAACAGGTCTCGCTCTCGCTCTAGATCAGATGATGATGAGAGATCTAAAAAGAAAAGAAAGGATAAGGAAAGATCTGAAAAACATGAAAAAGACTCCAAAAAGAAGCATTCTCGTTCCAGAAGCTCCCATAAAAAGCACAAGAAAGATAAAGATAAAAAGAAGAAGAAGTCTAGATCTCACTCCAAGCATTCTAAGTCAGCTTCTCCTGGCTACAAAAACTCTGAAGAAAGAAGAGCTGATATCGCAAAGTGGGGCGAGGAAGATGATGAAGAAGACATGAAAGTCAATGCAAGCGGTTCAGTCAACAATAATGGAACCACCAGCAATAACGAATAAAGCGACAGCAATAACAAGCAAGGCACTCACGATTATTTAGCCTAGCTTGTTAAGCCATAGAATTGATTTCACTATATAGAATTAATTAATTAATTACAAAATAAATCAATCAAGGCTGATTTGGAGATACAGTTGAAGATAAACCAAGAGAACACAAGATAGAACTGACTGCTAAGTAATTAAAAACCAATCAAACCACAATAAAGTAAGCAAAATCTAACTAAGCAAAGCAAATAAAAAGAAGAAAATAAGGAAAAAGAAATGAATGTATGTCTCTTTAATAAGTATATTATATATATAGTAAATAAATCAATTAAGCAACAACATCAACAAATAAGCAAGCAATCAAGCTAGCTAGCTAGTTAGAGATCCTGGCAATAAGAACAATTAATATAAAAACAATAGAAGCGATAGCGGACTATGGAAGGAAACAATTTAACTAAAATGTTACCTGCCATTTGTTTGCAGTTTCGCGTTATTTTTTATTTTCATATATTAATCAAATAATCTAGCAAGGGTATATCAATCAATCAAACAAACAAACAATCTCCATCAAGTTTTATTGTTTTATTTATCTTTTTATTATATTTTATAAAGCAAATCTATTTTAGTTCGTTCTGTAGTCTTTAATTAATTAATACAAGTTATTCTTATTTAGCTCTCTCTTTAACGAAGATAGCGTATTTTTTCATTAGTTAGTTAGGAGCTTAGAAAGTAAGTTCTCCGCGGAAACCAACAAAAAAAACATTTATTATTTCTTTCAATAAAAGCAAGGTTAGGGCAACGCTAGTTAAATAAATAAACAAATATACAAATTAATTAATTTATTAGTTAATTTGCATTTAGCAAGCAAAAAGCAAAGCATTTTTAGTTACTTTTTCCCTTTTTTTAGCAAGCAAGCAATTGATATTTAGCCATCATCCATTACCCATACACACACAAAAATTCTCTTAATTGAGAAAAAAAGAAACAAAATTTAGCGTAGACACATTCACCTACCCACCAACCATTTTAAGAGAAGAGCTTCATTATTTATTTATTCAAATAATCTTTAAACACGCATCAAATATTATTTCAAACCAAGTTTTCTTTGTTTTATAGCTTAAAAAAGTATAGTAAAGCCTAAAAAGCATGATTAAATCACAATTTATTTTAATTTATTATTTCTAAATATCAATTTTATAAAATTCAACTCATCAAACAATTAAAAAATTTTTTATTTTTAACAATTCTTTATTATTCATCATTTCAATTAATTAATATTATTATGATAAAATATCTACTAAAGAAAGAAAATTAAATAATAAAATTATAAAAGCACAAAACCTATATATGTATCTATTAATCAACTTAAATTTTGTTTAAAATATATTCATTTAAAATAAAATAAATGAATGCTAAAATTATAAAATTAAAAAAAAAAAATTATAAATATTTAAATTTTTATTTAATATGTAAATTAAATACAAATCATTAAAAAAATTTAGATCTTATACATTTTATTAGGCTCTCACCTCTTTCAGTGTCAAAATAAATTTGTATTAATTCTAAAAAGATCAAAAATTTTTTATTAAAATATTTTCTAACTAAACAAATAGTTTTTCGACACATTATATCATCTTTAATTTCTTAAATTCATAAATATACAAAAAAACTGTTAATAATAAATAAATAATTTTCAAAAAAGTATTAATCTATAATTATTTTCAAGTTTTTATTTGATTTTAATTTATTTAAAAAATTAATAGTTTTTTCCTCACTCTATTATTAAATAATTTATTTCAATTTTAAATATTCTTTACTGAATAAATATATAAATAGATTAATTTATACAAAATTTTTTTCATTTTTTTTGAAAAATATTTTTATAACCCTTTTTTCCCTTTAACATTTTACTGAGTACTGTCAATTATTTGATAATTTTTATTAATATTATGTATGATACAAAGTTTAGAAACCAAAATTTTTTTAAAAATACAAAAAACTGATTTTTTTTTTTCTAAACTAATTACTCTTTGTTTGTTGATTCAAAACTCTGATAAGTTTTAATATTTTAAAATATTTTAAAGAAAAGAATATTTATAAACAGTAAATAAAAATTATTTTTAATTTAAATGATTTTAAACTATTAAGTTAATTCTTGTAAATTTATAGTTAGACTCTATAATTTATTATACTTATATGTTTGTTTTTAAACCAAAATAAGAGATTTAAATAATAAATTGTGTTTAAAATTTATTTTAAGAGCACAATCGAATAAATAATACAGCATAAATTGTTTATCAAATGATTAAATTATAGCTTAGTAAGTGTATGCAAAACAAGTACAATAGCTATGTAAAAATACACATTAAAATGATATTATTTTAATTATTTCATTCTAACTTAGCAGCAACTTTTTTGGCAGCAATTTCTGCTTATAAATCTTGAATTTGGGTTTTGATTTCATTTTGATATTCCTAATTGGTAGCCAAAGCTCTTTCCCAAGCTCTTCTTGTGATTGGAGCATATTCAAGCTTTTATTCAAGAGTTTTTCTGTTTATAATAAAAATATGTAAATTCTACTTGCTTTTAAATGAGATTTAAATGTTTTGTTTTAAAAATAAAGGTTCAAATATTTTATTTCTTTTTATTGATCTAATCAATAGTATCATTTCTAATTTTTAATATCTTTAACTTCTATTAGGTTAAAATAAATATATTTTCTTATCCTTAATAAACTTCTAAATATATATAAACTATCATCTAATTATACCTGGCACCAACAAGTTCATCGAGTTAGTCACTTTTACCTCTTGAGATAATTGCAGCGAGAGGAACACCAACAATACAACCTGACCAGAAGATACGAGGAGCTCCAACCTTAAGGGCATGTCTTCTAGCCAAGAAACTCACACCAATAATAAAGGCATTAGTGATCCAGTCTAAATTTTATAAATAAATAAATTAAACAAATTGAAATTTACAAAATCACCAATAAATATAATAAAAATAAGATTCATTATCTTGCTTAAAATTACTAATTCATAATTATAATAGATAATATTGCATGCTTTTTTATGTTATATGTAGAATGGAAAACCTAATATTCTAAATATTTTTCAATTTAAAATAATAATAATTTAATTGAAATTTTAAAACTGATGATTTCAATATTGTTTGCCAAATAGTTTGCTTGTAATTCCTGTATATTATAATAAGATTTTTATAAATCTAAGCTAAACTGGTAAATATTCCATATTTTTAATGCGTTAGCCTAAAATCAAAATATTTAGATTTATTTAATAATGATTTTGAATGAATTTCTATCTATTATATTTAAAGCGATTATTGGTAAAGCTAACAAGATATTTATCCTAGAGTTATCAATTTATTACATGTTTTAGAAAAAGGATTGATTTAATCAGGGAGGGGCTTAGGTTCATAAACCTTCAAACCTTGTTTCTTTAAAAATTCACGATGTTAGTCAGTGATTTCGGGATAGGCGTTTTGCATTTCCTTTTATATTTTTTCTTTGCAATAATACAAAAATTTATGGATATGTTAACAAAAATTAATTAATAAGAAAATTGCAAGCAAAGCATACAAAAAGAAAGAAAAATTAAAGGAAAGGAAGAAAGAAAAACTTTATTTATATATTGATAAAATTTTTTTGTATAAAAACATTCTTTTAAACTCAATCTTAAATATTTTTAATATAAAATTATATTTTCAATTTTTAATATTTTTTAATTTTTAATAAAGACCTTTTGACTGAAAATTTAATTAATTATAAATTTCTATTATAAAATTTAATGATTTTTAAAAATTAAATTTATGAATGAGATAGCTAAAATTTACTTTTGAAGAGTAAAGAAAGAATTATAATTTGAAAGTGATTTTATTGATTTGTTTATTTATTATTTAGTAATTTATTTAGGATTTAATTTGATGCAAAACATAGTTATTAATAAGTAATCAAGTATATCTTCAAAAGATATTTAACAAGAATTGGTTTGTAGGTTCACTCAATTTTTAATTAAGTTTTGATTTTATTAAATAAATAAAATGAACATATCAAAAGATCAATAAAGTAATTGCATCTATACGATGACTCTTCTACATAAATAAATACATATAAATACAATGATGGAGTAGGGATTTTCCATGTAAATTTTACATGGAAATAATCATTGAAAGGTAAAAATAACAAAATGAATGAAGGGAAAAAATAAGGAAAAGAAAAAAATAAAATAAATCTGAAAAAAGAAAGAAAATTAACAAAGCAAATAAATAAAATAAATCAAGAAAAAAAAAGAAAATTTCATACAAAAGAAAGAAGAGATGCCAGTCAAGGAAGGACAAGCCAAGTTATGGTTCAGCACTAAGGAAGAAGCTGTAGGGATTTAAAAACAAATTATTTTAATTTGAAGCAAAAAATAAAGCTAAGCGTCCAATTTTGTGATAAAAATGTTTTAGAACAGTTAGAAAGCTATTCAAATTCAAAAATAGTTAGCTTATTCTTGCATCAAATTACTTCATTTTCTTTTGCAATTATCATAATATCTCTTTATAAATTCATTAGGACGCCTATGACGATAAAATGATTTCCAACATCGAATTGAAGTCTCAAGATTATGAAGATGAAAACTTCTCACCTGTCTTCAACAGAAAGACTTAAGAATACTTCCTCGAACCCTCTGAAAAGTTCAAGAGTGACTTCGCTGAAGTAAAAGCAGAAAATTTTTGATATTCATCCAAACAAATCATTTCAAAATTAAATAGCATCAATTTTAATTTTTGCAAAAAGATAGTTTAAACTGTAAAGTTGAGCAAATCAAAACAAAAAAATATACAGCAAAAGTTAAACGAAAATAGGGATTGTTAGAATGCGACATTTTAAATTGATTAAAAGCTGTTTTTTAGTCCTATTAATTTCATTTTCATTTTCAAAATAGTTGTTGAGACCTTTGAGATCTCTCTCCTTCAATCAAGTTGTTGATAGATACGTTTTGATCCCTCCCAACCACACCTTCTACAGAAACTGGACCTACGAAAAGTTCCTCGGTGGTTTCGGTCTCTCTTACTTAATTCTCAGAGAAGTAAAAAAAAAAACTCCATTTCTACCACTAATTCAGATAATTCTAAATAATTAACTAATTAACTAACTATTTCGAATAAAAGCAGATCTTTATAGCTCTTATTGAAAAATATATTGATTTCTATAGAATATCCAATTTCTTCTTTAATCGAATCAAAAAAAACCAATTTTATTTCTTGCATGATACTCCTTTAAGATATAAAGATATATTTAACAAAAAGGCATACAACAATGATTTGATCCTTAATTGAATAATCAATGAAAAAGCTAATAATAGGTTATTCGCTCTTATAAACTAGTTTAAGTCAAACGAAATTGATTTTGGAATCATATAAAAATTTAATTGGAAAAAAAAGAATCAAAAAATGAAGAAAATAGACCTTTAATAAATAGGATTTACAAAAGATTTATAGCAAGCAATACAGTGTTATAATTTATTTAAAGGATGTAAATATGCTATTGCAAAAGGGAAATACTTACTTATTTAAATCAATAAAATGATGCAAAAAATCTAAAATATTCTTTTGAAATAACAGATATAAGAAATTAAAAATAAATGCTAATAATATACGAAGATACAACACTAATATGCATTATAAAATAGTTAGTTAGATAGTTAATTACAGGAATTATAAATTGATGATTGCTAATTATGTATTAATATTTTTCTTTATATGAATAAAGTTACCTTTAAGAAACTTCTACGCTAGAGTTTTCGTTATGTACGCCTTTGCTGCTAAGGTTTTGGATCATTTGGGTAATCCCTTCCCCTTCAGTGGTCACGGTCAAATCGTTGCTGCTGCTGATAGATGGAACCAGTAAACATTATTTTCAATTGATAATACAAAAGCTATTTTTTGTCTTACAACTAATTAAATTAACTTATTTTCTAAAATAATTTAGTTGGGATGTCAGATGTTACGACAATGTCATGAAGGCTCTTAAATACATCAGAATTCCTACTGTTCAAAACAAGTAAATAATTCTTTAAATAAATTAGAATTTCTTAAACCTCTTAATATTTATTTCACTTTTATTAATAATTGCTTTAAAAAAATTATCCTATTATATATGATTTATTAAAAATTTAATTAATTCATTAATAGCATTCCTGAAGCTACCAGATGGTACGGTAGATAACCCGGTCACTTGTTAAGAGCTGATACTTACTGGATTCCTAACTTGGTTTCTCAAAGATTTGCTAAACACCAACCTGCTCATTGGGTAATTAATTAAATAAAATAATTATTAGATAAGATATTTATTAATAAAATATCAATTTCTATTAGGATGGTACTCAAAATATGCCCATCTTCAGATTGGCTGATCCTAAGCACAAGGATTCTTACATGGTCCAATTCAGATGATTAAAAAAATTTAAAAATCTCCTAATTATTCATTAATCAGCAGAAGCATAAATTAATAAATATTATTATTATTATCATAATGTAAAACAGTATGCAAATAAAATTGCTTCGTTATTTAGTGTTATACATGTATAGGAGTTTATCAAACTTTTTTACTAAAAGTGTAATTCACAGTTTACTTTTTACAATGAATTTATTATAATTTATTAATAGCAGATAAAAAGCAAACTATTTTTATACTTTTGCTTTTAATTTAAATATTTATTAAGTGCAAATCAAAACTTGATATTTTTTATTTAATTTAATCAGATACTCAGGTTAGGTAATACCTTTAAAACTAAAATTTTAAAATATGATTTAATTGTTATGTAGACCACAAAAATAATAATTCAAAATTGATGTTATCTATTTAGGGGTTACACAAGATTCAATGCAGTTATTTTATGTATATCGATTATTTGCAAATAATTTTAAAACAAAACCTGTTTATTGCCACCTTAGGAACATTAGTCTATTTACATGGAACATTTGCACCCTATCCTTTAAAAGTAGTAACATGGCTACTTTCATCAGATTTCATATTTATTTTTAGAATTTGCTGTACCTGAATTGGATACAACACTATCTGAATCAGTCCAAACACTGTTTCTAGTAAAGCTACCTGTATTAATAACTCAAGAAGATTAATAACTATTAACTATAACTTTTATTTAATTTGAAGTATATGCTTAGCATGCAGCACAATAGGAATAGGTTCAACCGCTACTTCTAGAGCAGCTCCCTAAAAGGCTGAACAATAATTTTAGTCACAATTTGCACTTACTTTTGATGAATTTTAAGTATTTGCATTACAAGCAGCTTAATCTGAATCAGTTCAACCACTATTATATTTACGGCATCCTGAATTAACAATATAATGTTAGTCATTATTAGCTTTTAATTTTGTTGAGTGTGATATTCCTGCATTTCAAGTAATGCAATCTAAATCATTCTAACAACTATTTCTTTTACTACTACCAGTACTTATACAAAAGAGGATAGTTACTAAAAAGCTTTAACTTTTGTTGAATTAGAAGTACCTGTATTACAAGTAGCACAATCACAATCTAATAAATCAAAGTGTGTTTCCAATGCATACAGTTACACAAGAAATAGTGGTTCTAATATTAGATTTTAATTTTATTACATTTGAAGTTCTTGCAATAAAAGCAGCACAATCTGAATCATTCCTGTCACCTACTCTAATTCGCTATCTGAACTATTTAAACAAGATGAATTATGACTATTTACTTCTACTTTTGATGAATTTATAGTATTTGCATTACAAACACCACAATCTTAATCAGTCCAATCATTCTAGATTATACTGACAACACAAGATTTTTATCACTATTAGCCATTACATTTATTTTATTTGAAGTTCCTGAATTGTAAGCAGCACAATCTGAATCAACACCTAGACTAGCTAAACAAGATGAATAGTCAGTATTAGCCTTTTAATTTGTTGAATTCAAAGTATCATCATTACAAATATTACAATCTGAGTCTGTCCAACCATTATTTTTAGAGTAACTACCAGTATTAGAAACACAACTAGATTAATCACTATTAGCATTTATTTTATTGAATTTAAAGTTCCTATATTACAAACAGACAATCCGTTTTACCAAACGACTATTTGTCATACGATTTCTTGTATTTTCAACTCATTATATTTCTCCAGAAAAGTAAGCAGTATTAGTACAACTGTTTAAGCTACTTTCAACAAATGAATTTTATAATCTTACAAGAAGACAAGAAGCATAGTAAGTTCCAAGTATTCCTATTAAGATTTAAGCATCATCATAATAAGATATATATAATTTACTTGAAGATACTTATTATCAGATACTCCTATCAGTATATCACAAACATGATACATCTGTTAAAGGTGAGCAATATACTACTTAGCCAGGAGTACCTAAATAAAATTTACTTATAAAAAGATAATTAATAATTTATTAAACATATTTTTTTAGATTTAAGAATTAATTTATTTTATTAATCAATTGATTAACTGTTTATATTATATACAAATTATAAAACTGAATAAAATTAAAGAAAGTAAGACTCTAAATAAATTACCTAAAAGAAGATAAATAGATATTAATATTATATTTAGATTATTAACCCAGATTCAAATTAAATATAATAATATTTACCAGATATTTAAAAATAATAACTTATAACTATTTTCTTAGGGTAGGCTAAGATTAAAAAATTATTTTAAAAATAGATCAATTCATTAAATAAATAAAAGCAATAATAAAAAGAAAATATACATAAAATAAAAAAACTTCACTTTTCTTTATATAATGTGTCTTAATTTGTTATTTAAGTTTCATTAATAGTTTCTTGATAGTTTAAAGAAATTAAATCATTATTTGTTTTAAATGGAAATAATGAGTTTTAATGAGAGAAAGATATTGTTTCATTATGTTTTATAAATGAATTTTTACTATTATCTCTTTTTTAGAATTCATAAAGTTAAATACTAACAGGATCCTTTGTTTTTGACTTTAAAATATGTTGTTATTAGAAAAAAAATGTATCTGAGTTAAATGTTTCATTGGCTTATTTTTAGGGACTAAAATCTGTAGAATTTTTATAAATTGACTTATAAGTTTTTTATCTTTCTCTTTTGTTATATATTGGAGAAATTTGCTAGATATTAAATGTACAATTCTAACTCAATTACTAATTATCATCTAAAACTTAATCTAATTAAAATAAGGAGTCACTTTCATCAGGTATGCTAAATAGAGATTCATCTTTTACAAATTTTTATTTTTCAGAAGCTTAAACTTTTAAAGAGAATTATTTTATTACATATCCACTAAGATCATATACTCTAATTAGTACTTCATCTATATCTTCAGTAGAAGGTGTACCATAAATCATTAAAATACCATGTTTTTAATCTAATTATAACCATTTAGGAAGCCTTAAATTTTTAGAAACTCCATATTTATTATAATCTAAATTAAGCATGCTCATTAAGAATCTCACACAACTATTTTTGTATTACTCTTTTTTAAAAGCAATAATTTATAAAATTTCATATGAATGTAAATGAATTGATTCTCCTACAGAGGGCTATAGAACGGAAGGTATGTGTGAGCAATAACCGAGAGCATCAGCATATAATACTTCTCTGATGAGGAAGAAGTTAATATCAAGTTGTTTATTTGTTGAATGTTTAATAAGTTAAGTGAAATTATTAATTTAAGACATTTCTTCGATTGATAAAATATTTATTTAAAATATAATTTTTATTAAATTTTATACGTTTATAGAGAGTTGAGGGAAGATTGTTAAAATGCCTTTATCATCTGTCTCTTATTTATAGTCTAAATTGACCAAAGCCTTGTACCAATCATTTAAGGATTTTTACAAATATTCATAGCAATAACTTTTAATGAACTCATAAACAAGCTATGATTTTTTATCTAACTAAAGTAAATATCTTGCTGCATGAGATCTTATGCCTCTATATAACCTGGAATTTACATTTTTCAAATCAGCAATATTATTCTAGTTAATTTGTCTAACTTTCATTAAATTAAAAGATATTATATCTTTAATTATTTTAGACATGCTCATACTTCCATCTTACTTTAAATAAAGCTTTTCAGCGGGGTGAGTTTTTTATTAAGATTTAAAAGCACTAAGTTGATTTTTTGTCTTTTTGATATTAACTACCTTTGGAGGTTTATTAGTTGTCATTAACTTTGTTTGCTAAACCATTTTAATAATATTATTTTCATCTAATTATTAATCATTACAATAAGGATGACCCTCATCTATCATCGAAGGGTTAGTATGATTTATTTCTTCTTATTTTTATACATTTTTTTTTTTCGATTACTCTTACTCAATTTTTGCAAATAAGAGGTTCACAATAATTTTTGAGTCTTAATGGCTATCACCAAGCATAATGATTTTTTTAACATATTTTTAATTACATTCAACAATTTCTTCATCGAAGTGCACACTATTCTTAAATATCATGTTTAGAATAATGCATCTTTTTTGGTAGATACCAATTATTGCAAAGAATGGACCAAGAATTTTAAGTAGAAGATTAAAAATATAAGAAAAAGGTATTGCGTAGATCTTAATTTAAAATTTACTAATTTTATAAGTGTAACCATCAGTAGCATTCACTTTAAATGAAAAAACTTCTAGATACGAATCAGTAGGTACAGTACCATGGAATGACAATTTTGTGCTGCCTTCTTATTATAGCCAGAAGTCCTAAGTCAATTTTTTATACCCTTCCTCATTATCAACATCTCCTTTCGTGTACATAGTTGTATATGTAATTGTTTAAGCATCTGAAGTTTAAAATGTGTTATCAGCAAATATGATTGATAGATCCTCCTCAATAGCAACTTCTGAGTTCGAAAAGAGTCTATTGATTTGTTACTGTAAAGTACTATTAGGATTTTCTTATATTTACTATTTTAGGGTAATAAAATTACATCTATTAAGAGGAAGGATGTAAGCAATTGGAAAATTAATAGAATCAGAAATAGTTATATTTAACATTTAAGTAGAATTATTTATTTAATCATCCATATGTATTACTGTTTTATTAGCAAATATTATTTTATTTTATAAAATATTATTGACTAAATTAAGCTACCCACTAAGCCTTAGATAATTAAAAGTAGAAGAAGTTGACGAAATCACTCCTTGGTAAATTTGCTAAACAAAAATCCCATCATTTACATTTGATTGAATTTCAATAACAACTTAATCTGATAATGTTTAAATGGAAGGAGAGGAACTTTAGTAGTAGAAAAATAGAGATGGTCTTACATAATAAATAACAGAATTCACAAACTGAGATTATATTAAAGTAATGATAACTTTTTTTATAAATTGTTGAGAGGCTTTTTGGTAGTCTTTTGAAGTAACGTTAGTAAGAATTTAACCTTTAAGGAAATTGTCATCAAATATTTAGTAGTTATTAGGATTAAACCCAGAATTTAAAGTATATTTGTCATTAATTATTCCTTAGTGTTACAAATAATTGATAATAAATTATGCTTAATCAGAATTAGTAACTGCTAAATCATCAGCATCATCAGCATCATATATGAAGTTATTTGTAGATAGTGGAATCACAGTTTCAACAAGAATAGTGTTTAAAGCGACTCCACCAGCAATATTCTAAAGTAGTTACTGACTGATAGCCATTACTAAAGTTTATGTTGAGGGATTATAGGACATAAAGTATGGTAAATCTAAGACTTAATCATTCTAATAAATATGTAAAGAAGTGATCTTCATATTATCTTGAGGATAGAGTATAACAAAATTTAACTAGATAATCTATCCTACAGAAAAGACAAAGTCATCCTAACTTAATCCAGTAGTGTTTACTAGGGATAGTTTTTAATCAAATTTTTGTGTAGTATTTGTACTACCATTTGATATTAATTAGCTTACCTCTGTATGAATCATTACTTTGCTTGTTAGAGGAAGACTAATTATTCCTTGAGGTCCAGCAATAAAAACAAAAGACTAATCATTTGGAATGCAAATAGATACACAATACTGCTTATCTCTTTAGTAAGCACTAATTTTCCTTGGATTTATTTTGTCTTTTATAGTAAGTAGAGAAAGCATACCCTTTTCCATTTAACCGACAAGCATATACTACTCATCAAACAAAGGCTATATCATACTTGTCCAGCCAGGTAAGCTAACTCTGGAGATTATATCTATTTTAGGTAAAGAGTATAAGTCTATTATAGCAAAACCAAGCATTCCATCCATTAGATAAGCATATTGATCAGTTAGAATTGATAATTCTATCCCCTCTCCACCTAAAGTTTCTATATAGTCCACTAAAGTAATGTTATTTTTATCAGTAAAACTTAAAGCATAAATTCCATAAGCTCTAACAGTGCTAACAATCCACTTGTTATCGTGAGTTATTACAGCTCCTTGATTTTCTCCACTTATGAATGATGGATTTTCCCAATATTTGATCAGTTTAAAGTCAAGAGGGTTTGTTGTGTTGAATATTAAGATTCCAGTTGAGTGAGTTATAGTTGCGTACTGCCTATCCTTGCTAAATTTAATTGATTCAGACATTTAAACTGTGTCTGTATGATAAGAATAAACTATTTTTGGGTTCATAATAGATATATTTTATGAATTGGTTGGATCAGTACTGTCTGGCTTAATCTGTAATACAGTTAATAAATTTTCAGAATATAAAGAAGGAATGTAAAGATATTTTCCATCGGGGTCTAAGTAGGCTGAATCAGACTCAATACTCAATCTAATTGAAGTGTCTAAATTTAACTTATATGGGTCTTAATAGAAAGGCATTATGTAAAATCCAGAATAATCAAACGCTCCGATCAAATAGTTATCCGTAGGATCTACGTAGCACCTCCATTTGTAAATTCCATCCATACTTAATTCAATGGCTTAATTGGTGTTGAAAATATTAGGATATTGATTATTAAGATTAGGTTTATTTTGTACAAATGTATACACGCTGATCGAATTTGAATAATATAAATATTGCTCAGTTCTAGAGAAAACGCCTGATTAAGCGAGGGCATCAACTTAAATCTAATGATAAAATCTAAAATTATCTCTCTAGCTGATGTCAAATATGAAAATACCTTGCGATCTAGCTGCTACAAAAAGCAAATTATCATTAGATGAAATCAAGAGGATGTATGTAGTAGGACTAATTTGTGAAAATGGCCAAAAACCAGTGAAATTTAATTTAAGAGGGTATTAGCTTTCACTACTTGCCAGTACGTTTTTAAATGGTGCATAAAATAGGCCAAACCACATCTCTACTTCAAATAAAATTTATTAATCATGTGTTGCAGTAGCATACCAACTTTTCCTATATCCGACACCTGTTGCAGCATTAAGTAAAGTTGCTTATCTTTTATCATTAGGAATCTAAGGAGGAATTATATTTATCTTTAAAACAACTACTCCTACAATATCACAAGCCAAATAAATCCAGTGACCATCGTCAGAAACAGATACGCCAGTAATCTGAAGAGTATCAACAGTATAAGTTGATAGAATATATACTTCTGACATTACTTCAACATCATAGACAACAACACTTCCTAGCATTCCAACGGCTACAGCTATTTTTATATCTTTTACATAAATTAAATCTTCCACTTGAGTTGGAAAATTACATTATCCTACTTAAATAAACTATTATGGTAAATTTAATTAATTTAGAGGATTAATGAATTGGTAAACCTTGATTTCTGAATTCAATCCTACTAAAATATAATTGCCATCACTAGTTACATCAAAGGCGCTTATGTAATCTCTACCTAAAGCTGATTTAAAGATTAATTTGCTACCTGTTTCATCCATTACTTATATGCCCTTAAATCCTAATGATATAAAAACTAAATCTTTATCTTACGCAACTCTAATAGTGAGAGGTATTCCTTAATCTTCTGTAAAATCTATTTTATTTAAGTAAAATGGCGAATATACTAAATTTATATTAGAATTCTGTGACCATACAAATTAGCTTAGTTATTAAATAAATATCAATAAGGGGATTAATATTCGCATATAAATATATTGTTTTTCTTATACGTTGGTTGGTTTATTTATTTAACTTTTTACTATAAATTTACTTTGATGTATTCAATTAAATACAAAAATTATTAATATTTTATAATTATTGATTATTAATTTAGGTCTTTAACAAACAAGAATATGCTTGCTAAACAATCGAACTTCTCCAAATTATTTTTAGATAGCTTTCATAAATAAATGAGTAATCAACAAAACGCAAATAAATCAAAATGAATAAAATGTATAGATTTTTCAATTTGAGTATTTATAATTGTAAAGTTATGATAATGGATAAATAACTGTTTGCCATTAACGCTACTCCATTTAAATTATATAGTTTTTTTAAAATAGTAGTTTTTATAATATTAATTACAATATGAAATTTTTTTTTCTTATTAATTAAAATGTTTGCAAAATATGTGCTTAGTAAAAATTTAAATTGGGAAATTTTTTTATTTACCTTTAATCACTAATGAATGCATTATTAGAAACAAATATTGATTATAATTTAAAAAAAAGACCAGCGTATTCAATTTTATCAGAGTTACATTTAAAGGGATTACATAAGCATCAAATAATCATAAAATTAATTAAATTATTGTGATAAATAATTATCAATTTTTTTAATAATTTTTATGATTAACATAATAATATTACCATCCTCTTATACCTTTATGAAATTTTTAATAGAAAAAATATCGATGCTATTTTTGAAATTAAACTTTGAAAATAATATAATTTTATTTTTAAAAATTTAATATTTACATCTGTTAAATAGTTATCTTAATAAATAATTAGAATAATCAGTCATATATATATTAGAATATATTTAAATAAACTACTTACTCAGATAATTTTTATTTTGCTAAATTATAGATGATAAAAACAAAATAGATTAAATAGCTCAAATAATATTCAATCAATTTTCAATCATTTAATTACAATAATTAAGCTAATCTTTTGATATCTAATTATTCCGCAATTAAAATATCATTATCATCTTAATTCAAGTTGATTTAACTTATTTCAGAAAGAAGCTTTTTAAGGAAAATTATCTTCAGAAAAAAAAATTAAACACTCACCTTTTCTGAATAAAGCAGTGTTTTTATTTAAGGTCTTTATTGATATATACATTATGATTTTTAAAGAAGCAATTTAGTTTTACCAAGTAGTTAATATGCTATTTTATTATTTTCTTTTATACTTTAAAAGACTTTTAGTAAATATTTAAATTATTTAAAGGGATTTAATATTTTTATATAAAACTAAGAATAACTGGAATTATATACTATTTTTTAGCTTTTAGCTGATTTTATTATGCAAAAACTAGACCAAAAGATATACTCTTTGACTAATTTATTCAATATAAAATTAAAAAAATTAGTTGTTAATTAAACTTTTTTACTGTTATTGCTTGAATTTTAATATTTAAAAAAACTAATTAATATTAGTTTTAAAAGATAAAATTATCTAAAAAAATATAGCTAATACAATAATTATAAAATTTAATGACTATCTAACTACAAAAATATATGCCATAGTTTCATTAAATAATTCATAATTGTCATATTACACTTTTTTACCCGTTTATAAACCATTAAAAAAAGGTTATTAAATTACCAAATTTGTTTTGGATTTTTTGAGAAAAAGAGGAAACTGGGTATATGTTAAATAATCAAAAAAAAAAAAAAAAATTAGATATTGATTGAATTATTAATAATTATAAAAATACATAAAAAATAAATAAAAATATATTTATAAATAAAATAAAAATTAATTTTAAGATGTATTCTGAGTGCATTTATATGTGCGAGTTATTCTATTCTATTCTTTACCTATTTTATTCCACCTTTTTAAATATTAATGAAAGAAAGAAAACTCAACCAGAATAAAAATGAAAAATAAATCAGATAAATTGCTAATAAATGTATGAATCAGTAAATATAAAGAGATTTTATGTATAAATTCATAATTTTATTAAAAAATCTAAAACAAATAAACTATTTTTACTAGAGATTAAGTGCCAAATTTGAGAAATTAGTGCAGTTTGTTAAAGCAAGACCCAAGCCTGATACACCACTATCACCAATTTTATTGGTACTTTTAAATTTTGAAGAATGAAAAAATGAAGAATTAATATGAAATAATAAAAAGCAAATTTATTAACAATCAAAGTAAAATTGAAAAATGAATGAGTTTAATTAAGAAACAAAAAAAAAACTGAAGCAAAATAAAAAATATAAGATAAAATTAATTCAAAAGATAATATATTAATTAATTAAAAAATTTTAATTGTTTTAAATTCATTTTTATATAAAATATCAAAATAAAAAGCAAATAAATTGTTTTTACTAGAGATTAAGTGTCAAATTTGAGAGTTTGGTGCATTTTGCTAAAGAAGAACCTAAGCCAGATACACCTTCATTCCCAATATAATTTTCACTTTTTAAATATTGAAGAAAATAATTATTATTTAATTAATTCAAAAGAGCATTATTGTTTTAAATTTATTTTAATTTTAAAAATATCAAAATTCAAAATAAATAAATTGTTTTTACCCTAAATTAAGTGTTAAATTTGAGAGATTAGAGCATTTTGCTAAAGAAGAACCTAATTCTTTTGCACCAATTTCACCAATTTAACTCCACCTTTTTAAATATTGAAGAAAAAAATATGTAAATATTTAGTTATTTGGAAGGAAAAATGAAGAAAATATGTGAATTAATAAAAGCAAAAGTTAAAAATGTAAAAATTAAAAATGAATCATTTATATTAAAATAATGAAAAACATAAATTTAATAAAAAAGAAAAATATACCTAATAAATAAAATAAAAGAAGTTACTTTTTTAAATTCATTTTTTTTTAAATATCCAAAAAAAAGTAAATTGTTTTTACTAGAGATAAAGTGCCAAATTTGAGAGATTAGGGTATATTTCTAAAGCAGAGCCTATGCCCGAAGCACCAAACGTGCTAATTTGATTTCCACTATTTTAAATATTGAAGAAAATAAATAAAATTATTATAGTTCGTTTAAGGAATAAATAAAGAAAAAATATGAATAATAAGAAATTAATTAATTTAAAATCAAAAAAAAGTTGAAATGAATGAATGTATTTTTTAAATGGGTAAAGAAAGAAAAATATAAGAGAAAAATAAATCAAATAGACAGCTAATATATATTAATTGTAATATTAAAAAATATATAAATCCATAACAAATAAAATTATTTACCCAATATCAAGTGTCAAATTTAAGAGATTTTGGCATTTTGCTAAAGCAGAAACTAAATCTACTGAACCTTTATCTCCTAATTTATTGGTACTTTTTAAATATTGAAGAAAATATACATAATTAATTAGCTAATTAGGTAAGAATAAAAAAAAGATTTGAAATAATAAGAATTTTAATGAATAATCAAAGTCAAAGTTGAAAATGAAAAAATAAATGAGTTAAATTAAAAATAAATAAAGAATAGACATGATAAAAAAGAAAAATAAATAAATATAAAGCTAATAAATAAATTAATTTATTAATAGAGTTTTATTGTTTTAAATTTATTTTTATTAAAAAAACATAAAATCCAAAACAAATAAAATGTTTTTACTAGAGATTAAGTCTTAGATTTGAGAGATTAGTGCAGCTTGCTAAAGCAGAACCTAATATTGATGCACCTATAGCACTTATTTAATTCCACCTTATTAAATATTGAAGGAAAAATATATAATTAATTTTTTAGTTAGAAGGATAAAGTGAAATAATAAGAAATAAATTTTTCAAAGTAATAATTAAAAAATAATAATTTAAATTAATTAAGAAAGAAAGAATAACAGGAACACAATAAAAAGAAATTTAATTCAAATAAAAAATTAATAAATAAATGAATAAATTTCATAAGATTTATTGTTTTAAATTCATTTTTATATTAATAATTAATTATCAAAATTGAAAACAAGTTAACTGTCTTTACTCAAGATTAAGTGTCAAATTTGAGAGATTAAGGCATTTAACTAAAGCAGAACACAAGCCTGATATAGCTTCATCACAAATTTTATTCTAACTTTGAAAATATTGAAGAAAATATAAATAATTATTTGGTTAGAAGAAAAAAAACTGAAGAAAAAATATGAAATAATTAGAAATAAATTTATTTGAAATAAAAAAAATTTTTAAAATGTGTAAAAATAAAGAAAAAATATTTGTTAAAATAAAATGAATGAATCTATTAGAAAAATAATATTGTAAGTGACTTGAAAATAAAATAAAATAAAAAAGATTGATTAATAATAATAAAATTAATAAATTAAATATACTTTAAATTAATATTGAGAACTGAGTGAGATTATAGCGAAGAGTTTAAAAACTTTTTTTTTAATAAAAATAAATTTAATGGATATTTATAAAAAATAAATAATTACATCTTCTAGATTGTTATAGTTTTTCTGTTATATCATTTATTTATTTTTTCAAAAATTAGAATAATGATTAATGGAAATTTAATTTATTAATTAAAAATATATTAAAAAACTAATTTAGTTTTATTTAGATTTTATTTCGATAAAAGAAACAAATAGTTATAAGAGAGATGAATAGGATTTTATAAAGTTTTTTTTTAGAAAAAAATATGACAATAAGTAAGTGCAACATTGATTTTTAAATTTTAATAGTACTCGTTATAATGTACAAAATATAGTAGAAGTTAGAGATGGGTTATTGAAAAAAATTTTTTTATATGAGTACTTAAATTTTAAAAAATACAATAATTATTAATTGAACTTTTGAAATTAATTTTAAATTTGTGCCTATCTTTGAAATAAAATTAATAAAATTTAACTAAAATTTTAATTTGAGTAAAAAAATAAAAATATATTCATTATTTTTGATATTCATTTAACTTCTAAAAAATTTAATAAAGGATTAATAATTATTTATCCAAAAAAAAAATGGATTCATAATAAGAAAAATACTTACATTCTTTAGAAGATGTAAAACAATAAATAAATTTAAAATTAAGTAAAGTATTTTCTTTTAATGATAAAGTTACATAACCTAAACTTTAATGTGCTGAAAAAATTACAAATAAATTAAAAGTAGATTTAATAAATTGGAATTAGTAATTTTTAATGGTTTTAATATATAAATAGCTCATCAAAAAAAGAACAATTCAAGTTTAAATACCTTGAAGATTGCATTCTAAAAAGTGAAAATTTAGAGGAATTAAATTTAAGCTTTGAGTAAATTCTTTAATATAAGTAATCCATTAAACCTTATTTATTTAGTAAAAGTTTTGTAGATGATAATTTTTTTGAGGATATTATTTCAACAATAGGAAATTCTACGTCCTTAAAAAGTTTGAGCTTATCTTTTGAGTAAAAATAATTTTTTCTCAAGCCAGATTAATCAAATATATTTTATAAGATTAAATCAGATAACTAGCAAAGGAATAATGAGTCTTGACTCAAATCAAAAGTGCTTTAAAAAATTAAAAAAGCTAGAGTTATTCTTAAAGTAAATTAAATTACTCATAAAGATATTTTATTTATTTTTGTTAAAGTTCCAATAAATTAGAAGATAAGGCACTAGAATATTTTTCATAATTTATTTTAGGCTGTAGCTCCCTTGAAACAATTAATCTTATATTTAAGTATTTTTAATTTATCATAAAAATAACAATTTAAAATTTCATATTTATTTATGTAGCAATAATAAAATATCTGATGAGGGCATTAAGTTTATTTAATAAAGTATCCCAAAGTTATAAAATATTAAAAAAATTGTGCTCTTCTTATCGTAATTTCAATAATTAAATATCAATATTAATTTTTTTTTAAAGAGGGACTTTTGTTACTGAAAAAGGATTCTCTGGCTTAGTGAACAGCTTCTCATAATGCCAAAATCTTTAAAATTTACATTTACAGCTAATGTAAATAAATAAATAACTTTTGCAAAATAAACAATATTTTAATAAAAAAGCAAAGTGCCTTTAAAATTATGTGAGAGTAAAGATTCATTTGATTTTTATTGCTATAAGAATCTCTACTAACTTACATTAAATTTAGAGTAAGTATTTTTTAATTATCTGTTTTAATTTTAAAATTAAAAAAAAAGTTAGTTGAAATTAAAATAAAAGGAACTTGAATAGTTTGCAAAATATTTAAAGATTTAGCAGAGTATAAGATACCTAAAATTAACAATAAGCAATTATTATTATTATTAAGCTGAAAAAAAATAAACATAATTGATTATATTAAATAATATTTACAAAATCAAGCGATTAGTTTTTAAATTTTTACTAGTATGAAAAATTATCTATTAAAATAGTTTTATATGTTTGAATATTTAAGTATGTGTAATAAAATAAAAATTTACAAAAAATAATCAAATCACTTAAATATTTTAAAGGGATTAAGAAATATCATTTTATTTACTTACTTACATTTATTTTTTAAAATTTAAAGTTTATTTTTTTTATTTAAAAGCTTATTAAACCCAAATAAATATTCATCACTAAGAGTAAAAAATGAATAAATAATTTAATTATTTACTGACGGAATTAATTTTGTTAATTTAATTTTATAAAATTAATTTCTAAAAATTTTTAAATACTAAAAATGATTCAAATTTGATAGAAATTGGATCGATTTTTCTATTTTTGTTCAATTTTATGATTGATTATTTTTCACTTTCTAAACCATTTTTTAATAGATGAGATCAAACTTATTATTTTCAACTGTATAAAATTTCTTAATAATTGTATAAAATAAAACATAAATTTGAACTATAAAAAACACTTTAAAAACCTAAGAAGAAATTGATTAATATAAATTTATTTATAAAAAGCTATACTATCTATTTATATTTGTTTAAAGAAATTAATAATATTAAAATCTAAAAAAATTTAGAATGTAGAAAATATTTTGAATCAACTATTTCGCCTTTAGTCACATTTGGTTGAAGAAATATCGTCTTCAAGAGTTAATATTTAAGAGTCTTTATCTATAATTTTTTAGATTTCTTCAGTAGTATTGCTAATTTATGTAATGTTTTTGCTATTTTTGTTTCTCCTAAATTGATAATCTATGATTTACTAAATTTTCAGTGATTTTTAATTGAATGTATTCCCTTCTTCTTCTAAAGATTGAAGTTCTAAATTCTATTAGCTAGGCAAGCTTAATTTAAAATTACCACTATTTTTTTAATTATCTATTGATTTCGTTTAATCTTGTTACTAAAAAAAATACTAAGAAAAGTTTATCTGAGAATTATCTTTGTATTTAAAAAAGGGAGAGGTATTAAATTTATATTAGCTTTTTCTATGATTAATATTTAAATCGTATTAATTAGATAAATTTAGAGTTTATAATGTGTTTTCGTTATTTTACATTTATTGGCTTGCATTAGCTCTGATTTTTAACAGAAATTGCTAAACTACATAGCCAGAGTAATCTTTGATTTTAATTAAGACTTCTTCTGAGTCTTCGTACTGAGGAACTCCACGCATGACAATCATACCTCGTTTCTGATCTAGATAAATCCATGCTGGGAGTCTCATATTCTTGGAGATTCCATATTTAGTATAATCTAGATTAAAAAATTTAAAGACAGGCTTTAAACAATCTTTAATATTTTTCTTCTTATAAGCAATTATTTATTTGATTTCATATGAAAAAAGATGTATTGATTAACCTACTGAAGGCTTAAATTTAGATGGAGAAAATTACTTAAAACCAAGAACATCAGCAAAAATAACATCTCTAATTAAATAAATATTTATATTAGTCTTGTATTTTGCTTCAAACTCCAAAAATTCTTTAAAATTATTAGGTGTTTCTTAAAGTTTATCTGGAAAGAGCTTAAAAGATTGAAAAATGTGAGTTAGAATCAAATATTGAAAGTCTATTTTTGGGAATATGCTGAGGTTTTATTAGTTTTGAATATCCTTTTAGTCATAATCATATTTTATAATAACTATCTATTTGTACCAATCATTCTCTTATTGATGTAAAAATTACAAACAGTAACGCTTAATATTTTCATAAGCTTTTTAAGATTTCTTATCAAGACTTAAGAAATATCTTGAAATATAGGCTCTAATGGCTACTTAAATTCTAGAATTTGGATCTTGAATTTCATTTTCATAATTAAAATTTGACTGAGTTAGATTTAAATTGTAAGATTAGATATCACAAATTATTTAACTTGTGTTGATTGAACCATTTTAATTTAAATACTTTCTTTCAAGGATCGACCTTACTGAGTGTTTCTTATTTTTACTAATACTTTAGGTCATTTTTTCTAAGCTTTTAGGGTTTATTTTCTTTTATGTGAGTTATAGTTTGCTTTCTTGAAAATTCTTGAAATCTTCATTTGAGTTATTGCAAATGTTAAAAATGTTACTATCTTTTTCAGATTCTGATTTTAAATCAAAACTAATTTTACGTTCTTTATTTTGGCTTGAAGAATCTATTTGTATTTGCTGTTTCATTTTGACCAATACTTTTGAAAATAACTAGTTAACAATTTATTTAGAATCCTACTAGAGAGATCCGAGCATTATTATTTATTTTACAAATGGTTGATTGCAGATTGCAATTTCTTCTGAGTATGTTACTTTATTACTAAATATGATATTTAAGAAGATGCTTCTTTGTTTGTACATGCCTAAAACAAAGACAATTGGACCTAAGATTTTAAATAACAAATTTAAGACATAATTCAATGGTACTCCACTTATAATAATTGTAAAGGTGTCTTCTGCTTTTGTATAACCATCAGAGGCAATAATTTTGAAAGTGTATGATTTGAGGTACATACTTGCAGTTGTTTACCCTTTTAGGGTAAGCGAACTTCCATCCATCTACTGAAGCCATAAATTTGGAGGAATAGAAATGTAATTACCGTTTGAGGTAAGATAAAAATATTCATATGATATATCTGATACATCTTCAACTAGAAATGTACTATGTGAAAACGAAATAGTAATTTCACTTTCAATAAAAAGAATTCCTTCAGAAAATTAATTATAAATTTAATCTTATAAAGTATTCTATGCATTAAGCACTAATTGCTACTTTAATGATATGAATTAGCATTAAAAGATAGGAATAACTTAAACTATTGGATAATTTATGCTATCAACTACTGTTATTGTAATATTTGAACTATTTGTGCTTGTTATCTCTGTTATATTGGCAAAGACTATTTTTTATTATAAAACAGCATTGACATTAACAACAGTTCCAGTAATAATAATTTGATCTTTCTAATCAGAAATCTAAAAAGCTACACTTAAGACACTTCGTAATATCAATTTACCAGATTTGTTGTCGATTTGCAAAGTAACTGAAATAGCTTATGAGTTAGTTGTGATAAACTAAGATGTTTAAGTGCTATTAAATTTCAAAGATGGTTATATATAGAATTTTATTGGGTTTATGTAAAAAGACTTCATCAATGATAGGTTTATTTTCCAAATAATTTATGGCAGAACAATATTTTTTAAATTTTAATCTTAGAAAACAGATGGATCTAAAATTTATTATTAAACTGTAAGATCGAAAATTAAAGCTTTAGTAAAATCATAACTTTCACTAATTATTGAGTTAGAATCTAAAATATTTTACTATAAGAGGCTCTGGTAAATATACTGAGATTGTTATTGATTAGTAATAGCTTTATCAAGTTAGTTTTATTAATTAAATATAAAGGAGTTTGAATTTAATGGGATTACTGTTTTTATAAGTATTATGTTTAGATTCAAATTTACTTTGCTACTTCCAAGCAAAGCCTTATCAGTTTAAAATTAAATAGACTGCTAGAATTAATCAAACGAAAAGAAAGAAGGTAATTTCACCATTTATCCATCTTGATAAAAATAGATGTCACTGATGTGCATATTTTCATCAATAGGATATAAAATAGCAAAATTAAATTAGATTTATTCTCCAACATAAAAAATATATTCATCGTTGAGCGTTGGGGTATTTTAATCACCTTATATATTTCTTTTCTCATATTTAGAGATTCGAACCTCTTATGTGAGCTGATTTTATGAAATTAAACTCACACTTGTGTGCATCTTTACACCACTATAGATGGGAAAGGTAATAATACCTGCTGAAGTAGTAACAAAAATATAATTTGAATTATTAGGCATGCAAATCGCCATTCCATATTGCTTTTCATATATTATTGCATTTACTACTGTAGGGAATCTTTTATCTCTAATGTCAATTAAAGTGAGCATTCCTCTTTCCATAGTGGTAACAAATATATATTACTCATCTTAAATTAGTAAACCCATAACACAATATCCTGGTAAGCTAATCCTTGATATGATATTAATTTTTGGAAAAAAATTTGTATCTATTATTGCAAATCCTTTGATTCCATCGATTAGGTAAGCATAATTTTAAAATGATGAAATAATTATACTTTCTCCACCAAGAGTGTATTTGTAGTCAGATAAAAATGGTTTGCTCTTATCTTAAATGTTCAAAAGATAAACACCAAACAACCTTATTGTGCTTAATATCCAATTATTATCATTAGTTATACATGCTCCTTGGTTTTCTCCTTGCATGAAATCTGGGGTATTCCATCTAGAAAGAATTTAAATGTTGAAAATATCAGTTGCATTGTAAATGATTAAGCCTATACCATATGTCTAAACAGCGTACTACCTATCGAAACTAAAAGTGATCATTTCAGTTATTTATAATTAATTTATGTCATATTATTTAATCAGTTTTGTATTTTCCAAAGATATATTTTACTATTCTGGACTATTATCAAGCGGCTCATACTAGTAAATTCCTAGTAGATATTCAGAAAAGTATTAAGGAATTACCATGTATTTTCCAGAAGGTTCAAAGTAAATAGAGTCTACTTGCAAGTCGTAAAATTTGTAAACAGACGTATCTAAATTGTAAGGATTTTGTCTGATAGGGAAAATGAACAAACCAGAATAGTCAAAAGCTCCAATTAGATAATCATCATTCGCATCAGTGTAGCATCTCCACTTATAATTTTAAGTTGGAAGCTATCCATATTTTATTTAGTGGATATTGAACAAATTTGGAAAATTCTCGTTTAAATTAATTTATTCTTGCTAAAATGTAAAGACTTTTGTTGCATCCGAAAAATATAGAAAGTCTTCTTTAATTGAAAACTAAATTGAATAAACGAGAGAATCAGAGTTGATTTGTTAGAAAAATTTAATTTACTCTCTGTCCCTAATATCGAATATAAAAATACCTTAAGATCTCACTCCTAGAAATAAAAAAGTCTCTTGAGAATTAAGAATTAATGACTAACATGTTGGATTAAATTAGTGAAAAGGCCAATATGCATTAAAATTAATATTAAATGGATATTAATTTACACTACTTTGGACAATTTACTAAGAATTTGCATAGAAAAAACCATACCAAAAATCAATAGCAAATATGTAGAAATTATCTGAAGTTGCAATCACTTGGTAAGATATGATCCCATATGTACCATGACCAGCTAATATTAATTAGATCTAGCGACTATCTAGAGAGTCTTTTGGAAGTGTAATTTCTTGTAGCTTGAGCATGAATAGGCCTACCAAATCGCTAGCTATATAAAGCCAATCTCCATTTTTGGAAATAAAAAGACCATTTATAACTCCAGATGTTGTATTAAATACTGCAACTTATTTGATACTAATTTTATGTGTAGTATCATATACAATAACTTATCCCTATCTCCCGCCAACAACTAACAGCTCTTTGCTCTCACTGTAAACCATTTTTTAGATATCTGTTGGAAAGGTGTAGGTTGATTAAAGTTAAAACTCAAACAATTTAGTGTTATTTTTTAAATATGTGAGAGAATACACCCTCAAAGAATTACGGATCCCTATAAAAATGCATGATGCATCTGAATTAACTTCAAATGACTCTATGTAGTTGTTTTCTATGTTTTCTATCTGCAAGATTTAATCACCTTCCTGGCTTATAACAGTAATTCCACTGAATCCAGATGACAAAAAGATCCAATTATTAAATGAAATGGCCTTTAACTTTAAAGGAATCCAGTTAGAATCATTTTATTACAGTTAATTATGAAACAAAGGGGAGTATATTTAATTAACATTTATTATTTAACCCTTTAAAATTCCAGGAATTATTAAGAAAATAATAGTTATTACTATCAAAATCATTTCTACTCTAATTAATACAGATATTTATTTATCTATTTACTTTTTGGCTTATATAAAAAGCAAAAATTAAATATTGCTTAGATTTTGTTCAGTTATTTAAGGGTTTAATAATCTAATCATAATAAAGTGATTGCGTAACAATTCAGACACACAAATTGTTAAATTTGTTGCAAATAATATTAATTAAATTGTTGAAAAAATAAGGTTTTTTATTCAAATGTAAAAATAAAACTCATTTATTTAAGTACTTAAACAGTTTTTATTGACTGAATTCAATCAAAAATTTAAGCAATTCAAAACTTAATTTAAAAAAAAAAAAATTTTTTATTTTTGGAATTATTTTAAAAGTAAATTTTATTTGCTTAAAAATTAAATATTTGAACTAAAATTAAAAAAATAAATAATGGTTTGTAAAATAGTTTGCAGAAAAAGTAATTTTTAATTTTTACTTTGAAGATTTTTAATGACTCACAAATTTTAATTATTAAGAGTGAAATTATTAAATTTTATTGTTTATTTTAAGATTCTTATTGCTTTTATTGATTAGTTCAATTATTTTATTAAAAAATATAAATCCTAAACAAATTATATTTACAAAAAGTAATTGAAAACTAACAAAAAAGCTAAAACTTTAAATGTTCTCAACTATTAAAGAAGTATTTATTTATTTAATTTGTTATTAAAATAAAAAACTTTTCAACATAAAAAGTTCATAGATAGCACTAATTTTGATATTGAAGATATAGAGTTAGATTTCGGGTATAATTCTAAATTTTATTTTGAAGATATACCATTTATTATTTTTTTTGCCTTAGGTACCTTCAATTAGATGAATAAAATTTATAAAATTTAAGTGAAAACTTTGAGTAGTACAAAAATATAAAATAATTAAATCTAAATTTAGCGTAGATATTTATTATTTTCAATAGAAATTTTAATTATTTAAAAGCTATAACTAGATAAATGATAAATGGATATAAGTTTTATGCGAAAAACTTATTCAAAAAAAAAGTTTGGTTAAATTAATCCTGCATCTAGAGTATTTAATTTTATATTATTATTATTATATTAATTCAGCATATTATTTTACTAAAAGGAGTAACCTAATTACTGACTTGGGCCTCATTTTTTTAGGCAAAATGCTTTAGGAGCTAGACTTATCTAATTTAGAAATTTATCTAGGGTAAATATGAATTTGTTACAGTTGTATTTATTTCAATTTTAATTTAGAATTCTAAATAGATTGATTATATTTTTAGTTTGTTAATTCATAAAAAAAATTCATTTATAAAAAAATAAATATAAGTCACAATTAAATTTCAGATTTGGGTGTAGAAAATTTAGCTCAGTTTTTAAGATTTTGCTGCAATCTTTTAGATTTAGTAATTACTTTAGAGTAAATTGAAAATTTATTATTGTTTCTTAATTTAAGATTTTTGTTTTATATAATTTTTGTGGTATTTATAAATCTTTTACTCTCTAATCAAATATTATAAAAAAAGGCATACACTGATTTCTAATCAAGCAGTTGAAAATATTAGCCAAGTTTTAGGAAAAATCTCGAATCTAACTTCTTTGAAGCTATTTTTTTAGTAAATTCTAATTATTGTTAAAATATTATTTTAAAATATTTAAAATAAAATAAAGCTCAAATTAATTAGGCACTTATTAATAACCACTTTAAATGTCAGGATTAAAAAACTGCAAAAATCTCAAAAAGCTTCTTCTTTAATTTGAGTAAATATTTTTGAAACAAATTTTTTAGATTTAATAAAAAATATGTTTAAAAAATAAAAAAGTTCTAATTAAATTGGGGATAATTTGCTAGATTTAGGTATTTAGATTAGATAATGCTCACTTCTTACTCATCTTGAACTTTATTTAGTGTAACTTAAATAATTTGTATCATAAATTTAATTTGATATTATTTAGAGAAAATGAAATTACAAACATTGGAATCTAGTAACTACTAAATTTAGGGTAATAAATTATAAATTAATTTTATGTTAAATCATTAAAATTAATAAAATCATTTATTAAATTTTAAAAAGATAAAATCAAATTTAAGGGGAAGAATTCAATAAAATAAGCGAATAAATTGCTTAGTTCTAATATTTAGAATATTTAGAACTAATCTTAAGGTTTTTTTTTTATCTTTAAAGATATTTAAGATTATTTTAATATTTGTTTATAATTAATAAGCTAAAACTCCTTAAAAAATTCAGGAATTAAGAGTTTATCATAAGGATTAGGATAAATAAAACAACTAAAATCACTTATTCTATATCTAAGGTTTTTTAAATTTTTAAAGGAATTAAAATTTAATTTATTATAGCGATAACGAAATAGGAAATGAGGGTATATATGAAATAGGATAGGCATTCTCAAATAATAAAACCTTACATCAAATTTTTATTAATGCAGAGTAAATCATTAATTTGATTAAAATATTTTCATTTAATTTAATGATTATTTATAATTTTTATAAGTTATTTATTTTTCTTAACATTTTATCGCATATTAATTAACTTTTAATATGTGTCTAATTTTAAAGCTGGAATAATATCAGCTACAAAGGAGCTAAAAAATTATGTTCTTCACTGATAAATTGTAGGTAACTCTATACTTTACAACTGGAATTCAGGTAAATGCATTTATTCGCTTTTAAATCGAAAGCATAAATAAAGTTAATATTTTTATAATATCTTTAGAGAATATCTATTTATATTAGAAATTCAATATCGTTGTTTTTATTATAAAATTTTTCTACTTTTGAAATATTTTATTAGTAAATTATAAGATTAAATTTGTTTTTTGATATCAATCTTAATTAAAAAAGATATTTATATTAATATTTTATTTTATGAATAGGCAAAATCAGATTAATGAAGAAGGAAAATAAAAATTGCTTAGAATGTTCAAAAAAATAAATAGATTGGTTAATTATTAATTATATTTTTGAAAAATAATATCAACATAAATTTTACTAATTATAACTATTACTAAGCTAATCAAGAATTAATAAATTTATTAATATATATTTTATTATTTACAGTATTAAACATTTACAACAAATATTAATTTAAAAATAAAATATTAAAAGTTACAAATCCTTTTTTATCAGGGTTTTTAGTTTGTAGTATTTTTTCTTCAAAATAGTCAAAAAAAACCGATAATAAGAAAAAAACAACTAGTAGAGAGAGATATTAATTAATGAGAATTACAGTATTTACTAATTATTAATTAAATTCATTTAAAATATTTATAAAAATTAAAGCAGAATTATTAAATTTAATACCCTCAATTTTTTTATTGATGTTCACTATAATATTAGTTGAATATTATCAAAAACAAACAAACACTAACTAATATCTTTAAAATGCATATTAAATAAATTGAAAGACTTTTAATAAATTAGAATTTTTTCTTACTACTTATAATAAAAATAACCAACCCTAAATTAATTATGAATCACTGTAATAATATAATAGCTTTGTTTCTTAATTTATGTTAAGAAAATCAATTTAAAATTCATTTATATGTCATAAACAATTTCATTTTTAAAATTAAAAAATATTTATATATGAAAATGATAAAGAAAATGCATGAATTAGATTTTTTATAACAATTATTTTTTTGAGGCAAAATAGATTAGAAATATCTACATATTTATTTATTTGATTAACTAAAGATTTTAACTAACTTATATTACTATTTTATATTTCTTTTTTATTAAACCCTTCAACTAGTTGAAATTTCTTTATCCAAGAATGTTAAAGCTTGCTTAAGAATTTCAAAGTTAGGATTATGGTTGGCTAAAAATGTTCCTTCTTCTACAAACCCTAAGTATAAAAGTGTTTCTTTTGCTCCAAAACACTCGCCAACTCTAGTTTAATAAGCCTTGTTTTCAAGATTTATCTTTCTAAACTTTTCTTCAGTAGGGTTATTGACTATGTTTTCTATTATTAAAAAAAATAATATTTTATTGATGAATCCTTTTATTTTAATTACAAATGTAAATTTAGATGGTCTTCAAACAAACTTGTGCTTTGTCTAAGAAAATGTTTCTAGGATGAGCAGTCTTAACTTGCTTAATACCAACCTAGAATTTTTCAAAAGGAGTAGGTTCTTTAGCTTATTATTCAGTTGGTTTACTGCCAGCGAACTGTATTTAAATTATTTATTTTTAAATCTAAATAAGGGTTTAAAAAAGTAAATAATTATTACCTTTTTGCCAAATCTTTCTTCTCTATCACGTTATAGTTGCTCTAACATTCTTTATTTGTCAATAGCATCTTATTCTCTTTGTTGCTTTAATTAGAGAGCTTCTTATCTCTTTTTCAATTCTTAGATTTCTCTCTAAGCATCTCCCATTGATTTACCAGACATAATACGTCTCTTTTCTTTATCGAGTTCTTCTTGGGCTTCTCTCTTTTTTCTCTCTTCACGCAACTTGTTTTGCAACTCCCTAGCTTTTTATCTAGCTTCTGCCTCACTCAGTTTAGGTTTATTTGTTTCATCAGTGATTTACATCAAAAGTTATTCTTCATAATCAGCATCTCCTTAATGCTTTTCTATTTGATTATTTTAAAAATTTTATCTTAAAAAAATGAAATTTTTATCCTAAAAAACATTAGAATGATTTCAATTTTCACTCTAATTGCTAATGTAATTATTGTAATCATTTTATTTAATTTTAAAAGAGAAAAATTATAGTACCAGTCCAAGCAAGAGCAGCTTCCAAAGTCTTTTAATCTTAGGTCATGAAGATAGCCTTTTCAGAAACGTTTTTAGAGAAACCCATGTCCTAAAGCTGTGCAACCATAAGGGGATCGACTAAATGAGAAATAGGACCCCATTTTTATTATTCTCCTTCAGCGTTATTTTCCTTGCTTTCTTCATTTGGCTTTTCTTCAGCTGGTTTCTATTCCTAATGTTGTTATTATTATCCTTCTTCGGTTCCCTTTAATGATTCTTTTATAGCTTCTTATTCAAGATGCTTTTCAATCCATTCGATGTTTGTATTCAAATCAGTAGATTTAGTAGCATTAAAGCATTTTTAAGCTAACTCTTGATCGTAGCCCATCGATACAATCTAACCAATAACAGAATCCATTTATTTTAAAAAATCTATTTACCTATTTACTTATTATTTTTTGATTAGCTAGTTGCTAAACTAAAATTCAAACAAATTATAAAAATTTAATTACAGACGAATAAATTATCAAATCTCTTATTCCTTTTATACTTGTAAGCGATAGTTCTAAAAAGATATTATATATCAATCAATCAGATCAGCTTCTATTTTCTGATATTATTTTTCAATATTCATCTTTCTAATTTTCTTTTAGAACAGTCAATAAATAAATAAACATTAAAAAGCTATGTTTTGAATAACCCTTTTAATAAATACTTAATTAAAAATCCTTGCAAAATTAATTATAATATTTTAATATTTGTTTGAATTTCTTTGAAATTTAATTTCATCATCAAAGGATTAACTAATAGATAGATTTTTAGTGTAAAATTAATTTTTATTTTTTAGCTAATTTCCTAGAAAAATAAATAACAATTTATTTAAATTTCTATCTTTTTATACTAACCTATCTTGTTCAATATTTATTAATCTAGTTTTGATAATTCTTTTTAGAAAAGTCAACAAATTAATAAATATTAAAAAGAATAACCTTTTTAATAAATACTAAAATATCTTTAAAAATTCATAATAATATTTTAATATTTAATTGATTTATTTAGATTTTAACCTAATTTAATAATAATAAAAAATAAAGTAAAAAAATAGATTTTTAATGTAAAAGTAATTTTTATTAGCTAGCTTATTTCCATAAAAATAAAAATTTATTTTTATTTCTATCTTTTTATTCTAACTTTTCTTATTTATATTCATTAATCTAGCTTTGATAATCTTTTAGAAAAGTCAATAAATTAATAAATATTAAAAAAGTAAGTTTTGAATAACCTTTTAAGTAAATACTTAAATATCTTCCAAGTTTCATAATAATATTTTAATAGTTACTTGAATTTCTTTAAATTTTAATTTAATTTAATAATAAAAAGAGCAACTAGTAGATAGATTTTGTGTAAAAAGTAATTTTTATTATAATTTCTAGAAATTATTTCTATTTTTGTCTTTTTATTCTAATCTATATTTATTTATCTAGCTTTGTCTTTAAACTTAATATTTATTTATTACAATTTCAGAATGATAAAATCGTATTTATTTCAAAATATATTTTTGAAATCTATTTCTAAACCCAAAAACACTAATAAATTAAGTGAAAGTGAAATATCAAAATTTATACGATTATATTTTATATTATATAAAATTAAATACAAACAAACAAATATCCTACAAAGAATTTTTTAAAGAAAAATATCAATAAAGATCAGTACTAATTAAATTTACATATTTATTTTTATTAGAATATTATAATTCATATTAGGTTTTTAATATGATTAACCAAAATTAATAATTAATTGATAAAGCAAATGAATAACTAACTTAAAATTATCTTATAATATTTAAATTTATATGAAATTTTATCTCATATTTGACTAAAATTAAATAAAAATTTAAAATGTAACAAAATTTATGTTTTAAGGAAAGTCAAACTAGATATAAAATTTAACTTAAAGGAACATAAAATAATACCAAAAGAACTGCATAAATTTGATTAATTTTTGCTTGTTTATAAACCGAATTATTTAACATTAAGAACTAAACTAATAATAAAATAAATATCAAAAAACTTATTGATAAATTGTCACTTATCAAATACCTTCAATAAAAGATTTGTTTACAACTAATCTTTAGTTTTTCAATATTTATTATTTCAGTTAATGACGAACAGATATTGATCTCTCATCGCTTTTAAATTTAAAAAATACGATTTTAGAAATTGTAGCTACTTACAAATACAATAATCAAAAAAGCTAACCTAATATTTATATTTAAAACTCTTAGTTGAAGACAATTTTCCAAGCTTTTTATGAAACTTAGTGTAGAATTATCGTCAATTTAATTTTAACTATTGAAATAACAATAAATGAAAAAATTTTTTCAAAAAATCAATAAAAATATTTTTTTTAAGTAATAAAAAAAATTCTAACTTAAAATCTAAATAGAGAAATAATAATTGAGCAAGTTTTTATAATGCTGAGCTAAAGACTAAGATACCCTTTCCACTAACTTCGTTCTCTCTAAATAAATTTAGAAATAATTTAAATTATAGATTATTTATTATTGTTCTTAATAGTATTTTAATTGATAAATGAATTTTCAATTTTGTTAGTTAGCTAATTAGTTAATATTTATTTATTAGGATATTTAAGATTAAATTTTTAAAATATTAAATAATTAATTTTACCGAAATGACATATTTAAAGTTGTAAGTCCTGCACAATTTACCAAACCTGAGCAAAAACCAATTAGACCATCATCTCTAAAGTAATTGTTGCTTTAAATATGTTATCAAGTTATTAATTTCATAATTATTATAGTAATAAACAAAATATATATTTTTGTAATTAAATTTTTTTTAGAAAATAATGAAATGGATGAATTAATTAATTACTTTAAATTAATCATCAAAGTTTATATCTTAGCTAAAGAAGTTCCTAAACAAGTTAAAGCTTAAGAATCTACTAAAATTGAACCCTTCCATTAACTTTTTATTTATAAATATATTAATATAGATCAAAAAACAACAAACAAAGTGTTAATGATTGATGGTTAGTTATTGAAATTTTTTGTTAATTAAATAATAATATTAGTATATTAATTTAAAATTAAACCATTCTAAATATTTTAATTATATTGTAATATCTATTGTTTAGTTTAGTTTTAGGCTAAACAAAATTAAGAAATTTTATATTTTTAAATCCTTCTTTAAGTAAATATTAGATAATGAAATTTCTGAAAAGGTATTTTGAATAAAATATTTATTTAAATCGAAATAAATTTAGGAATAATTTATATAAATTCTGCTTTTACTCTGGATGTTTAGATAATTCTAATCCTAATTTCTAAAGATTCACACATTAAGCTAAACCAGAAGCCAAACCAGATATACCTCTAGAACTTATTTTATTGTTATCACTTTTATTATAAATAAATTTCAAAAATAGATAGAATATCAAAGAAAAATTAAATTATTATTTCTCTTAGTAATAAAGCAAAGATAAAATAAAATATTTTATATTTACAGTAAAAAAATAAATAAATCTTAAAATTCAATATTTTATACTAAAAAGATAGATTTAAATCTAAAAGATTCTCAAAATTTCTTAGCTCCCCGGACAATTTAGATAAGCCAGTATCACCAATTTCATTTTAGCTTTTTATTATTATTTGAAAACAAGTTTATAAATTGTATTTCAAATATAAAATGATTCAATTCTATAATAAATCAGTGAAGAAGAAAGAAATATAATATCAAAATAAATTCATCATAAAAATTAAAGATACTTAAAATAAATTTCCAAAGTTGATAGATTTTTGCATGATTAAATAGAAGAGACTAATCCAAATGCCCCATTATCACCAATTTTATTATCTCTTTTCAATAGTTAGTTTAATAAATAATTCAAAATTTTACTTTTAAAAATATTAAATATTTAAATTTTAAAGAAAGCTAATTTATTTTTTGCAATTAGTAGAGAAAAAAAATTCTTACCCAAGCTTAAGTCTTAATATAGATAACTTTTTACAGCTTTGTAAACCAGAACCAAAATCACAAGCAATTTAATCATTAATGTTACTTAACCTTTAGGTCAAATTAATTAAAATTAATATTAAATAAGTAATGAATCAAACAGCAGCAATACGGTTTAAACATTTAAGTATTAAAAAAAAATGACTAATAAATTAATAAATAATTATTAAATGTATATATATACTCGCAACATATGTTTAAAGACTCTAGATATTCACAATTTGCTAAAGCTAAGCCTAATTTAGATGCTTATTTATCTTAAAATCGAGAATAGCTAATAATTTTATGAGATATTGTTTTACCAAATTAAAAAATAAAGAGAATAAAATAATTATATTTGATTTTCTTATCAAAATAAAGTTTTTAATAGAAAATTTCTATCTAATTTATGGATTTATTTTTTCTATTCGAAATTAAAAATTATTTGTTACTTTAAATATAAATTTAAACTTTAGAGAGATGAACATTTAGCTAAGAGAGAGAAAAGTAAATTAATCGTAAATTCATCTTAAAGTTTCCTTTTATTAATGTTTTTTTACTTTAATATTGCCTATTTTATTTTGAAAAATGAATTACCATAAAAAAAGCGTAATATTAGTATGAGTATGCAAAGATGAGCCTTCAAACTATTTATTTTTTAAAAAGAAAAAATATATTTTAATATAATTTATATCCTTACTTATTTTAGATCTGAAAATTTAATTTCTTATTTATTCATGCTATTTTTTTTTACCAAATTTAAATTAATTTTAATAATACAAAAATTTATTTTCTGCAAATGATTTAAACATCCAATTAATTTTTTGGATATCAACTACCAAATAAAAAAAAAGTTTATTTATACTTCAAATACAAATAGAAAAGTCTTTTTTTGATTTCTATCAAAAATTATTATGAGATCAAATAATAATCAAAACTAAAATAAATATTAGCTTGTGAATAGTATATTTTAAACAGCTCTGATTTATTTTATTAACAATTTTTTTTAATGAAATAAAAATGATTAATAATAAATTTTAAATTAATAATAAAAGCATTTTAATAGATTCATTTAGATTTATTTTTACAGCATAAAAATTGTTCTTTAAAAAAAATTCAATAAAAATGATATTTTTTGAAATTAATTTCAATTGAAGTTTAATTAATTTTTATAAAAATATTTATTTAAAAAGTTTGTTGATGCTTATTGTTTATAATTAATCAACTCATATTAAAATAATAAATAAGTTAATATTTTTATAATTGTAATTATCTAGTTTATTTGAAAGCTAGAATGAATTAAAAATTAATTTATTATATTATATATTTATTAAAAATAGAAATATTTTTAAGTGATTTAAATTAACTTATAATTTAGTTTTTTGTCTAAAGTATTACATTTATTCATAAAGTTTTGCTATATAATCAAATTAAAATATCATTCATAATTTGTAACAAATAAAATAAATTCTATTATATATTTATTTATAAATTTTATTAACATATATATATCGATCGATCATGCATGAAATTTCTATTATTTCATTATAGTAAGTGTTTGTAATAGGGTAGATCGCTTGTTAAGGATGTGCAAAAACGGCACTTATAACCAATTTATCCGCATTTACCATAAGAATCATTCAATGTACCACAATAAAAAGATCCCTTTGAGAGAAATGCTACTTTTCCTTCTGCATTTACCAGAGCATTCTTACCTTACAAATTTCTATACTTTAAGTCTAGTTCCATACACGGAGGACAATTGCATCCATCATCAGGACCACATTATCCATCACAAGTATTACACCTGTGTCCTACAGTTTTACCACAAAAGAACTTAGAAGTCCTTCCAATATGACATATATCTCCCTTTGAATTCTTTACTTCTAACAAAGGATCAATTTTCTGTACAGAAATGCTAGGGGTCCTTGATTATTCTTCTATAGATTTGTCAAATTTCTACATTATTTCATCTTTGTGAACACTTGTAATATGGTTGAAAAAATCTTATTGCTTTCCTTAATATTCGCAAACAGAGCATGAATACATTTTTTTTGGACAATTTTTGTAGTGGTTTTTGATATCTGATACTTATGAAACGTGACCACATTCATATTTGCAGATTACAGGAAATTTATTTATTAGCTTTATGAGATACATATTTTTTTCAAATTTAGGATTTTAATTTCTGCAATGTGGGCAAAATTTTGAGCTTCTTAATGTCAAACTTGTGCAATCTTCGCATAGAACGCATCCACAGCATGAAGAAGTATGGGCATTTGAAGGTACCTCTTGGCAAACTATGCACATTATATCTTCTTCTTCTAATTAACCTTTCATTTTATCTCTAATCTATTTTATTCTAATATGATCTAAATAGTGAAATCTTCTTTAATTTTACTGATTTTGTTTGTAAACTGCATCTCCTTTAAAAAAATTTAAATATGTCTTTACAATATTTTCTGATCAGTCTAAAAAAATCTAAATATTAATTAATTAATTTTTCTATAATTTTCTACTTCATAAAATTGAATATGAAATCTATCAATTTAATAGTTTTATAAAAAATTTGGAAATAATAGTTTTATCAATTAAATAAATATTTTAAACAAAATTATGTAAAAATTTTCTTTGTATAATATTATAATGAAAAAGAAAGAAAATAATTAAATTATGGTTAAAATCAAAAATGTTATTTGAGAGCTAACTTCCTTCATAAATGTTTTTTTTATCCAAAAAGCGAAATAAAATAATTAAAAAAAATTTATTAGTCAATAAATTTATTAACTCTTAATGAATGAATTTTAAAATATTTTTTTCTTGATATTCTAACTAAAAATTGATATTTAGCAATACATACAAATTTGAGAGAGTTTTAGTCTAAATATTGAAAATCTGTTTGTTTACTATTTTAAGAATAATAATTGGTACTACAAAGAAAGATTAAATAATAATTTATTTAATTAATTAATTAATTTTGATTTACTTTTTTAGAAAGCTAATTATTAGCCAATAACTAATTATATTATTCATTTCAAGCTATAAACAGTTTTTTAAATTAATTTTGAGTTTGTCAAATATATTTTAAAAATGTTTGTTTGTCAATTAAATATCAATAACCAAAAAATGTTTTGAATTTTAAATATACTAAAATTTTAATGATAAAACAAATATTTTAAGATTTAATTTATAAATCCTCAAATTATTTGAATTTAGAATAAAATAAAAAGAGCAAAATAAATGTGGTAAAAATATTTTTTTTTTTTAATTAATTTCAATTGAAGTTTAATTTTTAGATCTCTTAAAATATGTATTTATTTATTTAAAAGTATATTAATGTTTAATCTTTATTTATTTTTAATCAATTTATTGTAAATAATATCTAAATTAATATTTTTCTAGTTTATTTAGAAAACTTACTATTTTTGAATTGATTTGAAGTTTACTTAAAAGTTTGAATAAATTTTAAATTAATTTATTTATTCATTAAAATTGAAATATTTGTAAGTGATTTAAATAAAACAAAGCTTTTATTTGAAATAAGAATTTTATTTTTATTTTTTTTGTAAGTATTTCTTTAATTTATTAAATTTGTTTTGCTATACTATCAAATAAATAATTTTATTTTAGATTTATTTATAGATATTGTTAATAAATATATATCAATAATAAAATGTATATTATTTCATTGTAGTAAGTGTTTATAATAGGGAAAATCACTTGTTAGGGATGTGCAATAACGACACCTATAACCAAATTACCCGCATTTACCCCATTCATCATTTAATGTACCGCATTAAAAAGATTTATTTGAGAGAAATGCTACTTTTCCTTCTGCATTTACCAGGACATTCTTACCTAACAAATTTCTATACTTTAAGTCTAGTTCCATACACGGGGGACAGTTGCATCCATCATGAGGACCACACATTCCATCACAAGTATTACATTTGTGTCCTGCATTTTTCCCACGATAGAACTTAGGAGTCTTTCCAATATGACTTATATCTCCATTTGAATTCTTTACATCTGACAAAGGATCAATTTTCTCTTAAGAATTGCTTAGAGTGCTTGATTATTCTATATAATTATCAAATATTGACATTATTTCATCTTTGTGACGACTTGTAATATGGTTGAAAAAGTCTTATTTCTTTCCTTAATATAAGCAAACAGAACAGGAATAATTTCTTTTTGGACAATTTTAGTAGTGGTTTTTGATATCTGATATTTATGAAATGCGACCGCATTCGTATTTGCAGGCTACAGGGAATTTGTTGATTAGTTTTATTAAATACATATTTTTTTCAAATTTAGGATTTTAATTTCTGCAATGTGGACAAATTTTGGAGCATTTTAATGTCTAAATTGTGCAATCTTCACATAGAACGCATCCACAACAAGAAGAAGTGTGGGCATTTATAGGTACCTCTTGGCAAACTAAGCACATTATATCTTCTTCTTCTATTTGACTTTTCATTTTATCTGAAAATTGTTTCAACTAATTTCCTGACATTGAAATCTTTATTTATTTATTTATTGATTGATTTTGTTTGTAAACTGAATCTACTTTTAAATAATTTAAATATATCATTAGAATCTTTCTGATCAATCTAAAAAATCTTAATATTAATTCTATTTTTTTATAATTATCTATTTAATAAAATTGAATTTGAAATCTAGAAATTAATTAATTAATTAGTTTTATAAAAATTTATTAAATAAAATAGATTTTTGAATAAAATAAATATTTTAAATTTAAAGTTATTTAAAACCATTTTGCATTTTTGACTATTATAATGAAAAAAAAGATTAATTAAATTATTGCTAGAGCTAAAAAATTTACTTGAAACTAACTTCATAAACATATTTTAAATGAAAAGAAAGCAAAGTAAATTAGTTAAAAAAAATATTTTATTAGTCAATATTTTTAAGTCTTTGTAAAGGAATTAATTTTAAAAAGTTTTATCGTGATATTCTAATTAATAATTTATTAAATAGCAATGCAGTAAAATTCTAGGGAGTAATAATATTGGAAATCTGCTTACTATTTTAAGAAAAATATATGGTACTACTAAAGCAAGATTAAATAATAATTTAATCAATTAATTAATTAATTTCGATTTACTTTACACAAAACTAATTATGAGCCAATAACTAATAAATTTATCTAATATTCAAATCAATCTAGAAACAGTTTGTTTTAAATTAATTTTGAGTTCCTTAAAAATTTTTAATAGTCAAAAAATATCAATAATTGTAAAATGTTTTGAGTTTTAAATTTACTAAAATTTTAATGATAAAATAAATATTTTAAGATTCTTATAAAAAAATGATTTGAAAATATATTAAAATAAATAAATTTATTTATTTATCTATTAAATTAATTACAAAGTTTTATATTAATATTTAGCTTGATATCTTATTTTACTTAAAGATTATTCCATGGTAAATAAATATCTTCTTGGTTTAATTTAGAAGATTACATTTAAATTAAATTTTTATAAAATAAGAAAAAGCTGGTTTGTTTTTTTGTTACTTAATTAATTGCTTTTCAATTTTATTGACAAACATAATTAATTTTAATGTAACTTTGATTGATCAGTTAGTTATCTGTTTGTTACTTTCATTTTTTGTAAAAAATCTTTAATAAGAAATTGAAATTCAATTTTGATAATTTTGAGAATAAAAATTCTTTCTTTTTATTTGATTTTTCAATAATTTTGAAGAATAACATTTTAATGATATAAGTAATAAATGATAAAAAAATGATGATGAATTTAACAATTTTTATGAAATGATAATTTAAATGACTGTATACATATGAAGATAATAAAAGCATATTGTTTTTTATACAAAGTAATTTATTTGAAATTAATTTATGTTTTTTGTTTGTTTGGTTTTTAAATGGATTTTATAAATGAAAGGTTTTATATTAGTAGTAAATAAATTAATATGTTATTAAAAAATGCAGTGGTTTTTGTAGACCACTCGAATTTAATTAGGGTATTTCGTATCAAAATATTAATTTTTCTTGCTTGATTTTTTAGGCAAGCAAGCTGTCTTGGAAATGTTTCACTGTAATTTAATAAAATTAGTTTTTAGTTTGAATCTATTATTTTGCAACCAGCCAGATAGGTCGGCAAAAGTTATGCTTTAATTTCGCTTAATAGGATTATTTTATTAGTTCCCTAACCTCAGGTTACATAATATTTTTTATCAAGATAATTTTTTTTTAACTAGTGATTAACTTTTTTTTTAATTTTAATTTGTAGATCTTAAACATTAAATAATTCAAATTATTCTAAAATAAATCTGCTTGATGCATTTAGCACGCACAATTTCAAAATAATATTTTTTTTTGTGTTGTTTCAATTATATTTTTTGGCAAGATGTGGATAGTATTTCTCTAGGAAGAGCTAACTTTCAACAGAGTACTAGAAATCATCTGAAATTAAATCTGTATAGTCTTCATAAATAATTTGTTCTGGATGCTTACTTCTTTTATTTCGAATATACATAATTTGGCTGATAATATTTTCTGGAACAACATACTCTCTTACAATCAGAACTTCATCATACTTTAGTATATGCAGATGTGGGTTTGGGTGAATGTGCTTGTAAACTGCTTTGCAAGGTATTTTAAATCCATCAAAACTAAGAATTTCTATATCAACTGGTTCTGGACACGAACACCCATCAACGGACATTGCTTTCAGTTCAGCAATTAATATATCTATTCTTGATTTTGCTGTGAAAAGAATCGTTCTGCCCCTTCTTTATGTAATTTAACTAAAGCTTTCTACTGTTGTGCCGAGAAGGGCAAGAAAAGATTCACTTACTCCTGAATTAATAATCTCAAAATTGAGAGACTCATAATTAATTCTGCCTATTTTGAAATCGTAGTAGCAACAAGGGCTTATTTGCTCTAAAAAATTATAGCAAATTTCAAGGCTGGCCTCAAATCTTTTGTTGCAAAACTAAATGTATTCTTCGTATTTACCCAATTAAATTTATTCACTTTAGATTCTTGATAAGTTTTATCTGTATTTTAAAAATGAATTTTTTTGCTACTGAAGCCAATGAACAACTTCGTATAATAAATTGTCTCCTTTTGATAGCAACAATTTAAGCACTCCTTCGTAGTTGTTTAGACCAATCAAACTAGTTCCTAATTGTTATTCAATCAATTTTAATCTTTTTTTATACTCTTGGCGCAGTACGGGTTTGCAAAATTGGTTTAAGCGAGATCTCTCGTTGATACATTGCAAATCATCCTAATAATTAGCAGAAACAAAAATCTCTCCATATAGAAAGAAGGTGGTTTCACATTCAATCTGATTTCTTGGGACTGCAACGAGAGGCTTCTTAACTAAAATACTTGCTTTCCTCCTCTCTTCTTTCAAAAGTTCTTCTTGTTATTTCTTTCTTCGCTCCTACAAAGCTAAATTTTCTAGCTCTCCAAAAAATCCCTATGATGGAGGTTCAAAAGGCTACATTTCCATTTCAAATAAACCAAAATCATCTTCACAATCGTTGCTCATTTTAGTGTTTGCAGAGCACTAATTTAGTTAGATTTTACTAGTTAAAAAGGAAGTAAATTCAGCTAGAATGTAATTTTAACAAGTCTCTTTTTATTGAGTTTTTATGATTTACAAAAGTAAATACTAATTTATTTATAATCAAAGCAGAAGTTTCTCAAGAATAATTAAGAACTTAAATATATATAACAATGAAGACAATGCTTTTTGTCAAATCAACTGTAGCTATTCTGTTTACTTTTTTAGTTAGTTTTTGAATCAACCTTTAATTTTCTTTGTGAGTGAAAATTAATAATTTAATTTTTTTAATTTTTTCACCACTAAGCAAATTGTAGATCTGTAAGATAGATTTATTAATTAATAAATTAATAGCGATATACTATAATTTCTTTTTATGATTTGCCAAATCACATGAAATTGATGCGAAAAAATAAAGTTTCCTTTCATTCCACCGATTCCTAAGTAAAATAAAAAATTAATTTTGCCTTTAATTACCCAACTCAATTACAATATGATTATCACCATAATTTTTTAGAATAAAAAATAATTCAATTTAATAAATATTTTCAATTCTGTTTACTTATCATTACATATCCAATATCTTAAATTCATATCCATCATCTACTACCTAAAAATCAGTAAAAATAATCCTACATCATTAATTTACTAATTCCAAATCAGGTTATTTCTATTTTTAAAAACTTTACTGAATTTGTGATTTACTTTCCTCTAAAAACAATTCAAAAACTCAAATTACTATCATCGTAGAAAGTGTTATCTAAATATAATTCTATCAATCGTTAATCATTATTTGATTTATTATCTTAAATGTTTAAAATAAAAAATAAATATTTCAAATCAGGCAAATTCTAATTTGAAATACTTTACTGAATTGTTGAGCTCTAAAAAGAATTCAAAAACTCAAAGTATTATCATCATATATATTAAGCGTCTCCTAAATATAATTCTATATATTGTTAACCATTTGTTTGATTATCTTAAATGTTACATGTTTAAAATAAAAAAGTATGTAAGTAAGTAATATCATAAACTAATTTCAAAAATAAATAATAATAATAATATTTAAACTCAAATAATATTTATTTATTGTCAGATAAAATTTTTCTATAAAAATTTCTTAAGAGAAATTAATCAATTAACCAAATACTACTTTATGATAAGAAAGAAACTAAGAAAATGTCTTTGAAATATACTTTGATTTATAGATCAATCAATCAAGTTATTGAATTATTTTAATTTGACTATTTGATTAATCAATTATTGATTGTAAGTTTGAAAAATATAACAAAAAAATTGATATATTTATTGCCATCTCAATAGAGAGTAATCGCTAATAAGTTTTAACTTAGTTTTTTTAAATTTTTTGCTCAGAAATCGAAGAAATGTGCATAATTATTGCTATTTAAATATTAATATTATAATTTATGAGGTGGAAACATTTGATTTATTTTTGCTTACAATTTGAAATTAGGTTGATAACTGTTGTTTATCATATCTCATTATTGTAAGTTTGTAAGATAAATTTGGAAATTAAAAAAAATTATTTAAGGTATTTGTTTTTGTTACTCACTCAAATAAATCATCTTTATAATTAGCATTTAAGGTGATTAAATAAATGACTCTGGTAACCTCTTCTAATCCTAAACAAAATGAAATGAACTAGACATTCAATTAATAAAAATAAATTTTTTGCTTTAAAAGCATTACACTATTATTAATTGCTTGCATTATTTTATTAAAGTATCTAAAAATTTGCCTAAATTAATCATCATTAATATAAGAATCGGAGGTTTTTAGTAAAAGAATTTAAATTTAATAGGTAAGTCTGACTATGAAAAACTAAATCTATATTGGTTACATAAAAATTTGGCAATGTTTATTCTTAAATCTTTACTTTAAAATTCTTTAAGCAGAGTAATAAATTAAAAAATTGTACTTTACACAAATTTGGATTTATAATTTGAAATTGAATTAGTACAACAGGAACTAAAAATTGGAATACAATTTGCCTTTAAAGATTTAAAATTAAAGTGAGATTAAACCTGTTTTGATTCACACAATAGTATAAAAAATTATATGAAATGAAAATTGATTTTTTTGATCGTAATTTAAGAGAGTTGGGTGTAATCGTAGCCAAGCGATTATACCAAAGTATTATAAAATCAATCAAATGTGTGTGTATGTCTATTAATTGATTATTTTAATTACTTTTTTAATTTGATATAGTAAAAATTTCCTATTTTTTTCAGTCAAAAACAAGTGGAAAAACTTAATAATAACAAATCCAGACTGAAATTTGAAGTTTTTCATTATAATTTATCAATTTTATTATAAAAGGGGAATCATATTTATAATTTAAATTTCTTTCGAACAAAATTTACATGGATAATAAGCAAAATCTTGCCCTCTTTCCGTAAAATAAATAAAATCTAGCTCTTACTCAATAAAACAATTGAAAATGTAACAACTAATATTTCCATACATTTTCCAAGATATAAAAAGTTTGTATTTATTTCACTGCTAACTAAATAAGTAAAACTGTAGAGTTAAAAAATATGATTTAGGAATTTCTTTTGTTTGAGGTTTGTAATTTATCATAAGAATTTCTAAAAAAAAAGTGGGTGATTATTTAGTTATTTAATTCCTGTTTACACAATTAAAAAAGGTAAAAGAACTAATCAAAATAGAATCTCTTGGGATTAAAAAATAATTTAATTAAAAAAAACACCAAGTTATTCAAGTTTTTACAAGAAAGAAAATAGTTTGTAATATTTATAATCCAATTAGAGAATAGAAAAATAATTAGTATTACAGTTCAATTTGTTGATTTTTTTATTTGATTGCAAATTAGGGCTTGATCGTACAAAAAAACATCTTAATTAATTATGGAGATTTATTGAAAAATATTCACATTGATTATTTATTTATATATAGATTGATAATTAATTATTCAATTATTTATTAATTTTCATTTAATTTATATATATATAGGTCTATAAAATATGTTTTAAAATATTATTTTGCAAAATATCTTCAATGTTTGTTTTTTGAGTGCACATTTTTTTTATTTTTGGAAACTGAAGTATGAAAAACATTTAAATTTTTCAAAGTAGTTTTTCTTTTTAATACATTCATTCATTTGTATAAATTTGATTTTATTTTTATGGTTTGTTATTTATTAGAGAGATGGAAAATCAGATTGATTATTTTTTTATCTAGCCAGTTGATAAATAAATCTTTTATTCGATCTCACTTTCCTTTAATTATTTGTTTGTTAACTTCTTGCTCAGCAATTTCTATTCGTTAAAAATTTATACTCTGATGTTATTTGTAAGGGCATTGAAATGGCATCAGCTGTTTCTTGAGGAATTACATCCATGCTAATTGCTTTGTTTTCGAGGTAGTGGTTTCGCCACTCTGCTATTTGCTTACTCTCCATAGCAATTGTATCATATGCTTTTTGTATGTAAGTTTCGCTCTATTTTTCTACAAGCTAGTTAAAATCTAACTGGGATATAGTTGATGGTCTTATACTTAAGAAATTGTATGTGGAGACACCTAAACTTATTGCACTCATGATCATAGCAATTATAGCGTTTTGATTAACTTCGTTACCTGATCTTAGAATAACGAATATTAGAGATAGAACTAATTAAGGTGTATCTTCAAATACAAATTTTATACAAGACTTAAAAATCTTATTAGAAATTGATTTGCCTGCTAAATTGGGAAGTAAATATCTTGTTATGCAATTGTTAGGAACAATCCACACATTGAAAGGCGCTACAAAATCTAAGAGACTGCTCAAAGCAGCGCACTCTAAAAGAGTTGTAATTTCATAAAATTTATTTAAAGAAGAGGTTGTGTACAGACGAGAGCTTTTATGTCTGATGTGCTTTATTATTTTAATGAAGTTAAAGGTACTGACTAACAAATTACCAGCAATTATACTTGCCATCAGAGAACCTATTGGTATATATCCACAAGCAAAGCAGACTATTACAAAACAGGCTTCGTTGTATAAATGATATTTCGTTAACTAGCTCTACACTAAAGCCACACCAATCAAAAACTTTTTCTTTCCCTTAATAATTTTCTTAGCCTTAAATATAATTTATTCTAATTTTGATTAAACCTTTTTTTTGTCTTCCTCATTAACCTCCACAGGATCAGGCAATAGCTTGCCTACCTTTTTGTACACATACACAAACAGATACAGCTCGATTATTGCACTGACAAGAGCAAATGCAAAATAAATAATAAGGGCAATTACATTAACTCCTTTTTCACAAACTTCACGATCACTGTTATCACCTGCTAAACTTTTTATATCAATATCATAGTAAGTAACTAAGAAAGGAGCTCCTATAGCAACTAAATAGTAAATAAATGTTAGAATAAGCAAAAAGAAAAGTATTGAATTCTTATTCTTCAGTCTATCATTCAATTTTTAGATTCTCTTTTTGTATTTATATTTTACAGATTCTGAAACAAAAATAGACAAAATGTAGTAAATCAGCTATTTAATCTTACTTCCAATATAAGTAGTTGGTTTATAATTGTAGTAAATATGCTCTCTCCAAGCAAATGCTATACCTACATTAGAAACAGAGTTAATATCATAACTCATATTAACATATTAAAGATCATAAGAATGATAAAGTTTAGAGTAAATTGATTTCCAGCAAGGCAGAGTTATTTTCTAGTAAAATTCTATTCTCTTGGGTGGGAGTAAAGAGATAAATTAGTTTAAATATTTTTCACCTCCTTCTAGCATAATACCTTTAAAATTAACAAAAACAAATAAATAAATATTCATAGACATTTCAAACAACAAGCATTTCATAAACATTAAAAAAATTTATTCTATGAATTATGAAAGAAATAAGACAAATTTAATTTAAAAAATCTAAAGTAAAAAATAAACTTGGAAAAGTTATAAAAAAATTTTTTTATCCACAAATTTTCTTTGAATTTTTATGAAAATTTTTAATTGCTTTTTTTTATTAAAAAAATTGTAACTCAATTCAAATAAAATATTTATGTTCATTTACTTTCCAAAAAACTGCTAGAGAGAGTGTATTAAAGATGAATCTAGTTTATGCCTGAATTGTGGAAGTTTTAATATACTTCTTTCAGGAAAGGATAAGTTAATTGTTCTACATCACTTTCGAAGGAGTTGTTTAGAATATAGATTTCTTTTATGTGGTTAGTAAAATACTTTAAATTGTAAGAATTGAGGATCATTCTGTAAGGGTATGGTTCTATTTCATTTTATGGCATATTATATGCAAATATTTTTGATAAGGATCTCAGTCCTTTTGTAGTAAAACAAAGTATGTTTTTATCCTCTACTATGTATTTTATGAAATGTTCGCCTATCATCTCAATAGGAAAATTACCTAAATTGTAAATAATTCCATTTTATAATGCATTTTTTTCTATTCTTAGATTCTTGCTTTCCAAAAAATACTTGTTAAGCTTGTAAACAGCCTAGGATAAACTCTTTGGTAGGTCTTCTAAAACTTAAAATTTTGTATCTTTAACTGTCATTTAAATTGTGAATTTTTTCATAAAATTTATCTGTTTTGAATTTTATTTGTTGAGTTGAATGTTTTGAATCAGTCCCTAAACAATATCTTAGATTTTCTGATCTTATTTGATGCTATTGAGCTAGTCTGAGAAGTCTACAAGAGATTTCTTTTTCTATTTCTATAAAATAAAAAGTTAGCATTAAAATAATAAAAAAAATAATATTTTACAGTTTTAACTGTCTTTCCTGTAATTTAAGTTACAATGTCCTGTAAATTTTCTTGATCGATTCCATTTTCATCTATTTTAACAGAATTAATTGATTTGCAATCATTTTTCAAAAAGAAAATTAAGTTTATATAGCCTTGCTTTTAAATTTTTGAATTATTATTAATAATAAGCTTTTTCAAGCTTTTGCCAACCAAATCTTTTGCCTTTAAATTAACGATCATCCTAGACAATATTTCATCATTCAAACCGCATTTCGTTAAGTGAATGCTTTCAAGTTTCCTAATTTGAATTAAATTTATTAGCATTATTTTATTTAAACTAAATAATTATTTTTACTTAAAGTTAGAAATGCATTTAAATATGCAATCCCACCCTTCATTAGTAATTTTAGCATTAAAGCTTAATGATATCTTTTGCAAAGTAAAAGTTATAGGATGTTCTTTTTTAATATCATCTTAAATGCTGCTCACCTTTTCATCAGTCAATTCACAAATACTTATATTGAAGTTCTACAAACCTTTCATTAAAGCAACAGTTTAAAATACGTTTGACCATCCTTCTTTATTTATCAAGTCATTACCTTGCAAACTTAAATTCCTTAGACTATTTGTCAATTGACTTTGTTCTGAAGTAAATTCTCTATTCATAACCTTTACAAAATAAATAAAAAATAACTCAAATTTATACATAAAAAATCATTTTAAATTTACTTAGCATATTTTATCATTTAAATTGCAAAATTCCAAACCAAGACTCTCTAAAAAAGTACAATTTTTAAATGCTCTAAACAACTACTCCCATATTACGTCTTTAACTTTATTTGAACCTAATAGCTCAATACATCTTATCCTATCACCAACCTAAGATTTAGGGTTATTTAATTCTGACTATAAAAATGTTAATCTTTCACTATTGAGTTTGTTGTGTTAAAAGTACAAATTAGATATTTGTTCCATATTATTTAAGTTTTAGAAAAATAGTTTCCAATTTAATGGAGAAATCTTAGGATTCATCGAGAGATCGAGAGTAAATAAATTTTTTGATAATTAAGATTTTTTTAGAGCATTAATCAATGGTTTGAACTTTTAATCATCAAGTTAACAATTCTAGAGAGATAAATATTACAAATAAGATTTTGATAAAACTTCAAAAAGCATTTAAAGACCTTTTGAGGTCATTTTTTGATTCCATCCTAAATCAAAATCTGTTAAATTTTTTAACAAATGTTCTTTTTCATGTAAAACCTCTGCTATGCTCCTAATCTATTTGTTAATTTGCATTTAATTTAATTATTAAAAAATAGAATAGATAAAATATAAAAACCTATTGTTCTCCCAAATTGCAGTTTCTCATATAAATTCTTTAAAAGTTTAAGCAAGAACTGAGTGTTTAGAATAGCTTGAGCCAGCCAACATAACTGATTTTTTAATTACCAGAAAGATCAAGTGATTGCAAAGAATTCTTTAAAGGTTTTGAAGCCTCTCTTTAAAGTTAAATTAAAATAGATTCAATTTTTTTGTCATTTAAGTAGCAGTGTTATAGAGATATCTCTTTTATGTTTTAAAACATAGATATTTATCTAAATAAATAGCCCAGTTCTTAAGGAGTCATCTTTATATTCTTATTTAAATGAAGTTTTTATAACTCTTAAGGGAGTTTATTTAAGGTAAAAAGGTGATCTTTTATTTCTTCATAGTTTCTTTCTTACAAATTATCAGCTTTAGCAGAATTTTTTAAATTCTCAAACTGTATTTATTTTTAAATTACTCTCCCAGTTAGTGCTTATAACAATTTCTTATATCCAATAGGTCCAATCTTTATATTTATTTTTCAAAAAAAAATGTTTAAAAATCAAATACAATTTTACCATTAAAAAATACCATATTTTTTCTAAAATAAAATCAATATTATTTTGGATTTATAAATCTTAGTATATTAGTGATTAAAAAAGGTGGGTATTAGATACCATTTGATATATGAAAATTTTTTGTTTTCAAAATATTAAATAAAATGTTTGGGGTCTATGCAAAAAATAATCATAAAATTCCCTCCTCCCAAAGTAAATATAAGAAAGATTCAATATATTTTTTTTCTATAGCTTATGAACCAAAATTGTTTTCAAAACTTTTTTTGCTAAAAATTGAGTTAAAAATATACTTTAATTAATATATTTCATTTTATTATTTTATAAAAGTAGAATTTGTAGAGGAAGAAATAAATAAATAAGGCTTTAGATAAAACTAATTTTTGAAATTAAATTTTTATAAGTTATTCTAAAATGTGAATGATGTTTACTTGAACAGTTTTATCTTTTTATAAGAGTATTTCTTAAAGAATAAAAAATATTTTACTTTGTCATTTCCATTTAGGATAACGTTTCTTAGAGAGCTGTTTTTAAGGAATTCTTCTGTTAATTTATTTTATGGCTAAGCGTTTGGTGTTATGTTTGGCTGACTTTTAGTCAATAATTTTGATATTGCAATCAACTTTTTGTTTGTCAGGTAGCAAAAACTTAAGTCTAGCTTTTCTAATTTTTCACATTTTTTTAGGCAGTCAAATAAATAAATCCAGCCAACAAGATTTAGAAAAGAATTTCCAAACAATGTAAGAATTTTAAGTGTTTTGAAAAAATGGGCATTTTGAGTTAGTTACACAATATTTTTAACTTTATCATGTTGAAGGAAACAAGAAGTGATGTTAAGTTCAACTAAACTTTCAAATTATGAAAGTATTTTCCAAAAGCTATCCCAACCCTTTTTAGGCGAAGGGTTATTTGAGAAAATAAGTGTTTTAAGAGATTTTATTAATGGATACTGTACAATTACTTCTGATGAAGAAATTGAATCTTTATGATTTCTGTTAGTAGGAGATTTCCATGCATCGTTTCTGTTAGTAGGAGATTTCGCTACATCATTTCTGTTAGAAGGAGATTTCAATACCATCATAGTTGGCTAAAAAGCATTTTCCATAAACTTTAAATCTTTATCTGAATATATTGTTTCTGACAGGTCAAGAATATTTAGTCTGTCAAAGTAACGAATACACTAAGCTAAGAATTCCCATCCTTCTTTGATTTCAAAATTTTAAGAAATATTTAAATGAGTAATAGACTTATAAAGACTGCAAGATTTACCAAATTGAGCATACATTTTTTTACAAACACGAGGTCCTAACTGGCATTTGCTTAAATCTAACTTTCTTAGATTTTCATAATCTTTTAATTTACTAAAAATCAAATCCCAGCCATCATCAGAAATTTCAGTATTATTTGAAATGTTTAATTCTTTTAAATTTTGTAAGAAATTCATATTACAATCAAGAAGATTCCCCAAACTTTCATAATTCTCATTATTAATATTAACATTAGATAAATTTAAGTATTTAAGTTTTGAGCACTTCATTAAAAATGATGCAAGCATAAAGTGAGAGTCTTATCTAGAAAAATTATTATTGGAGATATTTAGCAACTTAAGTGATTATTGAACATTAGACTTAATATTAAGGAGCAATTAAGATATATTTATAACAATATCATCGCTTAATTAGCAGTCCTCCAAAGAAAGACGAGTTAAAGTGTTGCTTTCAGAGAGCATTTCAATAAATTTTTCTAAAGACTGTCCGTCAAAGTCAGAGTTTTTTGATAAATCAATTTTTTTTATTTTTAAAAAGAATTAATGCTACAATGCAAATTCATTTAAAATGGCTGAGTTTATTTTATTGTCTTACAAATCAATACTTTAAAATTTTTAAAACTTATTTAACCATTTAAATAACTTATTATATCCCACTGGAGTAATATCCTTATTTCCTTTTATATCTAAAATTTCTAAGCATTTAAATAAATTATAAATTTATTCATTCTAATTAACTTCGTTGGATTCTAGTGTCAATTTAGATATTTTATCATCATTTAATTCGCAATTGTTCATAATTAAGATTTTCAAATTTTCAAATTTTTTAAGATATTCACCAAAGTGTTTCATTCCCTCTTTCCCAACACCAGCGTTTTTAGAAATATCAAAATGTCTAATTTAAATTGATAATTAATAACTTAACAAAATATATTTATTTATTTATTATTTTATCTCATTATTAGCAAATTATATTCAAATCCAACAAAAAAATAAAGCTTAAATTAATTCTTTTTTGCTATTTCTTCTGAAATTTATATTTATAAATTTAATTCAGTAAATTTGCTGAATAATTTTATTGATAAAAATAAATTTATAAGTAATGTGATTAAAGGTGTCAGTAAAAATAATTATTGATTATATTTTTATTTGAAAGAGAGTTAAAAAATATCATAATGTCTAATATAAATTGATAATTAATAACTTAAAAAAATATATTTATTTATTATTTAATCCTTTTTTATGCAAACTCTGTTCAAATTCAATAAAAAAATAAACCTTAAATAATTCTTTTTATGGTATTTCTTTAGAAATTTATTATTATAAGTTTAATTTAGTAAATTTGCTGAATAATTTAATAATTTTATTAATAAAAATAAATTTATAAGTAATGTGATTAAAGGTGTCAGTAAAAATAATTGTTGGTTATATTTTTATTTGAAAGGGAGAGTTAAAAAATATCAAAATGTCTAATATAAATTAATAATTAATAACTTAACAAAATATATTTATTTATTATTTAATCCTTTTTTATGCAAACTCTGTTCAAATCCAATAAAAAAATAAACCTTAAATTAATTCTTTTTATGCTATTTCTTCAGAAATTAATATTTATAAATTTAATTCAGTAAATTTGCTGAATAATTTAATAATTTTATTAATAAAAATAAATTTATAAGTAATGTGATTAAAGGTGTCAGTAAAAATAATTATTAATATCATTTTTATTTGAATGAGATAGTTTTTTTTGAATTTTAATGAAATCATTTTAGTATATTCATTAAAAAATTTCATTCATTTTCTTTATCAATATTTTTTTAATTCAATAAACAATTTTGTTTTAAAAATTAAATTTCATTATAAATTGAAAATGTTTTAAAATAAATTTGCTTGGCTTTAACAATATTAAAAAATAAAATTATAAATAAATAAATACTTGAGGTAACGAAGGAGCCTTTTATTTGATTTAAGTACTATCTCCATATCTTCAAAATGTTCATTTGTTAAACCACAATCAGCTAGTACTAATTTTTCTGCTGATATATTTTTCATTATATGTCTAAATGATTCAGGTTTAATTTTTGATTGAGTAAATTCTACTTTTTAAACGTGAATTTTTCTTTTGGAAATATTGAGTGCAAGACTGTCAATAATGTAATCTTCTAAATGATGCAAGTATAACAGTCTTATGGAAGAACAAGAAGCTATTTCTGTCCAGAGTTTTTTCAATAAATTCGTATTTCTTATGAATAAATATCCCAAATCTAATTTTTCAACTGGATTTAGCTGATCTGATGGAAGAAGACTGTCTAGTATTGCTTCTAAACATCTTTGTGGATTATCATCTTATTCGTCATTATTTTCTTATGATTCTTACTCATCTTCTAGCTATTTTAAAAAATCTCCATATTAATTTTAATTTGTAACTCCATTTGAAAAATGAGATTTCTATTTTTTAGGACTTATTTTATTATCTGAGACGATATTTTCGTCTGCAAATTAATGAATAGATTGTCTTATACACTTCATGCAGCTCAGACGAAAAAACTAATGGCTATTATATTCCATGTCATCTTTACCATTTATATTGAATTATATCAGTCCTTAGTCTTGATAAACTAGAACACAATCACTCAGTTTGGTTTATATTTTTTAAATAAATTATTCTTTGAATACACCATAGTTATTAACTATATAGAGATACAGATAACCATCCTAAATTCTCTTACGTATAACTTCACTATTACCAAATATAAAGTAATCCATTTCAAGATCACTCAAATTATTAAAAGAAAAGACAATACGAAGACACTTGCTATGAAATAAAATTTATCCTTTGAGAACTTTCAAGTGTTCTTTAGTCAATTTGCAATTCTAAAATGTGATTGTCGTAATGTTATTCAATTCTCTCATTACCTGCTCTAAACTAAACCACAAATCGATCTTAAAATTTCCATGAAAGTTAAGAATCTTAATTGCTATATCTTTTTTATAAGTAGAGTAATTGTAAAGCAGCTCTTTGAGAATACTTTCAAAGTCTTGTTCCTACACTAGCACTTCTACTTCGGCTTTTTTAAAGGTAAATTAAATAAATTAGAATTATTTCTGTAAAATTATGTTTAAATTCCTCGCTTCAAGCTAGCGAAATTTTTATTGGGTTAAGTTTAAATTGCAACAATATAACATTTGAAAGTAATTAAATAAAATAATTCCAAATTGATTACAGCATAAATAATTTTTAAACTGCGAACCACGAGGTCTCCTTTTCTAAGATTTGGTAGTAGAACTCTATCCTAATTTAGAATCATTATAATTGCTACTAGCAGGTTTCGATTTGGATGAGCAACACTCAAATAATGACATGGCTTTTGACTTAGTGATTATTAGAGCTTTTATCTATCTATCTATTTATTTATTGTTAATATTTACCTATCTATCTATGTATCTTACAATCTAATTTTAGATTGAATTAATTAATTAATAAATGTTTGATGTTTTCTTCTACTACTATTACTTTTTTTAATTCAGTCAATAACTAAATTATTGTTTTTGATAACCTTTATTTGAATTTTTTCACTCTAAAATAATCTTTAACCCGATTTATTTGCTTATATATAAAAAAATTTAATTTTTCAAACAAAACTCTTAAATTTTTCAATTTATCTTTTAATATTTATTTTCCTTGATATTTTTTTTCATTTTTCATTGTAAATTTATTAATTCTGAATAACTTTCATACAGAGAGACTAAAAAATAAGTGCAATCTCTTTATTTATTTTACAATTATAAAGACCATAAAAATTATAAATTTTAATCTTAAAATATCCAAGACTTTTAACAACTAATTTAATTTATGGTTGGTTATAGATAATTTCAAAGAGTCTTGAAATAAATATACTCTACTTGCAAGATTTTAAATCTTTAAATTTGCACATAAATATAAATAAATCTATTTAATCTGTCTTTAAATGCAAGTATTTTAATGATATTAAGAATAAAAACTTATTAAAACATGTAAACCTAAATAAATTTCAATAATTACCATTGGAATATTTAAAATTTGATGTTTTTTTAAATAAATAAATATTAACCCGTTTAACAAAAATTGATGAAGTGCCACTGTTTGTTTTTAGCTTATATTTCAAATTTATTTTGATAGAAATTAATTTTAACTTACATATTAACTTGATTTATATTTATTTGTTTATTAGAATATAATAGCCAGCCACTCATTTTTTTTGAATTTAATTTAAGCCAAATAAAGTATTTAATTTAATTACATCTATCTTGTCTATTTTTATAATTATACAAAATAAAAAGCTTTTTTGAATCTAAAATTTAAATCAAATATTATCAATTTGATTGATTGATTTATTTATTGATTTGTGGTAAAAAAATTCTTATTACACTTTGATTTAGTCCGTACATACATATCACCTTTAGATCCTTTTTTTTATTATTTTCTATCTTTAAATTATTATTTCATTAATTAGTAACAGGTAAATGATCTAAAATTAACAATTAAATTTTTTTATTTTAAAAAAATTTAATTAAAAATTAAAAGATTTATTTGATTGTTTTTGGTAAAAAACTGGTTTTATAATAAATTATTTATTAAAGTAAATTTAATTTGTAAATTTTCATTTATTTGATAAGCTATTTATTAACTTACCAAATAAATAAATATGATATTCATAAATATAATAATAATAATAAATCTATCTATCGATATTTTAGGTTAAATTATCTTATTACAAAATATTATATAATAAAACATATTATTCTCTATTATTCAAATATTTAATATTTATTCATCCCCTTTCACCACTTGTCTGTCTGTCTATCATCACCAAAAATATATTTTAAAAACAACTAACCTTTTTGATTTATGACACTTACTTTTTACTTTTAATTTTTATGATCCATTGATTTAGTTTTCACTTTTATATTAAATTAAAATAAAATACTAAAAAAAATTAAATAAAATATAATATTTTAATAAAAAATTATATTTAAAATTAATTAAAAAAAACATTAGCTGAAAAAAGAAAAATAAATCAAATAAAAAGCAAAACAAATAAATTAAAAGAGTTATATTTTTTTAAATTCATTTTTATAAGTAAACACATCATAATCAAAAACAAATAAACTATTTTTACCGAAGATTTAGTTTCAAATTTGAGAGATTAGTGCAATTTGCTAAAGCAGAACCTAAGCTTGATGCACCCACTACACCAATTTAATTTGAACTTTTTAAATATTGAAAAAAAATAAATATTTAATTAGTTATTTTGAAGGAAAAAATGAAAAAAAAATTTGAAATGATAAAAAATGAGTTAAATTAAGAAGATAGAAGAAAAAAATACATAAGTAAAATAAAAAGTAAAAGAAAAGTAAACCAAATCAAATCAAATCAAAGAAAAAGCTAATAAACATATTAATATAGCTAGCTGTTTTGTTTTAAATTCAATCTTATAAATAAAAGTATCAAAATCCAAAACAAATAAACTATTTTACCATAAATTAAGTGTCAAATTTGAAAGATTAGTGCAATTTGCTAAAGCATAACCTAATTCTGATGCACTGATTGGACCAATTTAATTGTAACTTTTTAAATATTGAAGAAAACATATATAATTAATTAGTTATTTTGAAGAAAAAATGAAGAAATTTAAAATAATTAGAAATGAATTAATAAATAATAAAGCAAATGTTGAAAATAAAAAATGAGTTAAATTAAGAAGATAGAAGAAAAAAAACAGAAATGAAATAAAATAGAAAAAGAAAAGTAAATCAATCAAATAAAAAGCTAATAAATAAATAAATAAAAAGAGCTATATTTTTTTAATTGAATTTTATAAATAAAGATGAGGCAATCCAAAACAAATAAACTGTTTTTACCAAAGATAAAGTTTCAAATTTGAGAGATTAATGTAGTTTGCTAAAGCAGTACCTAAGCCTGATGCACCAATTTAATTGCGACTTTTTAAATATTGAAAAAAAATATATATAATTAATTAATTAGTTATTTATTTATTTAGAAGGAAAAAAATGAAGAAAAAATATGAAATAATAAATAAATAATAAAAGCAAATGTTGAAAATAAAAAATCAGAATTTCATTTTTTCGGTAAAAATATCACAATCCAAGACAAAAAATAAACTGTTTTACGCAACATCAAGTTTCAAATTCGAGAGATTAGTGCAATTTGCTAAAGCAAGACCTAAGCCTGATACACCTGTTGCACCAATTTAATTTCTACTTTTTAAATATTGAAGAAAAAAAAATAATTAATTAGTTATTTAGAAGGAAAAAATGAAGAAAAATATTGAAATAATAAGAAAAGAGTTAATAAATTTTATAACCAACTGTTGAAAATAAAAAAATGAGTTAAATGAAGAAGATAAAGAAAAAAAACACAAATAAAATAAATAAAAAAGTAAATCAAATAAAAAGCTAATAAATAATAAACAAATTAAAAGAGTTATATTATTTTAAATTCATTTCTATAAGTAAACATATCATAATAAAAATAAATAAACTCTTTTTACTAAAGACCGAGTGCTAAATTTGAGAGATTAGTGCAATTTGCTAAAGCATAACCTAAGTCTGATGTACCTTAATCACCAATTTTATTATTACTTTTTAAAAATTGAAGAAAAAATAATTAATTAGTTATTTATATTAGCAGGAAAAACTGAAGAAAACATATTAAATAATAAGAAATGAGTAAAAAAATAATAAAAGTAAATGTTGAAAATAAAAAATCAGTTAAACTAAGAAAAATAAACAGAAGTATAATAAAAAAGAAAAAGAAAAGTAAATCAAATAAAAAACAAATAAACAAATTAAAAGAACTATCTTTTTTGGTTTAATTTCATTTTTATAGGCAAAAATATATCAATTAATAACAAATAAACTGCTTTTACCCAAGATAAAGTGTCAAATTTGTGAGATTAGTGCAATTTGCTAAAGCAGAGCCTAAAATAGATATACCTTAATCACCAATTTAATTGTTCCTTTTTAAGTATTGAAGAAAAAATATATAATTAATAAGTTATTTAGAAGAAAAAATAAAGAAATTTGAAATAATAAGAAATAAATTAATAAGTAATAAAATCAAATGTTCAAAATAAGAAATGAGTTAAATTAGGAAGATAGAAGAAGAAGAAAACACAAAAGTGAAATAAAAAAGAAAAGTTAATCAAATAAAAAGCTAATTAATAAATGAAAAGAGCTATATTTTTTTAAATTGAATTTAATAAATAAAAATATCACAATAAAAAACAAATAAACTTTTTTACTTAAGATTAAGTGTCAAATTTTAGAGATTAGTGCAGTTTGCTAAGCCAGAACCTAAGCCTGACGTACCTTAATCACCAATTTTATTGCAACTTTTTCATAAAAATAAAAAAAAAGAAAAGTAATAAAAATAAAAAACTAATAAAAAAATTAAAAGAGCTATCAAAATTGTATTAAATTTAATTTTATAAGTAAAAATATAACAATCCAAAACAAAAAACTATTTTTACCAAAGATAAAGTGTCAAATTTGAGAGATTAGTGCAATTTGCTAAACCAAAACCTAATTCTGATGTACCTTAATCACGAATTTTATTGTTACTTTTTAAATATTGAAGAAAAAATAAAAAATTAATTAGTAATTTATTTAGAAGGAAAAAATGAAGAAAAATGTAAAAATAAAGAAATTCATTAATAAATATATAAATAATAAAAGAAAATTGTGAAAATAAAAAATCGAGAGTAATTTTTCGTAATTTTTTCACAAAATTTTAAAAATATTTTGATAACGTACTATTTTTCATTAAATATATCAAACAAAATATATAAAAAAATAAATTTTTATCTTTTACATAATCTTTGGTTTAATTATATTTATTTATTTTTAAGTATTATTTAAATCTTCTCTAATAAATAGTGATGATTCATTTTTAATTTTTGAAAATGTTATTCAATAAAAACAAAAACAAAAGTAAATCAAATAAAAAGCTTACAAATAAATCAATTATAAAAGCTATAATTATTTTAAATTCAATTTTATTAATAAAAATATCACCATACAAAATAAATAAATTAATAAATAAATAAATAAAATATTTTTACTAAAGATTAAGTGTCAAATTTGAGATATTAATGCAATTTGCTAAGCCAGAACCTAAGTCTGATGCACCTATTGCACCAATTCTATTGTGACTTTTTAAATATTGAAGAAAAAATATATAATTAATTAGTTATGAATAATAAATAATAAAAGCAAGCGTTGAAATAAAAAAATGAGTTAAATTAAGAAGATAGAAGAAGAAGAAAAACAGAAGAAAAATAAAAAATAAAAAGAAAAGTAAATAAAAAGCTAATAAATAAATAAATTAAAATATCTATTTTATTTTAAATTCAATTTTATAAATAAAAATATCACAATTCAAAACAAATAAACTGTTTTTACCCAAGATCAAGTGTCAAATTTGAGAGGCTAGTGCAATTTGCTAAAGCATGACCTAAATCTGATGCACCAATTGCGTAAATTTAATTTCCACTTTTTAAATATTGAAGAAAAAAATATATAATTAATTAATTAGTTATTTATTTATTTAGAAGGAAAAAATGAATAAAAAATATGAAATAATAAGAAATGAATTGATAAATAAATAATAAAAGAAAATGTTGAAAATAAAAAAATGAATTAAATTAAGAAAGATAAAAGAAAAAAAATACAAGTACAATAAAAAAGAAAAACTAAAATAAATCAAATGAAAAACTAATAAATACATTAAAATAGCAATAATATTTAAATTCAATTTTATAAATAAAAATATGACAATCTAAAATAAATAAAATGTATTTACAAAAAATTAAGTGTCAAATTTGAGAGATAAATGCAATGTCTTAAAGAAGAAATTAAGCCTGACGCACTATTTGCACCAATTTTATGGCCGCTTTATAAATATTGAAGAAAAAAAATATAATTAATTAGTTATTTATTTAAAAGGAAAAAATGAAGAAATAATATGAAATAATAATAAATGAATTAATTAATTAATTAATTAATAATAAAAGAAAATGTTGAAAATAAAAAAATGATTTAAATTAAGAATATAGAAGAAAAAAAAATGCAAGTAAAATAAAAAAATCAAATCAAATAATAAACTAATAAAAAAATAAAAAGAGGTTTATTGATTTAAATTTAATTTTGTAAATAAAAGTATAGCAATTCAAACAAATAAACTTTTTTACCGAAGATTAAGTGTCAAATTTGAGAGATTAGTGCAATTTGCTAATGCTGAGCCTAATTCTGATGCATTGATTGGACCAATTTAATTGTAACTTTTTAAATATTGAAGAAAACATATATAATTAATTAGTTATTTAGAAGAAAAAATGAAGAAATTTAAAATAATTAGAAGTGAATTAATAAGTAATAAAAGCAAATTTTCTCAATAAAAAAATTAGTTAAACTAAGAAAGATAGAACAAAAAAAAACACATATAAAATAAAATAGAAAAAGAAAAGTAAATCAAATAAAAAGTTAACAAATTAAAAACATTTTGTTGTTTTAAATTCAATTTTATAAAAAAAATATCACAATCCAAAACAAACAAGCAAAAAAACAAACAAACTGTTTTTATCAAGTTAAATTTTTAGAAGAAAAAAAATGGATAATTAATTTTTAAAATTTTAATGATAATTAAGTTAAAATAAATAAAAATAATTATAGTAAATAAAATAAATGAATAATGGTGATAATTAATTAATTTCTATTAGAAAAATAATATTTTAAATAAACTGAAAGTTAAATAAATTGAAAATATTAATAATAATAATATTTATAAATTAAATATACATCAAATCAATATGGAGAACCTAATGAGATTAAAGTGAAGAAATTAAAAACTTTTTATATTCATAAAAATAAATTTAAAGTATATTGATAAAAAAAATAAATATAAATACTTCTAATACACTTTTATATTTAATCTATTGTATCATCATTTATTTATATTTTTTTTCAAAAATATTAGATAGATTGCAATTTATAGAAATTTAATTAATTTATTATATATATAGGTGGATTAAAAGAACAAATACCGCAATTCCTCATTAATTAAGGCAACATTTAATTAAGGCCATTTTAGAAAATTTTCGGAAAGTCAATCATAAATATTTTTTTTTTAAAAATACTAAAAAATAGTAAATATAGTTAGTTAGTTCTATGTATTAAATTCTTTAAATTATCAACATTTAATTTACATTTTTGAGACCATAAATTATTTTATAAAAAAATAAACTATTTATTTTCAGCCAACATATTAATTAAATAAGATTTCTTCAAAAATAAAATAAATTTATTTATTTATTCTTTTATTCTTATTCATAAATTCATATGTAAGGTAACTTATTAACTTCATTTATTTATAGATTGATTATTAGCTGGTAGGTTAGACAGTTTTTTATTAAATTTATAATAAGAATTAAAATTTTAGAATACATTTAACAAATAAGATTATGAAAGTACAAGATTTATTTAAATATTTATTATTTATATATTTATTTATCTCATACAGCAGATAAGCTACTTAAAAAATCCTTATAATTAACTCTTTTTTGGGAGTCTGTGAATGGTTCAAGCTGATGAATTAAAAATTCAATCTCTTTTTATCCTAACCCATTTTTTGCTAATATCTTTTTTACCTTTTCAAGACTTATGTATTTATCATCATCTTTTGCAAGAAGCTTAAAGGCATTGCTAACATCGTTAAATGTATAATCAGTTAATTTTAAATTGAATATTTTCAAGAACTCTTCAAAGCCGATTTGCTCTTTTTTATTAAAAATTTTTGCAACCATTTCATTAAATTATTCTTCTGTAACTTAATAATCTATTGTGTGGAAAAGTTCTTCTAATCCTTTCTTATCTATTTTATTATCTTTTGCTACTAAGTTGAATATTTACTAAAATGCTGTTTTGTGATTGTTTTTTATTTCCAAGCTCATTTATTTTTCTTTCTTCTCTTATCTATCTATATAATTACTTTTTACCTTCTTTAAACTTTTTGCCTTTTGATAATTTTTCTTTTGAAATTTTGCAAAACTAATTATTTATTATTAAACTTCTATTTCAAATAGTAAAAATTTATTATCATTCATTATAATGAACAGAAATCGTAATAATTAAGTTTTCTGCATATTTAAATTTATTCTTTGTTCTGAATACAAGCACTCAAAACAAACTTAAAAATGTATTTAATTAGTAATTCTACTAGCAATAAAATATTATTTTAATAACAAAAAAATAATTCTTAAATAAATTAAATGGTTTCTCAAATAAATAATTTTTAAATTTGATAAAAGAATATACTAAATAAAAATCCATTTATTTTGTACCTTAAAAAGATTAAGAAACATTTACTGCTTTGAAGGATAGAAATAATAATTGAAAAAATAGAAATTTGTTAAAATAAATTTAAATCCTTTTTAAATTTTTAATATTTTTGATAATTTTTTTTAGGTTTAGTTGGTGTTTTTAAACTGACAAAATTGATTAGTAAATGAATATTTATTTTAATTTAGTTTTTTATATCTTTACAAAATAGCATTAATTAATTATTCAAATTCAAAATAAATAAACAAACAATAATTGGTTATTTATTTATCAATCAAATTACACTTTCTATTTTGATATTATAAATATTTATTAGACAAGATTTATTTACATTTTTAGTACAGTTAAAGCTTTATGGAAGGCTAATAATAAATAGAAGATATTTAAATAGAATACTCTCCTACTAAGGAAGGTAAATAAATTATTTTAGATATCATTTTTAATATTTATTGATTGATTTCTTTTGCCAAAATATATTTAGAGATTATTGAGTATGCAAAATATCTAGGAATGGATATTCAAAAAGATTAACGATATTTATACATTGCAGAAGAGGGGTAAATTATAATTGGATATTATTTCATTAAAAGCAATCATTGCTTTAATACAGATTGAGAGCTCCTCTTCCTGAAGGATGGAAAGAATACATCACGCAAGAAGGAGAAATATATTATTTTAACTAGGAGAAATAAATGTCTTAATGGGAGCATCCTAGTGATGAGTTTTACAAACAAAAATTTATGGAGTAAAAAAATAAAGACTAGTTAGCTACGTAGTCGTTGCAGGATTTTGTAGAAAATGATATTTCTAATTAAAACACTTAGTTTATTTAAGAGCAATAATAGAAATAAGTTCAAAAAAACGTTGTTAAAAATTCTCCAATCACAAGCGAATCAAATGTGCTTTAAAAAAATATTAATTAATTAAAGATACAAAGTCCTATAAATATAAATTAAGCTTAAATGTTAGGAAGACAAACTCCAAAGCAGGAGTATTATGAGTACGTCAATTAAGCTGAGCTAAAGATAAATGAGTATCAATAAAAGAAGTCAAATGAATTAAATGAACAGATTGTTAATTTAGAAAATATATTTTAAGAGAAAAAGAAATAGCTAAAACAGTAAATTGATTCGCAGTTGCAAACGTTTATTAATGCATGGGATGAAACAAATGCAAGTAAAATATATATATTAATATAAATTTTTTTGAATAAGTTCAATTTTTATAAAAGAATCGTTGATAGAAAATAAGACTGAAGAAGAAATAAATGTGTAAAGTGAGAAGGAGAAGATTTTACAATAATTATAAATTAATTTTAATGAATAAAAAATTATACAAGAAAATAAATTAAATCAACAGTTCAAAGAATTAAAAGAGTAAATTTAGCAGAGAATTGAGAGAAAATATCAAATTCAAATTGACATGCTTGAGGCAGAGAAAAAGGATTTTGATGATATCAATTAGAACAAGAGTTTTTTGAATATTTCTTAAAGAAATATCAATAACACTCTAGTTTAGGAGCAGTAAAAGATGAAACAATATTACCAAGAGTAAATTCAGAGATTTAAAGATTAAGGCCAAGAGAATTTAAAATATGCAATTTAAGATTACAAAGGTAATCTAAACATTCAGCTTTAGTAAAAGAGACAGGTAAGTAATTAAATTTATAAATTTAACTTTATTTTATCTCTTAATACAGCAAAAGCTAAGGGAAATGAAGGAAAAAATAGATTTAGCAAATGAACAAAAAAAGGATAAAATAAGAAAAGAGATTCAAGCAGAATTCGAGTTAAAAAAATTTGAGCTAAAAAAGTAATATGTAGTTGAAGAAAAAGCCTTAGAGTAGCAAGAAAGAATAAAGATAGAAGCAGAATACTCAAATGAAGTATCAAAATTGGAGTTAAAATACATTGAAGACTTATAAAAGCTGAAGCAATCGGAGGAGATGTATTATCTCAAAAAGCAAGATAGACTTCTTAAAATATAAAATGAAATACAATAAAAATACGAAATGCAAGAAAAAGTAATTAATTAATTAATTCATTCATTTTACAATTAAAAATTTATACAAATAAAAAAGAAAAAATTATTTTGATCATATTAAATATTTCATGAGATAAATAAAATTTTAGAATTAATGTTATTCAATAAAAAAGAAAAATTATTTTGATAAAATTAAATGTTTCATGAGATAAATAAAATTATAGAATTCAATGTTATTCAAATAAAAAAGAAAAAAATGTTGTGATATTTCATGAGATTAAATTTTAGAATTAAATGTTATTCAAATAAAAAAGAAAGTAATGTTTTGGTTAAATTAAATATTTCTTGAGATAAAATTTAAGAATCAAAAATTTTATTCAAATAAAATAAGAAAGAAATGTTTTTGATTAAATTAAATATTTCATGAGATAAAATTTTAGAATTAAAAATTTTATTCAAATAAAATGTTTTTGATTAAATTAATTATTTCATGAGATATACTTTTAGAATTAAAAGAGATATACTTTTAGAATTAAAAATTTATTCAAATAAAATAAGTAAGAAATGTTTTTGATTAAATTAAATATTAATAAAATTTTAGAATTAAATTATATTAAATAAAATAATAATAAATTATTTAGATTAAATTAAATATTTCTTAAGATAAAATTTTAGAATTAAAAATTTATTCAAATAAAATAAGAAAGAATTATTTTGATCATATTAAATATTTATTGAGATAAAAAGAGTTTTTTGTTATCTTATAATTTTAGTTTAAAGTGCAATAAATAGTTCTCAAATATTTAATATATGGAAGTGTTATATTTATTAAAATGCCATTTTATATATAATATGATCAACTAATTTATCAAAAATTCAATCTATATAATTATTATTTATCTTATAATTGTTTTATTTCATTTAATTTAGGATTGTTACTTTAATTTTTTTAAATATAAATTTTATTTAACATTTAATTTTTTTTTCTTTAGGAATTAGTTGCAAAACTCGAAAGAAAAATTTAGAAGTTGGAAGATGAGTAGCTAGATTTATAGAGCAAATTGAATACTAAAAAGATTTACTCAAAAAAATACGCTGAACTAAAGAATTTAGAATTATAATTAAACGATAATATTAAACAGCAAAATGAACAAATTAAACTCACTCAGGAGTAGATTGAGTCTGATAAAGAGAATATATCAGGTTTTTAAAATTAAATTCAAGAAAAATTGCAGGAATATTAAAAATTATTGCAGGAATAAAACTAATTTAATATTCCTAGCTCATAAAATATTTATGCTTAGGTAAATTATATATATTTTTTTTATATGAAGAGTTAGATTATATTTATTGTTTTATATAGGAGAGAAGGGAGCAGTAATTAATTGATAAGGTTAGCAAGCTAAAAGATGATTTTACCTAAATTCAAAGTGATTAGTTTAATGCTAATAATTATACTATTTCTTAGGAAAACGATATTTTGAAAAACAGAGATATTAATTTAATCAAAAAAGGAACATTTGTGATAAAAAATAATGAAAATGAATAAAACTCTACTTTGTCAAAAGAAAAAGAACAACTTTAACATCTAAAAAAAGTTATTGAGCAAAAATTAGATGAAATTCATAGACCTCAAGTTGATAATTATTTATCAATTCCTAAACAAACACCAAGTAATAATGAAGATGAGTCTTTTATTAGAAAAAGACATTCTCAATTTGAGAGCTCTCAATTTTAACAGTAAAAAAGATTCTCTTCTTACGATAGAGCTTATTAAACTCAGAGTTAGTAAGGATTTTATTAGGATTCCAGAAGACAAGACATGCAGTTTTAAACCTCAAAAGAAGATTAAATCAGTCAGCTCAAATAGCAGCTTGAGCAAATAAAAAATTAAGTTATGGTAAATTCATTTCTAATATTTTTAAAGAAATATTTATTCAAATTTAATTTTTTTTTTATTAGGCAAATGAATAGAAGAGAAAAAATTTTCAAAAGTAAACTCCACCTTTGATTCCTTCTCATAATCTTAAAAACAGAGAACTTTCTTTGGATGATTTTACAAATAAGAGAATTATTACTCCAAGTCATTAAGGAACTATTTAGTTTAATAAATTTGGAGAAACAAGTAGAATTAATAGCCATAACTAGTCAGTTTAGAGTTTTAAAGCAGCAAACAACCAAAACCAATCGCCTTTTTACTAGTTGAAAAAAGATTGGAAAACAATTATGTCACTAGAGTTTGAAAAGCTTAAATTAGAGTCTGATGGTGTAAAAAAAGACAAAGAAATTCTGAGTCACTAAATTCAAACAACAAAAGAAGAAATAAAAAGCTTAAAAAGAGGACAAAATGAATTTTTATTGCACGACTTATCAAAAAATATGTAAAAAAACAAACAACATTAAATTTCAATACTTGAATAATTTTTTATTTAATAAAGATAAAACACTGTCAAAAATGCAGAAAAAGTTTTAAAATAAAAACTCATTGGCCAGGAAAATCATAAAATAAGCTTACAAAAAAAAGAATTGGAATTAAATTAAAAGAAACGCATGCTTGACAATATTTAAATAAAATTAGAAACAATGAATCATTCAGATGAAGAAGGTAAAAATTAGCTATATTAATTTGAGTTAATTAATATTAATAAGCTCTTACATATATATATATATATATTTAGACGAAATAGAAAGCATGTATGAAGAATACAAATAGTTATCAAGAGAAGAACATTAGAAATATTCAACATCTATTAACAGCTTTAATTATGAAAGCTAGTAAACTTATCAAGCTTAAAGGAAATAATACCAACAAGAGTAGTCATACTTAAATAGATAAAAAAATAAATATTAGAAGTTTGCACATTAAAACGGTTAAAGCTTCTAAGAATATGAGCTGGATGAGCAAGAAGAAGAAGGTATTACTCAGTAAAGTGATTAAGATTAATTAGAACATCATTCTTCATGGGAAGATAATAACGAAGACGATTTTAAACATGCAAACTAAAGCTTTTAATAGAGAATTATTTCTGCCAAATATTAATCACTCCAACCACCAAACAAATATAGCAAAATAGGACAAGAAGTAATTTATTTTAAACTTAATTCAAATTATAAAATGTACAACTATTTACTAAATTTAGGTCTACATCTAAGGAAAAATGAAGCATTACTAAGATCTTCTATCAAAATATACAATTAATTGAAAAAAAGTTATCTAATTTAATTAAAAATATTACATTTAATATATTCCATGACTGACTGTTTAAAACAAACTAAACAATTATACTAATAAATAAAATATTTATTTTACTAATAAATTATAATTTATTTTTATTTTTTACATTTTAAAAATACTAATTAAGTAAAATCTATCTTTAAATATTTATTGTAGGACATTAAAATTTCTTAATTACTTCTAGGAACTGTTGAAATTATTTTATTCTATTTTTTATTTTGAAATAAATTAAAAAATTATGCTAATAAGTAAAACATTTTCATATTACTAATAAATAATGTCAGATTAATTTTAATTTTATACAAAAGACAGTTTAAGTTAAACCTAAATTTAAATATTTAATGTAGGACGGACTTTAAATTTCTTAATTACTTCAAGAAATTCTTTAAATTTTATTATTATATATATATGTAGTACCCTAGGGTACTGCCTTTTTCAAGGCTACATACACGAATAATAATAATAATAATTTTTAAATTTTTTAAAAAGACAATTTAAGTAAATTGTATCTTTAAGAATTTATTTTAGGATATTAAAATTTTTTAATTAGTTCAAGAAATTGTTTAAATTTTTTTATTTGTTATTTTTAAATTAAAATTAACTTTCAAAAATAATTAAAAAATTTATTTAGCCAAATTAATTTTATAAAAAAATATGAACAATGAAAAGATTTTTATTTTTGAAAAAATCATTGTTGGTTATTTCAGTTATTCAAAGCTAAAGTAATCAAAATGAAAAAATAAAGCAATTCTCAGTAAATAATTGTTCCAATAATAAATAAATAATAGGAATACCTAAATTAAAATTAAAAAATGTAAAAAGTACCTTTAGCTTTATTCTATCAATGTTTTTGAATTTTAATTCTTACAAATTCCGATAATAGCCATTAAAAAAATATCTTTTCTATATTGAGATTAAATAATTAGACAGATATAAAAACCTTAATTAATTTAAAAATGAATAGTAATACTTTTTTTTAATTAGTATAATAATTATGGAAGGAAGTAAAGTAGAAAAAGAAGATATCATCTGCATTATTTGTCAATGTATTCCTAATAAGGCTTTCACTTCTTAATGTTGTGGAATAGTAAGCTGCGATGCATGCGTATAAGATATGAAGTAAAATAGATTATTCGCTTGTCCTAATTGTAGAAATAAACAACCAAATTTTTAGCTAAATATGTATCTTTAAAAACTGATAAACAAATTTCCTATCCCTTGCAAGTATGATTGTGGTTTAATTTTATAAATTTCTGAAATGCCATCACACGAAATAAAATGTCCTCAAAAATACATTTAATGCAGATTGTGTTAATTCAAAGGAAATAAACAATCATTCATAGATCATGCAACATAAAGTCATGAAGACTAAATCCTAAAGCTGTTAGAGTCAAACCCATATCCCTAACTATCAAACTAAATAGATGTATTAAAAGAAATAAAAAATGCAGCTGGTTTTACCTGCAATATAGGTATTACTTCAAAGTTTTATTGTGGAAAGAGTGCAGGATTTAAATGCAATATTTGTACTGGAGTTTGTGGTCCTATGAATGGTTGTAACTGTATTCACTGCATGGAATTAGATATAAAATATAGAAAACTTGATAAAGGAGCTCTAGTCAATGGAGAAGGTAGGATAGCTTTCTATAAAAATGGATCATTTTACTGTGGACTTAAATCAGCAGATTCCAGATTATGTGGAAAAGATTATACATGTCGCCATTGCACTTCCCTTAACGGAGATATTGGTTACTATAAACGCTTATTTTAATGAAATTATTTTTTTAATACAAATCTAAACAAATAACATACGAATAAAACCATAACTTTAATTCATAAAAATAAATGGGAATTGCTTTTCTTTTAAATATACTGAATAGATCGATCGACCTTGACTGAATTTTAAATTATGATTAGACTGTTTATTTATTAAGAATATCAGAATTCAGTAAAATAAATTATAGTTTATTAAATTATTTTAAAACAAACAACTTAAGATATCAAAATTAAATAAATAATGATTTATTTATTTATTTTCTTTGAGTAAATTTTTTTTGTATTCATTCTTAAATTTGAAATTTAAAATAATTTTTATATAATAAATAAATGACTAAATTAATTTTAATAAATTTATAGTAAGTTCAATTAATTAATTAATTTATATTTATTTCTTTTCTCAATATTTCCTTTCACTTATTTTTTAATAATAAACCAATTTATTAAAGTTAACATTATTAGTCATTATAGTAAATACTAATACTAAAATATTTAATAATTTAAAAATAAATTCTTTACAGTTTACAGAAAAGAAAGAAGATTTATTTATATTAAAAAATAAATTAAATTTTTTTGATACTAAAATGTGTTTTGTAATTAATTTAAATTATGATAAAGAATTGATTTTTGTACTAATTAATTTAAAGCCTTTGATTAGTAGAATAAACAATTTATGGAAGAAGAAACACATATTTTATATTGTTCAATTAAAGTATTATTATCTCAACAAAAATTTCATGATTAACAAATAATTAGATAGACAAAACATATTTTTTCAGAAAATATCAACAATATTTTGCTTTACAAATTATACATTTCATACAAATTTAAGACAAGACTTTAAAAAATTCGTTAAACAAACAAGTCTATTTGAATGATGCTTCTTATTTTTATATAAATTTTTAATTTGAATAATAAAATTTATTTGATGAAAAAAAGACTAAATAGCTAATTTAAAATAAAAAAAATAAAAAATTTGCTCTTTTAAAATTTATAAAAAATTATTTAATACTTTTATATCAATTTTTATAATAATTATCTGATCTAATTATATATTTGGAATAAGCAAGCCTATATTGATTCTAAATTGGATTCCATTTAGGCCTAATCAACATAAATTTAATATAAAATTTAATTATTTTGTTGTTTGTATGATAATTTATTTTTATTAAATAAAAATATTAAAACTCGTTTTTAAAAAAAGATTAAGTAGAATTTAAAAAAAACTAGGAATTACAAATAAATAAGTCATAGTTGAAATAAGAAAACAAACAACAATCATAAAAAAGAAACTGATTCTTTAAAAAATCAATCAAGAACAAGCAAATGTACAAAATTCATCAATTATCCTTTATTTTATTAATTCATATTTGAATATTTAATAAGAAACTTTTCAGCTAGAGAGGCTATTAATGATGATGGAAAATAGTAAAAATAAATCAGAAGAAATATTTAATGAAAAGGTATAAATATAATAATAAAAAGAATACTCTATTAAAATATTGTAAGCTTAAACATGTCTTCAAAAAGGATTAGCTTAATTATCATAAATCAGAAAGTAGAATTTGATCAATAAATTAAAACAAAATCATTTAAAAAAAGCTTAAAATTTAATGAATAAGTTGAAAAATTCAACACATAAGCAAGCACTTAGAATTTTAGGAGGAGGTTAATGCTGCAGTTAAGACAATTCCACTTTAAGGGAGATTCATTAGTACAACATTCAAGAAAAAATTAGAGACCTAAACTTACCTCAAGCTTTATAACCTTAAGACAATAATCAAAATAGTTAGTAGACCAACATTAATATTATTAATGAGCTTCCAAGTATTTTTCCTAAAAATGCTTTTAGCTAATCACATGTTACCCAAGTAATCGAAAAATTTGACTAGGCATCAGAAGTGAAGGAAATATTTTAGAAGTACCTTAATCATAAAAAAGTGGAGATCTTGATGGGAATTGATTTTTATAGAAATAGCTTAGTAGAAGCTTTCAATATTATTTTACTTTACTTTGTTTCAGGAACTTAAGAATTAGATAAAGACGACAGAAACGGACTTATTAAATACTTGGAAGTGTTCCTCAATCACCTTAAAGATAATAGTAAATTATTTTCTTGTTAGGATCTTGAGTTTGCTTTTTCTTTTTTGAGTGATTTTAATGAAGAAGATTTTAAAGATGCTCAAAATCAAAATTAAATTGCAGAGTTTTCATAATTTGTTTAAAAATTGTTAACTGGAAAACTAGATAATTCACAAGAGAATTAACTATTAAATAATATTGAGCAGGTCGCATTCTCTAAATAATAACAACTTTAATGTGTTTGGTAAATTGTTGACAAGGTTCATGAAAAAATAAAATCTTTTTCAAAAGATAATGTCTTCTATTTGTTTGTTGCCTTGATTGCTTAAAAGCATAAAAAGTTTGGTAAAATTTAAAATATTTAAGCAAGTGAAGAACTACTTTTCTACATAGAAAAATTTGTTGAATACTCAAACAAAGAAACTTCGAGCTACATAATTCTGTATATTCTAATCTAAATAAACAGCATTTTATCAAATACTAAAGCTTAGATCAACCAAGATGTTCAAAATCAGTATTTAAATAATTAAATTGTGCTTCAATTCATCCAAATGTTGAAATAATAATCTACACAAAAGCACTAATCTGAAAATTTTTTATTGTTCTTTAAATTCACTGTTAAAGATGCTACCTTTAGGTACTTATCTAATTCAATTCTTCTGAAATATTTTTCTATTCTAAAAACTAAGCAAAATTCTGATGCTGAAAATTTATGGGTCCATCTTGTCTATTGCTATGCTACAGAAAAAAATGAAGCAGTTAAGCTAGCTTTTTAGAATAACACAGCATTTGTTGAAAGAGTCAATCAAGAAGTATAGAAAAACCCAACTAAAATTGGAAATGAAGTAATTCAGTACTAGCAAGACAGAAAGTAAGAAATGCAGAATAATAAAATCAGTAAAGATGAGATAGAATAAATAGAAGATACAATTAAAGATCCCAGCGATTTCTTGTAAAAAATATCGATTAAGTTGATTGAATAGTGGGAGTTAGAAGCAAGAAAAAGACTGGAAAAAGACATAGCTCAGAAAGATGACATTTTACTTGAAGTGTAAGATCTGTATATCGATTAAAATATTAAGTATCTATAAGGAAACAACATATTCAATGATTAATAAGACTAGAAATAAAAATAAAATGCTTTATAGTAAATTATAAATAACTTTTTACTGAAAAGTAGTAAAGGATAATAGTGCAATACCTTAGCGGTACTTGCAGAGGGAGGAACAGGAAAGTCTATGCTGATAAAAAAATTAGAAACAGTGATAATGAAAGAAAAGAATTCTAATGCCTTGAAATACAATTCTGAAGTAAATTTCATTCCTTTGCTGATCAAATGTAATAGCTTGGATGCAAATAATCCGTCTTTAGATAATTATTTGTTGAACTAAAAACTTAGTCTAGATCAAATTCAGAAACTAAAAACTTTACCTATTAACAAGCTGATTCTTTTAGATGGATATGATGAATACGCTGGAGACTTCTTTAAAGTTCATACTTAGTTTAAATTAAATGAATGGAAGAATACTCTTCTTATTGTTTCTTCTCGAATGGAAAAAATTAATGAAAACGATGCTGAAAAATACTTTAGTAATTACAACCAATAAAATTAGATTGAAAAATAATCATTGTGCATTGTAAAGCTTGAAGAGTTTGAAAAAAAGGATATTTTTTAGTACTGTGAGAAATTTTACAACAAGGAAGCTACTAAAAGTTAAATTTAACTCAGCTAAGAGCAATTCGTAAATGTGGTAAAAGAGTCTCTCGAAAACAAAGATATGGCCAATATTCTGTATCTCCCGATAAACTTGTATCTATTTACAAGAATGGCAATCAACAAATCACCTAATGAAATCAAAGAATTAATAAAAGACATATCTGACCAGATTCAAATACAAGAAATTTTCTTTAAAGAATAATTCAACAGAGAAGCACTTGACTTTATGACATAGACACAAGAAGATTTATCGAATAAATCTTCTAAAGAGCAAATTATAAATTAATTCTTTATTTACTTTTAAACTGTTGCGATGGAAATGTTTCGCAATAAAGGAGAAAAGAGCAACTTTTTACAAATAAAAAGAGAAGAAATAAAATTTAATTTAATAGGGTAAATAGTTAAAACTCTTTCTGTGGACAATTAAAAAAAGCTTAAAGATAAAATAGAAAATTACGTGAATTCTAAGATCATAACAAGAGTAAAAGATGAAGCAAATTAAGTTATTCAATCAACTTAATAAAAGATCATAGAATTTAAGCACAAGTCATTATTTGAATATTTTGTTGCAAGAGCAATGAAATTTGATTTTGACATCAATCGAGAGAACATTTGCAATTTAAGCTTAGAAGAACTTTCCAAATTCAATATCAACACAAAGCTGATCATGACTTAAGCAAAGAATTAATCAGAGTAGTAAATTTTAATTAAATTTTATAAGCTACTTCAATAAGAAATACTCTCTGATTCTTTCTATGAAAGCTACAAGATTGAAGACATAAAAAAAACAAATAGATTTATCTAGTATATAAAGAAATCTACTATTCCTAGTCCTGATAAGAAAAGTCAAATAGATATTGGTGCATCTAATTTACTCTCTGCTTTGTTTATTTCCAAATTTTCTTATTAAGGTTTAAAGTTTGAGCTCTGCTCTTTCTCTTGTGCTTACCTTTTGTTCAATCAAAGAAAACAGGTCTCGTTTGTAAAATGTAATTTAAGCCATGCGTATTTAGAAACAGATAGTCAGGAAATGTTTTAAGGCTCAAATTTAAAATCTGCCATGTTCAAATCTTATTCACTGACTTTAGATACTAGCACTCTCACTCCTTTATATAAATCAGCTTTTAGTGGAGATAATTTAATTTCAATATCTAACTCAGGCTATATCAATTGTATCAGCTTGAAGGATAACATGGTTTAAGTAATAAATACAAAAAAAGTTTTACAAAATGGAGAGTTTTGCGAATAAATTGAAATAATAAATGAGAAAAAAATAGCTTTTTGCATCTCAAAAACTTTATATGAAATAGATGCTTAAACTCTTGATGTAATAACTAAACATGAATTCTCTAAAAAAATAACTACTTTCACTTTTTCAAGAAACAATAGTAAATACTTAATAAGCCTATAGAATTCAAAAAGTAAATTGTATGGTACAATACAAGACGGCTTTAAAGACGTTTATGCTGAAGGCTATAATCCATTCTTAACTGATAAATTAATAATATTATATAATGGATCGATTCAATTTTTAGATATAGAAAAAAACTTTTCTGTAATTAAAACAGCATAAACTCCTTAAATAAAGAATGCCTTGATAACAAAGTCAGGTCTAAATGCAGTTTTTTGTTTTGCGAGAGAACTATAAGTGTGGGATTTGAAAAGTTTGACTATGACAAAATAAATTAAAAAAGAGCATTTTCTTAAATATGCTGCTATTTCTTAAGATGATCAAATTTTAGCTCTTGCTTTTCTGAATGAGTAAAATGAAGGAGAATATATTGAATTAATTCATAATAATAATAATTATTAGCGTATAGCTATTTATCCCATAAATAAATAATATGAAAAATTATCTTTTTCTTTAAATGGCAACTTTATTTGTTTATCATAAAAGGAGCATCTCGAAATAATAAATAAAGAAAATGACAAAGACTATAAAAAAATGTTTGCTTTGGATTAGAAAGCAGAGATAAAATGTGTTTCATTCTCTCCAAATGGTAGATATTTAGTTACAGGAAATGAAGATTAAAATATTAAAATCTGGGATGTCTAACTTGGATATAAACTAATAAACATCGTTTAGATTTCAGATGAAGTGATTTCTATTGCTTTTTCTCCTGACTCTAAAACCCTTTTAGTTGCTTGTAAATAAAACTAAAGAGCTTATCTTTGGAATGTTGAAAAAGGATTTCAATTCATAAAAGAAATTATGCTTGAATCTCAACAGATTGAGACTGCTAACTTTTCTTCAGATGGTAAATATTTAGCATTTGCTTTTGCTAATAATACTTTCTAGATAAGGAATGTGTTGAGCGATTATTAGATAATCAAAGAAATAAATGAATATAAATAAGAGTAATCAAATTAAAAATTGTATGTCATGGAGATGGAGTCTAAGAGTTAACCATAGCTACCTGCAGTATTTTCAATCGACAGTAAGTGCTTAGCAATAGTAACAAACAAAAAAATTTGCAGATTGCTGGACGTATAAAAAAATTTTTAGTCATTTAAAAGTATTGAAGGCCATACTGATTAAATAACATCAATTGCATACTCGAAAAATGGGAAATATATGGCAACAAGTTCTAAAGATACAACTTGTAAAATTTGGAATGTATAGAAAGACTATGAGCTGATTACTACTATTAAGGATCATACTAGCTCAATACTTAGTATTTCCTTTTCAGCTGATTCTAAATACCTAGCAACAGGCTCTTTTGATCCAGCTTGTAAAATTTGGAATGCAGAATAAGGATTCACTTTAGAAAACATTCTAAAAATAAAAACTTCAAAAGTAGCTTTTTCTCCCACAGAGAATCATCTTGCGACGAATAAGCTTTTAGAATAAAATGAGCATACTTTATAAGTTTGGAATATAAGTGTTGGATACGAAATTATAAAATAATTATAAGGTCATACTCAATAAATATCATCACTAGCTCTATCTTACGATGATAAGTTAATCGCAACAGCTTCTTAAGACTGCACATGTAAAATCTGGGATGCAAAAAAGGGATTTGAGCTTATACACACTGGCATAGTGCATTAAAAGGGGATAAGATAAGTAATATTCTCAATTGACAATAAACTCTTACTTACATCTTGTGAAAATTATGTTAAAGTTTGGAATAAAGAAAAAAATTTTGAACTTTTAACTTCTATAAAATTGGAATAATCTCTAAAATTAGAATAAAATGTTGCCCTATCTCATGAATACCTAGTAATAACAAATATTGGAGAAATGTAATTTTACAATGTCAATAAAGGTTTTAAGCTTGAATTTAAAAAATCTGCATCATCTTTTATAAAAAAATTATACTTTTCAAGGGATGGAAAGTATTTAGCCTCACTTTATTTAGGAGAGTAATATGAGGTTTATGATGCTTCAAATAAATTTGAATAAGTTACGGTACTGTAATACTAATTTAATAGCTCAGAAAAATCAATTTAAAACTTAGCATTCTCCATAGATTCTTAGCATATCGCTTATTCTAATTAAAAGAATGTTAGCATTTATTAATATTAAGACACATGCTAATTTGAAAACATTGATAACTTTGAATGTGAAGATAATGTATTTAGCTTAGAGTTCTTGAATAATAATGAATACTTAGTAATGATTATTCCCAGTCAAGATTTAAAGATTTATCATCTGAATAATAAATATTTGCATACCATAAAATTAGCTGATACTAATATTCAAAATTATCTGGAAGGCGAATATAATATACAAATAATTTTTACAAAAGATTAAAAATACATGTTACTTGGTTATCAAGATACTATATTCAGAGTTTATTAAGTTGAAAGATAAAAAGGAGTCTTAAACTAAGTTATTGGTAATTTATTAATTTATTAATTAATTATTTTTTATTTAAATTAACTTTATAATAATTTATTATAAATAGAATAAGCTTTTAAAATATAATAAGAGAATTACTATGACTAGTTTGGTATTTTAATTGAATCTGAAGCATATAAAAATTAAAAATAGAGCAATGACATTTTTTTCGAAGTTTTCTATGTATGAAAATAGCTTCATAATAATAATAAATATTTATAATTCTTTGTTTTCTTTTTTATTTATCTTCTCTTCGCATTTTATAATCTCATTTAAATTTTCAATTGTTTTTTTTTAAAAAACAGAGTAAGTGTTTTTATTTATTTAATTAACATCCTGTGGAATAATAAATATTATTTTTTATAGCAATTCCAGGTATTAAATTCTTATGAAGTGGAGAATTAAGAATTTAATTCCTGGATTTGCTATAAAATAGATTAATAAATTTAATAATTTTATTTTGCTTTTTATTAAAAAATTTTTATTTTTTTATTTTTTAATATAAAAATGTAATTTAAGAAATTATATTTTTAATTTTTTATAGATTTTTTATGCAGTCTAATCTAAAAAAAGTAAAAAAATACAGTAAGACCAAAAATTTAAAATCGATCCCTATTAATTGCGCAGCAAATTCTGAACTAAGCACATAAAATAATAAAAATTTGGAAATTATAGAATCTTTATTGCTAATCAATCCCATTTCTGAAAAAACAAGCGTAGTTATTTCTTTGAAATATAAAGTTTTAAAACTAATCAATTAAAAAATTTTATAATTGAAAAATAAGAAAATGGAACAAACAAACAAATAATTAAGTTCAAAATTATTTAAGAATCATATTAAATTGAACATAGTAGCATTAATTTAACATAAAAAGCTTTTAAGTAATAATTGTAATATGCAAATTACTTACTGATAATGAATACGTATATACATACATACATAAATATGTGGCTAATTATTCTATATTTTGATTTTATTTTAAATATACTTAATTTTATTTTTGCTTTTTTTAAGATTTTTTTGTTGCATAAATAAATAAATGTTTTTAAAAATTATAATTTTAAATAAATAAATTATTAAATATATCAATCAATCATTTAATTAATTTTTTAATTTTTTCATTCTAAATGTTTATTTATCATTTCTTTTTAGCTTATTATTATTGTTGTTATTGTTATTGGCTTTATTTTCCGTTTAATTATTACTATTCAGGTTATTACTTTTTATTGTTTTCGCTTTGGGTTTATTCTTGTAATTCAAGATTTTCTTATTCAGCAGCAGCGATTCTATTAATATCATAAGGGTATGGTTTTCTTGCACTAGTACCGTATTTTGCATTCATTTTAGCATATTTTAATTTTTACTTTAAAATTTCTCTTTCCTGTTTTAATAAATAAATAAAATAAATTGTTATCAAATTTTTATATTAATTTTTTACATTTATTTGTTATTGCTCTTAAAATTATTAATCTTCTATTTTTTCTTGAGCTTTAGGCTTGACTGTCTTATTTGTGCCAAATTGTCTCATATTATTTACTATTATGGTTAATAGAATTTAATATATATTTTAAAAGGAGAATGTAGCAAACAAGTTACCATCTTTAATAGGTTGTGTTGTTTATCCTTTCTTTTTGTCAGCCAATGTTTTTTCAAACTTGTGTTAGAAGAGAAGAGCTTCTTTGACTCTGGGATCTTCAGCATCAAGATTCTACATTTCCAAATTAAAATATTAAAAACTAGTTTAGACATTTATCAAAATAATTTACTAATTTAAGGATTGCAACGCACTTTTATTGGTATTCAATAGCTTTCTTTATGTCATCAATATCATAATGAGCTAAAGCAACTGCTTGATAGCATCCAGCAATCTTGATATGATCTTTACCATAAACAGTAATGCTTCTGTCCAAAGCTTCAAACAAACAGCTCAAAGAAGCCTAGTGTTATTCATTTTCTTAGAACATCAAGCTCAAATTCATGAAGGTGTGGAAGCTATCAGGGTGCTTTGATAAAAATTAAAAAAATTGAATATATTTATATAATAATACTTAAAATAAATAGCATATACATTAATACATCTAATAAAATAAAATAACTTACAGGTTCACCACCAATGAGTGAGTAGATAAAGAGAGACTTGAACATATTTTTATAAGCAAGACTGTATTTTTTAATACTAAAGTAGTAGTAAGCTAAAGTAGAAATGGCCTAAGCAGTTTAGTGATGGTCAATACCGTAGAGCTTTTTAAATACTTAAATAGTTTGCTTTTAGTAATGAATAGCATTTTCATAGTCTCCCAACTTAAAGTAAATATTTGAAATCTTATAGAAGCAATAAGCATAATCTTTGTGAATGGGTCCGAATAGCTATTAAAATATTTAATAATTTTTTTAATAAGCATCTAAAATTTATTCATTTTAATTAATTACATTTAGGATTATGTGAGCAGCTGTGTGGAAACATTCTAAGGCTTCATTTGCTTTGCCTTCAATAAGGTATTTTTAACCCTTTTAAAAAAATTACAAATTAGTTATTTTATCAAAATTAAATTTAAAAAATGAAACACTCTATTATTCATTAATTTTTAACTCTTTTTATTACACTTTAATTAAAAAATAATAATTTTATTTACCATTTCAAGGTTGGCACGACTATCATCGGAGTTAATTTCGATGTATTTAACAATAGGAGTAATGTTTTTGATGTTTTCAGGTTGGAAAGGAAGGGTTGATTTGGATGAGTTGGTGTTAGCAGCATTATTTGAAGAGACAGAGTTTTAGTTAGTGGATTAAGAAGATTAACTAGAGTTAGCAGGTTTTTCATTTAAGTTGCTAACGACGCTTTCGAATGTAAACTCGTAGTCCTTAGCTTCAATATGAACACCAATGGTTAAACATAAATCTCTTAAAGTGGCAAGTCTGTTGAATTTGAGATTTAAAGGAGTGTAATCGTTAATGTTTTCAGGAAGCTTATATTCGTATCTCTTTGATGCAATGTGAATAATTCTCTTCCACAAATCAGAAGGCTTACTGCTTAAAAATTCAGGAAGAGCCAATTCAATTCCTCCTAATTCTTGGCAAGTCTCAATAGAATTCAAAGTTTCATGGATTTTTTCAGATTGAGCATTTGAAGTAGTCTTTTTGCCCTTTTTACCTTTTTTCTTCTTCTTGGATTCAGAGTTGTTATCTCCATTGACGAGGTTACTTTCGGTGCTCTTGATTTCTCCCTTTTCTAACTTTTCTCTAACTTCAGGTGAGGAGAAAATGCAATTTAAAGCATGAGTTAAGGCTTGAATTAAATAAGGAGAAGCTGTGTTTCTCATGATTTCTCTGAAAGCGTGCTTCATAGCTTTAACGAGAATAACTCTTTCTAAAATTAAATAAATATGAGGACTGTCTTTCTTGCTAATTTTGTTCAAGACCTTTCCCAAATAACGCATATTGACACCATGAATATGGAAGAACTCTTCTATGCTTCTGCTATCAGAAATTCTACCATTTTCGCTATTAGAAATTAAGTCGTTGATCACGTTTGGAATAGCTTTGTTCATTAAATATTCACCAATTTCTTGGAGTTAGTTGAATTGATCTTTTTAATTTAAAAAAAATATATTTAATTGATTTATTTTATTCATTTTGTCTAATACCTTTAAGCTTGGGAACCTCTACCAAAGGAGCCTTAGTGGAAATGTTGGAATTCAACTTAAGCTTGATTTAATTTTCAGGATTTTGCATATATTCTTACATTTTAAGGAACTTTGAGAGACCCTTTTTATTCTTTTCTTCAGTTGTTTGCTCAGTAGATTCTGTTTTGTTATTCATTTCTTCTTATTCTTGTAATTTGAGTTGATTGTTAGCAGCTTCAAAGTTCTTAGAAAGAACATAATTGCTAATAAGTTCGTTACGAAGAGTGCAACATAAGTTATCGCTGTTTCCTGAATAATTAACATCTCTAGGAGAGAGACGCATAAGATCTAAAATATATTTTCTTCTGTCACTTCCTCTAATACCCTTGACTTCGATGGAACCACACAAAGTGTATTCTTTCTTATTTTCATCATAGAATTTGACTTCATCATCTAAATGGAAGTGTTCGCAAATCTTCTTCATTATTTCTTCGAATTCAGGATTATTGCAAATGGTCTTACCATCATCAATAGAACCATATTAGGAGCAGTTAGAATGATCACTATTCAAAATACCAGGAATAATTGACTAAGCAATAACTCTGTGACCTTTGTAATCTACTAAACAAGTATTTAACACACTCAATCCAGGAATGTCAAGCTTATGTAAGATCTTTAAATTTCTTAAATCGCAATTAGCAGTTGTTACGTTAGGAGAAGCATCTGGTCCAGTTTCTTGCTATTTATTTTTAGAAATTTTTACAAATTTTGTTTTATTATTTCAGAATTAAATTAGTATTTTGTTAAATTTTTTTTAAAAAATCTACCTTGAAGTGATCGGTGTTTTCAAGAGCAAAAGAGAAGAAAATTTAGTTGTAAACATAAACTTATTGGTGAGGAGGATCCATAGGGTTGAGGGCAGAGATATTTCCTTCTACAACTGCCTTAGCACCTTCAATAGCAGCTTCAATGAATTCACTTTAAATTTTAATGTTGGCCTTATCTCTGTTCAATCTCTAAATAAAGTCGCTCTTTGGCAAATCTCTACAGATTTAAAGCTCTTCATTCCAATCTCTAGGACCGCTGACATCAAAACCATAAAGATTAATCAATGAGTTTTCGCATCTAAAATTATCATTTTAACTTTAATGAAATGCTAAGAATTGTTTAAATTTACCTATTCATATTCCATTCATGTTCGCTTGCATTATTCTTAGCAGTTAGCCACTTGTTGCCGTATTTGTAAAAGCTAAGTAAAGGCATGTTAAGTTCATCAGAACTTGTTTCGCTTTGAACCATTTTTAATAAATTTTGTCTAAATAATTAAAAATAAATTTAGCGATTAATTAATGATTAAATAGTATTTTGTTTTATTACTTAAATAGAGGACTGATTTGCTAAAAGAGTTCTACTAAATTGACAAACTTAACATTTTTGTTAACTGGTTCAGGATCAAAGTCCTTGCTATTTGATTTGTTTACAAAGAAACCTTGAGGAGATGCAGTAATGTGATAGCTCATGTTTTCAAGAGTTTTTACCTATAAAATATTTATTATTAAAATTAGCTTTTTTATTATTTAATAATTGATTACACTTAAGTAGAAGAAATCTCCTTGGATCTTTCTGTAATGAGGAGGAGGATTAAATCCAGAATAATTAATATAGCTGATACATTCTATAAATTCTACTTTCTTGGGATTCAATTCCTTAGTGATAAACTTGTTAGATAAAGAGGGTTGTAAGGCATCATTCAATGAATACTATTCTTTGTTTTTCTATTATTTTTATTATAAAATTAGCTTTTATTTTAGTCTACTTTATTCAAATTATTAATTAATTTATTAAAAAATTAGTAATTACCTATTCAGATGTTTATTGACTTTCTTGCTTTTCTTTTTGCTTATTTTCATTTTTGTTAGCTTTTTATTCAGTAGTGTTTTCTTCTTTATCTTCTTCTTCTTCGTCATCATCAGAACTATCTCTTTTATTCTTTTGCTTTTGTTCAGCTGCTTCTCCATCTACAAATTTAAATTTTACATTAATTTAGAATTTTCAATTTATATTTTGAGAAAAAATTTTATTTCTATGAGAAAAGTACTTGAAAAAATGTTGGAGAGAGTCTAAGGGTTAGCCAAGGCTTCCTTAACGTTCTTAACATGCAACTTAGCAGTTTTTTCGTCAAAAGGATCTTTTATTTGAAAAAAAAATTTAATTTAATTTATTCTACATAATCAAAAAGCAATAAATAGAATGGGTTTTAAAAGCAATGAATGAATGAATTAATTACCAAACTTAATTTCTAAAACTTCATCATTTTATATATTGTAAGTGGAGAATTCGACATATTCATTAAGCTTTTGGTTTTAGTAGACAAAGTGGTAGTTGGAAAAGAAATAAAGCACAGTAGAATCGCTCAAAAATTGTCTAATTTCTAGTAAAGTATCGCTAGGTGCAATCTATGTTTTTTATAATAGAATTAATTAGCAAATGATGAATAAAATATGTAAATAAACAGCAGAAAGAATCTATTTTTTGAATATCTTGTTCGAAAGATAAAATTTAAGATGATTCTTTATTTATGTTGTCTTTACTAAATTTTTTAAAGTAGTTAGTTGCTAAAATAATGAATTACTTCTAATGGGAGAAGGTACTTGCCTTACAAATGGAGACTGACCTTGATGGAAGCAGCTGTTGTTTCAACAGCAGTGCAAGCTTCTTCTATATTCTATTATAATTGTTATTCGGCTGAACTCATTTCTATAATGAATAATAAATTGATTTTTATCGATTGCTTTCCTTTTTAAAAATTTCTTATTGTTTTTTCAATAGATAATATTTATTTTTGCTTTTTAAAGAATTATTTATTTTTTTGGTAGTCTGCTGAGCTGATAAATCTAATTTTTTTTAATAATACTCGATCAATACAATAAATATTTCAAAGCAAAGTAAATAACTAATCAAATTATCAAATAATTAATTAATAATTAATCAAACAAATTAGAGCCTTAATTAAAAATATATAAAATCCCAAATATCTAACAAATTATATAGCGTACAAAACTATTAGCTCTATTAATATTGTTAACTATTTATTTATTTATTTCTTTTTGTTTCTATTGCTTTTATCTAATTATTAAATCTTAAATCAATAAGTAAATTAGTAAATTCACAATTTTAAATTCAAAGAAGATTTTTTAGAAAACTCCGATATCTTTTCTAGAAATATCTATTTATTTATCCAAACCAATGAGTTTCACTGTTATTCAGTCAGTCAGTAAAATAATGCTTTTAAATTGCTCATATTTTTAAATATGCGTTTTAATAATTTAATTATTTTATATTAAGGAATAATTCTATTATTAAAATACATTTAAATTTATGTCCTTTACTCTAATTAATCATTACTTATTTAGCTTATTTTCTACCTCTAATAAAGAAAATTCTAATAAAAAAATCTAATTAATTTAAGATTTAATTATTCTGTCTGTTAAAATATAAATTTGTGATATAAATAATTAAATAGACTTATTTTTATTTACTTTGAGCAAATAAAATGTTTTGATTTTCCTAATTTAATTTGTTCCCTGTGTTTTTTATTGAAAAAAAAAATAATTTAAATAAAATTTCAATAAGATTTTTTATTTTATTTCTAAAATTTGTTAATAATTCCATTTTATTATAAATTTAATTATAAAATAAATTTAGAAACTAAAATTAATATGCCAGCATAGTTTTTTTTACAGAAAATGTACATAAATTATTAAAAATTTAGCAAATTTTATCAATAATAATTAGGATATCTGATGAAATTGAAATTTTTATGAATTAAGTTAAATTATTAAGCAAATAATTAGATAAACAAAAGAATATATTTTGTAATAATAAGCCATTAGTTAAAAAATAAATACCAAGTCTGCTTGCTTAAAGGGTTTAATAGATTGATTAAATATTATTTTATGTTTAGATATTATTTAAATAAGAATCTTGCCTTAATTTATAAAAAGTAGATATTTATTTGTTATTACTGTTTATACAAAGTAGTAATTAATTACATTAATTTATAACCAACATTTAAAATAATAATCATATAAAATTATAAAACATTTAATTTTTCAAATTGCAGCAAATTCGTCTTTTTCTATTTCTTCTTCCTTTTTAGGTTTGTAGTTATAAGTGATTTGGAATTCACCTTTCTTACCATTTTACTATTTATTCTAACCATTGTTTTTTTATTATTGATTTTTGTTTTCCTATTTATTTTGCTTTTGTTGTTAATTTTAGTTTTAAGCAGGTTTGTTTTAAATAGGCTTCTTGCCAATGTTCTAATTATTTGCTTACTTATTATTTTTATTGTTATTATTCTTTTATTGATTTTGACTTTATTAGGATTTTTTTTATTCTACTATTTAATTTTCTTAATCACTAATTTCACTTTCTACTTCCTCTTCATCTTCGTTATCTTCTTCACCATCTTCATCATCACTTTCAAGATCCATACCCTCTACATATTCTTCTTCATCATCTAAATCCTCATCGTCATCTTCTTGATTTCCACCTTTTTATTTCATATCTTTTACAAGACCTGCTAACTCAAGAATCATTTTCTTTTTAGCATCAGCAATTTGTGGTCCTAAATTCTTTACAAGTTCGTTTGTGAGAGCCTTACCCTCTTTAGCCTCAAGAGAGCCCATCAAGCAGACTCTTCCTTTTCCGATAACACTGAAGCTGATATCTTAATTTTTTAAATCAAAGTAAAGATTTAACTGAGCACTTCTATTTTTATTTTCATCTAAATGGCATAAAACAATATCAATTTCTTCTTCGACTCCGTTTTCTTGCTTCTTAATATTGCAAACCAAGCTAATTTTTTCATTTGCCCATAAAGTGCTAACATTTCTTAAATGAAGATAAGCATAGTCTTCCTTTTCTGGAACAAACTTTTGATTAAACTGAACTTAAGCTCCCCAAAACATCTTTAAAAATCTAAAATTTTTTATATTTAATAATCAATTTAATATTTATTTTTATAAATATTTTGTATCTCAAATAATGTCTAATTAATTAATTTATTTATTAACTATCTTTCTATCTTTATAGTTATTAAAATTTACACCTTTAATATTATATTTACCGCATAATTAAAAAAATTATTAATTTTAAAACAAGGGATTTATCTTTTTTTAAACCGCCTAACTAATTATTAGCAACAAAAATTGAATGAAATAAATCTAATTTTAGAGGTACTTTAAAATACCAAAAAAAAATAAATTCTAAAATGATTATTTTGAAAATTTATTTAAATCACCAATAATAAATTCGCAATTTAAATAAAATTTTAATTAAAAATAAAAACAAGCAAGCTTATTTGAAATCTTAACTTCAATAAAAATAAATGAAATTATTAATTAGTTTTTTGTTATACTTAACAAGTAAAATTGTATTATTTTATTTAGTAAATAGTTTGATTAATATTTTTTTTGTATCATTCAAATAAAATTTTAAACTTTTCAAAAATCATCTCTATTTATTTGCTTAAATCTAAAATTAACTTTAATTTTTTAAAAATCATTTAAATTATTTAACTTTTCAAAATAATAAATAGAATAATAGTGACAAACAGGAACATATTCTGTATTCTCTATCAGAGTAGGAGAAAATGGTCTGTCTCTACCAGAGTTTTAACTTAAGAATAATTATAATTTTTATGAATTTTATTAACTTTTATTTTGAAAATATAAAAAATAAAATCTAAAATAAATATACAAACAAACTCTTTTAAGATACATTGATGGATGATTCTCATTCCTTTATAATTATATTTCAACTATTAATATTTAATCAAGAGTTTTTATTAATTTTTCATATTTTTAATAGTAAAAATAATAAAATGTATATTATATACAAAATACAATTTATATTTTAGATAATATTTTATTTAGTTCAACTACTTTGGATGTTATTTAAAAATGTTTGTAAACTTTTAGTTTGAGCTTTTAAATAGTTAAGCTCATTTTATTTTCTTTCCTCTTCAATAGTTCTTATTTCTTTGAAGCTTTTTTCTATAGAGTCTAATTCGTTTTCTAATATGATTTTCTATTTTTAAGAATTAAATTTGAATAAAATGATTATGACATGATATATATTCACTCATTTATTTATTTATAAATTGCTTGTTCGTTCAATAATAATAATAATAAATAAATAGTTTCAGTTGTTTAAAATTTAATTAATAAATCAAATTTAGTTATTTAATTTATTTACTCTGTTTTGCAAATATATCTTTTTCTTTTCTAGCTCTTCAATCCTAGCTTAGAGTTCTGGTTTATCTTTTTCAGCTTATAGAGCCTTTCTGACACCGAAGACAACAGATCCTTAGTAGAGAGTTTGATAAGCTGCGAATGTCATTCTTAGATTGTCTCTAACTCTAAGCAATAACAAACCTATAAAATACAAACAAAATATATAAATAATTAAAGAATTAACTTTTTTTAAATAGTTTCAATAATCTTACCCCTTTCTGGACAATTTATAGTGCATTATCTAATAATTTCATCAAATAATTAATTGTGAAGGTCCTCTCTTACAGGGCAAATACCATTTTTACTGTTATTTTAAATTCATTTTCATAAATCGCTTTGCTTTTTAAATATTTTTACCGAGCTTATCTCAATCTGAGCTTTTTATTTAAAGTTTCTTCCAAATCTTGCAAATCAAAACGTGAAACTTCATCAGCTGATACGTTTGCTTTGTAATATTCGTTATTTTTTTACCACTTTTTGGGAGGAAAAATGCTGTTAAGTATTTCTTCTATGTTAGATTTTTAATCAAGAGGAGGCAATTATGGCTTCTTTTTAATCTAAAGTGGATCTTTTAAATAACTTTCCTTATCTATAGGAGCATCTATTCTTTATGGAATCTAATATTTCAATAAGCCATCATCATATTAATCTTCTTCATTCATAGTGGCCTCTAATCCTACATGTTATGTCTATTCTAAACTCTAATTTTAGTTCATTATTTATTTATTGTTTTGTAAATTACTAAATGCTATCTATCTATTATCAGTAGAATCTTCAACTTTTAATTAAATAATTTTCTTACTCTCCAAATCAATTATACAAAAAACTATAAAAAACAATAATCAAAGTGATTCATTCATTCATTAATTATAAACATATACTTCGTTTGTTATCTGTTTCAAATTATATCATAGTTTTTATTAATTAATTCTATTTATAAATAAATGCTATATAAATAATAAGTCCTCTTCATATCAAAAAATGAATATTTTAAATCATTTTTGTTTTAATAAATTTTTAAAAAGCATTTTAAAAAACAAACAACAAAACTGATTTAAAATAATTCTAAACAAAATAAAAAGGAATTATTTAAAAAGTGATAAATAAATAAATAAAAAGCAAAGCAAAGTTTTTGTAGAAAATATAAAAAATAGGAAATTAAATTATTTTTGATAGTTGTTAGATTATTTTTGTTAAATTAAACAAAAAGAATTTAAAAAAAGAAATATGAAAAAGATTTGATAATGCCAATACAAGATGATATAAGTAAGTAAGAATGAAATGAATGCAATAAAATTTAATTCAAGTTAAGTTTTAATATATTAATTGTTGAATGGAAGCATGATTTGTTTATTTTCTCTGCTTGCTTAATTATAAAAATATTTTCGAATATTATGCAATTAATTTTTAAGTGATTAATTTATTTTATACAAAATACATACATAGTTAATTCTCAGTTATTGAGCTTCTTGAAATTTATCTGTTATTATTAAATATTAAAATATGCTTAAAATATTGTTTTTATCAAAATTTTAAATTACTAATTCTTCTAAAACATATCTTAAAATAGCTTTGGCATCATGTTTGTTCTTAACTTTATCTGTTACACCCAAGATATCACCTGATTCTTTAATGTAATAATCTAAATCGTTGTTGTTGCATTTATTTGTGAGTTAGGCCAGTCTTACTCTGTTAATTTTTAAAAAAATATTGTTAGAATTTATTTGAAAATATTTAAAATCTTCTTTTATAAAAATTAATTACTTTTCTGAAGCAAATTCATCATCTAAATCAAACAATTCTAAACTTGGAGGAGCTAATTCTTTTAAAATAGGTGGGAAAACAGCTGAAACAAGTCCAAGGAGTGGAGTTTCGAATTAAGGAACTATAAGAGCAAGAGGATCGTGCTTTACTCCAAGAGTTTCATACAATTTTACAGCTTCTGGAACTAAGTCTACATCATACTTAAACAAGTCTGTCATAAATAATTGCTTGCTATCAAATGGTAATGGGTCACTTTCCTATATAAAATTAATTATGCATAAATTTAAATAACTGTTATAATATTCATTAATTTACTTGTAAGCAACTCTTGAGGTTATCAGCTAATTCAGCAATATCAGGAACCTTGAAGTATTCAACATCAGGTTCTTTAGGACTAAATTCAAATTCGCACTCATTTGTGAGCAAATATTTTATAAAGAAATCAAAAATCTTGGAGTTATCTTCATTGTCAAAATATTCATCTGTAAACATTTCGAATGAACCAATAACTGCAAGTCTACCATTATTTTTAGTTTAGACGATAGCAGAAACTGGTCTATTAGAAGGGTAAGAAAGAGGACCAGAACCTAAAATAGCGTGTGCAGGTTATTAAACAGTCAAGGTAGCACCAAAGGCATAAACAAAATCTAAACCAACTCTAGATTGTTCCTTTTAATATTCATCTTCTTCATCATCCTTTCCAATAACGTTTTACAAGAATGTATTTTGGGGTCTCTTTGTTTCTTTAGGTAAACCATTTGCTACTCTTGTTACTTCTTCATTTAAAATACCAGAATGAACATAAGTCTCCTTAGGATGGAAGTATTTATAAAATGCAGTTCTAACGACACAATCGTTATTGATACTGATACCATATTATTCCAAGAAGAAATTTATATTTGTGCGATTCCTATTTTATTAAATATTTTTTTACTCTAATAAATTACAAATTAGTTTTATTTAAAATTTAAATTATTTTTTTAAGACATATCAAACTTATTTTAAAATCCCTCATTTGTAAAAAAATAATGAAATTGTTATCAAATAATTTCGATAAATAATTTAGTGAAATTCAAACTTTTTTATAACACTTTCCAAATTTATTAAAATCTGTTAATCTTATTTCAATATTAAAATATTTTTTTTAATTTTCAGATTCCTTGGAAAAAAAATAATGAAATTGTTCTCAAAGAACTTTGACAAATTATTTAGTGAAATTCAAACTTTTTTATAACACTTTCCAAATCTATTTGAATCAGTTAAGCTTTATTAAATTTATATTAAAATATTTTTAAAAATAAATTTTCAGATTCCTTGATAATGAAATTGTTTTCAAAGAATTTCGATAAATTATTTAGTAAAATTCAAACTATTTTATGACATTATCCAAATTTATTTGAATCTGCTAAGCTTATTTCAATTTTTATTAAAATATTTTAGCAAAATGAATGCAATTTTTTTAATACAATCCAAATTTCATTTCAAAAAAATTCATTTTTTCATCTTAATTTGTTTAAATTTAGTTAAGAATTTGAATTTATTTTCTCTAAATAAAATAATAAGTTTTAGAATTAACTTAAAGATAAATAAATGTACGAGGCGTTGCTTAAAATATTCTCCTTATTTTATTAAAATTTTGTTTTTATCTGAGTTTTTTTGGTATGTTTGCATAAAATTTTAAAATTAAACATCTTTCTTTAGTTATTATTTGCTTCATTAATAAATTAATTTTTGAAATTAACATGTTTTATCAATCTATTTATAAATTTTCATTTATTCATTCATCCTCGCCTTTTTATATTTGCTAATCTCTAAACTAAGATTTGAATTAATTTTGAAATTTTAATGAGGCATTTTAAAATAAATTATATAGAAAAATAGAAAGGCATTCTTAGAATTGTTTTTATGTTAATTACTTATGACCACCACCTTCAGAGCTCAAAACTAAGACACGACCACCACTTTCTAAGTATTATTTGAGGGCATCGAATTCCTCCTTGGTAAACATTTCTTTGGGGCAAAAAAATATGACCAAAGAAGCCATCTTTAGTCTATCATATGTGATATCTTCTTTATTTCTGCCGCACTTTATGATAAAATAACAAACTTAAGATAAGAAACCTTATTAAGGGCTTATATTATCAATCGCATATAGATTTTATTATAAATTCTTTTAATTGTTTTGGTTAAAATCAATTTATTTTTAAAACTGTTCTTGTTAAATATTTTGAAATATTTCTCCTTCGTAAGTAAGAGATTGGTTTGCATGTAGATTGATTTTTTGAAATAGAGCCCTTTAAGACAAAATCTGCTAAGTCAAACTGATTAATGATAATAATATAAACTCTATTACCTTATATGTTTCTTTATATTTCTTGATAATCTTTTTAATATTTGTACTAGGGTTACCAGCCTCCTTCTTTGAAGCGTTGAAGACAATCTATTTATTATATTAGGAAAAAAATCTTTAAAATGATAGATCGATTTGAGTGACATGAATTCTATCAAAATAAAAGCTAGCTGCTAAAACTATGAAAAATTGAATACAATTTTCTATTCTCCACTCATGTCTATCGGCTAAATGACTGCAGTTAGTTATAATTTATTCTAGTCGGATTTATTAACTTTTCTTTGAAATAGTAAGTAATATGTATCTATCTATCTAACTATCTTCTAAAAAGATTTAATTTTTTGTTTGATTCTTTTCTATTATTAATCAATGACTAATTAATTTAATTATTTAATTAACAAAAAAGAAACTGAATGAAACACTAATTATTAATTAATTAATTAAATAATTAACTTGCTTTCACAAAAAAAAGCATATAAACAAGCAAGCAAGCAAGCAAACAAACAAACAAACAAATTTTTATTTATTTTTTAAATTTTTTGTATTTTTTTGATTTGAAAATATAAAGCGAACAAAAAATAAATTGAAATACAAACCTTAATTTAGATAATATTTATAATCCATTATTTTTTTTGGTAAATTTTCTTAAATTAAATTCATTAATTTCTAAATAATTTGCATTCATTTATCAATAAAAACTAACCCATTTAACACTCTTCTCACCTCAAATATAGAATTGCATGTAGTTTAATAAATATTTATTAATTTATGATTTTTCTATCACAATCTGATACTAATTTAATTCTTTTCTACATTAATTATTCTTTAAAATTATTATTAATTTATAAAATTTAGTTATATTAAATAAAATTGTTTTAATATTTTTTACTCATTTTAAAACAATTTTATTTTTTGATTTAAATATAATCGTTGAAGAAAAATAATAAATGAATGCATTTTCAACAAATTCAAAAATTTTATTAGTTAAATTAATTTACTTAAATTTTTTTATAAAAATATTTTATTAATCTTAATTTAAATATTAAAAAACAAAATTTTAAAACAAGTTTATTTTTTAGCGTGGCAAAAATTTCTTTATTTAAACAATATTAATAAAAAATTAAAGCAAAAAAAATTTATTAATTCAAATCAGAATTTAAAATTTAAGCATTACTTTTTCAATTCAAATACAAAAAATCAATTGAAAATTAATGTTTTTTATAATAGTTTTTTACTTGATGTTAAAGTTTTAAGTGCTCACTAAAAAATCATAACTAAGTGATCAATTTCTAAAATAAATTAAATAAATATTATAACAAATTTACTAAAATGTTATTTTTTATGGTTGCATGAATAATAAGAATAATTTTATCAATTAAAAATTATAAAATTGTAAAATAAAATAAAAAGTCTTCATAAGATTTTATTTATTTATTTATTTATGATATGATTTTAGATAAACTATTAAGTAAAAGTAAAAAAGTGTATTTCTATTTTATATATCTGTTTAATTTTACTATTATTAAGATTTACTTTTATAATTTAAAAAAATATTTAATTTATTTCGAATAACTTAAATGTTTTAAATGGATATATATGAAACAAATAATAGAATTTTATCTAAATCGTATAAAATTATAATAAAAAAATTATTAATTTTTCATCTTCAAGGAAAATTAGTTTTAGAAAATAAAACTTTCTCAATAATATTTAAATTCTTAAGAAATTCTTGAATAGAAATCTATTTTATTTAATAGAGTTTACTAAAAACGAAAGGACAAAATTAATATTTTTAAATTATATAATACTTTTGTACCATCGAATAAATTTATTAATCAATTTTACTTTAGTTTATGGTAGAATAATAAAAATTTAATAAAAGAAATACAAATTTAATCTAATTAAATCTTTTGTTTTCCAACAATTATTTGAGTAACTAGATAAAAAAGAGAGTCTATCTATCTATTCTTTTTTTGTTATCAATAATTTGAATCTTAAAAAATATATATCAAATTAATTATTTTTAGGTTCTTATGAATAATGTTTAATCATGTGATTTAGTCATCTAATTTATCAAATAAAATAAATAGAAAAAATTATAATATCAAATCAAATTTAATAAACTTTGTCAATATAATCTTATAAATTGAATGCTTATTTTAAAAATGTATTTGTATCATAATAATGCATATTTCATTTATTAAGTACCATAACTTTATTTTTATAAATGATTACGAAATTTCAGAAATTATTTAGTTTAGGTAAAAAAATTTTATAAAAACCTCTAAAAAATATGTTCCTAAACTGATTTTTAATCTATTATATACAGTAACAAAAAATAAATTTATAATTTTTTATAAAAATTGATTGTAAACCAAAATTTGATTTACAGATTACTTTTTTAACAAAAGAAAGAAATTCCAATTTCATAAATGATAATTAATATATTTATATAAATTATTTATTTATTAAATATATATTGAAGTAAGTTTCATAAAAAATAAATTTTACTTTTGTAGATAATATATAATACTTAAATAAAAGGTTTAAAATCTTCCATATCCATTCATATATGAGCATTAAAACAAAATTATTTCAACAACTGAAGATAAATTAAGATTAAAATTTAGATTTAATTTCTGGATCTATTTCAGTTTTAATAAGTAAGGTAATTAATTAATAGCAATTACTTTATAATTTGAACAAATATAATAATATTTAATAAAAGAAATTCATTTTGAATCTTTTATAATCTATTCTTTTATTTTAAAATAAATACTTTAAATTAGTGATATTCTTTTTTAAATTATTAATAATTAATTATTAAGCAAAACAAATTTAAGAAAGAAAAACATTAAAAAAATGAAAATTAATAATATCTTGATCTTCTTAGCTTTAGCATTAACTTTGTTGTTTGGAACAATCCTTACAATAAATTCTTCTTCTGCTACTGATATTGCTACTGAAAATGTTAGTTCTTTTAATTGTTCTGGAATAAACAATATTTGTTATGAATAATCAGATTGCTGCGAAAACTTAACTTGCACATTTAAGCTACACTTTAGCACATGTGTTTGATATTAAATAAATAAATAAAAATTTAAAGAGCTTAATAATATTAAATTTTATTTCTTAACATAAATGTATTATATGTGAAATCTATATTTTTATGAAAGATTAAATTTAAAAGATTTTTATTAAGATTAATTTTTAAAATAAAATTTTAATTTAAAATTTGTTCTACTTAACCTGTAATCTAAAGATTTTATTAAACTATTACATAAAATTAATTATGAAAGACAATCAGATAGTTGACTGACATCATTTATTATAATTTTTAGTCTAAATTGTTTAAATCAATATTGAAAATAGTTGTTTGAATTAATCTAAACTAAAATAAAATTTGTTTAATATACTTTAAATCCTCATTTATTAATGATAACCAAAAATACTGAATCTTATTCTTATTTTTTTTTAAAAAAATTAAAAATAAATAGTGTTATCTCCTTGGCTAGGGTATGTTCGTTCAAGGAGTTACAGTATTTAGAAAATACTCAAAATGAATATAAAAACTTTATATGATAATAGAGTTAAACATTCAGAATGAGTTTGTTAAAAAATATTTTTTCTCAGATTAATATAAAGTTTGATGTAAAAGATGATCTATAGAGGTTTATTTCAATTTAAATTTATTTATTTGTTATAAAATTATATTTATAAAAGTATTTTGAAGCTAATATTTTAATTTATTCATTTTTTATTTTCTTTTTGATGGCTTCATCAATTAACAATTAATACAGAAAACAAAAATTTCTATTTTGCATTATTAATTTTTCAGTTATTTAGTTTAAAATAATTAAAATGAAACAACATATTTAAATCTGATTTATCTGGAAAAGACTTAATATTTCAATTTTTTTGAATTTTTAAAGAAAATTCAGTATTTGTCTATAAAATATTAGTTTTAAAATAAACCTTAATATTTTCTGAATTATAATTAGCATGCTTTAATTGGTAAAATCAACAAATAATTAATTTTTTTAAATTCTTACATTATTATTATGCATATATACACTATCAAAATCAAGTTTTCATTAAGGATAATTTAAAAGAAAAGGTATTGCAATGGTTATTTTATTTAACTTATTATTTTTAATTAAGATGGGATTCAAGCTTTTCTAAAAAAAATTTCTTCTTTTATGCTATTTTTTTTATTAAAAATATCATTTAATAGAATATTAAATAAAAGATAAACTAAGTAGAAATTAGTAATCAACTCACTCATTCATTTTCAATTAAAAAAAAAATCAGATTTCTTTAAATTATTTAAAAATTAATGAAAATGTTGTTGAGTAAGTAATGCCAAGTAAAATAAATAAAAGAAAGAAAAAAATTGAAGGAAAGATAAATTTTATGCAAAAAATAATAATCTTCCACTAATTTAAAATATAAACTAATATTCTATTTTCAATACATTTATTTATTATTTAATGAAATCATCAAGAGAATCTACTAATAATTAAACTGCTTATAAAAATAAAAATTTTATCTTAATACACTGATCAATTTAAAAAAAGAGTCTTGAAATCAAAATAATAACTTAAAAAATTTTTGAATGATATTTAAAAAATCTTTACAAAATTTAAAAAATTATTAAAAAGAGAAAAAATTAAATGTAAATTAAAAAATGAATAAATCAATACAGCTAATGATAATTTTATAAATTGTAAACATATTTGCAGTTACACCTGGTTGTGCAATTACCTGTATTCCCACAAGTTATGATACTCAAGCTAATTGTATGAGTTGTGAACCAGATCCATCCGTTGAAAAGTTATTTGCTGGACCTTCACCTGTTAATTGTTCAGTTATTGACTGTTCTGCAAAATTTCATTAATTAAATGGATATGTATGTTAATCTTGTAAAGGATTAAACCTTAGTGCTTTTTATGATCCTATTACAAATGATTGTGTAATTTAATGTCCAGATAATTCAATAGATGATAAATACAATTGTTTACGAATAGCTAAACCAGGTGCAAACATTAATTGTGGATCTACAGATGGTGCTTAAGGTTCATGCACTGGATGTGGATCTTCTTCTAGTATTCAAAATTTTTTCACATGGATTTCGGGTATCATTTGTAGATTTAATGATTGTAGTATTGCTCCATCTTCTTATAACGGTTATGTTTGCAAATCTTGCTTTTAAGTAGAAGGAGCTCATGCTACTTTTGCAGCTGGGACTTATTACAATCCGTTTACAAATTCATGCATTAGTTAATGTCCTATTGGAACATACCCAGATAAATCATATACTTGTTAATAGATGGTTAATTCAGGTGACTTAGTTAGTTGCGGTACTGTTGGAATCCCTTAAGGTACATGCAATAGATGCGGATCTACTTAAGCAATTTAAAATTTATTCCAATGGGATTCTAATTCAAATTGTAAAATTATCGATTGTAGTATTGTTCCTCCTTTTTATAATGGAAACGTATGTAAATCCTGTTATAAAGCAGCAAATGCAGCCTCTGCATTTAAAATTGGTCCCTACTTTAACCCAATAACCAATTCTTGTGTTGCTTAATGTCCTTCATTTACATTTTCTGATAACGACAATATATGTTAAAACTATCCTACTAATCCTGTTCTTGGTAAAAATGTTGCTTGCGGTACTGAATATATACAAGGAGGAGAAAATGCTAACTGCAATAAATGTGGCGATATTTAAACCATTTAATCTTTATTTATTTATGACTTGAAAACTTTAGGTGTAAATTGCTATTATGCTGATTGTAGAACTATTCATAGTACTCTTAATGGTTGGATTTGCAATTCTTGTGATGGAGTACCAGGATCAAACATACCACCTGGTATATATTTTAATGGAACTACATGTACATATACATGTAATAGAGGTGTTGCTAACTCTAAAAGTGGTTATATTTGCTAAAATTCAATAAATTTATCAGGACATAAATTAAATTTTGTTTAAGTCTTATTATTTTTATGTTTATTATTCTGATAATTAATTACTCTAAAGTTTTAACCATAATCGAATTAGGAGTTTTCTAGGGCTCGTCCAAAAATTAACTATCCAAATTACCCCCCTCACTGTTTATATCATATATTTGAAATTATTTTTAGATTTTATTGATTTTTAAAAAATATTTTTAATGACTTCATCATCAATTTACAATTAACACAGAAAACAGAAAATTATATTTATCACTGTTGATTTTATAGGAATTTCATTTAAAATAATTATTAAAATAAAACAAAATATTTATATCTGATTTATCTTCAAAAGATTTATTATTTAAATTTTTGGGCCTTTAAACAAAATTCAGTAGTTGTTTATTGAATATTATTTTTAAAATAAACTTTAATATTTTCTGAATTATAATTGGCATAGTTTACTTGATAAAATCAACAAATAATTAACTATTTAAAATTGTTGCATCATTATTAAGTATATTATATCATAATCAAGATACGTTAAGAAAGATTTAAAAGTTTAGGTATTGCAATTAATTGTTAATTTATTTAAGTTATTATTTTTAATTAAGATGGGATTCAAACTATTCTAAAAACATTTTCTTCTTTTTTTTATTTTATTTTCTTTATTAAAAATATCATTTACTATAAATTATTAATTTATTTATTCATTCATTTTCAATTTTTTAAAAAATTTGATTTCTTTAAATTATTTAAAAATTAATGAAGATATTGTTGAGTAGAGTATTTAAAGCTTAATAAAAAATAGAAATAAATAAATTGAAAGATAAATTTTATGCAAATAAAAATAATATTCTACTAATTTAAAATATAAACAACATAAATTCTATTTACAAGGCATTTATTTATTATTAAATGAAATCGTTTATATAATATACTAATAAAAAAACTGATTTGTAATGTAAATATATTTCAATGAAAATTTAATAATAATAAGCAGATTTATTTAAAAAAAGAGTCTTGAAAACAAAATAATAACTAAAAAATCTTGATTGATATTTAAAAATTTTTTTTAAATTATTAAAAACAAATAATTTAAAAATGAATAAACTAATCCTATTAATCATAATTTTATAAATTGTAAACATATTTGCCTCAACTGCACCTGGTTTTCTGGTTTCCTGTATTAATACAAATGATGGTAGTTGTATCAGTTGTGAACCTGATCCATCTGTTGAAAGGTTATTTTTTGGAGATTCTGCCACGAATTGCTATGTTTAAGATTGTTCTGCAAGACCTCATTTATTAAATGCCTATGTGTGTAAATCTTGTTTTGGAATCGTAGGGTCTTTTTAAATCTCTGGTTAGTTTTATGATCCTGCTATAAATGATTGTGTAGCTTAATGTCCAAATGACTCTATAGTTTATCAGTAAACTTGTTTACGAATAAATAAAACAGGTGCTAACGTTATTTGTGCATCTAATACATATGATTGCACTGGATGTGGATCTTCTATTAGTATTCAAGCGTTATTTACTTACGTTTAAAGTACAATTTGTAGATATACTGATTGTAGTATTGCTCCATCTTCATATAGCGGCTATATTTGCAAATCTTGCTTTCAAGAAGTAGGAGCACATACTGCTTTTTCAATTGGGGCTTACTACTATCCGTCTACAAATTCATGCATTAGTTAATGTCCTATAGGAACATATCCAGACTAATCATATACTTGTTAATAAGTAGTTAATTATGGTGATTTAGTTAGTTGCGGTACTGCTGGAACCCCTTAAGGAACATGCACTAGATGCGGATCTACTTAAGCAATTTAAAATTTATTCCAATGGGATTCAAATTCAAATTGTAAAATAATTAATTGTAGTATTGTTCCTCATTTTTATAATGGAAACGTATGTAAATCCTGCTATAAAGCAGCTAATGCAGCCTCTGCATTTAAAATTGGTCCATACTTTAACCCAATAACCAATTCTTGTGTTGCTTCATGTCCTTCATTTACATTTTCTGATAATGATAATATATGTTAAAACTATCCTACTAATCCTGTTCTTGGTAAAAATGTTGCTTGTGGTACTGAATCTATAAAAGGAGGAGAAACTGCTAGCTGCAATAAATGTGGTGATATTTAAACCACTTAATCTTTATTTACTTATGACTTGAAAACTTTAGGCGTAAATTGTTTTTATGCTGATTGTAGAACTACTCAAAGTACTCTTAATGGTTGGATTTGCAATTCTTGTGATGGAGTACCAGGATCAAACATACCACCTGGTATATATTTTAATGGAACTACATGTACATATACATGTAATAAAGGTGTTGCTAACTCTAAAAGCGGTTATATTTGCTAAAACTCAATAAATTTATCAGAACATAAATTAAATTTTGTTTAATTCTTATTATTTTTGTGTTTATTATTCTGATAATTAATTACTCTAAAGTTTTAACCATGATCGAATCGATTTTGGGTTGGCCTAAAAATTAACTATCCTAATTACTCATAATTTTTAAAAGAATAAATTAACGTTTTCCTTCATTCAATAAATGGAAAAGCTCTGGTGGATATTATATTTAACTTTTGCAAATAAAATATATTTGCTACAGCTTTTAGAATTTTTTTAATTTTGAATTTTGAATAATAACTAATGCTTTGTTTATTTTAAACCACACACCAAATATAATCTATAATCTAATAATATTTAAATCAATAAAGCTTTTATTAAATTTAATGTAAACGAAATTTTGATTTACATCTTAGTTTTACATAAAAAAAGCCTCATAACTTTAATGGTTTAGCATTACAAAATAAATAATTGTAATTTAAATAGATTGTGTTGAATACTTAAATGAGATTAAAGTTTACTTTATTTTTAAATACTGAAACATTTAAGATATATCCCACACCTAAATAAGCAATTTATATATATACCAATGTTTCAACAGCTGAAATTAAATTGTAACTAAATTTATATATTTGATTTATCCCACTTTTTAAATTGTAATCTAAAAACAAAAACCATTGATTTCTGATTTAATTAAATGAGTTTTGAATAAAAATATAAATATTTAATAAAAGAAATTATGATTGCATCTTATAATGTCTATTTACCTATTTATAAGAAAGCCTTTTAATAAAATAAGTCAGTCCTATTTCCAAATTATAAACAATTATTAACAAAAAAAAATTAAAAAAAATTAAAAAAAACAAAACAAAAATGAGAATCAACAATATTTTGATCTTCTTAGCTTTAGCATTAACATTATTGCTCGGCACAATCGTTACAATTAATTCTTCTTCTGTTAACGAAAAAATTGGTGATGGAGCTTGCTCTGGAGTTAACTAAGGATGTAGTGATGATACAGATTGTTGCAGTGGTTTAAGATGCTAGATGGTACCACAAAAGTTCTTTGGAAAATGTGTCTGATAATAAATGAAGAAGGATATAAAAAACTTATAATTTAAAATTATAATTAAATAAATGTATGAAACATTTAATCATATAAATTTCATATCTTACACATAAAAAAATTAAAAATTATAAAAGTAAAATAATTATTTAAGAAAAAAATTTTATTTAATTAAACTTAATACTTGAAGAGAGGATTTTAATACCTCAAATTTATTTATGATAATATTTTTTAAATTAATAATTTGATAACATAAAATAATTTTTAAAGGAAATGTATAATTATTATATATTGATATTTGAAAGAAAACCATTAAATGTAATTTTAATTATAGTGAATTCAATTAAATAATTTACTATGATATTATTGATTACTATTTTTTATAATTATTCAAATTTATTCATATTAAAAAACTTATTTCGAAAAACTGTTATTTCAAAATATTTAAATTTAAGAAGAAAACATATTTTAAGAATACAAATCAAAATAAAATAATAGATGCAAGTTAATATAAAAAAATATAATAATTTTTTAAAAACATAGATAATTTATGGATAATTAAAAATAACTAAGTAATTAAATAATTATTTATAAGTATTTATCGCTTTTCAATATTTATATATTATTTGTTTTAAATTATGTCATTATAATTAACATTTCATAAATACAACCGAAATATCAAGTACAACTAATTTTTTGAACTATCTTAGCATGTTTTATTTCAGCTTTAAATAAACTATATATCTAGTTACTGCACTAATAAATTATATTAAAATATTTATGTTTTTTTTTAACTAATTAAATGAAGAAATTGATATACGGAAGTTTTACTTTTAAAGCAAATAAGTTTTTGATGTCTCTTAGTTTGATAAATAAAATTTGTTTACTTAAATTACTATTTCCTCTGTTATAAAAAATATATAAATAATTGTTTAAACAAACAAAATTCTATTTCAGAAATAAATTAAACCTTAAAAACTTAATTTTAAAATAAAATGTAAATTTAAATAACAATTTTTTACTTTTGTTATAATAATTTTATGAAAAATAATTAATTACCCTAAAAAGATGTTAAGAGAAAATAGATTCTAACAATTAGATAGCTTATCAATGAGTCCATTAAAACTTTCAGATCCAAATATATTTTATCTTCAAAAATAAATTTATTTTTTTATTGAAATAAAATAAAAATAAAATTAAGATTCATTAAATAAATTCTTTTCTTAATCGTTTAAAATAAGCTATCTTTTTTTTTGTTTAAATCAAATTAAATTTTAAAAATAAAATAATTAATCTTTTTATTTTTAACAAGAGTAAATAAAGGTTAAATCTACGATAAGTTAAGGGTCAAGCATTTCAGATTTTTACATTGTGATAATCCGTCTCCTAAATAAACTATTGCTTAATCACCTAATTTTCTGAGCCTGATAAAAATAAAAGATAAAAAATTTGATAATTCATTTTATTTTAACTTAAATTTGTCATAAATTATTCAATGTTTTAGAATCAATTAATGAGAAAGATTAAATTTTTATTTATTAATTCAAAATAAAATTTATAATACTCAAACTATAAATCCAATGATGCTATTATGTCTTTACACTCTGATAATTAAGCAGCAAAGTCAGATGCTTATTACTCACCGATTGTCTTTTTTGGTCTAATTTCATATTTTTAATATCAACTTAACAAATTTTAATTTTCTCAATTAACAACCAAAAGCATAAAAATAATGTGACTTATAAAATGGTAATTCTCAAATAAAAAAAATATTAATTTTTATATTGTAAGAATTATCATTGAGATGAATTATTTAATACCTTATTTATAAGAACAAAGTTCTTTAATTTGAATTATATTCTTCAATTTTATCAGAGGATCGTTATTTTTGGTAATCAAATTATTTGTAAAACCTTTATTTTAAATTCAATTAATTATAAACAATTGTTTTTAAATATTTAAAAAAGATTTAAAAATTGATTTTATAAAATTTAATTTATTTTATTTGTATGGATTAAAATTGAATTTTTAACATCAATCATTCGCTTTTGTCAAAAGTGACAAAATAATATAAAAAATTATTCTGTATTAATCAAAAAAGTTTAAAATCAGACTTATTTATTTGATGATTTTAATGACTCTAATAAAAATAGAGTTTTTAGTCATCCAATTAAATAAAAAGAACAAAAATAAATTATTAAAATTTACCTTGACTCAATTTAAAGGATCTTATTTGAAAATAATTGATACTATTTATACTTAAAAAAATTAAATTCTGATATACTGCTAGATTAATCTATATTTTACATTTTTTAAATCAAAAATTTGATCGTTTTATTATTAGTTTTTTTTATTTTGATTATTCCCCATTTTTTAAACAATTTTTGCAAAATTATTTGTTTTATTAGTTTATTCAAAAAGAATATATTAAAAAATTTTTTTAAGGTAAATTTCTTTGAATTATATATTTACAAAAGATTTTTTTTAATAGTTAAAAACTAAGAAACTCATTTCATAAGCTTTTATGTAAAAAATTAAAGCTTTTAATTTTATTTTTTTTCATAATAAAAATTAAATCTATTTTAAAAATAATTTTTCAGTAAATAATAAATTAAGTAAAAAGCTACAGTTTAAAAACAACTTATTGAATAAGGATCAGAAAATTATTCGTTTTTAAAATTTTGAAATTTTATTTAATATTTTTATTTGCTTTAAAAACATTATCAGCAAGCAAAGCAAGCAAATAATAAAAAATTAGAATCCAATAAAGAATATAAAAAGTTCTACTTATTGTTTGAATTTAAGATAATCATATATTTATTAAAATATAGAGAGTCTAAATGAACTTTTAAATTAGTCAAAAAATGCAAATTTAAGACATTAATTTAATTGTGAAAAGAAATTCATTAAACCAATCATAGATTTAAAGATAAAATTTTATCAATTAAATAACAAAATTTGCTAAGATTGTAAACTTGTAGAAGGAGCTAAATTAAAACCTTGGCAAATTTTGCACATAATATCAATCCAGTTTCAAAGTAATTTAAATAGAAATATAAAAGCACTTTAAAAACGAATAAATAGAATTTATTAAATTCAACAAAAATAATTTTGAAAAAAGCCAATAAATAAATAAAAATTTGAAAGAAATATTCTAAGATATATCTTAAGAATCTAAATCATACAAATAATTACTAAAGAATGAAATAATTTAAGGCTTGGATTAAAAAAACTTAAGCAGATTTGATTCATTAAATTTACCTAGACTTTTAGGTGGAGGAGGAGTGTGTTTCTCTTCTTCTAAAAAGAATGAAATTGATTTTCCTAATAAAAAATAAAAAAATATTCACAAAATTCATAACTTAAAAAACGATGAGTTTTTTAAAGAAAATGGCAATCAAAATCAAAATATAGATAATAGCAAAGAAGCTAAGAGCGATGGAGATAATTAAGATATTGACGATTTCTAAAAGGCATACAAACAGTATTTTAACAAAAATGCAGTTGTAAATACAATAAAAAAAAATTTAATTGCTTCTTAAGTGAGAAAAATAATCGAAAAAGCTATCTATGACAATAGGGAGGAAATAATTTATTAAAATATTAGAGAAAAAGTAGTGGATCTCATTAATTTAATTATAAATTATTTATTGATATCTATTTAAAACAATGAAATAAGAAGTCTTTAAAATGATATTGATGATATAAATGTCAAACTGAAGCAAATTTAAAAGTATTCATACTAAAATAGAAAAATCTATCCTTGCTTAGATCTTTATTTGTATTTAGAATTTCTTATAGCAATTAACTCTTAAAGGTCTGGTTTGGACACTTTTAATTAAAGTCTTGCTTCTAAAATTGCAGAGAAATTTATTTAGTTAGCTAAAACAGCATCAGGGTTTTTAAGCATAGCTGGAGCAGTGAAAGGAATTGTTGAAATAAAATTAGAAGATTTATCTAAATTCATTTCAGAGGTTAAAAATATTTTTAAATAGTTAGCTGGTTCTAAAGACAATATTCAAAGTTTAGGGAATGATGCTAATTAGTTGTATGATATATACTAAAATGGTAGTTTGTTCTAGTAAATGTACTCTTTATGGATAAGAAAAACTCAGAATTTTGGAAATAGATTGCTAGAAATTAGTTCAAGTGAAGAAATCATTTTCTATTTGAAAGAAATATCTGAAAAAAATATAAAAAACCAAGATTTGATTAAATTTATTTACATGCAAATAAATTATTTATTAGAAAAAGAACAAAAAAAAGATAATTTAAAAAATTTATCTAACGAGTTAAAAGAAGAAAATAATTTGATTATTAGATTTGTGAATGAGTTATTAATAAAGAAGTATTCAAAAGATATTATAGATTATATTAAATAGCTTGCTGATTTGGTAACTAATAGTGCATAATTTAGGTACTTACAAACATCTATTTTACTTAAACTAGCAGTCCTAATTAAAAATTTTGAAATGAAAGATCAAGAACATGAAATCATGGTTAATTTATGCTTAAAATACATTGAAGAAAAAGATGTTTCAGTGAAAATAGTTTTTAAAAATAATCAGCTCATAAAAGAATTCATACATAGCATAGATAAATATGAGGAGTTAATAATAAATGAGTAAAAATAACTTAAAAGAAATTTAACTAATTTTGTAGAGGAAGAAAAAATAAATTAAATATAAGAAAATATTTAGGATAAGTAAGACTTAGTTAAATATTTGGCTAATTCCATAATTCAAATGTGGGAAATAGGAGTAAAGCAAAGATAAGAATAAAATTAAATAGCTCATAAAGATGATATTCTTCTTGAAGCAGTCAATTTTTATGTAAAGCAATAAATGACATTTATTGATGGTAAAAATATATTTAAAGAAAATTCTGATGAGTAATAAAACCAAAAGGACAGTGTTTCAAATGATGCTCTGACCATGATCATAAAATATTTTCTCATTCCTAATTATAAGTATCCTAAAATTAAGAGCTAAAATAATGAGTTTAATAATTAATAAAAAGATCATGATAATAACAAGAGTTCAGTCAAAATTATTTCTATATTAGCAGACGGAGGCACAGGAAAGTCTATGCTTCTAAAAAAAATAGAAGTAGAACTTATAAATAGCGATTCCGTTTTGGAAAATTAAAGTTCTACATTGATAAGTGATGAAAGAGCTAAGTATATTCCTATTATAATTAAATGTAATTCTTTAGATGCAAACGAGCCTACAATTGAAAAATTTTTGGTTAAGCAAAATTTTTAAATGGAATAAATTGAATCCCTTAAAAAATCAGAGCGAAACAAATTATTGATGCTTGATGGGTACGATGAGTTTGCTGGTGAGTATTTTAAAATTTTTGAGAAGCTTAAGATTTATGAATGGGTAAATACTCTGGTTATTGTCACTTCAAGGCTAGAAAAAATATCTATTTCAGATGCTAGAGTTTATTTTAATTACTATAACGAAGAAGGGAAATAAGAAAATTATGAATCATATGTTTCGATGCAATTAGAAAAGTTCACTGACTCTGATATAAAAGATTATTTTAATAAATTTGAGTAAATCTCTAAAATTACTCATTAAAATTAAAAAGAAATCCAAAAAATTAAAGAAGTCATTTTCTAAAATAACAATTTAATTGAGCTTGTAAAACTTCCTGTTAATTTGTATCTAACAACAAGAATGCTGAACGACTTGGACTTAAAAGATGATAAAATTTTTAAAGATCTGAAATAAGCTTCGGATTAAGTTGATATTCAAGAGTTATTCTTCCAATAATAATTCTCAAAAAAATCAAAAGATTTTACATAAAAATTAAAAATTAAAGAAAAAATAAAGCAAAATAATATTGAAAATTTAATTAAACAAACTTATTTCGAGTATTTATAAAATATTGCCATGCATATGTTTTTGTAGAAAAAAAATAAATCAAATTTTCTTTCTACAAATAGAAAAGAAATTCATTTTGAAATCAAAAATGAAATTGATAAATTTTTAGATAAAGACTAAATGGAACAGTTAAAGATATAATTGAATTAATATGTGGATTCTAGAGTTATTACTAGAATGTATTTATCTAATTAAATAAATAGTGAAGCTGAGAATAATTAAAATTTGGATTTTGAATTTAGACACAAGTCTATCTTTGAGTATTTTGCAGCGAGAGCCATGAAGTATGATTTTGATTTGTATTAGGAAAGCATCTATAAATTACCTTTGGACAAGCTTGTATCTTTCAATATAAATTAAACACTTATAATGAATATTGGATATAATAAATCTGAACAATAGATTCTCTTAAAACTTTTTAAATTGATAGATCATAGCAAAAATGTTTGTAACTATTAGGAGAATTATACTTCTGAAGATATAAAATAAAATAATCGTTATTTCTAATACATAAGGCGATCTTAAATAGATCAATATGATCATGTTAGTAAAATAGATATGGGAGCTTCGAATTTGCTTTCAGCACTGTTCGTTTCCAGATTTGCATTTGATAACTTAACTCTTAGAAAATGTTCTTTTTCTAAGGCATACATTTCTTACAAAAATAACAAAAGAATTAATTTTGATGAGTGTAATTTAAATAATGCCTTGCTTAAAAAAGTAAATCCTTAAAGTATTGAGTCTTCCATGACTTAAGATTCAATTTTTGATTCTTATTAAAAAATATTTAGCTCTGATAACTTTTAAAATTTTAAGAAAATAATTTACGATAAAGAAAGGTTAATTTCAATAAATGATAATGGATATATCAATAGCTTCGAGCAGTCTCCAGAAGATCAAAAATATAATATAGCTCTCTCTAAAAAGATTACAAATTTTATTTTAAATGAAATCAAAATTTATGGAGAAAACTAATTAGTAGTTTCATCCTTGTCAACTTTGTTTTTGATTGATTCTATTCATTTTTCAATAAAGAAGCTGAAGAAATTCGATAAAAATAATATTTTAAATTTTGATTGTTAAAACAAAAATTTATTAATTTAGCTAAATAATAAGAATTATTATGGTAATTTTGAATAAGAATTTAAAGAAGTAGATTTTTGTGGGTAACTTTCAAAGCTATCTACAAAATGTGAATTTATTGCTGCTTCAGTGAATAATCAATTGATGATATATCAAATTTAAAAAGATTTTTAAAAATTAAAAACTTTAGAGGGTCATTCTGATAAAGTCAATTCAATTGAATTTTAAGAGGATGGAAAATTTATGATTTCCGCTTCAAATAAGGATGGATTTGATCTTTTGGAGTTTAGAAAGTAATTTTGAACCAATAAAGATAATTGAAGATATTCAAATTGAATCTTCTACGATTAGTAGAGATGGAAGATATATAGCTACTGGATATGTTGATAAATTTTATAAGATATGGAAAAGAATTGATAAAGAAGTTGAGCTTATTGGAAAAATTGAAGAAGAAAATAATTAAATACTGTCAATTGCTTTTGCAGAGAAAAGGGATGTTGTTGCTGTTGGATCAAAGGTAAATTGTAAAATTCTAAATATGTAAAACAAACTTGAATAAATGTAAGTAATTGAATGTCATGGTAAAAAAATATCTTCAGTCGTCTTTTCTCCAAACGGATAATATATAGCTACAGGCTCAACAGATACTACTTGTAAAATATGGAAAATAAATAATTAAGGTTTCAAGCTATTCAAAAATTTAGAAGGTCATAGTGGTGAAGTGTCTTCCATAGCTTTTTCATCTGATAGTAAATATTTAGCTACTTCTTCTTATGATAAAACTGCAAAGATTTGGGATTTAGAAAGATAATTTTTGCTAATTCACACTATTTAGGGTCATTCAAGAGAAATAACTTAGCTTGCATTTTCAAAGGATAACAAGTATTTGGCTACAGTTTCATATGATAAAACATGCAGAATTTGGAGTTGTTAAAAAGATTTTCAATAAATAAAAGCTATCCAAGATTATACAAGAGAGGTAACTACAGTAGCTTTCTCTGAAGATAGCAAATATTTGGCAACAGGTTCATATGAAAAGACTTGCAAAATATTTGATATAGAAAGAGATTTTTCATTATTAATAACTCTGTAAGACCATACTTCTATTATAGCCTAGGTTAAATTTTCTAAAGATGGAAGATATCTTGCAACTTGCTCCTATGATAATACTTGCAAAATTTGGAGTGTAAAAAATGAATTCCATTTAGTTAAAACTATTGATGGGCATAAAGAAATAGTGTATTCAATATCTTTTTCTGAAGATTCTAAGTACCTCGCAACTGGTTCTAAGGATAAAACTTGCAAAGTTTGGGATATTGAAAAACAATTCAAATTAGCAAATACCATTTAACGAGAAAATGAAGAAGTTACTTCTTTAAGTTTTTCAATAGATAACAAGTATCTGGCAATTAGCTCATTTAACATTTTAAATATTTACAATGCAGAAAATAGATTAGAGTCAATCAATCAAATAGAAGGTCATTAAGAAGAAATAACTGCAATGGCCTTTTCTAACGACTGCAAATATCTAGCAACAAGTTCTTTAGATCAAACTTGCAAGATATGGAATATCGAAAACAGATTTGAATTACAAAAAGTAATTTAAGATCACACTGATATGATAACATGCGTTGCATTTTCAAACGATAATAAATATCTTGCTACTTCTTCTTTTGATTAGACATGTAGGATATGGGATACTTAGAAAGGATTTGTATAAGCTAATATAATTTAAGGCGAAACAGAGTACGTGTATTTTGTTGCCTTTTCTCCTGATTGTAAACACCTTGCTATTGGCTATATGGATTATTATTGTTAAGTTTTAGATATTTAGGAAGGATTCAAACTCAAATATACACTTGAAGATGAAGCCTATAATGTAGCATCTATGTCTTTCTCTGATGATGGAAAATACTTCTCTACAGGATCAGAAGATAATACATGTAAAATATGGGACTCAAATAATAATTTTAATCTTGTACATACAATAAAAGGTCATGAGAGCTTTGTGAACTCTGTGTGTTTTTCTCCAGACAGTAGGTACTTGGTAACAGGTTCTTTAGATAAAACTTTTAAGTTATGGAATGCGAAAAAAAATTTTGAGCTTATTCATACAATAGAAGTTAATAGCATTTATATAGTACTAGCATGCTTTTCTAAAGACAGCAGATACTTACTTACAAGCTCTGAAGGTAGCACTTGCGAAGTTTTGGATGTTGAATAAAATTTTAAATTAGTTTATACAATTGAAGGAAATAATAATGAAATTAATTCTATCAGCATTTCATCAGATGGCAACTATCTCGCAATAGGTTCATAAGATAGTACAGGTAGAATATTGGATTTAAAAAATGCGTTCTTATAAAGGTGTCATAAATACAATATCACAAAAGGTTTTATTGAATTAAAAGAAAATCAAATTAATGGATCAATAGTGAAATAATCTCATCAATAAGAATTGTTTGAAAATATTTACATATTTTGAAAAGAAATAAATTTCAATTCAATTGAGAGGAATGTCAATAAAATAAAATACAATAAATGAATAAGAGATATTAATTTAGATGATTTATATTAAAATGTATTTTTTTATGATATTTATAAGTTATGTATTAATTTTTAATTCTTTTGTCTTAAATAATCAATATTTTTAATAAATCTTAATCAATAATATCATTTTAAATATTATTTCTTAATACACCAGTGCTGTCATACATAATACTATTCGATTTTGAGTTTTTTAATCATTTTTTTATACTTTTAAAATTTTTTGACATAGATACAAAAAAAATGGTGTCCCCCATAGATAGAGTCGAATATTTAAAAGAGTTAAGCTATACATAATAATTTATGTATTTTTTATATGCATAAGAGGAGTAAATTAATATAGAATATATTTAATTAATTCAAATAAAAAAACTAATGAAATCTTATAATTTTCTAGATATAATTAATACCCAAACCATTCAACTATTTGAAAAAATATAAGCTAATAAAAATAGATAAATTATTAAATAAAACAAAAATTTTTTAGCTTATTAAAAGGATAAAGCAATTATTCCCAAAAAAATTATTATTCAAACCACTTAATTTAAAATTTTTCATAACTAAAATGATTTTCTCTTAATTACATAATTATTTTTTAATGGAGTTATCAAAGATGTTAATGAAGTTTTTTTTATACCTAGATTTTTTTCAGATTAAGAATAGAAAAAATGAGACTAGTTAAATTAATTGATTAACTTCAATTTCTATTTTATAGCTTTAAACCTATTTTTAGTTATTTACTTTAATCCATGCAGTAAGAATTTTTCAAAGAATTTAATTTTTTTGATTACTCATAAATTAATATATTTATAGACTAATATTAACCAAATTATATTTCATTAATCTATTCTATGTTCTATTAATGCTACTCAACATTTATAATTTTATTGACCTTATTTAAAAGCTTCGATTTTAGCTATCAAAAGAAAAATATAAATCACAAAATAAAAATCAAAACCTCAATAAAAGAAAAAATGTAAAAAAAACTACTTTTTATTACTGCAATTATTTTGCTCATTTCTTTCAGTTAATCAAAGCCTGATCGTAATTTAGGAAATCTCTTAAGGTGCTTTGCTTAAATAGGTGATGCAATAAAAGATGTCGCTAATCTAGTCGCCACTATCCAAGCGAAAAAGGATGCATCTGCTATACTTAAATCTATTGGAGATGTTTCTGGTTAAATAAGACCATTGATGTAGGAATGTTCAAATCCAATTTGCTTAATTGATGCTCAGAAAAGATGTGAAGAATCAACAGGAAAATCTTGCGAATAATATGGTGCTATTATGTATCCTAAATGTGAAGAGGGTTTCTACAATGTAGGTTGCTGTTTGTGTGAATCATCATGTCCTCCCGGATTCAGAGACGATGGATTATTTTGTGCTAAGCCTGAGGCTTATGGAAGGGGCGCTGGTTACCCTTGGAAATTCGGTGATAGCTTAAACTTGAACGATGCTTCTAAGAGATGTCAAAGTGAAAATTCTTAAGGCTGTGAATAAAATGGCTTAGTAATCTACCCTAAATGTAAGTAAGGTTTTCATAATGTTGGTTGCTGTATATGTTCTCCTGACTGTCCATCTGGAACAACTGATATTGGAGTTTCTTGCACAAAACCAGTTTATGGTAGAGGAGTTGGTTTCCCAATGTAATATGATGATTGTTAAACCTAATCATCATAAAATAGTTACGAAAAATCTTAAAATAAAGATTCTTCAGAATATCTATCACTTAATACTGAGTAGTTGAAAGATAAAATCTTAGAATAATCCTAGAAATTCATGCAAAATAAAGGTAACAAAGACTTGTCAGTTAAGTTTGCTACAGAATTATCAAAGTTGATGGCTGCATTAGAGGTCAAATCTTCTAAAAAATGATAATATTAAATATAAAAATTACATTATAAAAGTAAAATATATCTATATAAAATATGTGTTTTGTAATCCCAAATAAATTGATGAATATTTCTATAATTAAAAATAAACTTTAAAGATCAAATTATTAAAAAGATAAATTTTAAAATATAATTTTGGATTATTCTAATTTTGTTCTATTAATTAAGTGTAAAAACAAAATAAAATATTTTATAATTTTTGAGGTTAATGAAATTGTAAAAATAATATTTTCAATATAATTAAGCACATTGGATTTTTATTAAAAATTGGAAAATTTGAGTAAATCCAAATTGTTTAAAAGTGTAGTAAATTAATTTTTTTATAAATATTTATTTTTTAACAAATTTATTTTTAATGACAATTACTTACAAATTAAAGAAAATATATATCATTCTTTAATTTGTTAAAACAAAGCAGTTCTAAGTACCTATCAACTGGTTTTAAGGATAAAACTTGCAAAGTTTGGGATATTGAAAAACAATTCAAATTAGTAAATACAATTTAACGAGAAAACAAAGAAGCTACTTCTTTGCTATGGAATATCTAAAATATATTTGAATTATAAAAAGTAATTTAGGATCACACTGAAATGATAATATGCGTTGCATTTTCAAACGATAATAAACATCTTGCTACTTCTTCTTTTGACTAGACATATAGGATATGGGATAATTAGAAAGGATTTGTATAATCAAATATAATCTAAGGGGAAACAGAGTTAATGTATTTTGTTTCCTTTTCTATTGATTGTAAACACCTTTTTATTGGCTTTATGGATTTTTATTGTTAATTTTTAGATATTTAGGAAGGATTCAAACTCAAATATACACTTGAAGATGAAGTCTATAATTTAGCATCTATGTCTTTCTCTGATGATGGAAAATACTTCTCTATAGGATCAGAGATAATAAATGTAAAATATGGGACTCAAGTAATAATTTTAATCTTGTACATAAAATAAAAGGTCATTAGAGCTTTGTGAACTCTGTGTGCTTTTCTCCAGACAGTAGGTATTTGGTGACAGGTTCTTAGGATAAAACTTTTAAGTTATGGTCGAGCATATATATACAAAAAAAGTTTATATCATTTATATAGTAATAGCATAATTTTCTAAAGTCAGCAGATACTTACTTAAATGCTCTAAAGGTAACATTTGTGAAGTTAGGAAAGTTGAATAAAATTTTAAATTAGTTTATTCTATTGAAAATAGTTCAGGTAGAATATTGGATTTAAAAAATGCGTTCTTATAAATGTATCATAAAAACAAACACGCCAAAGAATTATATGAAAGTGATGCTAATCAAATTAATGGGTCTATAGTGGATTAATTTCATAAATAAGAATTCTTTGAAAATATTTTGATATTTTGGAAAGAAGTAAATTTAAATTCAATTAAGAGGAATGTCAATAAAATAAATGAAGATGAGGCATTAAGTTAGATGATATATAGTATTTAAAAATAATCATTGCTATTTATTAACAATAATTTAAATAATATCGAGAAATAAACATAATTATATTAAAGATTTTGTATATATAAAAATGTATTTTGATATGCTAAATGATAAGTAGTATTTAATTAAAATATTTACAATATTTTGTGCAAAAATTTAAAAAAATTGATTTGAATTTTCAAAAAATAATAGATTTTCATTCATTATTGAATGAAAACATAAATTTTATGTAATTAAATTTTCATTTTTAAAATCAATTTTTAATAAACTAATGATTGTTTTTTTCATTGTTGGTTTTCTAAGGTTGTTTGGTGTATATGGTGGTTGCTTTATAGATGGTTTTTAAATGATGAATCTAATTTTATATTTTTTATTTAAATTTTTTAAAAACATTGTAGGTATTAGGTCATTACGTTCACTATGTTCGCTTAAGCGCTAGCTATTCTTGTGCGAAACTATATAATTTTTATTAAAAATAATAAAAACTTAATTAAAATTTTTTTTTTAATAAATGAACCTCAATTCCATGAGGTCATCTTAAAATTTCCTCTTCAATCTCAATGAGTTTTTTTACTTCTAAAATATTTTGACATAAATACAAAAAAAATAGTGTCCCCCATAGAAAAAGTCGGATAAGCAAAAAAGGAAGCTACACATAATAAATCATGTATTTTTTATATGCGTGAAAGGAGTAAATTAATTTAGAATATGTTTATTAAATTCAAATAAAAAAAACTAATGAAATCTTATAGTTTTTTATTAGATATGATTAATACCATAAAAATATTTGAAAAAATGTAAACTTTGTAAAAATAGATAAATTATTAAATAAAACAAAAATTTTTTAGCTTACTAAAAGGATAAAGCAATTATTCCAAAAAAATTATTATTCAAACCACTTAATTTAAAATTTTTCATAACTAAAATGATTTTCTCTTAATTACATAATTATTTTTTAATGGAGTTATCAAAGATGTTAATGAAGTTTTTTTATACCTAGATTTTTTTCAGATTAAGAATAGAAAAAATGAGACTAGTTAAATTAATTGATTAACTTCAATTTCTATTTTTTAACTTTAAATCTATTTTTAATTTTTTACCTTAATCCATGCAAGTAGAATTTTTCAAAGAATTTAATTTTTTTTATTACTCATAAATTATATATTTATAGACTAATATTAACCAAATTATATTTCATTAATCTATTCTATGTTCTATTAATGCTACTCAACATTTATAATTTTATTGACCTTATTTAAAAGCTTCGATTTTAGCTATCAAAAGAAAAATATAAATCACAAAATAAAAATCAAAACCTCAATAAAAGAAAAAATGTAAAAAAAACTACTTTTTATTACTGCAATTATTTTGCTCATTTCTTTCAGTTAATCAAAGCCTGATCGTAATTTAGGAAATCTCTTAAGATGTTTTGCTTAAATAGGCGATACAATAAAAGATGTTGCTACTCTAGTCGCCACTATTCAAGCGAAAAAGGATGCATCTGCTATACTTAAATCTATTGGAGATGTTTCTGGTTAAATAAGACCATTGATGTAGGAATGTTCAAATCCAATTTGCTTAACTGATGCTAAGAAAAGATGTGAAGAATCAACAGGAAAATCTTGCGAGTAATATGGTGCTATTATGTATCCTAAATGTGAAGAGGGTTTCTACAATGTAGGTTGCTGTTTGTGTGAATCATCATGTCCTCCTGGATTCAGAGACGATGGATTATTTTGTGCTAAGCCTGAGGCTTATGGAAGGGGCGCTGGTTACCCTTGGAAATTCGGTGATAGCTTAAACTTGAACGATGCTTCTAAGAGATGTCAAAGTGAAAATTCTTAAGGCTGTGAATAAAACGGCTTAGTAATCTACCCTAAATGTAGGTAAGGTTTTCATAATGTTGGTTGCTGTTTATGTTCTCCTGACTGTCCATCTGGAACAACTGATATTGGAGTTTCTTGCACAAAACCAGTTTATGGTAGAGGAGTTGGTTTCCCAATGTAATATGATGATTGTTAAAACTAATCATCATAAAATAGTTACGAAAAATCTTAAAATAAAGATTCTTCAGAATATCTATCACTTAATACTGAGTAGTTGAAAGATAAAATCTTAGAATAATCCTAGAAATTCATGCAAAATAAAGGTAACAAAGACTTGTCAGTTAAGTTTGCTACAGAATTATCAAAGTTGATGGCTGCATTAGAGGTCAAATCTTCTAAAAAATGATAATATTAAATATAAAAATTACATTATAAAAGTAAAATATATCTATATAAAATATGTGTTTCGTAATCCCAAATAAATTGATGAATTTCTATAATTAAAAATAAACTTTAAAGATCCAATTATTAAAAAGATAAATTTTAAAATATAATTTTGGATTATTCTAATTTTGTTCCATTAATTAAGTGTAAAAAAAAATTAAAATATTTTATAATTTTTGAGGTTAATGAAATTGTAAAAATAATATTTTCAATATAATTAAGCACATTGGATATATTGCTAATTGCAGATTTTTTTTTTTTGTAATAGAGAGATAAATAGTGATAGGTTACACCTATAACTATTTATCTTTCTAATAGAAATTAATATAATATTAAATAAATTTATATAATAGTATTTAATATATATTTATGTATTTTATATGTAGTTTATAATAATTTAAATAAATTTAAAAATATTTCTAAAATTTTTTGACATAAATACAAAAAAAAAGGGTGTCCCCCATAGATAGAGTCTAATATATAAAAGAGTTAAGCTACACATAATAAATTATTTACTTTTTATATTCATAAGAATAGTAAATTAATTTAGAATATATTTAATTAATTCAAATAAAAAAACTAATGAAATCTTATAACTTTCTAGATATGATTAATATCCAAACCATTCAACTATTTGAAAAAATATAAGCTTTATAAAAATAGATAAATTATTAAATAAAACAAAAATTTTTTAGCTTACTAAAAGGATAAAGCAATTATTCCAAAAAATTACTATTAAAGCCACTTAATTTAAAATTTTTCATAACTAAAATGATTTTCTCTTAATTACATAATTATTTTTTAATGGAGTTACCAAAGATGTTAATGAATTTTTTTTTATACCTAGACTTTTTTCAGATTAAGAATAGAAAAAATGAGACTAGTTAAATTAATTGATTAACTTCAATTTCTATTTTATAGCTTTAAACCTATTTTTAGTTTTTTACTTTAATCCATGCAGTAAGAATTTTTCAAATAATTTAATTTTTTTGATTACTCATAAATTAATATATTTATATAAATAATATTACCAAATTATATTTCATTAACCTGTTCTTTGTTCTATTAATTCTACTCAAAATTTATAATTTTATTGACCTTATTTAAAAGCTTCTGTTTTAGCTATCAAAAGAAAAACATAAATCACAAAATAAAAATCAAAACCTCAATAAAAGAAAAAATGTAAAAAAAACTACTTTTTATTACTGCAATTATTTTGCTCATTTCTTTCAGCTAATCAAAGCCTGATCGTAATTTAAGAAATATCTTAAGGTGTTTTTCTTAAATAGGTGATACAATAAAAGATATCACTACTCTAGTCGCCACTATCCAAGAGAAAAAGGACATATCTGCTGTACTTAAATCTATAGGAGATGTTTCTAGTTAAATAAGGCCATTGATGTATGAATGCTCAAATCCAATTTGCTTAATTGATGCTCAGAAAAGATGTGAAGAATCAACAGGAAAATCTTGCGAATAATATGGTGCTATTATGTATCCTAAATGTGAAGAGGGTTTCTACAATGTAGGTTGCTGTTTGTGCGAATCATCATGTCCTCCTGGATTCAGAGACGATGGATTATTTTGTGCTAAGCCTGAGGCTTATGGAAGGGGCGCTGCTCCTGACTGTCCATCTGGAACAACTGATATTGGAGTTTCTTGTACAAAACCCGTTTATGGTAGAGGAGTTGGTTATCCAATGTAATATGATGATTGTTAAACCTAATCATCATAAAATAGTTACCAATTATCATAAAATAAAGATTCTTCAGAATATCTATCACTTAATACTGAGTAGTTGAAAGATAAAATCTTAGAATACTCCTAGAAATTCATGCAAAATAAAGAAAACAAAGACTTGTCAGTTAAGTTTGCTACAGAATTATCAAAGTTGATGGCTGCATTAGAGGTCAAATCTTCTAAAAAATGATAATATTAAATATAAAAATTATATTATAAAAGTAAAATATATTTTTATAAAATAAATGTTTCATAAAAGATAAATTTTAAAATATAATTTTGGATCATTCTAATTTTGTCCTTTTTATTCAGTTTAAAAACAAAATAAAATATTTTATAATATTTGAGGTTAATGAAATTATAAAAATAATATTTTCAATAGAATTAAGCACATTGGTGCTTTATTAAAAATTGGAAAATTTGAGTAAATCTAAATTGTTTAAAAGTAGAGTAATTGAATTTTTTTTATGAATTTTTATTTTTTAACAAATTTATTTTTAATGAATAATACTTACAAATTGAAGAAAATATATATCAATCTTTAATTAGTAAAAACAAAGCAGAAAATATGAAATAATGAGAAATTAATTATTAAATAGCAAAATATACAGTTAAAAATTAAAATGTGAGTTAAATTAAGAAAGATAGGAAGTCAAATAAAAAGCTAATAAATAAATTAAAAGAGTTATATTGTTTTAAATTCATTTTTATGTTAAAATGTATCACAACCCAAAACAATTAAACTGTTTTTATCAAGTAAAAGTGTTAGAAGTAAAAAATGATGAAAAATATTAAATTATAAAAAAAGAATAATTATAATTCAAAATAAAAATTAAGTTAAAATAACTAAAAAAAATATTTAAATATAACACTTTGCTATTTAAAAAAATGGCTATTGCTGCTAAACAGCACATATCCAATAACTTTTAAAAGTAAATAAAAAATATCTTTTTTTATATGTATTTATGAATCAAATTAAATTTGTAAAATGAGGGCACAATGGATTATTTTAAGAATTAAAAAAGGAGGGCAATTATATAAAAAATAAAATTTATTTTAATGATTTTGTAAAGTAAGTTTATACTTCTAAAATTTTTTGACATAAATACAAAAAAAATAGTGTCCCCCATAGATAGAGTCGAATATGTAAAAGAGTTAAGCTACACATAATAAATTTTGTATTTTATATATGCATGAAAGGAGTAAATTAATTTAGAAAATGTTTATTTAATTCAAATAAAAAAAACTAATGAAATCTGATAATTTTTTATTAGATATGATTAATACTATAAATATATTTTAAAAAATAGATAAATCATTAAATAAAACAAACATTTTTTAGTTTATTAAAAGGATAAAGCAATTATTCCAAAAAAAATTACTATTCAAGCCACTTAATTTAAAACTTTTGATAACTAAAATGATTTTCTCTTAATTACATAAATATGTTTTAATGGATTTATCAGAGATGTTAATCTTTTTTATACCTAGAATACAATTTTTTTCAGATTAAGAATAGAAAAAATGAGACTAGTTAAATTAATTGATTAACTTCAAATTCTATTTTATAACTTTAAACCTATTTTTAGTTTTTTACTTTAATCCATGCAAGTAGAATTTTTCAAAGAATTTAACTTTTTTTATTACTCATAAATTAATATATTTATTGAATAATATTAATCAAATTATATTTCATTAATCTGTTCTATGTTCTATTAATGCTACTCAAAATTTATAATTTTATTGACTTTATTTAAAAGCTTCGCTTTTAGCTAGCAAAATAAAAAAATAAATCACAAAATAAAAATCAAAACTTCAATAAACAAAAAATGTAAAAAAAACTACTTTTTATTACTGCAATTATTTTGCTTATTTCTTTCAGCTAATCAAAGCCTGATCGTAATTTAGGAAACATCTTAAGGTGTTTTGCTTAAATAGGTGATGTAATAAAAGATGTTGCTAATCTAGTCTCCACTATCCAAGAGAAAAAGGATACATCTGCTGTACTTAAATCTATTGGAGATGTTTCTGGTTAAATAAAGCCATTGATGGAGGAATGCTCAAATCCAATTTGCTTAATTGATGCTAAGAAAAGGTGTGAAGAATCAACAGGAAAATCTTGCGAATAATATGGTGCTATTATGTATCCTAAATGTGATGAGGGTTTTTACAATGTAGGTTGCTGTTTGTGTGAATCATCATGTCCTCCTGGATTCAGAGACGATGGATTATTTTGTGCTAAGCCTGAGGCTTATGGAAGGGGTGTTGGTTACCCTTGGAAATTTGGTGATGGCTTTAACTTGAACAATGCTTATAAGAGATGTCAAAGCGAAAATTCTTAAGGCTGTGAATAAAATGGCTTAATTATCTACCCTAAATGTAATTAAGGTTTTCATAATGTTGGTTGCTGTATATGTTCTCCTGACTGTCCATCTGGAACAACTGATATTGGAGTTTCTTGCACAAAACCAGTTTATGGTAGAGGAGTTGGTTATCCAATGTAATATGATGATTGTTAAACCTAATCATTATAAAATAGTTAGCAATCATCATAGAATAGTTACGAATTATAATAAAATAAAGATTCTTCAGAATATCTATCACTTAATACTGAGTAGTTGAAAGATAAAATCTTAGAATACTCTTAGAAATTCATGCAAAATAAAGATGACAAAGACTTGTCAGTTAAGCTTGCTACAGAATTATCAAAGTTGATGGCTGCATTAGAGGTCAAATCTTCTAAAAAATGATAATATTAAATATAAAAATTACATTATAAAAGTAAAATATATCTATATAAAATATATGTTTCGTAATCCCAAAATAAATTGATGAGTTTCTATAATTAAAAATAAACTTTAAAAAATATCTGATCAAATTATTAAAAAGACAAGGCATAAGATATAATATAGTATTATTCTAATTTTTAATTAAGTGTACATACATAATTAAATATTTTATAATTTTTAGTATGTAATGTATTTTTACTGTACTTGAAATGGAAAAATATATATTTAAAAGTTAAAAACATTAAGAATATAGATAGATATACAGTATAATACTTCTTTTTTTAGTTTTGCTCGATTTTGTTTATTATTTTTCGAAAAGAATTTTTAATAAAAACCATAGAAATAAAGACATAAAATTTTTTAACTAAATAAATGAATGAAAACAATAGATTTTTAAAATAATAATTGAATAAAATAAAATAGTTAAATGATATAAATAATTAATTTTTTTATTATAATTGTGGTTTTTAAAATATAGATTTTATTGGATTTATTTTTTCATTATTATTGCTTGAAGAAACTAGATTTAGGCATTTCTGGTTATTTGTAATAAGAAAATTTACTTTCACTTTGCTTTTCAGAAGCCTAGTTTGAAAAATCTACAGAATTTAACATTTAATTATTATTCTAAACGTATGAGATCGATTATTAATCGTTTACGATTATAGAAGAAAAAGACTGATTTTGCAGATTATTTGAGACAGTATTTTACCTGTTTTATGATCTATTTTTCCTCATACCAGGAGATTGTATGATTGTATTTTTTTTAATTGATCTTTTCCTTCTTTTGATTATGACTCTTTACTTTTTTACAGTCTGCTTATTGTATTATTCTATGACATATGAATAGTTATTTTTTGGAAAAAAGCGAATAAATTCATGCATTTTATCAAAATCAGGAATGATAAAAAAATCATCACCTTGGATTTAAGATTGCATTTCAACTTAATATTCTCCATTTTTTGCTTAAGATTATGATATCAAGTTAATGATATATTTCAGCAAGTTATCATCTTATATTTTTTAAGATGATCTACTTGTATTTTGGTTTTAACAGTGTGATAAATTTGAGAGTCTTTTTGTAGTTTACTACCTAGGAAAGGTTGTTTTTTTACTCATCATTGTAGTGATAGTATCTTTAAAAATGGATGCTTTGTCATTCATAACAGTGCTGTTTGAATTAATGTTTGAGCTATTCTAAGTTACCATTTATGTTATTTGATGCAAACTTTTCTTAGGCTGTTAATTAGGAGAAGAAACAATTGAAGTCTGCGATGAAATTTTTTGCTCTTCTAAAAAATTATCACTACCTTAAATTGAGCTTCTACTTAATTTCTTTTACATATTAGTGCCAGGATTTAGATTATCATTAACTTCTTATTCATCATCGCAGCTTTCATCCTCTGTATAAAATTCTTCAAATATTTTATCAAAAGGTACTAGGACAGTTTAAAATTCCTAATCATCAATGCATTTTAAATAGAATGCATCATATTTTTTATAAAAATCAAAATCTGTTTCCATTTAAATAGTATTAGCAACAAGCTAAATCATTTAATGCTTATCAATAACTTAATTATTTATATAATTTAATCTGATAGCTTTTAAGTGTAATCTTACTTGACCATTCTCTACAACACTGCTAAATTTTAATTTCTTTTTTCTATAATGCTATTATCTTGTTTAATTTATACTTATCTTACTCCTTTCAATAAATAGTTATCTTTAGTTTTTAATAGTAAAAAAAGGGCATTTATCATAAGCATGATTAAATTACTTGCAAAAATAGCAGGCTTAGTCAACTACAGTCCTGCTCTCAGTTATTTATTCTTTTATGCAGCAAAATTTCTCCTAATAAAATAAAAAAAATATCTTTATTTCTTCTTCATTTCAAAACTTTCAAAAATTTTTAAACAATCAAAAAAATTGATAACTCTTCCTTAACTTAAAACGCTTGAAATATTTTCTTTAATTTATTTAATATTTTATGTTTATCTTTTTGCTAATAAGTTTTACATATTCTAAAGGGTCTTCTTTTAAAACTTCTATGAATTGATTCAACTCCAAGTACAAAATTTGGGAAACCGTTTTACTTTTCGCTTATAAACTTCTAGCTTCGCCACTAAAAAATTCACTTATCCCAAAGCAATTGTCATTTTCCTATAAATTTTTTAATCAATTAGATAAATAAGAGTTAAATTAGCTAATATCTATTTACATCTTTTACACAAATGTTGTGATTATTATAGCTCAACTGCACTTCTCCTTTTAAGATGTAAAATATTCTATTATCACAATCGTTTTCATTGAAAATTATTTGACCAGGTCCAAAGGTAAGCTCCTTCATTTTAAGAGATGAATTGACTAGAATTGAATTCTTGAAATTTAATTTAAAAATATTAGTTTTATTCAAAAAGGGATAGTAAGAATTCATATTAATTTATGATTGCAGATAAGGTGAAAGCTTTTAAACTATCTATTCGCCTTTTTAATGATTGTAATGGTCCATTTACTCTAAGTAATGCAAATACTGAAATACTTATGATTGAATGGCCTAATCAATATTTCTTGTCCTCATATAATGTATGATATCTACTAATTAGCTCCTTAGTTTTTAAATTAATAAAAAAGATAAGATAGTTTTTATTAAAAAAACATTTACTTATATTTTGCTTTAATTTATGCTCTTTCAGTGAAAATATTTCCTATACTACTCACAATATAGCCAAAGGCTCCACAACTGTAAACAACCATAAATATTACAAACACTTTTTCTTAAAGGGAAACAGGTGTTATGTCACCATAGCCTACTGTGACCATTGTAATAAAAGAAAAATATACACTATTAATATATCTAACATACCAATCAGAATTTTTTAAGTTATTTTTCGTAATCCAACTCTCATCTAAATTCTTTGCTACATAATTAAAGATGCAACCTTTAAATTTAATAAAATAAATTTCTTTTTCTATTAAAAATATTAAACTTTTTACTAAATTTTTAAAGTTTTTAATGATTTGCAATAATATGTAAAAAATTGTATTCAGTTTTCTTTATAATCAATATTTTCCAACTAATTTAAATGCTTTTAATTAAATTTACCTTATAAATTTGAAATAAAACTTTATCTTTTCTTTAATTAGTTTTTTTTGTTAAAATTTTATTGGGAATAAATCTAAAAATAAAATTCTGATTAAACAACAAAGTGCTTGCAAATGCACATTATTAATTTTAATATAAATTTAGTAATCTCTTGTTCAAAAATTTTAAAAGAAATACCATTCATGTGGGCGAGCATCAGAACTAGAAAAACCAGCTTTAGAATTTCAAAGCTGTGGGGTACTCTTTAAGATAAAGAGAATTTGGTGTCAACCTTTGAGAGTGAATTTTATATTTGATAAAGTCTTATCAAAAAAAATATATAAACATAAGAGTTTTAGGTAAATTAAGTTATTATAATTGAAAAAATTGTAATAATATCAATAACAAGTCCACCAGTTTTATAGTAATTGCGGAGAATTTTTTTTCTGTTACTGACTACGATATTCTCTTTGAAAAACCCTGTATTTAATTTAATAAATACTGCAACTGTGAATATAATAGCAGGGATTGTATAGAATATTATCTAGCAAACCCTTATTTCAAAAAAATCAATATCAAAGGAATCTGCAAGAGGTAGAACTAACATTTAAGTTACCAAAATAACTATCACAACTAACTCAAAGATTATAATAGCCGAATTTAAAGGATTAAAAACAGGAATAAAATTAATCAATTTAGAAAATACTTTACTGAATGCTTTAGAAATTATTTGTTAACCATCAATAGCCATAGTTAGTTACTTCTTTTTAGATTAAAAAAAGGATAAATCGTTGAATTTTTATTTTTAGTCCAAAGACATAGTTCTAAATTTAAAGGATTGTGATAGATTTTTCATGTTTTTTAAGAATCTCTAAAAATGTTTCACTCTTATTACAAATTGATTCCTCATTTTTTCCTCTTTCTTTTTAAGTTTTTAAATATTCAGTGTATTCTAATGTAAATCACCATTTTATGCACTATCTTAACTTTATTGCAAAGTTGTTTTTTTTTATAATCTTTATGACATTTCTAAATCACTTACCTCTCTTGAAACTTCATCGTCTTTAAGCTCTATTTACTTATTGCTTTTGTCTTAGATTATTTTTTGTAACGACTATTCAAATTTAAGCATTTGTTACTGTAACTACAAGTTGCTACTTCTTCTTCTATCGTTTTTCTTATCACTATTAAAAGAAGGATTATTCTTTTTAGACTTACTAAGCCTCTTTTCTGTATTATTAAAATTTTCATTTTAAACTTCAGAATTTGCACCAAAAGATATTGATAAACGGTTTTATACATCCTTGTTATCAGCATTTTGAAAAAATGACTATCTAACACTTATTTATTCATCATTAAAGTGTTCAAATTTTGAATTTTCTTCTTGTTTTCCATAAAGATTGATTTTAGGATAAATAGTAGAATTTAGAGGTTAAATACCACTAACAGCAGTTCTATCGCTGGTATAATAAAAGAGATCCTATTAAGATCTAGTTAAATATTAACTAATATCGCTTAAGTCCTATCTTTCATTCAAGCTTATCACGCTTACGTAATTTTCTTCATTATCTATCATTTTATATTCCTTTTAAATCTTAGGAGAATTTAGATTTGATGAGTGCCTTCCTTGATCAACATAGATTTATTTTAGACTTATATTATTTTTCTGATCTTGATGAGGTAATTAATGAAAATTATTAATTATGCTATTTATTTAATTGCTACTTTGTTGTTTGCTCTTTTAGTTTTTAGAATGGTTTTCTTCCATTTTAATTCAAAACTTAAAATTGAGAATAGAAATATTAACTAATGAGTATAAAGAGTAGACTTTATATGTTATTTCTCTTCTTTAATTTTAATTTGAAGCTGATTAAAGCAAAATATACCAATACTAAGCTTCAATTAAAATGAATGATATTATATAATCTTTAGCAACAAATAATTGATTAACTAACAGTTTATAAAGCTAAAGCAAATTTTGAACTTTTAGCCATTGACTAAATAAAAACGTTTTGATGATTTAAAATCTATATTTTCTTTATTATATTTTAGCTTGATTTATTTATTACTAAAAGAAATTTATTTCTTATATAGGCTAATTCATCTTTATAATATTTCATATTAGATACTAATGATACAAAGCATAAGGTATTATATTAATAGCTCAGTAAATATAAAATAATTGTATTTTAATAAAAATCATTATTATATTTATTTACAATTTCATTTATTTAATTAATTATCAAAATTATTAAATTTATTTTATAAGATTTTAATTTTAAAATATTTCTCAAAATAAGTTAAAAAATACTAAAAAACAGAGTTGGTGAAGTAAATATGCTAACTGTCAAATATAAAATTTATATTATTATAAATATAAATTTTTAGGTAACTTCAAAAAAGAAAATGAATTCAGTAAATAATTTATTTAACCAAATAGCATATCAATCTCATTTGTTAATTTGCCAATATTTTTTCCTTTTTTAAAGCAATAGATTTACTAATTTAGAAAGATTTAAATTCCTGCAAAGAAGCATGACAAATAAAGTTATTTTTAACAAAAACTGATTTTATTAAGTTATCTTTTTATTTTTATCAAAAAATTTAAATGGTGTAATTAAAACTCAAGCAAGAATAGTATTTCAAATTCTTTAAAAACCTATTTTTATCATAAATTTTTTACAGTAAATATGTTTTCCATCTTATTTTTTAGACTGTTAGTAATTTAAAAATAAATAAACATATTATAATATTTAGAAGTAATTTTCAAAAAGGATAAACAACTAGATTTTTTTGGTAAAGTACTTAAAAGTTCATTCAAATAAAATAAATTTAAAAGTTAATTTGTTTATTTTACAAAGAAATAAAAAACTTTAGAATAATGAATAAAATAAAAAAATAATTAATTTCTTTAATCATGATAATTTGTAAATAATTAGAAATTTTACTTACTTCGATAATAAATTTAATTAATTATTTTTAAAAATAGAATAAATGAAAAATATTTTGAAAATTAATAAAAATTATTTTAATTGCTTTGAATTAGTTAGCTTGGATTGGATTTAATTAGGTTCGCTCTTTATTTTTAACTTTTTTAAAAAATAAATGGCTTAGTTCATTCTAACTAATTCAAGGACAAGCCAACTAAATTTAAGTGGTGAGTAAATAAAATAAAATCCAGCTAAACTATGCGTCATGCATGGAGTAATTTTTGTATAATTGTATTGCTCAGACTTTAAACAAATAAACAGGTTTTTTATCAAATAAATTCCTTACACCTAATTAATTATAATTAAAATGATGCAAGTACTTAAAATAGGTATTTAAATGATATTGTTATATTAATTTTGTTTACATTCATGTAAATTTTAATTTAAATTAATTTAATATGTCATTTTTATTAATTTCTTTCTTTCCATTGCATCATTGCTTTTATTAGTTTTTTAATTATAAGGAAACAAATTTTAATTTGATGTAAGTAAATTTTGTTGAATAAAATTTATAAGAATGATTGAGATATTAATTAATAACATCTGATTAATGCCATACCCATTTAATTAATAATACCTTTCTATTTATTCATTAATTTTTTGATAATCTTCTGAATAACAAAACCCTTCATTTAATTAAAAGGAATATCATTCATTCATTAAACAAAAATTTAATATTGGTAAATGCAAGTTGTTCACTATTACTCGCATTTAAATATTCGCCAAAAATTAATTAGATTTTGAATATATAATAAAAAATTAAAATATAAATAAAAAACAATCACAAAAAGAATCATTTAATATGACTAATTCAGAGGATATCACATAACCTAAACTTGAAGTTTCCCACTTCTAAAAAGATTTAAAAGCTAAATATGAAGGATAAAATGCTTTGTTATTTAGCTCCTTACAGTACTACTTTGTACCTTTAATGTATATTTTGGCCTTTGTCAGTATACTTTACTTGAGAACAGGCTACTTATTCGTCTTTCTCTTTTACTCTTTCATACCTCTACTAGATGAATTTTGTAGCTACGATATTCGTAATCCTACTAAAGAAGAAGCTAAGCAACTCACCGGAAAGATTCACTTCAAAATTCCTTTATACTTGGCAGTTGTCTTCGATTGGCTTTTCACATTCTGGTGTGTTTACTTTATTGCTGCAAACAAAGACGAAATATCTCTTTTTAATTAGTTTGGTATTATTTTTGTTGCTGGAAATCTTGCTGCTTCAAACATTAATGTCGCTCACGAATTGTTCCATAAAAATGGATGGTTCGACATTTTCATGGGAACTTTTACTCTTGCAAAAAATCTTTACATGCATTTCGCTATTGAGCACATATATGGTCATCACCGCAATGTCGCTACTCACAAAGACCCTGCCACATCTCGCTTAAATTAGACTCTTTACAAGTTTATTCCTTAAACAATTATTGGCTCCTATTTCAGTGCTTGGCATTATGAAAACAACTACCAACGTCTCAAAAATCGCTCTCCAATTAACATTTTTAATAAAATGATTTACTACACCTTGAGCATGTTTTTAATTCCTTTCATTGTACAAAAAATATTTGGAACATATGGAATGTATGTCTTCTTATTTACTGTTTTTAATTCAGTTTTCTACCTTGAAACAGTAAATTATATTGAACACTATGGACTTCAAAGAAAAGAAATAGAACCAGGCATCTTTGAAAAAGTAGACATCCACCACTCATGGAATGCTCCCCACAGATTCTCCAATTATTTGCTTTTTAAATTGCAAAGACACTCAGATCATCATGAAAATGGTTACAAAGAATATTAAACTCTTTGCAGTTATGACGAAAGTCCTACTTTACCCCATGGATACACCGTATGCGTTTTACTAAGCTTTTATCCTCCTTCATGGTTTAATATTATGAATAAAGTGTTGGCTAGATACCAAAACGATAAAAAGACAATTACATACAAAGACATTCAAAACGAAGTATACAACTATATCCTTAAATTCACAGTTGTATCTTTAACCCTATTCGTTACAAGTTTATATTTTTGACTAGTTTCATTTTATATTTGTTTATCACAGTGTTTGTTGTATTACTTACTTTCCATTCAAAATATATTCAATTCTTAGTTTAATGTTTTTTAAAATGTAAAATAAATTTATTTTTATAAATAACCATAAATTATTATTTAAAACAAATAAATAAATAAATAAATAAATAAAAATGAATTTTGAAATATAGAATTCATATATTATAGCAAGATGCCATTCAAAAATTCCATCTTTTGGATATCACTAATTTTGAAATAGATATTTTAGTTATTTATTAAAAAATCTAATTTTTTATTTTATAATAGAATTTTTGTTAATTTATGATCCAATTTATTATAATTTTTCAAATAAATAATTTTTTTACATCAAAAATTTTCAATTTAGCTAAATTTTCTGAAGAGGAGTAGCTAGCAAAAATATAGGATTTTGGGGCAATTAATTTCTGTAGTGATTAAAAATTACTAAATTTTCCCTAAGAAATATCTTAAATATTTATTAAATATATTTTTATATCTTTTAATATTCCCCTCCCTCTGCACTGGACTAAAATGGAAAAATCCACTAAATAAATAAATATAAATTATATTATTATTACTTAAGTATTAGAATTACTGGATTTTTTTTAACATGTAACTAACCACTGTTAGTTCATACTATATTTTTAATTATATATATTAAATAGAAATATTAAGATTAAATAATGTATGTTATACCTACTTTTTTTGGTATCTCTTCCTAAAAGTAAATTTATAAATTGATATTTTATTATAACTTATTTATTCTTTTTATTCATGTTAATTTGAAATAAAAAATAAAAATTAAATAAACTTCCAAAAATCATTGTTCAATATTTTTGAAAAATAAAAAATGATATAATAGAAATAATATTACAAAAATCTAGAAGAAGTAATTATTAATTTTTTATGAATAATCTTAAAATTTATTCTTATTAATAAAAAAAGTTTTTAAACTCTTCACTTTAATTTCATTAAGTTCTCGATATTTCTCTGAGGTATATTTAATTTATTATTATTATTGCTTTATTAAATTCATTTCTTATTATTTAATATTTTTTCATTACAAACTAACCTGCTAATTAATTTTATATTTTTTCTTAAATATTTAAAAAGTAACAATTAAATTGGTGATGAAAGTGCATTAGGATTAGGTTCTGCTTTAGCAAATTGCATTAATCTCTCAAACTTGACATTTAATCTTAGGTAAAAGCCGTTTATTTTTTTTGGATTGTGATATTTATTAAATATAAAAATGAATTTTTAACACAATAACTTTTTTAATTAATTTATTAGCATTTTATTTTAATTATGTTTTTTCTTCTTCACTGCTTGTTCATTTAACACATTTTGATTTTCAATTTTTGCCTTTATTATTAATTATTTAATTTATTTCTTATTTTTTCTTCTATAATTAAAAAGTGATAATTAAATTGGTGCTGTTGGTGTATCAGGCTTAGTATCTGCTTTAGCAAGTTGCACTAATCTCTAAAATTTAACTCTTAATCTTAGGTAAAAAGAGTTTATTTGTTTTAGGTTGTGATATTCTTTAATATAATACAGAATAAATCTTACTATTTGTTTATTAGCTATTTATTTTATTTATTTTTTTACTTAGCTTTTTTTTAATTTAATTGTGTTTTTTTTCTTTCTATTTTTAATTTAAATCACTTTTTTATTTTGAATTTTCCTATTATTTATGATTAATTTATTTATTTTTTATTACTTCCTTCGTTTTTTCCTTCTAATTAATTAACTAATTATATATTCTTTCTTCAATAATTAAAAAGTAAAAATTAAATTGAGGATGAAGGCGTATCAGGCTTAAGCTCTGCTTTAGTAAATTGCACTAATCTATCAAATTTGAAACTTATTCTTAAGTAAAAAAAGTTTATTTGTTTTTTATTATGATATTTTTTAATACAAAAATGAATTTAAAACAAAAAGCTCTTTAATTTATTTATTTATTAGCTTTTTATTTGATTAATTTTTTTTTTGAATTTTATTTATTTATCATGCTTGTGTTTTTTTGTATATTTGTTAATGTAGATTATTTTTTTATTTTTAGCTTTTGCTTTTTTGTTAATTAATTCATTTCTTATTATTTTATATTTTTTCTTAATACCAACTAGCTTTAATTATATTAACTTATTAATAAATTTTATATTTTTTCTTCAATATTTAAAAAGTTATAATAAAATTGGTGTGATCGGTACATAAAGCTTAGGTGCAGCTTTAGCAAATTGCAATCTTTCAATATTGAGAATTGATCTTGAGTAAAAACAATTTTTTTATGATATTTTTTAATATAAAAATGGATTTAAAACAATTTTCTCTTTTAATTTATTTATTAGATCTAATTTGATTTATTTATCATTTATTTTTTTATTTTGCTTTTGTTTTTCTTTCTTTCTCTCTTTATTAATTTAACTCATTTTATCATTTTTGACTTTTGCTTTTATTATTAAATAAAATGATTTCTTATTATTTCATATTTACTCTTCATTTTTATTCTAATCAACTAACAAATGTTTTCTTCAATATTTAAAAAGTTACAATTAAATTGGTGATAAAGGTTTATCACATTTAGTATCTGCTTTTGCAAATTGCACTAATCTATCAAATTTGACACTTAATCTTAGGTATAAACAGTTTATTTGTTATTAATTATAATATTTATCGACACAAAAATGAATTTATAACAATATAATTTTTTAATTTATTCATATTTTAGATTTTTATTTGATTAATTTTTATATTTTGTATTTTGCTTGTTTTTTTTCATTGTTTGTTAATTTAACTCATTTTTTCTTTTAAATTTTATTATTAATTATTTCTTTTTTACAAGATCTATCCAATTTTTTCTATCTAATTAACTTATTAATCATATATTTTTCTTCAATATTTAAATAGCCGCAATTACATTAGTACAATTAGTGCATCATGTTTCGGTTCTGCTTTAGTAAATTGCACTAATCTCTCAAATTTGACACTTAATCTTAAGTAAAAATAGTTTATTTGTCTTGGATTGTTATATTTTATATATAAAAGGGGATCTAATGCATATAACTAACTCTTTTAATTTATTTATTATTTTCTTTTTTTATTATGCATGTTTGTGTTTATATCTTTTTTTATTTAACTAATTTATTTATTTTCAACTACTTCTTTTGCTATTGATTGATTTATTTCTTATTTTTTGTTTGTTTTACTTTTTACAAACTGACTAATTAATTTTATCTTTCTTTAAAAAGTGATAATTAAATTGGTGCAATTGATGCATTAGGCTTAGGTTCATCTTTAACAAATTGCACTATTCTCTCAAATTTGACACTTAAACTATTGTAAAAAAAGTTTATTTATTTTTGGTTGTTATATTTTTGAATAAACTAAAACTATTAATTTATTTATTTTTCTTATTTTATTAAATTAGAGTTTTTTTTCTATTTTTGTTAATTTAACTCATTTTTTTTATTTTCAACTTTTGCTTTTATTACTTATTTATTAATTAATTTCATACTTTTTCTTCATTTTTTTGTTCAAATAAACTTGCTAATTAAATATTCTTTCTTCAATATTTAAAAAGTTTCAATTAAATTTGTGATGATGGTGCATCAGGATTAGGTTATGCTTTAGCAAATTGTACTAATCTCTCAAATTTGATAATTGATCTTCGGTAAAAACAAATATTTTATTTGTTTTGGATTGTTATAATTTTAATATAAAAATGGATTTTAAAAAATGCAGCTCTTTTCCTTTTATTATTAGTTTTTATTTGATTTGTTTTTCTTTTTAATATATTTATTCTTTTTTTCTATCTTTGTCATTTAACTAATTTTTGTATTTTCTACTTCTACCTTTGCTATTAATTTATTTATCTCTTATTATTTCAGATTATCCCTTCATATTTTCCTTTTAACTAAATAATTAACTCACTTATTAATTTGATATTTTATCTTCAATATTTAAAAAAAAAGTGAAAATTAAATTGGTGATAAAGGTGTTTTAAGCTTAGGTTCTCATTTAGCAAATTGCACTAACCTCACAAATTTGAATCTTAATCTTAAGTAAAAACAGTATATTTGTTTTAGATAGTGAAATTTTTTAATAAAAAAAGGATTTTAAAAAAATATACTCAATAAATAAAAAAAAATAATTTTTCTTAAACATAAAATTTTTTATTTTTATTTTGGCGTTTTTTTTTTTTGCTAATTTAAGTCATTATTTTATTTTTAACTTTTAATTTTATTATTAACTAATTTATTTCTTACTATTTAAATTTTTTTTTTCATTTTTTCATTTAAACTAATTTATTAGTTAATTAACTTTATATTTTTTCTTCAATATTTAAAAAGTAGCAATTAAATTGGTGATGAAGGTGTGTTAGGTCTAGGTATTTTTTTATCAAATTGCACTAAATTATCAAATTTGACACTTAAATTTCTGTAAAAACAGTTTATTTGTTTTTAGTTATGAATTTTTTAATTTTAAAGTTAATTTAAAACTAAACAATTTTTTTAATTTATTTATCACAATTTTACGAGATAGATTTTTTTTTCTTTTATTTTAATTTTATTTTCTTTCTATCTTTGTTAATTTAACTAATTTTTTTATTTTAAACTTTTATTATTATTAATTAATTAATCTCTTATTATTTCATATAGTTTTTGATTATTCTTTATAACTAACTAACTAATAATTTTTTTTTTTTCAACAATATTTAAAAAGTTGGAATTAAATTGATGCGATAGGAGCATTAGGCTTAGGTTCGGCTTTAGCAAATTGCACTAATCTCTCAAATTTAACACTTTTTCTTTAGTAAAAACAGTTTATTTGTTTTGGATTGTGATATTTTTTAATATAAAAATGAATTTAAAACAAAAAACTTTTTTATTTAATTATTTATTTAATTAAATTTAAAACAAACTTGATATTTTTATTCTTCTTTTTTACTGCTTTGTTTTTTATTAATTTAATTTAAAATATAATTTTTAATTTCAAAATTTTATTCTTTTAATTTTTTTTGTAATTTAAACTAATTTTTTATTAAAGTTAAAAGTAAATCAATAAATCATAACAGTTGAAAGTAGAAAGTAAGTGCCTTAAATCAAAAAGATTAGTTACCTTTAAAATAAATTTCTCATTATGATAAAAAAGTGTGAAAAAACATGAATAAATAGAAAAATAAATATTTGAACAAAATATTATAATATGTTTTATTTTATAATATTTTGTAAGTAATATGAATTTGACCTAAAAAATTGATAGATTTATTTTTATTTTTATATTTATAAATAAAATATTATATAAAGTTAAAAAATAGTTTATTATAAATAAAAGAGAATTTAAAAATTAAATAAAAACTTCTAAAATCAGATTTTTTTTCACTAAAAACAATCAAAGCTTTAATAATATTAGTGTCTTATTATATCTTATTAAATTATATAAGCGTGAGCAAACTTCTTGTCATCATTTTACAAGAAGGTAATGTAGCAACTTCTAACGTCTCTGTAGAAATCTTCCTTCTAAAAGTAGAGCATGATATTGCCAACATTCTCAGACTGATACTCAAATTGATTGTTAAAGATATTCTCCTTTCCCAATAAGAATTTTTATTGGAATTGTTCGAATTTTCTTCTTAAGCTTCAGACTCATATGATGAATTTTATAAAAATAATTCATATTATATTAAAATATTATAAATAAATAATTGTTAAATTAACTATACCGTTAATCCTCAATAAGGTTTGCGACCGACAAGTTCATAAGGAGAGCCAAAAAATTCACTTATAATTAAAAACATTTTCAATAAATGATTACAAATTTTTTATTGATCAAAAATGCAAAGGCGCCATATTTAAAATAACAAATTTTTAAAAATTTTATATTATTAGTATTAATTATTATTTTCTCTTTTAACATTTTAATAAAAATAATTAAATAAAATTAAATTATACTAAAAATATAATTTTATTTACTAATTTTTAATTTTAGTATGATTAGTAAAGTAATAAAAAGTAAGCATAGTTTTTAACTCATGATGAATTAAAATAAAAATAATAAAACCATATTTTTTGATGAATATTTCTATTAAAAGTATGTATAATCAGTCGTAAAAAGAAGAATAAAAATATTGAATTTTTTATAAATTATATGAAAATTAGATTTAAAGATGATTAAATCTTTATCCAAAGTAATCCTATTATTTTTAAAATAAAATAGGTATCGTTGAATTAATTTAATGATAATTTAGAAGACTTTTGATTTTAGATAATAGAAAAATAAATTACTTTTTTAAAAATAGCACCTATTCTAATCTATTAATTGGATAAAATCAGAAACGAATAATCAAATATTAAAAGTATAATTGGTGGGGTTTTATAAAATTCTATATTCCTTTATTTAAATTATTTTCTGGAAAAAAGCAATCAGTTTAAAAATTGAACTTAGATAGAGATAAAAATCAAATAAAAATTATATGAAAATTTCATATAAAGACGATTATATTTTTATCCAAAATAATCCTATTATGTTTATAAAAATATAAATATCTTTGAATTTATTTGACCTTAATTATGAATACTTTTGATTTTAGGAAAGAGGTAAACTAATACAACTATTATAATCTATTGCATGGCTTTGATTATCTTTGATTATTTTTAATTAATAAAAACAAAAACAAACAATTAATATTAAAAGCTAATCGAAGAGGGTTTAAAAAAATTAATATTTTCTTTTAATTAAATATCTAATTTTTTATGGACCAAAAGCAAGCAGATTATAATTTGAATTTAGCTTGAAATAAATCAAATAAACAACTTAGATTTTTAAATTTTCACCATACAATTATTTATTGATTAAATTGCTTTATCAGTTATTAAGAAAACATTAGTCTTATAGCATTTTTAATATCAATGAATCTATTCTTTTTTTACAAACTAAAAATTTTTAAAAAAAGATTAATAAATAATAGTAGGTTTGGAGTAATTAATGTGCTAAAAAACATAGATTAAAACTCTTTGCTAAAATATTTCTACAACTTAAATTAATAATTAATTAAATAAAAGTGAAATATTTAAAGGTTTGAATATAAAATATTTTTGGTTACTTACTTTCAAAAAAAATATGCGTAATTTAATAAATCAAAAAATAAAGATCAAATATAATAAAATAATTGAACTTTATTGTTTAATAATGCTATCTTACCTGATCTATCAACAGAAGATTATAAAAGAAATAAATATATTTTTTATTTGATTATAATCTTTGACTTGTTTTTCTGTTCAAATCAAACCACAAATACAATACTGCTTAAAATTTATTTGAGTAATAAATTATTAAATAATATATATAGCTGTTCATGCATTTCAAGCAATTATTATATTAATTATGAATATTTTTTTTCTAAATCTTATTAGCTCAAACAATTTAATTAAAACTTGGGTGTCAAATTTTTAGAAGTTTTCTAAAATAAATTATAATAATTAATTAAAAAATAAAATTAATAAAAATATAAATTGAGTATTAGGAATATTGTTAATATATTTGGCAAAACCTTAAGTAATTTTTCTAGATAAATACGACAAAAAGAATCCATCACAAAAATGAACATAAGCATTTTTTTTGATTCGACATTTAAAGACAATCTTAAAAAAATTAAAAAAAAAATTATTTTACTTACATTATCAGAAATAAGTTAAAAATAAGGATAAAGACCTCAGGAAATAGATATTTCAAGCTTCAAAAGTAGTAATGAGTATAAGTATATCAAAGAACGTTCAGAATTCATATAGTAATAATTAGAATAACACAGCGATTAGAAAAATACAGAGGAATGGAACTTATTTTCTTTCTATTACTTTATCACTACTTATTTTCTAGACAAAGAGAATTACAAAAAAAATTATGAATCTTGCAGACCAACTGATGATAAGTTAAAATTTTGTATATAATATATCACGGAAACATTATCAAATGATGAAATAGATAGTCTAATTAATAAAAAAGTATAGGATATATAGAAAATAATTAAAGAAGAAATTTAAATAGATTATGAAGAAAGTTATCAATCGCAGCCTTTTACTTTCTCTCTTTTTACAATTAAAGAACGTGAATACAATTTCGAAAAGTTTTAATTAGAAAGAATTAAATTGGATTAATAATAATTAAAAGATGAAAAGGATTTCTTAAATGACTGGGTTGAATGCTATGAAATCTGGGGAAACATGATTTTGATAGACCAATACAGAAATAACAGAGTTTTGCTTTTTTTATAATCTTTAGACAACTTCTCAGTGCAAGAGTCAAAAACTAATTTAATAAGAAAATATGAAATTTCTGAATTCAAATTTTTTGATAAATTTGATTCATTCTATGTTCTATTTTATTCAGAGTATATTAGCACCCTAAAATAAGAAGATGAAGATGAAATATATTTTTATTTTCTTTTTTTTTGTATCTTGAACTTGCTTAAATTTAACTACCTGTTTATGAACAGAGAACAAAATCTAGTCAAGCTGATAGAAAAAATCAAAAGTTTTAAAAGTATTAAATTTATATAAGGATACCAGTTCCTTCTTAGATTAATGATAGATTTTCAAGAGAAGTTAACACTTTCTGAATCGAATGATGACTATATTTCCTAAGAATTTGAAAAAAAATATTAAAATGAGATTTTTAAGAAAAGCTTAGTTTAGTTATTTAAAGATTGGACTAATGAAAAGTATGAAGTTTCAGAAAAATATATCAACAAATAATAGCTTCAGTTGTATATTGATTCAGCAAAAAGCGTTTTGATTCTGGCAATTTTACCAGATTTAGTTAGGTTTTATGATATTAATGAGAAAATACCCTATCAACCTACAAACCTATATATAGGATATGCTTAGCAAATTATAAGAGGAAAAAGACTCTATCTTAAAAATCCTTAAGAAAAAAAAAAAAATCTTGCTTATTGGATAGAGCTAATATAGAATATAGAAAATACTAGAGATTAATAATCCAAGATAAAGAATAAACCTGCTTCAAAGATTTTTTGTCTAGAAATCTGCAAAATTAACTTATTAACTTTATAATTACTCTATAAAAGTGAAAGCTGTGAAAGATAAAATGTAGTAAATTCAAGTGAAGCAGAATTACTTAGGAAATAAATTTAAGAATTAATATAATAGATAGGAAGCTATTTTTATTAAAGCCTTTATAGATAAAGATAATTTTACTAAACTCTTTGTTATTTACTAATAAAGGAAAATAGTATCATGAATTACTTGATTAATCAAATTATAAAAAATAAAACTTCTATTGAATCCTATTTTCATTCTCACTTATTTATGAACTTGATTCTCTCTTTCAAATAAGATTTCGATATCAGAAATATTGTTAACATGAGAGTAATTACACATTATTCTTTACAATCGACAGATAAGGTGTTTGATAATTTAATTACATAATTCCATGAAGTCCATAAATAATTTATCATACAGACCATAAAAACAGATATAAATGAGCTACTAGATACGAAATAAAAATTCGAAAATATAATCAAATACTATGGTTTTCTTAATAGAAAAAAGTACGAAGTTTTGAAATTAAATTTAAAAATGTACATTAAATTTGTAGAATTAATGATCGAGTTGAAATCACCATCCTAATATTCAACATATTCATATGAAGAGCTAGAAGAAATAAGTCGTTCTTAGTTTATTGTTAAAAAAGTAAAACTTGTAGAAAATAAAGAAAGTATAGTAGCTTTGAAATAATCAAAAGATGATGGAAATGATTATTTAAAGTAATAAATGAGAGAAATTAGTATTCTTTCCAATTTACCTAAAAACAATCTCTTAATTAAATATGTAGGTCATTAAAAAAATGAAAAATAATTTTAGATATTCTTAGAATATTTTGAGGGTATAACTCTAGAAAAATTCTTATAAGAATTATATAAATAATAATAAGATTAAAACCATAAAGATTTGAAATTGCAAAAACTTTAAATTTCTAAATAAATTCTTTAAGCTATTGAATATTTGCATGAGTACAATATTGTGCACGGGGATATCAAATTTACAAATATTTTAATTAACTCAAAGGGAGAAATTAAGATAATTGATTTTAGTGAATCTAGTTTTATGGTAGAAGAAACACTAGGCTATACTAGAGGTTATGATGCTAAAGATAATGTTAATACTAGATATGTTGATTATTATAGCTTAGGAATATTGTTGATTAGAATTTTTTACTAAGGTGATTTCGAAATTGTATGTAATTGTTAAGAAGAAGGAAAAATATGTGGTATGGAAAATCATGAATAATTTATAAATTAGGCAACTTCTAAAATTGATGAAAAAAAAAAAAATTAATATTCTTAAATTTTTTTTTATTAAATTAAAAGTTTACTGAATGATTAACCTTACTTAAGATGTACTCTTAAAGAACTAATTTATATAATTGATTTAGAAATTGATATAATTAATAATAATTTTACAGAAACTTAGCGTTAAGAATGTAAATAGAAATATATTTAAAAATATGGTTAAATAATTGATTATAATGAAAATACTTAAAATACAGATATAATATAGGATTGTTTATTTAGAGTTGAAAATATAATCTGTCATCTGACTTATGATCATCCTCCAGTCACTAACTCAATTAGCGAAAACCAAAATTAAAATAGCAGCAAAAATAACGAAGAAAATAAACAATAAGAAAATGAAGAATCTAATTAAAATAATAATTCTTAAGAAAAATAGTAAAATATCAGTCAAATATAAAATGATTTTGTTGATGATTAAACTATCCGTAAATAAAATCAAAATAATCAAAACAATTTAAATGAAAATTGCAAAGATAAACTAAATTAAGATTAAAAAAATAACTTATCATTTTCAAATAATTTTTAAAAAATAAAATCTCTTCAAAACTTCTAAAAAAATTAAATTTAAAATATTCCAGATTAAGAAAACCAAACTATGATTTTAGAAAGCTATTTTATTGACAAAATAGATAAAATGGAAAATGAGATGGTTTTAATTGGTTATTTAAGAAAGTTAGATTTAAACTTTCGTAATCTAAATATAGATTTTACTAAACTTAAATTAAAGTCTAGAGAATAGGTAAAATATATTTTATAAAAATTGATTGAAACTTTAACAATTTAAAAAGTTTTGTCTTTAATATCAGATAATTAAATTTAAGAGTTGCTTAAGATATTATTTTTTAGCATAATATTTTAAAATAAAGAAATTTAAAAAAATTAAAAAAGATAGATAAATAATTTCTTTTTATAATTTAAAGAATGAAAATTTTTAATATACCATTAATATTTCTTTATCAATTAAATATAAATATACTAGCTGACTGCTAGATTGTTATTTTTTATGAAAAAAATATATATGAAGTGTACTAAATAAAAAATATGTTTGAATTTTACATTCATTTTTTTTATTTGTTTTTTAACTTTTATATACCTACCATACATAATTTCTCATTAATTAAGGCCACTCACCCCCCAAAGTTTTTTGAAAAAAATGGTCTTAATTTCAATTAATTAATATAAATTTTTATTGATAAAAAATGTTATGTTTAAAATAGTAAGTAAATTTTTTAAAATATAAAAATATAATTTTTATTTATTAGTATTAATAATAATTTTCTTTTTAACATTTTAATTAAAATTAAATTAAATTAAACTAAAAATATAATTTTATTTATTAATTAATTAACTTATAATTTTAGTATGATTGATTAGTAAAATGATAAGAAAGAAGAATAATTTATTTTTATTAATAATAAATGAAAATAAAAATAATTTTGATGGATGCATTTCTTTTTGTATTAATTGCATATATTATCATGAAATGAAGAATACAAATATTTTATTTTTTATAAATTAGATGAAAATTTGATTTAAAGATGATTAAACCTTTATCAAAAGTGATTAATCCTATTATGTTTAAAATAAAATCAATATTGTTGAAGTAATTTAATTTTTATTTTGAAGACTTTTGATTTTAGATAATAGACAAATAAATTGCTTTGTTAAAAATAGCACCTTTTTTAATCTATTAATTGGATAAAATCAAATAGAAACAATCAAATATTAAAAGCATAATTTGAGGGGGTTAAAAAAATTATATTTTCCTTTATTTAAATCATTTTCTAGAAAAAAAGCAATCAAATTATAAATTGAATTTAGATAAAGATAGAAATCAAACACAAATAACATGAAAATTGCATACAAAGGTGATTATATTTTTAGCCAAAGTAATCCTATTATGCTAAAAATACTTTAAATATCTTTGCTATTAATTTTAATTATGAAAAATTTTGATTTTAGATAAGAGGCAATGAAAAGATAACAACTACTCTAATCTATTATTTGTTTGTTTTTATTATTATTGATTATTTTTAATTAATAAAATTAGAAACAAACAATCAAATATTAAAGTTAATTGAAGAGCGTCTTCACAATTCTTTATTTTTTTCTTTTAATTAATATTTTAATTGTTATATGGAGAAAAAGCAAGCATAAATTTGAGAGGGTTTATTATCTTTCTTTCTTTCTTTAATTAATTATCTAATTGTTTTATGGAGAAAAACAATCTAATTATAAATTGAATTTATATAGAGATAAAAATCAAATATAAATTATATGAAAATTTTAAATAGCTCAAAAGGTAGGTATTTACAATTAAATCATTTAGAAAGTGCTTAAGTCATATTTTTTTTTTCATTTATTCCTTTTAATTGCTGGTTATATTTTTAGTAAAAGTAGTCTAATTTATAACAATAAAAATATATTTGAAGTTATTTAATATTAATTTTGAATACTTTTGATTTTAAATAAATGACAAATAAATTACTTTGTTAAAGATAACATCATCTTTATCTATTACTTGACTTTGTTTATTATTGATTATGATTAATTAATAGAATTAGAAACAAAAAATCAAATATTAAAAGGATATTAGAGAGGGTTTATAAAATTCTATATTTTTTTCTTTTAATTAATTATCTAATTGTTTTATAGACAAAAAGCAAGAAGATAATCAATTGAATTTAGCTTGATATAAATCAAATAAACTACTTAGATTTTTAAATTTTCACCATACAATTATTTATACTAATTTGAAAATTTGTATAATAGCTTGATTCAATTGCTTCATCAGTTTTTAAACAAACAAACAAACAAACAAACATTAATCTTAGAGAGTTTTATAATCAATGAATCTATTTTTTTTACTAAAAAATATTTAAATAAATAAAGATTCGTAATGATAGTAGGTTTACAGTAATTATTGTACTTATAAATATAGATTAAAACTGTTTGCTAAAATATTTCTACAACTTAAACTAATAATTAATTAAATAAAAGTAAAATATTTTTGGTTTCTTAAAAAAAAAATTTGCGAAATTTAATAAATCAAAAAACAAAGATCAATTATGATAAAATAATTGAATTTTATTATATAATAATGTTATCTTACCTGATCTATCAACAGAAGATTATAAAAGAAATCAATCTATTTTTTATTTGATTATAATATTTGACTTGATTTTTCTGCTCAAATCAAGCCACAAATATTAGTTGAAAAATTAATTATAAGTAACAACTATCCATTATAAATGACTGAAAAATTCAAATTGCTTTTGATATTAATTTATTTTCTTTTCTGTATTTTAAATGAGCTTTAGAATAAATAAAAAAAATGCATTTATCTTTTTAATTTTTTGTCTTCATTTTAAGTTTAGTGATATTTTAGTGTTAATAAATAATCATTTAAAAAAAAGAAAAAATATTAAGTATTGTATTTATTTTTGCGTTTTAAAGATATTATTTTTAATAAAATGTAGAAATTTTCAATTTTTTTAGGGTTTTATTCTTTTATGGTTATTGAAAAAATATATTTTATCTATTTTTTGTAATAAAAAACAAAGATAAATTTATTTTGTGTGCAATTTTACTAAGAAACTAACACATTGTTTGGGATAAATACGTTTTTGGTTTTTATAGATAAGGTTGGCTCAAGCAATTTAATTAAAATTTGGGTGTAAAATATTTAGAAGTTTTATAAGATAAATTATAATAATTAATTAAAAAATATAATTAATAAAAATAGAAAATGAGTTTTTGGGATATTATTGGTTAACCCTTAAATAAATTGGCTAAATAAATATAATAAAATAAATCCATCTTAAAAATGGATATAAGCATTTTTTTTGATTCAAAATTCAAAGAAAATCTTAAAAAAATTAAAAAAAAAATTATTTTACTTACATTATCTGAAATAAGTTAAAAATAAGAATAAAGACCTAAGGAAATAGATATTTCAAGCTTCAAAGGTAGTAATGAGTATAAGTATATCGAAGAACGTTCAAAATTCATATAGTAATAATTAGAATCACATAGCGATTAGAAAAACACAAAGGAATGGAACTTATTTTCTTTCTATTACTTTATCATAACTTATTTTCTAGACAAAGCGAATTACAATTATGAATCATACGGACCAACTGATAATAAATTAAAATCTTGTATATAATATATCATGGAAACATTAACGAATGACAAAGTAGATAGTCTAATTAACAATAAAGTAGAATATATAAATGAAACAACTAAAGAAAAAACTTAAATAGATTATGAAGACAGTTATGAATCGTAAACTTTTACTCCCTGTTTTTTAACGCTTAAAGAACATGAATACAACTTCGAAAAGTTTCAATTAGAAAGAATTAAATTGGATTAATAAGAATTATAAGATGAAGAGGATTTCTTAAATGACTGGGTTGAATGCTACGAAATCTGGGGAAACATGATTTTGATAAACCAATACAGAAATAACAGAGTGTTGCTTTACTTATAATTTTTAGACAGCTAATCAGCACAAGAGTCAAAAGTTAACTTAATAAGAAAATATGAAATTTCTGAATTCAAATTTTTTGATAAATTTGATTCATTCTATGTTGTAATTTATTCAGAGTATATTGGCAACCTAAAATAAGAAGATGAAGATGAAATATATTTTTATTTTCTTTTTGCTTGTATCTTGAACTTGCTTAAACTTGATTACCTATAAATGAACAAGGAGCAAAAGCTAGTCAACCTGATAGAAAAAATCAAAAGTTTTAAAAGTATTAAATTTATATTAGGATACCAGTTTCTACTTAGATTAATGATAGATTTTCAAGAGAAGTTAATACTTTCTGAATCAAATGATGACTATATTTCCTAAGAATTTGAAAAAAAATATTAAAACGAGCTTTGTAAGAAAAGCTTAGTTTAGTTATTTAAAGAATGGACTAATGAAAAGTATGAAGTTTCAGAAAAATATATCAACAAATAATAACTTCAGTTGTATATCGATTCAGCAAAAAGCGCTTTAATTCTGGCAATTTTACCAGATTTAGTAAGGTTTTATGATATTAATGAGAAAATACCTTATCAACCTACTAATATAGATATAGGATATGTTTAGCAAATTATAAGAGGAAAAAGACTCTATCTTAAAAATCCTGAAGAAAAAGAAAAAAATATTGCTTATTGGAAAGGGTTAATAGAGAATATAGAAAATAATAGAATAAAAATAAATGAGAAAAAGGATAGCTATAAAGGGAACTAGAAATCTGGTGATGAAAATCCTCTTCCATAATATTTTTGTCTTGAAATCTGCAAAATTAACTTATTAACTTTATAATTACTCTATAAAAGTGAAAGCTGTAAAAGCTAAATTGTAGTAAATTCAAATGAAGCAAAATTACTTAGGGAATAAATTTAATAAATAATAAAATAAATAGGTAGCTTTTTGTATTAAAGCCTTTATAGATAAAGATAATTTTACAAAACTCTTTGTTCCTTATTAATAGAGGAAAATAGTATCATGAATTACTTGATTAATCAAATTATAAAAAATAAAGCTTTTGTTGAATCCTATTATCATTCTCAATAATTTAAAAACTTGATTCTTTCCTTCAAATAAGATTTCGATATCAAAAATATTATTAACTTGAGAGTAAAGTCAAATTTTTCTTTACAATCTATGGATAAAACCTTTGGAACTTTAAATACATAACTCTTTGAAATCCATAGATAATTTATCAAACAGACCATAGAAACAGATATAAATGAGCTACTAGATACGAAATAAAAATTCGAAAATATAATCAAATACTATGGTTTTCTTAACAGAAAAAAGTACGAAGTTTTGAAATTAAATATAAAAATGTATATTAAATTTGTAGAATTAGTGATTGAGTAGAAACTATCATCATAATATTCTACATATTCATATGAAGAGCTAGAAGAAATAAGTCGTTCTTAGTTTATTGTTAAAAAAGTAAAACTTAAAGAGAATAAAGATAGTATAGTAGCTTTGAAATAATCATAAGATGATGGAAAAGATTGTTTAAAGTAATAAATGAGAGAAATTAGTATCCTATCCAATCTACCTAAAAACAACCTCATAATTCAATATGTAGGTCATCAAAAAAATAACAAATAATTTGAGATATTTTTAGAATATTTTAATGGCTAAACTCTATAATCTTTCATAAATGAATTAAATAAAAAATACTAAGATTAAAATCATAAAGATTTGAAATTGCAAAAACTATAAATTTCTAAATAAATTCTTTAAGCTATTGAATATTTGCATGAGTACAATATTGTGCACGGGGATATCAAATTTACAAATATTTTAATTAACTCAAAGGGAGAAATTAAGATAATTGATTTTAGTGAATCAAGTTTTATGATAGAAGAAACACTAGGTTATACTAGAGGTTATGATGCTAAAGATAATGTTAAAACTAGATATGTTGATTATTATAGCTTAGGAATATTGTTGATTAGAATTTTTTACAAAAGTGATTTCGAAATTGTATGTAATTGTTAAGAAGAAGGAAAAATATGTAATATGGAAAATCATGAAGGTTTTATACATGAGAAAACTTGTAATATTGATGAATAAAGAATAAATCAATATTCTTAAAATTTTTTTGATTAAATTAAAAGTTTACTGAATGATTAACCTTACTTAAGATGTACTCTTAAAGAACTAATTTATATCATTGATTTAGAAATTGAGATAATTAATAATAATTTTACAGAAACTTAGCTATAAGAATGTAAATAGAAATATATTTAAAAATATGGTTAAATAATTAATTATAATGATTATACTACAAATAGAAATATTATAAAAGATAGTTTATATTAAATCTTAGAAATTGAATCTGGAAATGAAAGTGAGAAAAGTACAGAAAATAATAATAATTAAAATGAATTTGAAAACGGAAATTAAAGTGAGAAAAGTACACAAAAATAAGAAGAAGAATTTAATTAAAGCAATATTAATGAAGAAAATAAATCATAAGAAAAAGAAGGATTTAATAAAAAGTAATTAATTTATGAAAATAATAATAATTATTAATAAAATATATAAAATTTCAGTCAAATTTAAAATGAATTTTTATAAGATAAAACAATTAAAAAAGGAAAATAAAATCAAAATAATTTAAAAAATTTAAATTAAAATAGCAGCAAAGATAAACTAAATTTAGAAAAAAATACTGATGATACAAATTTATCATTTACAGATAATATTAACAAAATAATATCTCCTCAAAACTCAAATCCAAAATTTGAAATTGATAAAGAGTCTTTCTAAAAAAATTAAACTTAAAATATTCCAGATTAAGAAAACCAAATTAGGATTTTAGAAAGCTATTTTATTGACAAAATAGATAAAAATGAAAATGAGATGGTTTTAATTGGTGTTTTTAGAAAATTAGATATAAACTTTCGTAATCTAAGAATAGATTTTAGTAAATTTAAACTAAGATCTAGAGAATAAGTCAAATATATTTTAGAAAAATTGGTTGAAACTTTAACAATTGAAAAAGTTTTGTCTTTAATATCAGATAATTATATTAAAGAGTTGATTTTTTAAATATTTTTTGATAAAATATTTAAAAAAAGAGAAATAGAAAAAGATTAAAAAGATAAGATGTTAAACTACTTTTTAAAATTTAAAGAATGAAAAATTTTAAGATACCATTAATATATATGAATTATAATTAGACTGACTGGCTGACTGGCTGCTAGAATGTTATTTTTTATTATTGTTGTTGTGTAATAAATAAAAAAATGTGTTTGAAATTTACTTTCCTTTTTATTTGCTTGTTTTTTAGCTTTTTTACATAAATTTTAAATTAAATTTTTGCTTAAATATGTTTGTAAAAAATTTATTAAAATTATAAAATTACATATTTTACTGTATGTATGTATATATGTAATTCATAGTTATTTATTTATTACTCTCAGAAATTAGATTAATTTAAAAAATTTTTTTCTTTTAATTACAAAAATAAATCAAAAATTTATTTTATTCTAATAAGTACGCTTTCTCATTATCCTTTATATAAAATCTTTAGTTTATACTATAATTTTAAATACGCATTTGAAATAAAAAGATTATGATTTAATAATGAAGGTTCAATTAAATTTTTGTGATTTTTCTTGATAAAAGTAAATTTATAAATTCATATAATTTATTTGTTCTTTATATCCACTTATTATTAATTAATTAAATTTCCTTTAATTGCTATTAAATATTTTTAAAAGAAAAAAATAAATGACATAATAGTTTAAATATTACAACAAACTAGAAGAAGTAATTATTAATTTTTTGATCAAAATACTTTAAATTTATTTTTACTAATATTAAAAGTTTTTAAATTCTTCACATTAATCTCATTAGGTTCTCCATATAAATCTAAAGTATATTTAATTTCTTAATATTATTAATATAAATAATTTTTTCTAAATATTTAACTTTTATTAAAGTTTTTTTTTCTAAAAGAAATTATAATCTTAATTAGTAAATTTTATTTATTTATTTATGTGTTATAGTTATTTTAACTTATTTAAATTAAATTTTTTTAATTTATTATCCATTTTTTATTATTTGATATTTTTTATTGAATTTTTCCTTCTAAAACTTATACTTGATTAATACAGTTTAATAGCTTTGGACTGTGATATTTTTACTTATAAAATTGAATTTAAAACAATATAGCTCTTTTAAATTATTTATTAATATTTTACTTTATTTACTTTTCTTTTTTATTATAATTGTGTGTGCTTTTTTTTATCTTTCTTAATTTAACTCATTTTTATAATTTCAACAAATATTTTTTAATTATTTAATTAATTTCTTATTCTTTCATATTATTTCTTCATTTTTTCATTCTGATAACTAGTTAATTATATATATTTTCTTTAATATTAAAAAGTTAGTACAATATTGATGAAATAGGTGTATCAAGCTTAGGTTAAGCTTTAGCAAATTGCACTAATCTCTCAAATTTGAAACTTGATCTTAAGTATAAATAGTTAATTTGTTTTGGATTGTGATATTTTTATTTATAAAAATGAATTTAAAACAATAAAATTTTTTAAATTTAAATATTAGATTTTCATTCGATTTACTTTTGTTTTTATTTTTTATTGTATTTGTGTTTTCTTTTTCTTTTAACTTTCTTTATTTAACTCATTTTTTTATTTTCAACAATTATTTTATTATTTTTTAATTAATTTCTTATTATTTAATATTATTTCTTCATTTTTTCCTTCTAAAAACTAGTTACTTATATATTTTTTCTTCAATTTTAAAAAGTGGAAACAAAATTGGTGAAACAGGTGTATCAGGTTTAGGTTCTGCTTTAGTAAATTGCACTAATCTCTCAAATTTGGGACTCCATCTTTAGTAAAAACAGTTTATTTTGTTTAGATTTTGATATTTTCTTCAATATTAAAAAGATATAACGAAATTGGTGATTAAGGTGTATCAGGCTTAGGTTTTGATTTAGCAAATTGCACTAATCTCTCAAATTTGATACTTGATGTTGGGTAAAAACAGTTTATTTGGCTTGGATTGTGATATTATTATTTATTTAAAACAATAAAATTCTTATAATTTATTTATTAGCTTTTCATTTGATTTACTTTTCTTTTTATTTTTTATTGCATTTGTGTTTTCTTTTCTTTTATATTTTTTTATTTAACTCATTTTTTTTTTTATTTTCAAGAATTATTTTATTATTTTTTAATTAATTTGTTATTATTTCATATTATTTCTTCATTTTTTCCTTCTAAAAACTAGTTACTTAAATATTTTTTCTTCAAAATTAATAAAAAAGTTATAACAAAATTGGTGAAACAGGTGCATAAGGCTTAGGTTCTGCTTTAGCAAATTGCACTAATCTCTCAAATTTGATACTTTATTTTTAGTAATAACAGTTTATTTGGTTTGGATTGTGATATTATTATTTATTAAAACGAATTTAAAACAATAAAATTCTTTTAATTTAATTGTAAGCTTTCCATATGATTTACTTTTGTTTTTGTTTTTAATTGCATTTGTGTTTTCTTTTTTTTTTATCTTTCTTTGTTTAACTCATTTTTATAATTTCAGCAATTATTTTATTTTTTTTAATTAATATCTTATTATTTCATATTATTTCTTCATTTTTTCCTTCTAATAACAAGTTTATTATATATTTTTTCTTCAATAATAAAAAGTGATAACAAAATTGGTGATTAGGGTGTATCAGGCTTAGGTTCTGCTTTAGCAAATTGCACTAATCTCTCAAAATTGATACTTGATCTTGGGTAAAAACAGTTTATTTGGTTTGGATTGTGATATTATTATTAAAAAAATTAATTTAAAACAATAAAATTATTTTAAATTAAATATTAGCTTTTCATTTGATTTACTTTTTATTTTTTATAGTATTTGTGTTTTCTTTTCTTTTATCTTTCTTTACTTAACAATTTTTTTTCTTTTCAACAATTATTTTATTATTATTTCATTTAATTTCTTCATTTTTTCCTTCTTATAACTAGCTAATTTTTTATTTTTTCTTCAATATGAAAAAGTAATAATAAAATTGGTGAAATAGGTGCATCAGGCTTAGGCTCTGCTTTAGCAAATTGCATTAATCTCTCGAATTTAACACTTCATTTTGAGTAAAAACCCTTTATTTATTTTGGATTGTGATATTATTATTTATAAAAATTAATTTAAAACAAAAAATTCTATTAATTTCAATATTAGTTTTTCATTTGATTTACTTTTTTTTTTCTTTTTTATTGTACTTGTGTTTACTTTTCTTTTATCTTTCTCTATTTAACTAATTTTTAAATTTTCAACAATTATTTTATTATTATTTAATTAATTTCTTATTATTTCATATTATTTCTTCATTTTTTCCTTCTGATAACTATTTAATTATATATTTTTTCTTCAATATTAAAAAGTGATAACAAAATTGGTGATTAAGGTTTATCAGGCTTAGGTTCTGCTTTAGCAAATTGTACTAATCTCTCAAATTTGACACTTAACCTTGAGTAAAAATAGTTTATTTGTTTTGGATTATGATATTAATATTTATTAGCTTTTCATTTGATTTACTTTTGTATTTATTTTTAATTGTATTTGTGTTTTCTTTTCTTTTATCTTTCTTTATTTAAATCATTTTTTAATTTTCAGCAATTATTTATTGAATTAATTTCTTATTATTTCATATTATTTCTTCATTTTTTCCTTCGAATAACTAGTTAATTATATATTTTTTCTCCAATATTAAAAAGTGATAGCAATATTGGTGATTAAGGTGTATCAGGCTTAGGTTGTGCTTTAGCAAATTGCACTAATCTCTCAAATTTGACACTTTATCTTAGGTAAAAACAGTTTATTTGTTTTGGATTATGATATTATTATTTATTAAAATGAATTTTAAACAATAAATTCTTTTAATTTCATTATTAGTTTTTCTTCTCCTTTTTAATTTTATTTGTGTTTTCTTTTCTTTTATCTTTTTTATTTAACTAATTTTTTAATTTTCAAAAATTATTTTATTATTTTTTAATTAATTTCTTATTATTTCATATTATTTCTTCATTTTTTCCTTCTAATAACTAGTTAATTTTTTATTTTTTCTTGAATATTAAAAAGATATCACAACATTGGTGATTAAGGTTTATCAAGCTTAGGTTCTGCTTTAGCAAATTGCGTTAATCTCTTAAATTTGACATTTTATCTTAAGTAAAAATTGTTTATTTGTTTTGGATTGTGATATTTTTATTTATAAAAATGAATTTAAAACAATAAAATTCTTTTAATTTGTTTTTATATGATTTATTTTTTTTAATACTACGAATGCTTTATTTATATATTAACTTTAATTTAAAAAAAATTAAAAGTGATTGCCCATAATATTGGAAACTAAAAAGCAAGTGTCTTAAATCAAAGAGATTAATTGTCTTTAAATTAATTATCTATTGACGATAAACAGATGTGAAAAAGGATTAATAAATAATAAATATTTGAATATTAAAAATAATATGTTTAATTAAATAATATTTTGTAATAAGATTATTTAACCTTAAATTAAAATATTTTGTTTTTTTTATGTTTAATGAATACTTTTTTTGGAAAATTAATAAATAACTTATTAAAAATATAAAAATTTACAAATTAAATTTACTTAAATAAATGAATTTTTCTTAAGCAATCACTGAGTTTTAACCAAAAACATTAAAAACTTTAAATCTTAAACATTATCCTCTATTATATTAAGGAAATTGAAAATTACAACCAATAACTTTCTATTTATTATTTAATTATGTTTCATGAGAAATTAGAAATTATGATAGAACCCCAAGAAATAAAATATTTAAAAACCTTGATTATTTTCAAAATTTAATCAAATTTTTTTTTTAAAGCTAAACATTTGTCTAAATTTTTTTTAATTAAATATTCATTAGTTTAGATAGACTATCCAAAATTAAAAAGGCATTTAACTCAATTTTTTTTTTATTTCAGCTTATTTCAATTTCCTTTTTTCTTTTTTAGTGATGAAATCTTCTTTATCTTATTAGAGAAAATAAGTTTTGCAGTAATCCTCTTTAGAATATTGTAACCTCTATTCAAAAAAATACTAACTAGTGATCGTTTATTTATATTTCTCTAAAGGATTCAGACGCTTCTAATCTATCATACTCACGTGTATTTTTGGATAGCTTATCTCCTAGAAAAATTTTTAATCGTATTTTGGTGATGATTCTATCATCTTTGAAGCTTTTTGATACTTTTTTAGCAACCAATAAAACTCAACTTCTATTATTCATTAAAAAACCCTTTGAAATTAATATTTTAAAATGCAATTTTCTTCACATATATTTGCTTAATTTTTTTTTTACCATCTATTACTTAAAAATATTCTTAATGAGAAACTACTGTAACTTAATATTATTATTATTATTATTCAAATATTAATCTTAAAAACTGCTCTAAAAAGATGGAAAAAATAAAATGAAATTTTTTTTGCTTTTAAAGCTAATTCAATTCAAAAAATGACATTTTTAAAGGAATTTTATGTTTTACTCAAGAATTCCTCTGTCTGTCTATCATTTTATTTATAGTAAAAATAAATGGATTTTTTTAATATTTTACCAAAAATAAAAGACTTTTTAATTAATAGATTCAAGTTCTCTTTGCTTTAAAAAGAATATAATTAATTCAAAAAATACATCTAAAAAACAAATAAGCAAAAAATGATAGCTGATTTTATTATTCATAGTGGCTAATCTGCTGACTGTAAAGTAGGAACCTTAAATAACAAAGTTTATTTTTTCAAAGAGTTTTTCAGTAAAAAAGACTATAATCACCAAAAAACAATCTACTAGCACTTAAATGAAATTACCAATGAAGTTGATCTTAGCATCTTAAAAATGATTAAATATGATGACCACAAATGTTAGATTGTATTCCCCTATATTATTTTTAGTCTTACTTAAATTTGTAGTAAAGTAAAAAGCAATAATACTAGAGGAATGAGATGGATATTTGCACTGTATCATTTTACATAAGTTGCTAGTAGCATTAGAAAACTTCACAGTTTAAATTTATGCCACTGTGATATAAAAGTAGATCATATTTTAATTGAGTAATAATCAAATGGTTTGAAAGATATTCTTATCGATTTTAAGCACTGCTAAAAAATCAAATAAAATTAACTATCATAAACAGTTTGTGGGACATTAAGTTATAATCCGCTCGAATTAAATGATGGAATTGCTAAATCACAAGTTAAACCATACAGCCCCTACAAATTGGATTTATATTAATTGGGTATGCTTCTCTTGACTTTAATCGTATATTTTCGTATTAGTGAGAATATGAAAAATTTGATAAGTTTGAAGAAAAAAAATAAATTTTTAGAAGGTATTACCCTTTTATACAAAGCAAATTATAATACTAATTTAGAAATAAAACCTGAAGTATATGATCTTATTTGGGGTCTTTTGACTGGAGAGATTGAAGATGCTGCTTAAATCTTCAACCACTAAGTTTACAATTTATAAGAAGTCTAAAATATGTTGAAAAACCTCTCATTAACTGGAAATACAAAAGTTTTTTAGATTGAAGATGAAGAAGAAGAATTTATCTACCATAATATTGTTATTAAGAAAAAAGAAGATGAAAATAGAAGTGATAGTACAATAAGCTTTGATAAAAAGTTTAACGAAATGCTACAGTCTAATTGCACAAGATATGATGAACTAATTTAAGAAATCAAATTGTTTTGTGATAAAAACCCACGATAAATAAAGGAGAGTGAACTCCAAAAAGGATCTTTATTATTTGAAATGAGTACATGTTAAATATTATAACACTTGTTGTGTTGCTTTGGAAATAATAATCCTGAAGTCTTTGATCAAAATATTTTTGGGGAAACATAAGATTTAACCTTTTAAGTCACTTTAAAATATACTTCTCCAGAATTTACTGAATATAGTACTGATGATGACAGTGATGAATATTTATAAAATACTGGAATTGAAGAAATACAAAATTATATTGAAATTCAGATAGAAATAGTTATGATTGAAGAATTGAAGTAATCAGAAACAAAATCTATTATCTTCACACCAATAAAAGGAGAATTTATGTATTACAGTAATTTAATTGAAGATATCTCAAGATATTTAAAAACAAATATTTGATTTTATTTATTTTTCAACTATTTATATATAAATAATATTATACTAATAGATAGATTTATTTAAATAATTCATTTATATTTTTAATAATCTTTGTTAGTAAATAAGTAAGCGCAGTGTTTAATTTATTTTTTCCAGTATTCTTTTATTTCTACATTACTCACTCACTCCTTTTCAATTTACATAAAAAAAAATCACAGTTATAAATTAATAATTATTTGAGGTATTTTCAAATTTAGATTATTTTTTAAATTACTCATTTTCATCAAATATTTTTGAACAATTATTATAAGTACTTACTTGTATTTTTTTTTATTTTTTTACAAACATTTTAATCAAAAATCAATTTTCATAAAAATTATTCCACAATTTCTAAGAAATACTAAATTTTTTCGTAGTTTTTAAAGTAAGTAATAAGACATTATTATGTTTATTTAATATAAATCTAAAGATTTAAGAATAAATATGTGCATATATGAAAAAAGAAACATTCAATTATTGATTTTTATATATAAATATAAAATAAATAAAAAGAGATTATTTCTTTCAATTGTTACTGAAATTTTAAAAATATGAATACCTTAGTAAATACTAAAAACTATTTATTCATAAGTTAATAATTCTTAAATCCACTAGTCTCTCCAATTTTTTTGCTTGAAGATCAATAATATGACCCATTTCTCCAAACATAAATTTATTAATTCTTTAAAAATAATTTTTTTTAGTTAATAAAAGAAAAATTGCTATCAAACAAATATCAATCAATACTCCAAAATTATTCTCAAGGAGGTGATTTTCTTCCAAAATTTAATTTAATGAGCTAGAGTATTTAAACTTTATTATTTTATCTAGTTGCTAATTAAAATTAATTTAAATTTTTAATAAAAACATAAAAAATATAGTAAAATATACTTTTAGAAACCAAATATAAGATTCAATATTGAAAGATTTTCACATTGTGCAATACCCATTTGTAAATCTTATAAGCAAGCTACACCGTTGTTGTTAAACCTAAAAAATTCAAAAAAAAATAATAAGAAATAATTATTTTCTTAAAATTTTAATAAATTTAATTCAGTGTTTATTTGATTTTTTTACTAGCTTCAAATTAAAATACTTTACCAAATAACTAATTTTAAACTTTTGAGATTTCTAAATTGAGCTAAAGATTACCCAATTAATGATATTCCTTAGTCATCGATATCACTAAAAAATTTGAAAAATTATTGAAAACAAGTTTTAATTAAAATATTTTAAAATTTTTAGAACCAAATGTAAAAGAGTTTTTATTAAAAATAAATTTAAAAATAAAAAGCAATTTAACTTACTTAAAATGTAAACCTAAGCTAGATATCTAAGGACATTTAGATACTCCTAAGACTAAGTTATATACATCTTAATTATGAATACAGTTATTACTAAAAAAAAATATTTTTAAGCTTAAAAATTAGAATTGAATGAATGGTATATTTAAATTTACTTCAAAATCAAAGTTAACTTTTAGATATTTATATTTTTTACTATCATCATTCCTAAATATTCTCCTTTATCTGTTAGACATACATTCCTATCAAATAATTTCATAAAATAGAATTAGAATATTATTTGCTTTAAGTTATCTTTATTTTATTTAGAAAAATTCAAAAAATATAAATTTTGAACTTACCTCAAATTTAAATAAAGGACTTAGAGATTCTGACATTCATGAACTCCCTTAATAATGAGCTATAAACATTAGAAATCTAACTAATTTTTACTATCCAAATTAAAAAATATTAAAAGCTCATTTACATGTTATCTTAATAAAAAGAAAACCTTAAATTCAAAGTTAAATTTTTAAGATTTTAGCATTTTTTAATTGTATTTCCAATTATTAAGGCATGTTCTTCATACAATTTTTCACTAATTTAATAAAATTATTTATTATACTTATAATATTTTTAAAAACTAAATTAATCTATAAAAAATTAAGCAAAATTAATTAATTAAATATCTAATAACTTACCTAAAATCTAAATCCAAAATTTCATGATAACTCAAATAAGAATCAGCAAACTTAAAAAAAATAATGATCAATTTCAAATATTAACAAGAAAATAAATATAAAAAAATACACTTTCTAAGCTAGTATATTGTTTTTTATTGATATATTTTTGTACTCTGAAATAAAAATAAAATATTTTAAGCATTTTAAAAAAATATTTATGATTGAAATAATTTAATTATTTGATTAAAGTTATTTTAATTTACATCTTTGATTTTATTTATCCCATTTTTTTTTCTTTTAAATTATTATATTTATTATCTATCCAAAACTTTAAAAAAAAATATCTTCTTTTTTTTTAATTAATATTTATAGCTTTTTCTAATTAGTTCATTTATTAAACCATTTTAAAGCAAATAATAAATAATAAAAAAGTTAATTTTATTTATAATTATTTAAATTTATCAATTAAAAAATTCGTATTTTAAAAAGGAAAATGGATAAATAACTATAAATATTATAAATTATAATTTATTGCTCATTAGTATATTTTAAAGTATAAAATGACTTAAAATTATATTTACGTGTTAATTTGTATTTCATCATAACATGTAAAAGTAAATTATGATAAGTTTGATAATATTTTAGTTCATTATCAAAAATAAGATAAATCCACATTTTGCTTATTATTACTTATGGAATTAAAATTATTACAAACTACCTCTTTTTAGTCTTAAAATTAATCTTAAAGTAGATACAATTTTTTTGCTTTAGTCATTAAGAAACTATTTACAAGAATAAATATTCGCAAAATTAGATTATAAAAGTTTTATGTTAATAATTTTTTTGTGATTGAGTTATATTTAAGCTATACTTTGGAATATTTGAATTACATTGAACATATTTAACAATTATAAGCATAGAAATCTTTAATCCTTAAATTATTAAAAATCAGAATTTGTATTTTAAATATAATTAAATAAATAAAAAAAGCTCCGAGACCGGGAATTGAACCCGGGTCTCCTGCGTGACAGGCAGGAATACTAACCACTATACTATCTCGGATTACTTGATATTTTAGTTATTTATCCTTTAATCATTATACTCCTCATTACCAAAAATTTTAATATTCATCATCATTTAAATCACTCATTATTTTTTTTTAATTCTACTATTTGTGTCTCAAAAAACTTAGGCTTTTATTACTGACTTACTAAGCATTATTTCTTAAATATATAAGATTTATTGATAATAATAAAGTTTATTGAAATGTTTTACAATAAATAAAATTAAATATCATTAAAAAGTGGTAGAATTTAAATAATAATTTAAAAATAAAAAATACAATAATGATCAATATATGAGTTCATTTATTAAACAAATTTCATTTAAAAATGCCATTTGCATATAAAATAAACGTCTTATTATCAATTTATTTTTAAAAAGTAATCAATTATTAAACAAAAATGCGTTTATTTATTTAATTTATTTACGGGTTTTCATGAATATTAAAGAAATAATGAGATTTTTACAGTTAATTTTATAAAATTTTTGAAAAAGAAAATATGATTTTATTTTGAATTATTATAATTGATAACGTATTTGCTTACAAATATTATGTATTTATATACTTTAGTGATATATTTATTTTTATAATTAGATTATTGTTTGTTTTTCAATTCTATCAATATTGTATTTCAAATATGAATTTAATCAGAAACCACCTCTTAATCTAAGGACTAAGTGAAGTGTAGATTCCTTTTGAATGTTATAGTCAGAAAGAGTTCTTCCGTCTTCGAGTTATTTACCAGCGAAAATAAGTCTTTATTGATCAGGAGGGATACCTTCCTTATCTTGGATCTTAGCCTTGACATTTTCGATAGTATCAGAAGCTTCAACATCTAAGGTAATAGTCTTACCAGTCAAAGTCTTAACGAAGATTTACATACCACCTCTTAATCTCAAAACTAAGTGGAGAGTTGATTCCTTTTGGATATTGTAGTCAGAAAGAGTTCTGCCATCTTCAAGTTATTTACCAGCAAAGATAAGTCTTTATTGATCAGGAGGGATACCTTCCTTATCTTGAATCTTAGCCTTAACATTTTCGATGGTATCTGAAGCTTCAACGTCTAAGGTAATGGTCTTACCAGTCAAAGTCTTAACGAAGATTTACATACCACCTCTTAATCTCAAAACTAAGTGGAGAGTTGATTCCTTTTGGATGTTGTAGTCAGAAAGGGTTCTACCGTCTTCGAGTTACTTACCAGCGAAGATAAGTCTTTATTGATCAGGAGGAATACCTTCCTTATCTTGAATCTTAGCCTTGACATTTTCAATAGTGTCAGAAGCTTCAACATCGAGGGTAATAGTTTTACCAGTTAAAGTCTTAACGAAGATTTACATTTGAAGTTTTTTAAAGTTGCTTTTTTGTATGAGTTGTTTTTTTAATTATTGTTTTGATTTTGTTTTTAGAATTCAATCAATCCCCTATTTAAAACAAGTGAGAAGAGCAGATCTGTTTAAATCTGATTAATTACCTCTCATGTAATTTTTTTTCTATTTTTTTTTTTAATAGAAAATTTACAAAATTGATATATTTTTTGTTTCAAGTAGACAATATAATAAAAATTGAAATAAATAAAATCATCTTTCATTTATTTGCATAATGATTTATTTATTATTTTTGTTATAGATTATGTTTTTCATATCCAAAAACAATAATGTGATTATTGTTACAAATTTTTCTATATCATTGAAATATTCATAAAAATTTCTTATCATATAAGGAAAAAACATATTTGTAAACAATAAATTTATTATTTACTAAAATAAAATATTAAATTATAAAATTAAATTATTATTATTGAGAGTGAATTAATAAAATTAGCATTTGTTTTTTAAATAAAATCTAATAAAATTTTTTTTCTTTTTTCTCAAAAATAAAAGGCTCCGAGTCCAGGAATTGAACCTGATTCTCCTGACTATCAACAGGCAGGAATACTAACCATTATACTATCTCGGATTACATGATTACATCAAATAATTTTTATTAATTATCTTTTAAACATATTGTATGAAATTCAAATTTCAATTGTAATAAGAAATAAATCAAAAGTTTTTATTTTTAAAACTTTAAATAAAACAATCATCAAGAATATAAAGCTATTCTACTAAATAATTAAAAATAAATCCAATAAATTATAATTTATTTAACAGCAATTAGGCATTGATTGTTTTTCTTAAATTATAATGGGTCAGTATATCTTTTTTAATAACTATAGGTTTGCATATTTGATTTGATTTATTTATCTATTCTTTTCATCAAATACAAAAAATTTAAAATCCAATAAAAGTAAAAAGTATTTTTATATTTGAAGAAAAGAATTCCTGATTGCAATAATTAAAATAAATATTTTATAACTGAAGTATTTCCATATTTATTTTTTCAATAAAATACTTAAAAATAAATTATTTAGTGTTATTAAATATCTCAAAATATGTATATTAAAAAATACAAATGTAAATTAAGTATTTGATATGTAAAATAGAGAAAATGCTAAATTAATTTTGTTTTTTATATTAAGTTATTAATTAAATTTTTGAAACATTTAATTCAAAGAATAATTCCCTCGAGCTGCTTAAAACTTTAATTCCTTTAGTAAATACTAGAATAAATATTGAGAACAGTACAATTCATTTTAGAGATTTAAAATAAGAAATAACATACTAATTTTCTCTTAGATATTAAATATCTATTAAATCTAATAACTTTTTAGTGTCTAAAATAGATTGAAAGCATTAGTTGAAAAATCTCAGATAAATAAATATAACTGAAATGACAAAAGCAAATATTTAAAGTACTATCAAAATAATATTTATTTTGGTGTATAAACTATACTAATTTAGCGTCATGTTTTTAATAAAACCCCTAATTAGTTATACCATGTAGGACTCATAAACTAAATAATAATAGTACTTTGATAGAGTATATTCTTGGAAATGCTCTTCCAGATTTTATTTATAAATAGTAATATCTTACTCTTAAAAAATTGGGTTTGTATAGCTTATCTCTTCGCAAAAATACTTTATCGCACTGATCATTCCTTATAAAAATATGCCATCATCAGTTTCTGAACATTCATCTATTTCAAACCCATCAGAAGTAATATATTATGTGTAATAAGAAGACTCTAAACAGGCATTTGATTGCATCAAATTATTATTTAAACTATTAAATGAATCTTAATCCTATCTAGACAGTTCATTTTGCTTATTTATGATAGAATAAAAAGTATTAAGCTATTAAGTAATATTCTAAATCAGGTAATTGCTCTCCTACAAGTATAAATTATGTACAATATTTTACTTTAACAACTTAGTCTATATCCCTACCATTCTATAAGAATTTAACTTTGAGGTAAATAAATGGATGTTGTATATTTCATCTATTTTTAAAAATATTTAAATTAATAAACAATAAAGAAATAAAAACTATAATTCTTCAATCATTTCAACTAGTTCTAACACAAAAAAATTTTCTTTAGTTTTTAATAACTGATAATTTTGATAAAATGTTAAGTGGGGCTGATTATCTTAAATATTAAAAATTTATAGTATATAAAATTTAATGACATACTTGTATATTCTAAGTTGTTTAGCTAGGTCTAAATGAATGAAGATAATGCAAATCCCATTCCGAAGGAATATATAATGTTAACTAAAATGAAAATAACACTGTAGAGAAGCATCAGGCAATTAAAAATAGGGAGCTTAGTGGTGTTACTAATATTTTTTTTCTTTTCAATTAAGCTTTTTTGAAGCTTATCATTCATATTTAAAGAGTATTAATTTATTTACTTTTTAGTTTTTATTTTGCTTTTTTAATCACTTTCTGTTTAGTTGAATTTTTACTTTAACTTTTCTATTCCGTTTTCTGTATATGCTAAAGTTTCAAACATTAATTCAATCTTGTCAGGTCCAAATGTTGAGAACAAAGTTAGTATTTCTTACCTTTTATGTTGAACATAAATATAAATTGGAATCAAACATAGGGAGAAAAATGCAGCAACAACAAAATCAGAAATTTATGAGGTTGTAATACTGCTTTATATGTTATCAAAAGTCTAATGGATAGCATCCTGAATTTAAATATCTACATTATCTAATTCATTGTTTAACGTTATCATGTTAACTTAAAGTTATAAAGTAGCTTGATTTACTGCATTCAAGTTGTACACAATATAAAAAACATCTCCTAAAATGTTTTTTAAACTGTAATCAACCGGAAGCGGAATTTAAATTTAATGAGTTACATTGAAAGCCAGAATCAAGTTATATATTTTATTTTTTATAATATCACTTAAAGTACTTTAAACCTAGTTATCTTAGTATGTTAAGAGGAGATTAGAAAACAATTTAAGCTATTCTTTTTACTGCACAAAGATATCACCTACCATAGTATCCTAATCTTCTGTAGGCTATAAATATTCAGGGTGTGTATTTATGATATTCTAAATTGCTTACGATTCTAGTATTTGAGTTAATAAAACTTGTATTCTATTAGCCCAGTCATAATTTTCATAATCATCCTTTTGATTATATAAATAAGTGTTTAGCTAAACGAAATTAACAACATTTAGAACAACCATTCCTAGTAATGTAATAAAACCTAAATATTAAAGCAATCTTAAAATAGTCATTTTACTAGGTTATCTTAGTTCCTAAATAAGCTATTACCTAAAAGATAATTTAAATAAATAATAAATTAACACAAAAGTTTTGATAATTGAGATTTATTCAATAAATAAATTATTTTTTTGAATAGTTAGAAAAATTAAAGAATATCATAAAATTTTCTAATTTAATTTCATTTTTAATATAATATTTTAATTATTTATTTATTAATTAATATTTTTAGAGTAACTTTCTAACTCTAAAGTATTCCTAATAAGATTAATCTTATTATTTTTAATCTAAAAAATGAATAAATAAGATTTACAATTCTTAGGTTTGTTTGTTTATGTTAAGTTCTTTATTTTATGTTTTTTTTTTATATTTTAAATTTCTTTTTCAATTAATTTAATTTTCCAAATATTTATTAATAAATTTAACTATCTAATTTAAAAAATTATATATCTAAGATTTAAAATTAATATTAAAAAAAAATTTTTTTAACGTTAAATGATAAGATTGTAACTAACTTGGCTTCTCTTAAAAGTTAATAATTATATTAAATATCTGAAAAAAATAATTAACTTTTTAATTAATGGTCTAATTTATTAAAATATTTGTCTAAAAACACATGAAATATCTTTAATTAATTCAAAAATTAGAAAATTATTAATGTTTTTTTTTTAATTTTTTAAAAATGAAAATTAAAGAGGATAAAAATGAATAATTTTGCTAATTTTATTTTTTTTAATAATAAATAATGAAAAATAAGTAAACCTTTTATTTGAGTCACCTGTTTTATTTGAAAGGTTCACACTCTCTTCATTCATATTTTTTTTGAAGGATTTTTTACTATGGCTTTAGTGAGTTTTATATTTTGAAATGTCTTTTGAATGATTTTCATGATCACTATTTGAAGAAATTGAATTCAAACCTACCTACTTAAAAAATTATTAATCATTAAAATTCTTTGTATAATTATGATTAATAGTTTCATTTGGTAGCTACTTTTCTTTTTACTATTTTTCATTGGCATTAAATTAAAAATTTTAACTAATAAGTGGCTATTGATGTTGTTAATTTAATTGCTTATTTTTATGAAATAAAGTGGTTTCTAAATTCTGTTTAGATTCATAAATATCTGATTTAGAATTTAAATTTATAGAAATTAAATGTTTTGCAATTGATGTGTTTTATTGGTTACCAAGCAGTTCAGTTTATTCTTAAGGAGAACTCAATAAATCATATCCTGCTAAATTTGAACCTTATGCTGATATCATAATATTCGAATTAGGTGATTGTAAATCAAAATAATTTCCATATTCCTATAAATGTATGGTACTTTTATAAAAGTCTCCATCTTTTTTAAATCCTATTTTATTTTAGCTAGCTTTTTGATTTTGAAATTTTAAATTATTCTGACTTTAATTGGCATCAATTTTTAAGAAATCAAATTAATTTTCAATCAAGTGATCATTATTTGTAAAATCTATAAATTCATAATTGTAAAATGGTTATAGTTCTTATGAGAACTTTTTTAACAAATTCTAGTATTAATTTTATTAATTTGTATTTTTATAGCTAAAATTTAAATTTCTCTGGTTTAAGTAACTTTATAGTATTTATTTTTGATTCTCAACATACTCAAAATCGTACATTTCTAAATCTAAAAATTCCTACAATAATTAATGAGCTGCTTCTATTTTCTATTATAACTCCTATAATCTTTCTAATGAAGACACTTTTACTTAAATAAAATCTATACAGCTATGGAATAAAGGAAAGTATTCAGCTTTTATCTTAAAAATATCCATTTCAAATATTTTGATAATCAGATTTTCTGATTTTTTAAAATTATCATCCGAAGAGCAAAATTTCTCATTTATAGGTTTTAAAAAGATTCCCTCATAGTATTAATTTGAATTTGAGCATTCTTATTTATTTATTAATTTAAAAATAATTAAATAAAATTTCGAATTTGTCAAATCTAAATAAAAAAATTTAATTCATTTTTAAACAGGAGTCAAAGTTTTTAATTTAAATTTTCTTTTATTCACAAATTTTTATTTTTTTAGATAAATATTTCCATTTTTAAAAAAGGCAAGTTAATAAAATATTTTTTTCTTTTTAAAAAAATAAATTGTAAATATTTTCAAAGTTAAAAAAAACATTTAATGTAAATTTACTCTTTCTTATAAATGATTCTAATGTAGGCATAAGAGCTCCCATCTTAACTTTATAGATGCTATTTTTTTGAATCACTCCATGAAATAAATGTTGATACATATTTTTTGAAATGTTTAGTATTTCAAAATTATCATTATAAGTCATTTGCATGTACGAATTTGCATCTTTTATTTATTTGACCCAACAAGAAACACCAAAATCGTCAGTTCCAAGCGTACATGTTTATAATTTCATTAAATATGGAATCGCCCAGTTTTAATTATCAATCCCTATCAATAAGGGATAGTTTTTCACTTAAAAATCTGCATTGTGACTTTTTATAAAAGTTTTCAAGATATCATTATGCACTAAACTAATTTTTTAAGCCATCATATAATTGATATTTTTTCCAATTACTTCACTATTATCTAGGAGAGGAATAACATCATAAATGTTCTTTGTTACTTTTTTAACAACTCCAATATTTTAAATTAATGTTATAAAAATTACGCAACTATCCTCTGAATACAAAGTGAGAGTTTTTTTTAGAAATGAAGAATTAAACTGTGTGTTAATGAATTTTTTCTATCTATTTAACTATTGTGACAAACTTTAATCATATTGTAGAATTCTTTCATAGCTTTCTATCATAAAATGTAAAAAGTAGCTTTGATAATTCAGCAAAAGAAGATAAGAAAGAGTTTTTTAAAGTTCTTCCCTTTTTGATCTTAAATGAGTTAGAATCGAATAAAGTTACTATAAATTAACTATATTCATCCCCATATTTTAAAGCATCGCTTTCTTAAGTTGTAAACATTCTTAAAATTAATTAAAACTTTTATACATAAGTGAGTCATAATTAATGCTTTCAATAAAATCCAATTTCATTTCTGAATTTTTGTTAGCCAATTTAACCTGAATCTTAAATTCATCAACTTTTTTATTGAGATAGGTAATAATAAATAGCAATCGTTATTACTAATAAAGCGTAATAGTAGCTTAATTGTTTTAGAGGTAGTTAAGAGCTATAGTAAAAGCCTTAATTTCATTTTTTTGAACCTAAATGATAAACATTAAATAGCTAAATAGTATATTAGGTATTTTAGAATTTCCTTAAATTGCTTTTTAGTAAAAATTCTCTATATAATCGTTTAAATATTAGCTCCTCAGTGTTGCTGATTCCCTTTATTCTTAATTTTATACTTCCTGTTTATTAAAATACAATTTAATTTCACAAAATTATTTTAATTTCTATTTTTATTATCAATTGAGGATTTAATTATTGAATTGACATCCTAAATTCTCAAAATGAAGATTAAAAAATAGATATTTTTAATTCGAAAGTAAATATTTTAATCTTACAAAATAATTTAAATATTTAAGTAGAGAATATGAAAAGTAAATTTATTAAAATATTGAAGATGGATTTAAATATAATTTAAATAATTATGAATATTTTTTTTACCTATGCGCAAAAGCAGTAAGGATACCTTTTACAAAATATTTTATGATTTTGAATGATATATTCTAGATGTATTGAGAATTAAGAAGACAAATAATCATCGTAACTAAGCTTACACATATTATACATTGCTCTTAAGAATATATCAATCTTATTTAAATATATTTAAGAAGAAAATTATTATACTTAGCTATTTTCTTCACTAAATTATGTGGTATTTCTACTTAATTAATCTAAAATAATATTGTGGATTCTCCTTTTTAAAATGTTTTGAGCTATAACATAAGACAGAGGGGAAAAAACTATTAAACTAAACACGTAATTTTTTGAATATGACGTATTTAAAGTTAAGTAGGCATTCAAATTAGTAATTATATTGAATATATATCCAAATATATTGAAAGTCTATATTTATAGGTTGTATATAGGAAGGTAGTAGACTTCTAATATTAGCGAAAGAGTGTAAAATACAATAGTAAAAGTAAGCAATGTATTTCCTTCTATGTAAGTATATGCTAGCAGTAAACATAATTCTAAAACCGAGTAGATGTTTTTTAGCCATGATGATCTCATAGAAAGGAAATCTGATATTAAAAAGCGGTCGTCATACTCATGAAGACAGAAGATTTATGCTTAGTTTTACAAAATAGTTATTTTTGAATAGAATTTTAAATTAAAGACTAAATTATCTACACTTTAGATACAATTAATATTATGAGTAATTTTAGTTGTCTTAAAATGGAAAAACAAATAACTTACATATGATAACAGTGAGAATTAAGTTAAGAATACTACTCACAAGATTATTTTTGAGTAGTAAAAGTGAACAGACAGCTGAAAGCATATATATAAGATAGTAGTATATTTAAAAGCCTAAAGAGGTTAAAATGTCTCCTTTAGATCTAAGATCCCAAAAAGTAGATCTCAGAAAGAAAGTCAAGAAAGCTCCTAACAAATAAGAATTTATTGCTATAAAAGTATAAATAAATACTGTTAAAATTGTTTGATTATCTTAAAAGAATGCTTGGTATTGCAAAAATTAAACATCATTTTCATTTTCTTTAATTTTGTTAAGGATATTTGGCGATACTTAAATAGCAAAATACTATAAATGCTTAAAAATTATAAGGAAAACGCAGACTATAAATGGTCTTTCAAACGTTTTAATCATTAAATAACTCTCTTCTAAGTAAAATCTCTTTACTTTTCCAATTTTACTTTGATTTTATTTCTTTTACTTTAAATCCATCTTATTATTGTAAGTAATTCTTATATATTTAATTAACTCAAATATCCATAAAAATTTTTTGCCTGAAATTAATTAATTAATTGTTAATCTAATTCAAAAAAGAATTATTCTTTATCCTTAAAATTATTCGACTCTTTACAATATAAAAATATGTAAGATATTGATTGATTCATGGATTGATAGATTTTTTAATTTATTCAAATTCTTGTATTTTTAAATAATACTTTATTTGTTAGACTAAAATAATTGATTTAAAAATATTAATAAAAAATATATCTCTATCAATTTCATTAATATTATAAATTAGAATTTTGATTCTTTAAGTATTTCCCTCGTTGCTTTTTCTAAAGATTACTTATTATAAAAATTGAAGTGAAATTTAATTAATAGAGGATGGTTTTCCATCTAAATTATAATTTAGTTCTATAATGAAAATATATTTTTGATTTATTATATTAGTTAAAAAAAAAACATAAACTTTCTATTTAGATTACATTTTTTTAATTAAAAATAATATTTTTTGAACACAAAAAAATTATTGAGGAAGTAACCATAGTCAGATACAATACAAACTCAAAAGCGATCTACTACTTTTTAATCTTTTCAAAAAAAAAATGAAAGAAAAAGTAGTATTTAAATAAGCATTAAATTAAATTTCAATTTATTAATATTTATTTTTACCTTTTTACAGTATTTTATAAAAACATTTATAAAATTCTTATTTTATACTAACTTGAAATTAAATTAAGTTGATTGATTATTTGTTTACAGATTCTTGAAAACTTAATTTTTGATATAGACAAATTTATTTTTAATTCTTTCTAAATTAAAAAAAAAAACATATTTAAAATGAAAAATAAGTTAACCCATGTTTAATAATAATGTTCAAGAATATTATTTAAAATAATTTAAATGGATTTCAACTAAACTCTAAGATAAAAATAAAATCAAGGTAGGATTTAACATATTCTAATTTTTATTTTTAATAAAATAAGCAAATAGCTACTTCAAATTCAAAGCTAAAAATTATATTGTGAAATCTTTTTTTAAATCAATTCAACTCATTCTAATTTTACAATTGATATACAGTAAAAATATAAAAAATATAAAATTTTAGTTTTTTGTTATAATGCATTTGCACTATTCATGCTCTTAATAATCATTCTTAATTCTATAATAATTTTATTTATTTTAAGCAAGTTTAATCTATTTTTATTTTTATAATACTCAATAAAAATATTTATTTTCATTTTAGAGATCTAAAGTAAGAAACAAAATATTTATATAGTCTTAGATGTTAAATAATGTAATTCTTTTAAAATTATAAATTTAAATTTTTTTTGGATTGTTTTTGGAAAATTAAAATTAAACAGAATTAGAAATTTAGGACTTTAATCTATCTATTGGTGGAAAGGAATCACAAAACACCCCTATATATTCTTAATATAAATAGGAATAATTAATAAATTATTAAATATCATTTAAATTATCACTTAAGAGACCTAAAGTAAGAAACAAAATATTGATTTTCTCTTAGACATTAAATTTCAATTAAATCTAACAATCTTTTTGTATCATATATGGAATTATAGCACTAATTAAAGAACCCAGTTTATATAAGAATAATCGAAATGATAAAAGCAAAGATTTATGTTATTATCAATGAAATATTGATTTTTGTATACATGTTGTATTCATTTAGTGTTAAATCTTTGACGAAACCTCTAATTATTTCAACTATGTATGATTCGTATACTAAGTAATAGTAGTAATTTGTTAAACTAAATTATTTGAAATGCTTTAATAAGTTTTATTTATAGATAGTTATATTTGATTCCTAAAACAAAGGATTTGTGTAACTAATCTCTTCACAAAAATATTTGACTGAATTTATCAATCCTTAATTAAAAATTCCATTATCAGTTTTATTGCACACTTCTATATTAAATCCTTTAGATGTGATATACCCAATATTATTAGATGACACTAAGCAAGCATCACCTTGCATTAAGTTTGTATTTAAACTATTGAATGAATCGTAGTCAAATCTAGATAGATCACTTTGTTTATTAATAATACTATAAAAGTTATTCAGCTATTAGGTACTATTTTAAATCAAAGCGTTGTTTTCGGACAAATAAATTTTGTTAACAGTATTCTATCCTAAAAGTTTTGTCCAAATAGTTTACATTCTATATGCATTTAGCTTACTTGTGTAAAGATGTATTTTATATATTTCATCTATTTGATATTTTGATAAAAAAAAATAAATTAATAATATGTATTTTTTAAATAGATTTAAAATTAATAAATATTCTAGATAATTTTAATTTTTTTGGAAAAAATCAATCAAACTTTACTTGTGTACTCTAAGTTATTCAACTGTGTTTCTATAAAAGAATTCAATGCTAATCCAATGCCAAAAGGGTATACAATATTCACTAGAATAAAAAGTGAGAGATAAAGTATTAAAGAGTATTTAAAAATAGGAAGTTTAGTGGTAGAGCTTATATTTTTTTTCTTTTCTATTAAATCAGATTGAAGTTTAAAATTTTAATTTTCATTGTCTTTACTTTTTTGCTATTTGTTAAGTGTATCTTTTTCTTAATCTGAATTATTATTATTTAGTTGTTTTTTCAGGACTTCTATCTGTAATTCACATTCAATCAAATTATCTGTCATTATTTGTATTTTATCTGGACCAAATGTTGAAAAAAGTATCAAAACATCCTGTCGCTTTTTTTAAACATACATATATATAGGAATAAAGCTGATTGAAAAGAAAGAAGCCACAATTAAATCAGCAATTTGTGAGCTCGTTATACTGTTCTGGATATTAGAGAATGTCTAATGAATTGCATCATAAATTAAATCATCTACATTATCCAATTATTAATTTAATTTTATCATATTTTATTATAGTTGTAAGATGTAAACTTTTTGAGCGATTTAGGTACTCTGATAGTTATTTACAATATAAAATAGATAAGCAAATATGTTTTTTAAAGCATAATCTAAATTTAGAGGAACTTAAATTTAATGAGTAACGTTATAAGCAAAGGTTAGATTGTATATTTTATTTTAAATGATATCACTTAGAGTGCTTTAAACTTTATTATCTTGATAAGTTAAAAGAAGTCTAGAAGTTAAATTCAACTATTCTTACTATTAAACAAATATATCCTTAATCATAACATTTGAGTTTTCATTTGATTGTAAATATAAAGGGTTTATCGAAATTATATTTTAAATAGCTTCTGTTCCTAAAATTTAAGTGAGAACAACCTACATTCTGTTTGCCCAGTCATAGTTTTCATAGTCATCTTTTTGATTCTGCAAATATGTGTTCAAAGAAAGAAAACTAACTACATTTAAGATAACCATCAATAATAATGTGAGAAACCCAAAATATTATATTAATCTTAATATTGTCATTTTATTAGGATTTCTAATATCTTAAATCAGTTTTTACCTTATTAAAAAACATTAATAAAATTAATTCAATTAAATTTTATATCAATAAAACAGTGAAGTGAAATAATAAAAAAATATTAAACAAAGGAAATAAATTTCCTAAAAAATTATTTTATCAATAAAAAAATAATTATTTTATAAAGTAAGTAAGTAAGTAAGTAAATAAATAAATAATTACTTCTTTTTTTGTTCTGTATTTTTATCTGAGAGTTTAATGCTGCTTTAATTTAACTTGTTTTGAGATATTTTAGTCTTTAATTTACTCATATTTTTGTTAGAATTCTTTTTTGTTTCAGTTTTTGTTAAATTAATTGAAGAGGTAGATTTCTATAAATTATATTCAATAAATGTAGCCTATTTAGAGTCAAAGTAGTCATTTTTACTTTGTGACTTAAGTCTTTCAGGATATAATATAGAATCTTTACTTGATAATCTTTTATTCTTAAAGAATTGCTAGTAAGATTATTAAATTTAGCTGATATTCGAAATATTTGCGTTTTTAGGTGAATTTAGCAAATCATTACCAGTAGCTGCATTAAATATCATTTACATTTAACTATTAGACTAAGGAGAACATAGATCAATGTAGCTTTCATTTTATAAAAATAGGATACTACCATCGAATTTACTGCTTAATTACTTGACTTCTAAATCTTTAGTTGGGGATTTAGTTTTTTATTTTTAGTTAATAAAACTTTAGGTTTTGTCTTCATCAAGTTTAATACTTTTTTATTACTTATGGGATAGTACTTTAGTAGGAATTTCATTAAGCTCATAACAAATTTATCTTTTTTCTTCTTAAATGTTAGATGTATAACCTAAGCTAATCTATTGATATTAATCATTGTCTTTTACTGAATACTACTTATTTTCTACTGAAGCAGATTCGGATAATTCTTCTTAATCATTCTATGATTCAATTAGATAGCAGTCCTTCATTTGCAAAAATTTATTATTTTTGTTTATTTTAATCAAATAATTTTATAAAACTAATCTTTGACAATCAATAAAATCAGTATCATACATTTAAAAAGACTAAAAATCCATAAGCAATTAGCTGACAGCTTCAAACTTTGCCCTTTATTCTTCTAATTGTTCCAAAGATAAAATTTTCATTTAAACAAAATCTATGCTACTATGGCGGATAATTTAAAAGTCAGCTTTTATTTTGAACATCTGTTATTCAAAAATATTGATTACAAGATTGTTATCTTTAACAAAATTAGAATTTGTGTAACAAAATTATTCACTTTTTGGCTTAAATATTAATGTCTCATACAAAGTATTTGTGTTAGAATAATCTAAAATATTTATATTAATGAAATATATTTAAAAATTAATATTAATTTTATAAGTTTAAATAATTTTATAAAAATAAACTAATTAGGGATGAGAGAAATAATTAATTATTCTAAAAAAATATTATAGAAAGCATTTAATTTCATCATTAAATTATTAAATATCTCCTAATATTTCAATTAAATAAACAACTAAAATTAAAAATTAAAATTTTATTTCAATAAAAATAATATCAAAATTAATAAATCATTTATAATCAAAATAAATAAATTATATTAAAAAATAGTAAATTACTTTTTTTTAGGAAAGACTCTAGCGTTGGTATAAGTGAACCCATTTTTACTTAATGAAGATTGCTTTTAGGAACACAATTTTGCAAAAATAATTTGAAAAAGGATTAAGAAAGGGTAAATACTTCAAAGTTGTTGCTATATGACATTTATATGTATTGATTGCTATCTTTTATTTGTTTTATCCAGCAGGAAACACCAAAATCGTTTAGTTCAATCATGCATGTTTAGATCTTCATTTCATATGGTATCGCCCATCCATTGCTATCTATGCCAATTATAAGACTATAATTTTTTACTTTAAAGTTCATATTGCGATATTTAATAAAGTTTCTAAGTATATCATCATGAACCAAGCTAATTTGTTAAGCCATCATATAATTAATATTCTTACCTATTAACTCGTTTACTTTATAAATTGGTATTACATCGAAAACATTATTTGTAACTTTTTTAATTGTTCCTATATTTTACAATAGTGTGATAAATATTACACAACTATCTTCTGAATAAAGAGAAAGTTTCTTTTTTTATAGCAATAAATGAGAAGCTAAAGTAGCATTCATAAATTTTTTTTCTTTATTTAGTTTATCCTGTAAATAGTCATCAAATTAAAGTGATTTATGATAAATTTCAATAATTTGTTGTAAGATAAAACTATCATGGTACAAATCAATCAGCAGAGAAAGAATAAGTTGCAATTCTTCTCTCTTTTATCTTAGTAGCTTGAGTATTTAATAAATTTACTCTAAATCTATCATATTCTTTCCCATTCTCTAAAGAGCAATTTTTTTGAGTAGAAAACACTATTAAAAAAGGAGACAGCTCTTATACATGTTAGAATCAAAATTGATGCTTTCAATAAAATCTAGATTTATTTCTTTATTTTTATTTTGCAATTGAAACTGGATGTTAAAAATCTTAACTTTCTAATTTAAAAAGCCAATAATAAAAAATAATCTCTATTATTAATGCATACCCATCACGTTCTTTTTATTTTGTAAATAATCTAAAGCGATTGTAATAGCCTTGGTTTCATTTTTTTGAACCTCGATAACAAACATCAAATAGCTAAAAAGTAAATTGCTTTAAGATTAATGAGAATTCACCTAAATCGCTTGCCAATAAATTTATTCTATGTAATGATAAAGAAATTTGCTTCTAAGTTCTGTTGACTCTCTTTACTCCTAGTCAATGATATCCTTATTTGTAAATTAATTAATTTTGTTAATATTTATTAAAATTATTATAAATAAAAATATTAGGTTAGTAGATTTTGCATTTAATTAATAATATTTTATTTAATTATTGTAAGTAGTAACTCTAGAATTATCAATTTTGGAATAATACATAAAATTTAATTATTTTTAGATAAAAAAATAGCGAATGTATTTTTGATTAATTTTCAGTTTCTAAAAAAGAAAATCTTAGTTTCTAGTTATATAAATAAAGTAAACTAAATGTTTTAATACCTCAGCGCAAAAGCAATATGGATATTATTAACAATATTTTTAATGATTTTGTATAATATATTCTAAATATAATGATGAATAAGAAGATAAGTAATCATCATAACTGAGTTTACAGATTTCATAGATAGATCTTAAATAAATATCAAGTGAGTCTAGATCTCGCTAAGAATAGATGTTATGCTATTACAATTATTTTGATTAATTACCATTGAACTCCATTTTAATATTATTTTTATATAATTATTCCTAGCAAATTTACCTTATCCTCATTTTAACCATATTTTTGGCAAATAAAAAGCTCAATGGTATAAATATAAGAAGGTTAAGAAAATAAATTCTCCAGAAATTAGTATTAAGCATCAAATAAGCATTAATAGTTGCTAATAAATTGTATACAAATCCACAAATATTTAGCACCTACACTTCTTATTTATAAATTGGGATATAAAAGAGTTCTAATGATAAAATGATCAAATAAAAAATAATTATGGTTATGAGTAATTAGTTGTCTTTCGAATAGACATAAGCGATAGGTAAAACTAACTCAAGCGAACAGCAAATAGTTCTCTACCATAAATTTCTAATTGAAAGAAAATCTTATCTTACAAAGCGGTCATCATACTCATGAAAAACTTTTATGAAAGCTTTAAAAATTATAAAAATATTTGAAGTTAAATTGAATGTAATTTTTAAGAAAAATGTATGAAACAGTTTCTTTGATTTTAAATTAAGATATTTACTTATGATTATTGTTAGTACGAAGTTAATTATACTTGCTATTTGATACTAATTTAATAGAAGAATTGAGCAAAGAAGTGAAATCAAGTAGAAAGCATAGTAATATATTTAAAAAGCTAAAGAAAGAATATTATTTTCTTTTGGCTTGAGCTACCAAATTATAGAGCGAATAAAATAAAATGAGAATCCAATAAAAATGAAAGAGTTTAAGAATAGAAATAAGTATAAAAAAGCTATTTCAAATGTTTTATTGCTTTGAAAGTAATTCGAGCCTTGTAGAAAATCAGAGTTCTCTGAAATAATTTGCAGCTTGCTAGCGATGCTAGGTGTAATTTGAAGTAAAAAATACTAGAAGTGCTTAAAAATGACTAGAAAGATGCTGAGTAAAAATGATCTATTAAATTTTGTAACTAATGCATAACTCTCTTCAAGGTAAAATTCCTTAATCCTTTAATGAAAGGTCAATTTGTGTTGGCTTTTATCTTTTGTGTTCATATATTTTTCTTTTGACCTTTTTTTTATTATTTTTTAGTAAGATTAACTCTTTTTTTGTTGCTTTAATTAGATTGATGATTACAAAATTATTTAGATTTCTAACTTTTAGGAAAATTAAGTATGATTATTTTTTTTCTTTGTTTCAAGCTTTGAATGTGTAAGCAATATATGTTGCAAATTGCTTGAATTTAAAAATAAATAAATTTCTAAGATTTATCAGGTCAATAATTAACTATTCATTAGGATTTCTTTTTTGGATATATTTTTCGTGAATTAGAAAGTAAAGAAACCTTAGAAGCAAAAAGATTACATTCACTAAAAAGTTAGTAAGTGTAATAACTATTTTAAATAAGTCAATATATCAAAAATGTTTTATTTTTCTTTCAAAAAAGTTCATTTTTAATATTATTTTTAAAAAATGACTCCTTTTAAAATCGCTAGCATTTAAATTTAAGTTAAAATAAGACAAAAAATCTTTTTGCTATTTTTTGAGAAAATTAGTTTACTAACTTCATAGCATTTTTTGAAAAATTATTTATTTCTTTTTGTGGAATTTAATTATTTTATTTAAAAACTAAAGCAAAAATAATGAATTCAAGTTTGACGTGCACAAAATGCGCAAAATTATATTAGAATTTTGTGCTGTAAAACCTACTTTTTATTCCAGCACCCACTTCAATTTTTTTAGTAGATAAATTTGTAAGTAAATTTTCAAATATACTTTAACCATTTTATATATTTATTAAAATTCAAAAATATTTTTGCTTGTTTATTAACTATCCAGCAAACATAAAAAAATTTTATTAAAGACCTAATTATCGTCCATTATCTAAGTTAAGGTGCACAAAAAAAATAATTATTTTTCTTCATTTTGCAATTTAATAAAAAATCATCTTAAAATAGAGAACAGAGCACCTTAATTTAAGAAAGTTAAAATAATTTAAGTTTTAAATACATACATACACACGCATATATTTGTATATATTGAATTATCAAATATGAATACATCTCTAAATTAATATATTTGTTTATCATTATTATTATTCTTTGTTGTTATATTCTTAGGACTTTTCAATATCTTCTTGTAATGTTGGTTAGTGTTTTGTGACTCTCAAAAAACTCTTCTCCATCATCATTTTCTTTCATAATTTCTTAATTTAATAAAAAAATTAAATTTTAATTAATATACCATAAATCCTCATAAATTTTCACCATATTTTCTGAATATTTTATAAATAAATTAGATATCACCAACATTTTTGCCCAAAAAAATTCAATACAAATTTTGCGCACTTGACGTTGTAAGCATTTATGTTGTATTTATGCCGCGCTTATAAGCAAAAATAATATATTAAAAATTAAAATAGCTAATATCGAAAAAATTTAATTATTTAAATAAATGTAGTAAAAATAATATTATAAAAAATTAAAATAGCTTAAATAGTAAATATTTAATTATTAATAAATAAATTTCTTTCATCCTTTTGTTACTGAACTAATTTTTATTACTAACAAAGTTTTTTTTTTTTTTCTAGAATAACAAATAAAAACCAAATTAAAATCAAAGCAAAATTATAATTTTACATATAAATTTTTATTTTTAATATATTAAGAGTTAAACCTTTTTGAAAAAGTAGAAAAGAAGCATGCAAGTTATTAAATAGATAACAATAAATGAGTAAACATAATATTTATTTTATATATAAAGAGCTCTTTCATTTAAGTGATTTGAAATAAGAAAGTACATACTAATTCTCTCTTAAAAATTACATATCTATTAAATCCAGCAAGCGCTTTGTTTCTAGTATTGATTTGTATGATTATTAATAAAATCTTATATATATAAATATTATGGAAATAATGAATGCTAAAATCTAAAAGAGCATAAGAGAAATGTTAAGAATTTTATATAAATCATAATGCTCTAAAGTAATACTTTTTACAAATTCTCTTATGATTTAGACCATATATGATTAATAAGCTTGGTAATAATAATATTGTGATAGACTATATTGACTAAAGTGCTAAGCAGCATTTTGTTAAAAGATTGTTTTGTTTTGTTATTAAAACTAAGAATTAGAAGATACTATTGCATCAGAAAAATATTTGATTGCAGAGATCATACCTTACTAAAATATACCTCCTGAAGTTGAATTACATTAAGTTAAATTAAATCCCTATGAATCAATATAACCTAGGTTATTCTAAGATTCCATACATGCATTGTTTTACATTAAATTTTTATTCAAATTATTAAATGCGTTGTATTCATATCTAGAGATACTACTTTGTTAATTTATGATCTTATAGAATTGATTTAAATTTTAGGTTGTATTTTATATTAAGGAATTACTGTTTGAATAATATAAGTCAAATATTACAGTTTAGTTTTACTGCTTAGATTATATAAATTGCATTCGATATGCAATTAATTCTGACATAAACTAGTGTATTGTGTAAACACTATCTAATTATAAAAATAAAATTTTTAAATCAATAAAATTAAATATATTATGTTTATTTTCTTAAATTGTAACCATAAAAAGTTAAATTATTTTAAATTAAAAATCATAGAATAATAGAAAAATACTTTAATTTTTCATTATTAAGATTAATTTGCAAAATAAATTTTCAAGGTTGAATTTTAAGAAAAAATTCAAACTAAAATTATTTAAATAAATTTTTAAGAAAATTTTAATTTAAAAATTTATTATTGTAACATATTCTTAACAATTTAAATATATTTAAAAAAATAAGAACTTACTTGTGTAATCTAAATTATTTAGCTAGTTATCGATAAATGGAATCAGAGCAAATCCTATGCCAAACGAGTAGATGACATTGACTAAAATAAATATAGTTGCATAAAATATTAAAGAAATTTTAAAAATTGGAAGTCTAGTAGTTGAGCTGATGTTTTTCTTCTTCTCAATAGAAATAGATTTTAAACCATTTATATTTATAAAGTTTTAATTAGCATCTTTTTGGTTTTGTATTTTATATTGTTAATCACTGTTATTTTGGTTGAATATTTATCTTAGCTTCTCAACTCCAAGCTCACATTATAGGACTGTATCTATCATCATTTAAATTTTATCTGGCCCGAAAGTAGAGAAAAGTACTAAGATGTCCTATCTCTTTTTTTGTACATAGATATAAATTGGTATAAAAAATAGGGAGAAAAATGAGGCAACAATAATATCTGCAATTTACTAGCTTGTTATGGAAGCTTATATGTTTTAAAATGTGTTATGAATAGATTTTTATATCTTATCATCAATAATATCCAATTATTTGTTAAGTTAAATTAAGTTAATTTATAGCTACAAAGTGTTAGCTTATACAGGACCTTAATTATAGACAATATAATATAAATAAGCTAGCATTATTTTTAAGCTATAATCTATTTTATAAGAAGTTTGAATTGTTCGTGTAGCATTAAAAGCAAATGTAAAATTAAAAACCTCATCTTATATAATATTATTAAGAGTGCTTATTACTTTATTATCTTAATACTCGAGCAGAAGATTTGACATTAATTATAATTAATGTTACTACTAAGATTTTATATCTGCTGTCAGTTAAACTTTGTTTTCTGATGCTTGTAAGTATTATGGATTTCTTCTTACAATATTAACTATTCCTTATGTTCCTAAAATTTAAGTCAACAAAACTTACATTCTACAAGCCCAATCTTAATTTTCATAATCATCTTTTTGGTTACTTAGATATTTATTCAGCTAATCAAAATTTACTATGTTTACAATAACCATAACGAGCAAAGTAATAAATCCAAAATATTATATTGATCTCAACAAAGTCATTTTATTTGGTTTTCTCAGTTCTAAAATTAGTTTTTATCTTTTTTAAAAAATTAATTACTTAATAAATAAATATAATTTTATTTGGTATTAAATTTTATTACATTAGTAAAATGATTTAAATAAGTACAAAAGCTATTAAAATAAATACTTTAATTAGTTTTTTTTATTAAATATAGTTAAAAAAATTATTTTTTAAAAATTTTCATATTTTAAAATATATTAATAAAAATTTTATAAAATTTTTTGGTGTTAATTGATTTATAATTAAAAATGAATAAAATAAAATAAAAAATTTTTATAATAAATTAATTAAATTTATTATTCTGATTACTTTTTCTTAGAATCTCCTGTTTTAGCTGAAAGGTTTACACTGCCTTCATTTACATTTCTAAAAGATTTTTTGCTATTAGTTCTATTAAAATTTATTTTAGAAAGTTTATGAGAGTGTTCATCAAAATAATCTTGTGAAGATGCTGATTACTGTTTCTATACAAGCTAATTGAAAAAGAAAGAAGTTTTTTATTTAGCAATTAAATTTTTATTGCTTTATAATGGATTATCCAATTGAGAATTTTTATCTAAAGTTCGATTAGAAATCCTTTTAGTAGAAAGCTCGGAGCTCAATTTTGATATCTACTATTGATAAATAGTGCTTTACCCATTTCTTTTATGAAAAGAGGCCAAGTCTTAAACTGGATTTGAATCAAAGGAATCTAATCTTGATTAATGAGTAGACATTTGTAACATATTTCTAGTGTGAGGAGAATAAGCCAGGTCTTTTATATTAGTGTTTGATTAGGCAGAAGGAGAATTTAGCAAATCGTTTCCTGATTAAAAGACAGTAGGGTATAAAATTTAAAATTAGCTATTAATATTATGAGGTGATAATGCATCATAATTGCTATCATTTTCTTAAAGTTGTATGCTACTTAAAATATGTGTATCCAATTTATTACTTAATCTATTTAAAGTCATTTCTCTTAATGATTGCTTGGTTTTTTACTTCTTAAGAATTTCTGGTTTTTCTAAATCCATTAATGAAAATTTTTAATTCTAATTAGCTAATTAATTATGTATTTATTCATTTTAGTCAATTTTAGACTATCTTCGCTTTGTAATGTTCTATGTGGGAATTTAAGTTTATTGATGCTATTCATTATTTTCATCTCTATTTGTTAGTTATTTACCTGACTCATTTTAAGATTCTTCAAAACTAGACTAAGTGAGTTCATTAATTCTTTGGTTTGATTAACCTTCATAGAAATTATTAATATGCATATGTCTTCTATTAATATTTGTTTGGATTATATAGTTTTGTAGGAGTAATTTTTAGTTATCAATAAATTCGTAATCATAAGCTTAAAAGTATTCAAAATCATACAATAATTATCTAGCTGCTTCTACTTTAAATTGAAATTCTACTATAGGTTCTAAGCATGATATAACAACTTAAATAATTTCAATACAGCTATGTCGTATTGTGTAGTAATCAGCTCTAATTTTATAAATTTCCATTTCAAAAATATTTACAATAAGATTGCTTTCTTTCTTGAAATTATTATCACTATAGCAGAATTCTTCTTTACTAGGTTTCAAGAAAATAGACTCATAATAATTCTATGAAGTTGAGAATCCTGTTTTTTAAATTTATAATTAGTTAATTAATTAATGTATAAATTTTGATTTATTAAATATTGGCCAAAATTTGTGGTATCTGGTTTGTGTTTACAAAAAATTTCTTCTAAAAAATAATTAAAAAGAGTAAACCATAATTAAAAAACTTAATTAATTTAATACTTTTTTTGATAAAATGTTCTAGCGTAGGCATGAGGTTTCCAATTTTAACTTTTTGAATGCGATTTTATGGAATCACGTCTTTTAGTAAATATTGGTAAATACTTTGCGATATTGTCAAAATTTCAAAATTATTGTTGTATGACAACTACATATATAGATTTGTGTCTTTAATTTATTTAACCCAGCAACTAGCACCAAAATCACTTATTCCTATCAAGCAAGTTTACACTTTCATTTTGTAAGGAATTGCCCAGCCTTAATTGTCTATTCCTATTAAAAGAGGATAATTTTTAACTTAGAAATCAACATTATGGCTTTAAATGAAATTCTGCAAAATATTATTATGCACAGCGCTAATCTTTTAATTCATCATATAATTTATATTTTTGCCTATTACTTCATTATTTTTTAAAAGAGGAACAACATCATAAATATTTTTTGTAACCTTTTTCACTATTCCAATATTTGTGAGTAATGTTATGAAAATTACGCAGCTGTCTTCTGAATACAGGGTTAGTTTCTTTATATTTTAAACTAAATTCATAGCAGTATATATTTACTTTTTCTCTTTGTCTAATATCTTAGAGAGTGTCTCATCAGATTATAGAGATTTTTCGAAGCTCTCAATTAAAAAATACAAAATGTAGCTCTTGTGATATCTATTTATAAGGTGAATAAGTAGACTTTGGAGTTCCTCTCTTTTGTCTCTTAAAAGACTAAAAGTTGATTCTATCTCTAACAAATTGATGTTGTTCATTCCCATTTTTTAAAGAGCAACTTTTTTAATTAACAAGCATTACTGGAATAAAATACAACTCTTATACATATCAAAGTCGTAGTTAATACTTTCTATGAAATCTAATTACATTTCGTTATTTTTATTTGTGGTTTGATATTGAGCTTTAAAAAACTCAACTTTTTGATTGAGGTAATTGATCACATAAAGTAGCCTTTGCTATTACAAATAGGTCATCATACTTTATTTATTTTGAAGATAATCTAAAGCAATAGTAATAGCCTTTGTTTCATTTTTCTACACTTCAATCACAAACATCAAATAACTAAAAATTAAATTACATAATTGCTTATTGGAGTTTTCCTAAACTGTTTGCTAGTAAATAATTTCTATATAATTATAAAGATACAAACTTCTGATATTCGTTGATTCCCTCTATTCTTGACTATTAATCTCCTGTTTTATTATAATTTTAAAAAGATTATTAATTAAACAATCACTTTTTAATCTAATTTTCAGTAACACAAAATAGATAATTCGATAAAGATCATTTAGATTAATTTAAATCACACTTCAAGCTGTAAATTAATTAAATAATTGATATTTTTATGGATTAGAGAAAGTTTTTTACAAAAATTAATGGTTTTTGTTAAATTAAAAAAAAGCATTAACAATATTTATTTTTTTTAAATATTGCAAAAGTATTTTTTATGGAAGTAATTAAAAAGCTAATTTTAATTAAAATATATATAGAATAACTATAACTACAAAAAAAATTTGCTTTCTTGTTTGTATTTTTCATATAACTCTAATTAATTAATTGATATTTACCTCAGAGCAGAAACAATAGGGATAGTTTTTACAGTATTATTTGTGATTTTAGATTATATTTTCCAAATATAAAGAGGAATATGATGACAAATACTCATCATAGTTTAGTTTACACAAAGAGTAGATATTTCTAAGATAAATATCAAGTTCATCCAATTCTCTTTAAGAAAAATAGTTCTGCTATTGTTTTTAGAGCTTACTTTCTAATGATTTACTCCTGATGCTGTTTTTACTCACTTATTCTAGGCAAATCTATTGTATTCTCATATTAATACTGTTTTTTGCTATAGTAAAACAAAGTGGGATAAATATAAGTAACCCAAAGATGTAAATCCTCCAAAATGATGTATTCAAGATGAAATAGGTATTTATATTTGAGATAATGTTGAATATGAAACCAAAAAAATTCAGGACTTGAACTTGCTAATTATAGATTGGAACATAGTAAATTTCTAAGAGTAAAAGTATTAAATAAAAGATAATTGTAAAGGCCAATAGCTTATTCCCGTCTAAGTAAACATAACAAAACAAAGATATTAACTCAAAAACTGTGCTTATATTCCTCTACCAAGAAGATCTCATTGAAAGATAGTCGTATCTCACAAATCTATCATCATACTCATGTACAGATTGAATATAAGCTATATTAAAAAAAAACTTTAATTGCAATAATAAATTTTATGTAAAATTAAATATATCTCTTATTTCTACTTTAAAATTAATTTATTTCAAGAATAAGTAATAAAATACATAATATTTTTTATTAAACTACTAATTAAACTCAAAAACCTACTTATAATCATCGTAAGAATAAGATTGATTGAGCTTGCTGCTGGATTAGTATTAAAAAGTAGCAATGAACACATAGCAGATATCATGTAGATTAAATAAAAGTAGACTTAGAAAATTAGAGAAAGAAGATAATCTTCTTTAGGCTTAATCTACCAAAATACTGATCTGAGAAAGTATATTAAGAATGCACAAAATACATAAGAATTTATAATGAGTAATGTGTAAATAACAGCACTTTCTACAATTTATCTGCCTTAAAAGTAAACTCCGTACTGCAAAAATGAAGCATCATTTTCTAAATCAATTATTTGGCTCATGATACTAGGACTGAGTTAAAGGAAAAAATACTAAAGATGCTTGAAAATAATCAGAAAAATAGATATCAGATAAGGTCTATCAAATAGCTTGATTAGCGGATAACTCTCTTCTAAGTAAAATTTCTTCATTCTTTGATACACAGATTAATTTGCTTACTCCTTGTAAATTATATTCATTTTATAAATATTACTTCTTTTTAATTCTATGTTATTTATTTATGTATGTAAGTTGTTTTAATTAATAATACTTTTTTATCTCACTATTAATTATTTATCATAAAAATCAACTCAACTCAAAAAATTAATACTTATGCTCCTCCGCATGTATGTATACTTTAATATAATGAAATATAAATTATAAAGATGCTTTCTTCTGTTTTTTTATAACATGTAAATAAATACAAATTTAACTAGATTTTTTTAATGTATTTTGCGTAATTGTTTATAGGAAATATTAATTTATTAGTATTTTCCATCAAATAAATAATTTAAATATTTAATTTTTGTAATGATAATCAAAGCTTTGCCAAATTTTTATATTTAATTAATAGAGGTAATTGACAACTTTTTTTTCTTCACTTTTTTAAAGTCATTAAGAATTTTAATTTAACAAATAAGATTTTTAACATTTTCTAATAAGTTAATTAAAGAACAGTAAAGATTGAGTCTTATTATTTTAATAAATTGTTAATAAATGAAATATTTAATATTATTTATTAAATAACTTGATTAAATTCAAAACTTATTAGTCAGTTTTCTTTTATAATAAATTTTTCTAAATAGCTGTGCTTGAAATATATGAAATATGTATTTTAATATTTTTGTAATACTATAAATCCTGTTATTTAAAACACCTGCCTTCCACCTCCATTTATTAGAAGCCTAAATTATTTAGTCCTATCAATAATGGGTCAAAAGTTGGGAGTGAGAACCTAAATATATGTGATTTATAAAATATATCATTTAAAACCCTTTAAAAAAGCTATGAATATATAATATTAAAAGATTATTTTGATTAGTATTTTTTGAAATGAGAATATAAATAAATTACAACTCATAACAAAAGGGTTAATAGGAGAATTATTTTTAAATTAAAAACTAGTTAATCTAATCTTTTAATTCTAAAACATTATTTGAAAAATGGATTCTATATTTTTATCTTATAAAGCAACTACTTTCTATAAAGTCTATTTTATCTTATTATTCCATAGCCACTTTAGGAACATTAACAAATATGTTTAAGTATAAAATTCTTAAAGAATTAAATTATAGAAATTTATAAGTTCTTGCTTGTTTTTATTTCATTAAATATCTCGCTTCTAAAAAATTTGAGTATTTTACATAAAGATTTTATTTTTTTATTGATGAATAATTGATTAAATCATTAAAAAATTACAAATTATAATTTATTTTTTGATGGGCTGATTAAAGTAAATATTAGATTTTCAATTATTTTCTGTAATTAAATTTCAAAATATTAAACTTTCTGTTAAATTTATCTTTAATAGAAATAAACGCCTTACAATAAAAAATGAGTTAACAAATCTCTCAAATATTTATTTTGCAGTTTAAATATAAATAATCGAATATATTAACTAATTAAAAAAAAAAGAAATACTAGTTGTAAACAAAAATAAAAAACATTATTTAGAATAAGACTTTATGGACAATAAATATATATATAATTAAATTTAACTATTTAATTAAATAAATTTAAGTATGTATTGCTAATTTTTGATTGCTTTTAGCAACAAAATACTCTGTTTTAAAAAAAGAAAAAAACAAAATATTAGGAAATAATCTTAATTTTACTATTAGGGTCTTTTATATGGGATATTATTTAAATAAGTTCATAAATTATATGAAATTATAGCTTATTTGGAAGAGAGAAAAAATAAAAATCTTTAGGAAATGTTCAAACCATTTCAATTCCCATTTTATTTATATATAAATTAATTTATTTCTATAAAAAATTTATATATTAATTTAAATACAAATTTCAAAATTTTATTTTAGTTTCTTCTTAAAAAATAAAATTTATTGCTTATGCAATATGCACATTTAAAATCAATTCATATTAACACAATTATATATTTCAATTTATAAAAATGATTTTTTTTTATACCAGAAATTTTTGGCAAGTCATACTTTTATATAAGGAATTGTAGCTCAGCTGGGAGAGCGAAAGAATCCAAATCTTTAGGTCAAAGGTTCAAATCCTTTCAATTCCCTTTTTATTTTATCTAATTTTTATTATAAATCAAATTTATTATTTTAAATTAAAACATTTTTATTTTATTCGAGTTAATTTATTAAAAATAAAATTATTGATTTATGTTGTTTGTGTTTTTAAATAAATTCATATGAATTCAAATATTCTTTCAATTCATATGAATAATTTTTTTGATACCGAGGAAGTTATTTGCAAGTCCTTGTTTAATGTAAGGAATTGTAGCTCAGTTGGTAGAGCGGAGGCAGCCAAAACCTCAGGCCAAAGGTTCAAGTCCTTTCAATTCCCATTTTATTTACCTATCTAATATCATTAGTAAAAAATTAGATAAAAGTTACTCATTTATTAATTTAAGTTGAAACTTTTTCATTTTATTTGAGTTAATTTTTTATAAATAAATTTATTGGTTTATGATAAATATGTTTTAAGTAAATTCAAATAAATTCAAATATTCTTTCAATTCATATGAATAAATTTTTTGATACCGGAAGTTATTTGCAAGCCCGAGTATTATGTAAGGAATTGTAGCTCAGTTGGGAGAGCAGAGGAATCCAGATCCTCCGGTCAAAGGTTCAAACCCTTTCAATTCCCATTTTATTTCTTTATCTAATACTTATAGTAAATCAATCAAAAATTTATTTATTATTTTAAGTGAAAACTTTTTCATTTTATTTGAGTTAATTTTAAAAAAATAAAATTATTGGTTTATGTATGATGTGTGTGTTTAAAATTCAAATCTTCTTTCAATTCTTTTGAATCATTTTTTTATACCGGAAGTTATTTGCAAGCCGAAGTATAATGTAAGGAATTGTAGCTCAGTATTTATTTATTATTTTAAGTGAAAACTTTTTCATTTCATTTGAGTTAATTTAAAAAAAAAATTATTGGTTTATGATATGTGTGTTTAAAATTCAAATCTTCTTTCAATTCTTTTGAATCATTTTTTTGATATCGGAAGTTATTTGCAAACCCTAGTATAATATAAAGAATTGTAGCTCAGTTGGAAGAGCGGAGGAATCCAGATCCTTTGGTCAAAGGTTCAAACCTTTTCAATTCCCTTAGTTTTTGACTTTGAAATTTAATTGAGGTAAAATTAAACTACCTATAGTTAATTAACAAGAAATAAAAAACTTTTTTATAATATTCTTTTTAGTAATAAAATATAACATTTTTGAGCTGAAACATAGAAAATTTATTTTCTAAAAAAAAAAATGAAAAAATAATTATATTTTTACTTAAATTTTAATTCTTCCTATTTTTCAGGAAAATTTTTTTAAGCATAAATTTAGTTATTGAGATGTTGCTCAGTTGGAAGAAGCCAATCAATCCAAAAAAACTTATGTCAAAGGTCCAACCCCTTATAATTTTACAGATATAAAACTTATTAAAAATCAGGTAAAAATAGCTTTATTTTATTTGTAAAATAGAAATTTCTAAAATTAAATATTACAGTTCTTTGTTTCTAAAAAAAATTTTTGAAAGCTGTAATAAACACATAAAGTAAACTCATATTAAATTAAATAATTAGTTTATTAGTATATTTCATATACCGATATTTCCCATGTAAGTATTTCTGTAGCAAGGAATTCTAGCTAAGTTGGTAATGTGATGGTGGATTTAACCAAATGCTGATTTCTTAGAAGCCATTAAAATTCATTAAAACTATAAATTTTTAAGTATTACTAGAAGACAAACAGTAAAAATTGCTAATAACTAATGAAACACTTCTTCAATAACTGGGCATATAATTTAATAATTATAAACTTACACTAATAATTTTTTTAAATTTTTATATTTAAAAAAAGCAGTAAAATTATAAATTAATCCTAAATTGTAAATTGTTCATTATTACTGTAAATATATTAAATTTATGGAATTTTTATAGCAATTAAATAATAAAAATAAAAAATAAATTTATTTGCTAAAATTAACTGACATTTTCCACTTTAAATTGCTATATAAATAGATTATATGAAGTTGTTACATATTGAAATTGGGAGAGTGAAAAATTTTCTAAATCTTTAGCTCAAATGTTGAAAAGCTTTTAATTGCTTAACATTTTTATAAATTTTTATAAATTCAAAAGAGAGACAGTAATAATATAAAATATATCAAACATTACTTCAATAAAAATTAGCTGCGTATTAAATGATTATTGTTTGTTTATTTTTACTGCATCACTAAAAACCTTAATTTAGAAATTTTTTATTAAGCTTTATCATACCACAAAAGAGATTTAATAAAATTGAAAATAAATCTATCAAAATTTTACTAAATTGGCATGAATAAAATTTGAGAATTGAGCATTTTTAAAATCTTTATTTAAGAAGAAATATTTTTTGCCTAATTCGATTTAGTTATTAATGCTAATTGTATGGTTCCATTTGAAATTATATGTTTTTTTTTTTGTTCAAAGGCAATAATAAAATTACCTTTTATCTAATTTTTTAATGGTTATAAAATCAATAATATAAAAATTAAAACATAAATAGTGTGTATTGAATTTATTAATTTATAAAAAAAAACTTTTTTAAAAACGTTTTACTTCAAATTTAATTATATAAAACCCACAAAAATATTTTTTTTTTTTATCGCTAATTCTTTTTTAGATTTAATTCATCATAAGGAATTGTAGCTCAGTTGGGAGAGCGGAAGAATCCAAATCTTTAGGTCAAAGGTTCAAATCCTTTCAATTCCCTTTATTTTTATACATCTTTTAACCAATTAAAAATAATCAATCAGTAAACATCTAAAAGGGGGTTTGAGCTGTCTTTAAACTAATCAGTAGAGTCTGTAAAAGGTTCTTTAGAAATTATTAAAAATATTAGAGAGTATTTTAAAAAAATTTCTAAAATAAAATTTAACACATCTTGTAATTAAATCATTTCTTAAATACTAAAATATAAATTTTGAGAGATTTTGAATTATTCAGTTCCATATTTACCCATAAAAATATTGATTTATTTGTTTTACTTTTTAAAGTATCTCATGAAATATTTGTGATTACAAATTAGTTCGAGTGATAATTATTTTTTTAAAAAGTATGTTTAAATTATTTGATTTATAGAAAGATGTTTGAATGATTAAGATTTTTTTTAATGGAAAATTTGATTTTTGGTGATAGAAAGCAATTACTTATTTTTATTATTTCTTTTAACTTTGAATGGAGCGCTATAATTAGCAACTTGATATTTGAAAAATCCACAAAATTTGATATTTATTTCAAAATATTAAATGAGTTTTCTGATGGTAAATTAAATTAGAATACGCACTAATTTTGTAGAATATTTAATACAGTAATAATTACCGAAGAATAAAATATACTATTTTTGTTATAAATTCTTTTATAACAAAGAATTTATCAGATGCTATTTTTCTTTTTATTAGCAAATATTTTAATTTAAGAAAACAAATTTTTATTATATTTAACACAAAGATTACAATATACTCGATTTAGTTATTTTTTTGAATTAACAATACTTAATTTACATATATTGCTCTAATTACCACAAAAAATAAAATATAAAAAAAAGGATTATTTCAATATAATATATGTAAGTTTTATTAACAAATAGTTATTTCCCGTTAATAAAACTTTTCTTGATTTTGGTTAATAGTAAATGTATTTTTCAAAATGTTAATTTTTTTATTCATTTAAATTGGAGTATATTTTAGCATTTCTCTTAAATTATTAAGAAATGAAATAGAAATTAAATGGATTGATTCATTGATATTTTAGAAACAAAGAAAATACAAAAATTATGTTCTACATGTAAATTATATAATAAATAATTGCATAATTTCCTTAAATTTATTAACGCATTTATAATACACATTTTTTCTATAATATGAATGAATGCTTTTACTAGATTTCGTGTTAAAAAAATTACTAGCAGTAAATTAGTACAAGAAAATTTAAGGTAAAACCTTTTAAAATGAAAAAAGATAAGATGAAATAGGTACATTTAATTCATAATACAATAAATGGTTTATTCAATAAATATTGGATATGGTTTACATCTATTTGCATAAATATTTTTTAATTATATTTAGTATAAATTGAGTTACTTTAAAATAAATTAAGATATCTTAATAACTTAACAAATCCTTTTAGGAAATCTAGATAAGTAAGTTAAGCGACATAATGGACTGACTACTTTGAAGAAAAAAAAGCAAAAGATTATGGCTTAACTATTTTTTAAGTTATTTTAAATGATAAAATTTTTAATATTTGAAAATAAGTATTTTTTGATTAGTTACTTACATTACATGATTATTCAAATTCATATATTTATTGAAAGAACCATAAAATCTATAGGATATCAAACAAAATAAAATAATAACTATATATTTTCAGTTAATTTAACAAGATAATAATTTTTTATAGCTCTCTGTCCTTGTGCTTATCTAATTTGTAGACATTTTATTTTGGTTACTTTTTTCCTAAAAAATTTGAAATTTCATCACTTTCTCCTTATTAGCAAGTAAACTTTTATAAACGCAAATCAAATATTGGGTATTAAAAAAAAAAATCAAACAGCCATTTCAAATTATAAATTTACAAATTTAAAAAGAAAAATAAGTAACAAATTTATAAAATTGATGAATTTATAATAAGGCTATAGAAATTTTATATTGAATTTGGAATGAGATGAAGTAAAGAGTATTGAATACAAAGATAGATATAGATAGTGAAGTATTGATTGATTACTGTAAATTAACATATTATTAGATTAAAATTGGATAATAATTATTTTATATACTTGGAAATAAAAGTAGGGAAGTTTTTTTGATTATTGATAGTTGTTTACAATTCTATTTTCAAATTTGATTATTAGTTAGTGATTAAGTGAATTAATTTAGTTAGTATAAATCTTAGTTTTTAAACCAACAGGAATTTAAATATTTTTTGTTTCCTCTGTATCCTAAATTCGAAAGGACTTTTTTCAGCAAATGTTCTTTTGGCTTTCTTCTTTTTATTCTGAGAAATATTTGCTAAGTACTTCTAAGCAGTTTGAGATAACACTCTTTTGAGAATAATGAATCTTGAAGTCTAATTTGGTTAAGTTCTCATAGATTACTTGCAATTTCATCATTGCATATTAGAATTTATTAAATAAGTTGGTAGCATAGTTAATGTAGTTTTCATCTTAGAATTCTCTAATGTAGACGACTGAGTTGAACAAATTTATTTGGTCTTTGTAAATAGAAGAGTTTTCAATTTTTTCTATTAAATGGGGGATTTCAAGCTCTTCATATGCAGTAGCACGAAGTATTTCGATTTGTTAAATTAAAGTGCAAATTTCCTCAAGCATTTTAATTGATTAATTTATATTTTCTTGGTGTTTTACTTTTAGTATTTAAATTTATATTTATATTTTAATTTATTTAATTATTACTCAACTATCTGATGCAATTGCCTTGATATTTAAAGTCACTACTGGTTTTTGATCGTTTTTCTTAATTTTTATATTTCAAGTAAAAATTTACTGTAAGTCTTTTCTTATTTAATAAAATTTATCTGTTGTTATGAGAGTGGTTATTTTATTTTCCTACCAGCTCAAAACAAGATTACAGAAAATATTATTTTTTAAAATTTCATTTATATAATAAACAAACCTCTATTAAAAATAATACAGTAACCCAAATTAAATCCGAGTCAATAAAATCCTCAAAGTTTTAATTTATGTGAGTAAATACTCCTTTCTCATAAGATAAATTAAAAAAGTCTTAATTTTAATTCAAACTATTGTAACAGCATTCTCTTAAGTTATTTCCAGCTCATTTTACTTTTTCTAAGTAAGTATAAAACCTTCTATTTGTTATCTATAAATCTAATTACTAGTTATATTCAAAATATTATTCTACTTATTGTTCTTTCTTAACAATATATGAAATTTCTAATCTTATTTAATAATATTTTTAACTTCTTTATTTAATGTAATCCTTATAATACTCATTAATAAGTTAGTTTCAGGTAAATATTTTTCTTTTAAAATTAATTAAATGAAAAGATTCAAATACTTAAAGTAGAAAAATAATTATGGTTATAAAAATAAGCAGTATGTAAATTTAATTAATTAATCAATTGATGATTTTAATAAAAGGTTATTTATTTTCTTAAGAATCAAAATCAAATTTTTGTGCTGAATTGAAAATTTTAATCCATTAAAAAATTAATAAAATATGTAAATATAATCGCAATCAATAATGATATTAATTAATGTTAGGAAAGGTAATAGATTATTTTCTATGACTTAATAATATAATAGAAAAATTATCTAATTTGTAATTAAAAAACGTAATTAAATTACTTAAATAACTTAAACATGTTAGTATGAGTTATTACATAATTTAGATTAGAAAACTTAAAAAATACAAAATTTTATTTAACTAAATGTAAGACTCGAATATAAAATAACTAAATCTATTAAGCAACAATATCTAAAAAAAAGTCTAAAATTATTCAAAATAATAGATCATCTTCTTTATTAGTTAACTCAAAGTAAATTAAGTTTTTATTCTTTAGTGCTGATTATTTAATTTCCTCTTGAATATATCCACAACTAGTAATTTAATTATCAAAAATTGTTTAATTTATTTCTGATCATTTATTTATGTATATATTTATTTATTTACTCATGATGATATACAAAAGTATGTAAATTTTGCTGCTCTAAAATTAATTCGGCTAACTCAAATATTTCCACATATTATAGTTCAGTCTACCTATTTTTGGATGAAAAAAAATTATATGGTAAAATAGTATTTACTTTTATATGTTTCATTTAAATTTGCACTAGAATGGTAGTTTTTGATAATTTAGCAAGTAAAAATTTATTAATTTGAATTTAAAAGATGAGTATTTTATAGAATTATTTAAAGTTAAGAAAAATGAATGAATTACGAAAAATCTAGATTCAGTGATTTTAAATTGGGTCTTAAGTCTTTGAAATAAGGAATCCATTCTTGAAACAATTCACTTGTTAATTATGTCTAGCCTCTATTTTAATTAATTAATTATATAACATTAAATCTAAGTTATGTATATTTTCAAATACTGGTCATACCTTAAATCTAATTTTATATTTGCTAACGTTGACGGCTTAGACAAAACTTAACCTAAAGCTTGAATTAATTCCAGTCTTATTTCTTAAGACCTTTGAAATTATCCAATAGAATTTTAAATATGTCAATTACGAATAATATAATATTTACCTTAAACTGAGACATAGCTATTACAAATACATGTTATTCATTATCGAATCGATAATATTTACCATATCTACACATTCAATTTTGGTTAATCTTCACATTTTAGTAGTAGAATTAACAAAAAAAATTTTTAAATAAAAATTTACGCTAGATTTATTGACTTGAGAGTTGCATTTAATTTTCGAATGGTATTTGATAACTCTATTGAGCCTTCTTTTCCGATTTTATTAGCCCTAGAATTTTAATTATTCATGGCATGAAATACTTTATTTTTTAATTGCTTTACTTTAAATTGATTTCAATTGTTCTAAGATTACTCTAATTAGACAAAATAGGATTAAATAAATCTATAATCTCACTTTATTCGATTGCATTTCTTCTATTTTATAAAAAAAAATTATAAAAGTAAATACACTCCATAACTAAAAAACTAAATTTTACTCTAAATTTAGATATAAATCATGTAACTAAGCTGAACTAGCGAGTAATTTTCCTAAACTACCCAATCCATCTTTGATTTTACATTATCTTGTATTTGATATGTTTAAATAAATTATAATACTCTTGAAAAATATGTCCATTTAATTAAATTTATTTAAAGCAATTTAAAGATAAAACTTATTTATTTAATTAATTACTGCAAATCAAGATATAGTTTCTCAAGCTTATTGTTATTTAAATTTGCATAAATTTCTTCCAAACATTGATTATTCATACTTATCCCACTGTATACATAATAATTTTAAAAAATAAAATACTAGTCTAATAATCAATTAATCTACCACAACGACAGCTTTAAATTAATTAATTTTTTAAAACCTTTCAAAGTTTTAGAAACACCAGCCAATCCTCTTTGATCTACTTTATTCCCCCTTTTTGTAAATTGCATATTTAGATAAGAATTTTTTCTATCATACCAAATTTACCTAATATAAAGAGCAAGTGCTGTGAGTTATTCCATTTTTTAAAGTGTTTCACAAAAAATCTACAACCCTTCAGATGATATTTAGTTATCTCTAAAAGTAAAATTTTTTATTGAATCAGTAACTACAAAAAATTATAATTCACTCAATATTTAAGCTAATTTGCTCTAGATGCTAACTTTAAATTACTTTTTCTGCAAACAGTTATAATCCTTTATCTCCAATTTGATTCTACCTTTTAAATTTTGTTCAATTTAAGTATATTAATGACCACAATTATTTATTAATGAATTCACCAGAAATTTATCTTTATAGATCTGATTGAAGGAAGTTTTGAAATCAAAGACGCCACAGTATTAGCTCCTTGGCTTCCTATTTTATTTTCTCTGTTAATTAAATTTTTTCAAAGCCTTTTAATGCATTTATCAAATATAAGTGAACAATTTACCTTAAATTAAGTTCAACTGATGTCAAGAAACTTCCATTTTGGAGATATGAACATACGATTTCAAGTAATTGATCATTTAATTTGACGTTCCTATTCCAAAAATGATTATTTTTTATCTCTTAAGAAAATTTACTATAGGCTAACGTAGACACTGTTTTCGTAAAAAACTTTGACAGATTTTTCACAAATTTTCCTTAAATTAGATTCAGTTAATGCAAGACTATATTTAATAGATCAGATTAGAATTTGTCAAATTATAAACTGTTTTTTGATCAAAATAAATCTAAATTTCTAATTAATTTACTTTTCTATCTATAAAAATAAGTGTTATGACATTTAACTTTTTTAAATATTACTTCTAATTATTTTAAATTTTCAAAATCAATCAATAAAAATTATCTAGCTTTTATAAAAATTTTAGTAGTATGGAGTTAATAGGGTAAAAAAAGTAAAACAAAAAACCTAGTTTATGATTTAAATACTAATTTAAAAATCTTAGAATTCTATTTAATAAATATTAAAAAAAATATTTTTTTTTTAAATGAATTGAATTCATATAAAATAAAAAGAAAATTTTAAAACATAAATTAAATTGGAATAACTAAAATAGAATAAAAATGATAGTTAAACGATAAAAATACAAATGTTTATTTATAGAAAAATAGTTAAGTATAAATCTCACAAAAAATAAATTATTTGTATTGCTATATTTCTAAATTCTTTAAATATTTTTAAAATTACTTCAGTTTACTGTTGAAACCTTAATATAAATTATGTTTCATTTATTTAAATTTTAACAATTCAATTTTTTTAATTTTATAGCATTTTTTAAAAAGAAATTTTCCTAAAATATTATAATTATTCAATATAATTAATCAGTCAGATTAATGATGCTTTTTTTTTGTATTTAAAAATAATAAATAGTTCAAGGTTTTTAGAAAATAAAAACTTACTTTAAAATGATATAGTTAAATGATATGTTCAATGATATATGGTAAAATAAGAAGTCTAGCCCATAGGGGTATTTTTGACACTCATTTTTCAAAATTTTAAAACATGATATAAATTTGTTTTAAAAAGCTAGTCTAAAAAATATTGCTCCAGACCTCACTTTTCCTCTTATATTCAATGTATATCAAATATGTTTAAATAGTTCATAAATTGAAAAAAATCTTATTTAAACTCATAATATCATGAAAAATAATTTGTTTATGTTTTGATTTTTTTGCAATTTTTCGCTTAATTTGCATACTTTTTTTATAAACAGGATTCTTTCACACACATATATATGTTTTATGTATTTGTACGAATCTATAAATTACTGTAATAAGGTTTATATTTTTAATAGGTTTTATTAAATGTATATTAAAATATAGAAAATATAAATATATTTTTTTAAAAATAATTATATTAAAATTAATTAATTGAAATTTTATTACTATTACTATGAGAAAAACTTTTAGTTAGTTATTAGATTAATTGCTTTTTATCTAGGATTTTAAGATTTAACTTAATTATTTATTTTATTTTCAAATAATTATAATTTTTAATCATAAAAAAGTAGTTCAAAATATTATGAGCTGATTTAAGTTTAAATTTCATTTTGAATTAATTATAAATTATTTAAATATTTTTTTTTTTTGAACATTACAAAAAAAATTTTTTTGAGTGCTTAAATATCTTTAAGATAATGTAAAATAATCTTATTTTTTACAAAAGACATTACAATTTGTTCAAAAGTTATAAATCTGATAATAATCCTTAAATAAATTTCTCTTAAATAATATTTATTTATCATAAAAAAAATTAACTTCCTTTTTTCTTTTAAACATCTTTATCAAAAATTATTTTAAATTATTTTTATAAAAATAAAAAAAGGTTGTCGACACTGGGACTTCCCAAGCGGTCCCCCACCTTAGTACTAACCCAGCCTTAAGGCGCTTAACTTCGGAGTTCGAATGGGATCCGGTGTTTTCACCTTAGTATGGCCGACAACAAAACTAATCAATATATAATTCTATTTATAAATTAATTTATAAAATAAAGCTAAAAAAATTAAATAACATTATTTTTTTGAAAATATAATATAAATTTAACAATATTTTACAATAAATAAAAAAGGTTGTCGACACTGGGACTTCCCAAGCGGTCCCCCACCTTAGTACTAACCCAGCCTTAAGGCGCTTAACTTCGGAGTTCGAATGGGATCCGGTGTTTTCACCTTAGTATGGCCGACAACAAAATTATTTATCATGTATGTGTATTTATTTATAAATTAACTTATAAAATAAATCTAAGAAAATAAATAAGCATTATTTCTATTTTATATAATGTAAATTCAAAAAAATTTTATAATATTTAAAAAAGGTTGTCGACACTGGGACTTCCCAAGCGGTCCCCCACCTTAGTACTAACCCAGCCTTAAGGCGCTTAACTTCGGAGTTCGAATGGGATCCGGTGTTTTCACCTTAGTATGGCCGACAACAAAACTAATTAACACAGATAATTATTTAAATTATAATTATTTATAAAATTATAGAATTTAAAAAATAATTTCATATACTCTCATTATAATCAAATAACATAAATTAATTGTTTTGATTTTACTTCTTTAATTCAATCATGAGATTTTATTTTAATAAAATATCAATAATTTAAAATACACTTTCTGAGATAATTTTATTTCTAATTTAAATTTTTTAAATATTTTATTTATACTCCTCAATCAATAACAAATTCAACAATAATTTTATAATATAAACATTTTAAAAAATAAATTTTTAAAGTTTTAAATTTTGGGCTATTTTTGATAAATTAAATACAATTAATTGTCAACTTTTTTGCATTTATTTTAGGGTTAAAATATTATTTATCTAAAAAATGTTTTAAGATCTGATGATACTAGAAATGAGTATTTTATCCTCTTAAATTTAGATTACTCAAATTACCTTTAAAAAATAAATATCTTAATATTTTTAGATTATGTTTAACAACTATAATTATTATAAATAGAAGTGTAACAAAATATGTGGATATTTATTAACTATATTTTAAATAACAAAATTTTCTTAATTTTAATTAATTATTGTTAAGTATTTCAATTCTCAACTTATTTATAGATATTTAGATTAAAGGTTGTATTGAGAGAAAAATGGATATGTAAAATAATTCTCTCAACAAGAAAAGTGAAAATACTATTGACATTAGCTAGCCTCTTACTTCTTAAAAATAATCTTATGATAATTTAGAGAAAATAATGAGAGAGTAACTAGAAAGTTTGAAAAATAGCGCAAACATTTTAAGATCAAATGGTTAATCTAATATTAATAATGAAGGATTTCTAAGTTAATGCTCAAATAGAATTAGAATTAGATAGAAAAGTAACATAAGAAACAAGATAGAATAAAATCAAAAAAATATACTTTCAATTAATGAAGAGAAACTAATAAAAAATGAAAATGATGAACCTAATAGAAAAGATAAATCAGTCAATCAAAATAACCATTTTAATAAAAATAATAATAACGGTAATATTTTATAAGTAATAAGACATGATAAAGAAAATATAAGAATTAGCACTGCTTCATAAAATAGGGACTAACATATTTCATCTAAAATAGAAGAAAGGCTTGAAGAAAACTAATCCAGTTAACCATCTTCTTTGGTTTAATCTCCTAGTAGAAAAAGAAGCAATTTCGTAGTTGGGAACTCCTTTGTTGAAAATAGATTAAATTTTGATAACAACAAACCCTATTTATTTAAAAGACTAAAATAACAATTAGATAATAGTAAAGGGTTCAGCTTTTATCAAGATGTTGGTGAAAAGAAAGGCAGTTCATTACAAACTAGCACAATACAATCTAGTTATTATAATAATAGTAACAACAGCAGTATTATTAATAGTAACAATAACAGTAATATAATCAGAATTAGGAGCAAAAACCCCAAAGACTTATCTGATTTAAGTAATATTCATACTCAAATTTCTAACAACAAATCAACTTTAAGATCAAATAAAAAGGAGGAGCAGAATAGCTCTTTGTAGAACTCTTTAGCAGATTCTTAACTTTACTAATAACAAATTAGAAAAAGAAATTCATTATACTAAAATTCTACATAAAATTAGTAAATAAATAATAAAATAAACAGTTAAAATCAGAGAAATGGAAATGGCTTAAGCAATCAGCACAATTTCTACTCTATAAAAAATTCAGTAAGCTAAAACACTTCACAAAAAAGAGATAATAGCAACTCTTTGAATTAAAAATATCCTACATTGATGAGAAGAAATGATAATAACTAGTTGGTTAAAGTTTTTCAGAATGAAACAAAAAATAGAGATAAGCAAGACACTCTCAGACTAATTTAGATAAAAAAGGAATAAGAGGACTTGATAAGACAACAAAATGAATAGAGAAAACTTGAAATTATTAAAAAACAAAAAGAAATAGATAGTCTTTTTTAAACAACAAAAGAATAACTATATGGGAGCTAAATTGAAAAAATGAGCAGCGTTGGTTAACACATTTACCAGCAGAGAGAGAAATACTTTAATTAATTAAAAAATAATTAACAACTCTAGTTACCATAAAAAGATAATGAACCCAGTCCACCTCAATACACTCATGAGTCTCTTGCATATGCAACACAAGGAACTTAGCTGGTAAATTATTTTATTTATTTATTAGAATAGAAATTGCTTTCTTGTTTGAAATATAAATTATTTATTTAGCTTCAAAATTTTGTTTGTTTTTTTGTGGAGAAAAAAAGTTTTTTTAATTTTTATGAGATATTTTATATTGATTGGATTGTTTAAAATAAAAACATTAATTTTAAAATAATTATAATTATTTATAAAATAGAATGAACCATATTCAAAATTAAATGCATAGTAAATTTAAAATGGAGATGATAAGATAAAAATGATATTAAAAAAAAGGAAAAAAAGTTCAAAAAAGAACAAGAAAAAAAAGAAAGTAATCCCTATTAAAATAGAGCAAGGAGAAAATGGAAATTATATTATTAATAAAAAAGAAAAAAAATAATTAACCTGTAGAAATAACGATAAAAGCAATAACAACAGCGATTAATAATAGCTAAGTAATAATAAATCATCAAAAAACTGCTTAATTAAAAAGAAGAAAATTAGTATTAGATATTAAGATTAAAATATTAAGTCAAGCTAAGAGTAGGCTAGGATAGATGAATTGATTTTGCAAGATATAAGAAATTCTGACATGCTCTATCCTAATAGCAGTAGAAAAGATTATTAGCTAAACACGTTTAGAGCTCTTTAAAATCATGCAGACTAAATAGATAAATAAAATAAGGAAACTCATAATAAAAATTATGATAGCGGATCTATAATATATTAAAATTTAGATGATGATTATTATTCTTTAAAAACTTAATAATAATAGAAGAATACAACTAACATTTCTAGATTTTCAAATAAAAAATAAATAAGTCATAGAAATCCATTATCTTCTCATGATAAGGATGATATGGAAGACCTTTTTGATGTCAAGATAAATACCGGATAAAATCTTGATCTTTTTAAGCTTTAGTCTTTTCCTAAAATAAATGACTCATATGAAACCTTTAATGGAAACAAAGACAATAATTTTAAATAAGATTTTTTCAATTCGAATAAAAAAATATCTGATTCTGAAAATGATGAAGAAGATGAAGAAGAAGAAAATGATGAAGATGAATAGTATGATATCATAGAAAGTGATAAAAAAAACATAAAAGAAAAAAAAATTAGCTTTTAATGAGTTTATTTTAAATTAAAACTTTTATTTGAGTAATTTGACTTGAAAAAATAAAGCATCTAATTAACTTAATTATTTTTAAATATTGATAATTATTAAAAATTTTTATTTTAAAAATAACTGAAAAATATTTTAAAATAATTGATCATTAAGCTTTAATTTATATTAAATTAAAATAAATTTATTTAAATAAATATTAACTTAATCTGTAAATATTATATATTAATTGCAATTTAATCACAAATAAATAAAAATATTATCAAATTTTATTTGTTTTATGAATATTTTATATTTTACTTATTTTTTAATTTATATTTCTTCATAAGAATAATATTTTTAAGCAAAAATTTAAAAATAAATGGGTTAAAAATATATTTTTTGCTATACTACAAACCCTCTTATATTTTCACACAAAATTCAACTATTAAATTCAAGTTTAAATATTAGCTATACTGTGGGTTGTCATATAATATTAATTTAATTTGAACATACTCACAAAATTTGTTTTAAGTTTTATGGTTTCATAATTACAATATTTTTTGAAATATTTTAATTTAATAAATTTTATTTATATTTCAGTAAATGTTAATTAATTGTTTTTTTTAATAATTTATGAGAAAAAACAAACAAATACAATATAAAAATTTAATAATTAGTTAGTATATATGAAGAGGAAAAGTAAATAAAATTTATAAATTTCATTTATTTGTCCTAAAAAATGAGTTGATATATTAATTATCGTTAAGTTATGCAACATCTATTATGTCAAGAAGCCTTTTTGTTGATTGTATTTGCTTAGAGCAAATTGTAAAGAATCTAAAATATATTAAATAAATAGAAGAAGCAAATAAAGATATTTGTAAGGCAATAAATAATCTATTGAGCAGTATTAAGTAATCATATTCTTGATAAGTTATAGACTCAATAAACCCTTGTATTGCGCTAATACTAAATGTGTAATACATTTTAAAGTAAAATTGTTATTTAACTGGAAAATCTTCAAATAACTTATTAGCACCTTCAAAAAATGCTACATCATCTTCCTCATTAAGCAGCATTCCATTTTAACCTACAAAATCAAGAAATTGTTTTGTTGCAGTAATTAGCCCTTTAGAAAATATTCCGAATTTAACCTATTCGCATTCAGTTTAATTATAACCTGGAATTATTAAATATTAAAGATTTTAATTAACTACTTCACATAAATTTCCTTCAAGCATTTAGTTTATAAATTTGTTAAATTTATTTTTTTGATAGCGATTTATTTTTGATTGCTTAGCCATAATTTCATAAAAATCATTTAATGCAGATTAAATTTTGAGAGATTTTTCCACTATTGCTTCAGTATATATTTTGTATGTATTATCATCATCAAATTCCAATCTTGTGTCAATCAAAATTATTTCCATCTCAATAATAGAAATAGTTAAAGAATGAATTTAATTTATTTTATCTTTTTTTAAATATTTTAAATTAAAAAAATATTAAAATTAAAAAAATATGTTTTTACTTAAAAATTCTGAGTTGTTTTCTTGATCATTCATGAAATTATTCATGTTAATTCCTATAGCTAGAGAATAAGTACAGTTGAATAAAATAAAACAGAGAGCATAAATGAGAGTTTTTAATTAAAATAGAGGGAGCCTTGAAACTGAACTGATGTTTTTGTTTTTCTGAATTTCAAAACTAGTTATTTGAGAATACTTTCCACTTTTATAATTATCCTCTTCCTTTATGATCTATTTTTATTTTTAATTCAACTATTCGCTTAATCGCTCAGCTCTTTTTTCGTTATAGAGCACTTAGAATTGCATTTCCTTAATCTTTTGCGGATTAAAAGTAGCCAGTAACCCAATAAATTACTTTGTTTTAAGCTGAACATATACAAAAATAGGTATGAAACTCAAAGAAAAAATTGTAGATGAAATGATGTCGCATAATTGTGATACAAATAAACTATCTCTAATTTCTTAATATTTTTATTCGACTAACAATACTACATCTTTTTCGAAATCATCCAATTTATTTATTAACTAAATTTCATTTATTAGTAACTGATAGTATTCTTCATCATTATTTTTTTTCCAATCTGATGTTAAGAATTCATAGCAATATATCTCTAAAAGCGCATAATACAGAGATATATGTTGCTTATCAACAGAAGTAAGTGAGTAAGCGAAATCGAAATCAACTGTTTACTTAGAAACTTCTTTAAACACTTGAGTGCCTTACTAGACTTTTGAATTAGTATAGGCAATTAAAAGTTTTTAAAAATAATTTTTCCTTTAAATCTGCCCATCTTTGATTGCAGCCATAAATTTTTTTTATTCTTCAGGATCTGGCAATTCAAAATTTGTTAATTTCATCATCCTTAAAAAACTTATATCTCCCACAATTTATTAACTGATTAAATTTATTTTGTAAACCCAGTCGCTATAAATATATTCTTCCCTCTGCTCCATTAAATAAGTGTTTAAAGTAACAAATGAATTAACATTTAAAATAAGCATCACAACTAAAGTTATGCAGCCAAGATATTTTATTGTTTCCAATCCATAAATTTTGTGTGATTGCTACAAGTAATCTATCATTTATTTGCTAATAAAGAGATAAAATATATAAACTAATTTAAAAAAAATAAAATAAATTACTGCTGATGAGAAATATTTGATTTTTAAGTTGAATCACTCTTTTGTTAGATTTATGCCTATTTAGATTAGCTTGAGCATCGTATTTTTGATAACTATTCTTCTGTTGATTCTAAATTATTTTAACTTAAAAGCTTCAATTAAGTTCCAGAATTGAGCTATTAAAAGTTGCCTAGTTTTTTTTGAACCAATTAATTTTTTTAATCAATTTATTGCATGATTTTCTAAGATTCTTATTTGATTTAATCAGCTTTGAATAATTTATTTTATTAAATATGCTTCTCGTTTGTTTCCTCTTAAATTGTTACCAAATTCTTTTAGGAACTGTTTGGATGCTAAATCAGCTGCTAATTGGAAAGATAATTGATATAGGTAAATTAATCCCAAAATTGGGAAGAAGGTAATGGTTAAATCAAATGTCTTTGAGTAAAAATATCTGTATCTCGAGGTGATAGTTAATCAAAAGGAATGTTAAATGAGACCTAATCAATTAATTGAATTTCATTTTTATGCTCGCTTTAATAATTCCTTTAATTATCATTTTTTTAACAGTTTTCTTCATCATTTAGCTATTATAACTCAGAGTTCTCTTATAAATACAAACTATTTTATTTTTGCAAATTTTTTTTATTCCCATTCAACTCAAAGCTTGCTGATTAAACAAAAGTTTATTTTTTTTATACTAATTTTTTCTTATTCAATCCATTATTGTTATTTTGCAAGTAGCTTAGCAAAATAAGCTTTTATTAATCAATAAATTAATGATCAAACTGTTTAAATTTTTTAAAATCATGTAGCAAATTATAAATACTTTCTACCTTATCTTTATGATCAGTTATCTTTTCTATTGTATGTACTTTTATTTGTACAAAACTTATGTATTTATGATGGAAAGGATAAAAATCAGCTTCTATTTTAAATATTTCTTCTTTCAATAAATTTTAAACTAAGTCATCACTTTGAGTAAAATTATCTTTAGAAAAGCAAAATTCTTCATTCTAAGGTTTTACAATTATCGTACTATATCTGTTAATCTCCTTAGGGCACTCTAAAATTAAAAATAATTAATAAATTTAACTATAATTATTTAATATAAATGCATTTTTCTTAAAAACTAATCTAAGTTTAGCATTTAAAATTTTTTGCCAATAATTTATATAAAATTAGGAAGTATTTTAATATATTTCCATGACTATTCTAGTCTTTTAAAATCCATTTTATCAAAAAATCTATTAATTTAATTTATCTAATCAAAAAATTTTTTTTCTGTAAATTAAAGCATAAAGAAATTAAGACTAACTTTTTAAAAAATTGTAAAAAAAATGAGTTATTTGATTTTTTTGATTCTAAAAATACTTTTAAAAAAAATATTTTTTTATTATCAAACAAAAATAATTAATTAATTAATTAATCATTAAAATAGTCAAAATTTTACAAAATTATGGTTAATGTTTAAGAATTAAAAATCTAAATAATTTTACATGTTTTAATGAAATAATTTAATGAAGGCATTAATGATTCTAGACTAATATTTTAAACTTTAGAGGGAGAAACAACTTTTGAAAAGAGGATTTAGTAGAATCCATAAGAAATAGTCATTATTTCATAATTTTATTCATATTTAGTGCTGATGTAGTAGCACGAGTCTTAAATTTATTTAATCCAAGTGCAAGCACCAAAATCTGAGGTTCCAATTAAGCAGGTTTGTAGTTTCATTTAATATGGGATAGCCCAACCATTTTTATCAACTCCAATAATAATATCATAATTCTTTATTTGGAAAGAGAGATTTTGCTTAGTAATAAAATTAGTTAAAATTTTATTATGAACTTGAGAAATTTCTTTTGGCTGCATATAGGAAATATTTTTTCCAATAGCTTCTTAACTATTTAATATTGGTACAACTTATTCTAGATTTTTAGTAACTCTTTTTATTGTACCGATTTCCTTTAACAGAGTTATAAAGATAACACAACTGTCTTCTGAATAAAAGTTTAGCAAACATTTAAATTCAGCTTTTCTCTATTTAATTTTTTTTTGGATAGCTTAAGTTAAGCTATTTTAATAATATAGAGATCTCTCAAATATATCAATCATTTGCATTAAAATCCCACAGCTATGATTAATTACAGCTAACTGTTTTAAATTTGTATATAACTTATCTCTTTTCTAGCGAAGTAGAGTAAAGGTACCTATGACTTCTGTAAGATTTATATGGTTCTATCCTATTTAATAAAGCGCTATTTTCTTTAGAAAAAGACACTCTTTCAGCATATTAAAAGTTTCATATAAATTGTTGTCATAACTTATACTGTTATAAAAATCTAGCTTCTCAGTTTTTTCGCTTATAGGCTTTTTATTATAAATACCTACTTTGTGATTAATGAACTTAATTATTTGTCTCAATCTTTATTCTTATCTGAAATTTAGTTATTTGGTATAAAAATTCAAACAATTTAAAGCGAGACAAAGTGATTTAGTTTCGTTTTTCATTACTTCAATAACAAACATGATATAACTAAAAGTTAGGGGATTCAATTCTCCCATTTTAGTTTTCTAAAGATTAAGTTGATAAGCCTTTTCTATATATTAGTAAAGGTACTGTGTTCTTTGAGTTTTAGGTTCATATTCGCATCTGCTTTTATATTCCTAAGTAAGTATTGAAATTACTTTGTAATAAATATGAAATAATTCAAATTTTTAGAGCAAATTTAGCCATTTAAATTAATATGGTATGAATGAATAAAAAATTAATTACATTTTAGCAAAAGCAAAAAGGAACGTAAGTGCAGTTTATTTTGTGAGATACAATTATACTTTCTAAAAAAATTGAAGTATTAGAATTTACATATTCATCATAATTTGTCTTTGTTTAGTAAAATAGTTTTCTCAAAAAAAGGTCTAGTTAGCTTTATAAATTGAAATTAGACTTATTTTATTCAAGTTGCTTGTATTTTTATTTGTCATAGACAAGGTCAGACAATTTAAATTTAATTAGAATAAAATAAAATCTTAATTCGAAGACTATCTCAGCGATTTTGTAGGAGATAGGAATGGAGATAGCTAATATAAGTAAGTATATTTGCCATGAAGAAAAATTAATTGTTAGGAGCGTATTAATTGAATTTATAATATTAAAAACATAGCCACTTAAATTAATCTTCTGAACTCTTTGATCAATGATTGGAATGTAAATAATTTCCAATACTGTTAAGATAATAATTAAAATTAGATTTGATTCTATTAATTGTATATCATCAAATAAAGTGTTTTGTACTACCATAATTAGTTCTAGAAATAAAGATAATATTTTTTGGTAAATTGTGCTGTAAGAAAGAAAATCCTTCCTGATAAACCTATCATCATATTCATGCAGAATTTGAATAACACCTAAAACATTTTAAAATTAAGTAAAATAATTAAAAAAAATTAACATATTTATGGAAATTTTCATAGAATTCTCCAAAAAATAAAAATATCAATAAGCAAATAAAAAATATGAAGGTTTCTTACTTATGATAGCAGTTAATGCAATATTAAAAGACCCAAGTATTTAGTTTTCTTTAAATTTAAACAAAGAGCTTTGTAAAGAGAGGATGTAAAATGCATAGGAATGAATTTGAAATAGAAAAGAGAGTATTATGTTGTATTGTTTAGGCTTATTGGATAGGGCTAAATACAAAATTAAATGAAATACTAAGCAAAGAACCATAAACAAGTTAATAGAGAAAGTTAAGATTAATATGCTTTTATTTGAAAATAACATCTCTCCTAAGTTCATAATTTCTTAAACATTTTGTGTTTATGAATTTTTCTATAGTTAGTTGAGCACATTTTAGCTGAGAGAGAGTAATAAATATTAAACATGTTTAATCATTAACAAAGAGATGCAAACTAAAAGACTTCTGTCAAATGATTTAACTAAAGTGTACATAGTCTAAACATAAAATGTCTTCAACACACTTATCTAAGTCGGGATTATTTGCAATAATTTTTAGGCTAACATAGTGGATAAACTAAAATTTAATATTTTTATTCCCTTTGTATTTTTTTTTTAATAGCAAAATTTTTTTGTAATTAATTTTTTATGGCTACGAATAAGCATGATTTTGTTTAAATTTAATTTAATCTGTTTATTAATGCTATTAAAGCTAGATTAATTTATTTTTCATCTAAATTAATCAAAACGTAATATAAATTTGCAAAATTAATTAATTAGTGAAAGTGTGAGCTAGTGACTGCCTAAACTAAATTAGTTTTTTTATTTACATCCAGTAATGATTTAATACATAATTAACTTTAAAAAATACTTACTTCAATAGAAAAAACTTAATTGGATAATTAATTCTGCTTCATTTACACCTATTTTTAATTTTCTCAAGTTTTCCCTAATAATTTAAGGAAGCAAATTTTTTTTTTAATTCTTTTTAGATATTTTTTTCCATTTTTAATAAAAACCATGTTATAATATCAAAACTTCATTTTTTATTTATCAAAATTAAGTTTAATATATAAAACATAAACCAGCTTGACTTTAATTAGCAATCCAGCATTAATTCTAGTGAAATCGTAGATTTCAATCTTGCTTTTTTCTGAGTGTATTGTATTAATTTCCTATTTTTAGCTTTCTTTTTATGTAAAATAAAATATTAATATTTATTTTAAAATCTTAATATTTCAATCAGGTTTTTAACTATCTTAAAAGTTCAATTGAAATTAAGATATAAATTATTTTTGTAATTACACAAAATTTCAAAAAATTATTATTTGGTTTAAACTAAATTAAGATAATCATTAATTAATTTTATTTATTCATTAATCAAATATTTTTAAACTTTTTATTTATTAAATAATAAAATATTATATAAAAAATTAATATAAAAGATTGAATTAAAAAAAATGTAAATAAATCAATTTAAACTTTTCTGATTTTTTTTGGGTTTTTAATCCCTCTAAAAAAATTGAAATTAAATTTCTTCTTTTTAATTATTTTTATCAATTAAAAATTATTACTAAATAATAAAATGAAATAATTAAAAAACTACTTATGATGTAATATTTTATTTCTTTTAAATTTTATTATTTAGTATTTGTAAATATTAATTTTTATATTCAGTTAAAAATCAATAAGATAAATTGGTTGAATAATTTTTTAAAAATCTAAGAAAAATATTTTTTAATTTTCAAATAGAATATTGAACTAATTTTTAAAAAATTCAAAGAAAGTTCAAATTATTAATTATTGAAATGAATGTTTTAAATCTAATTTGGTGTGGACATTTTTGGAATTAACATAATAAATAAGATAGTAGAAATAAGAATCAAACAAAAAGAGACTTTAAATTAATTTAAAAATTTAACGAAGAAAAAAAAAATGAAGTTATTCAAGAATTAATATAAGCAGTTTAATGGATGAATGAATGAATAAATAAATAAGCACACCACTAACTTTATTCCGAAAATTTAAATAATTAAAGAGAAAAATAGAAAAAATCTGATTGATAATGATGGTATTATTTTGCTTGTTATTGAATTTTTTGGTTTAAAGATAGATATAAAGATTTGATAAGATTTTGGGTGAATTTTTAATTATAAAAATCATATAAAATTCAATTAGATAACTAAAAAATGCATAATTAATTAATTATATAAGTTATTAATTAATTTCATAATCACAAATTTCTTTAATTTATTAATCAAGCTATATAAATAGTTAACTTAAAAAGACTAGATGAAGGGCACAGCCGCAGAAAAGCACAAAGGTAAAAATAATTTTCAACAAACTATTTGGCAAGAATTTGAAGAACTAAAGGAAGGAGCATTCAAAATCTAAAATCATTTTCAAAATAAATAGAGCGTTTGAAAAATGCAAGAGATGTTTAGATGAGCAAGAAAGAAGCGTAAATTAATAAACTTACTGATGAAGAGGTAGTTAACGAACTTAAAGATAAAGCTTTGCCAGTTTATGGCACACGCCAAGAAAAGCTAGATAGGTTGAAGAAATATATGGGTAAGCTACTAATTATTGTTAGAATATATTTATTTCAATTATTCTTCAACTTGATCAATTGCAAAAATATTCATCATCGATTTGATCTTTCAAATATTCTTTTATTTAATTGTTCAATTAGCAAACAAATGTTAAAAACTTTCATAAAAAAATATAATCAAATATAAATTAAGAATTATTTGCAAATAGGAGAATGAATAATTGAACTAATTCTAGCAATAAAATAGATATTTTTTTAAAAATTTTAACTTCATTATGAAAAGGAATCATACCTAATCCAGTCCAGTAATAATAGTAATAAGGAAATAATTTACCACCAAGCAATAACAACGGAGGATTAAATCAGAACTTTAATAATAACAATATTAATGTAAACGACTTTAATGACTAGCAGAAGAAATAGAATGCTTTTAAAGATCCAACTGTTGAAAAAATTTAAAAAATGGAATAAAAGCGTGAGGAAAGAAGAGCTAAAATGGAAGAAGCAAAACGTGAAAGGGAAGAAAAAATTATGGAACACTAAGCACTTGGAAAAAATATTGATGTTGACTTTGAAATATTAATTGAAAAGAATAGATTTAAGGAACCACTTTAATAAAATCACACTCCTGCTTCTCATTTGAAGCTCTGCGTTTGTGTAAGAAAACGTCCTATTTTTAAAAAAGAAGAAACCAACGGTGAAATAGATTCAGTTTCAGTGTCTAACCCTTAGATTCGTGTTTTAGCACCTAAATTTAAAGTTGATGGAATTACTAAGTATGTAGAAAATTATGATTTCACTTTTGATAATTCATTTAACGAAAATGAAGAAACACAAGATGTTTACAAATACTCTTTAAGACCTCTTCTAGATCACATTATGAACTAGGGAGTTATAACATGTTTTGCCTATGGTCAAACAGGCTCTGGTAAAACCTTTACCATGAAGGGTTTACAAAACCAATATGTGACTGACATGTACAAGTTGTCCACCCATTAAAATTATTCTTCAATGAACTTAAAATTCTTCATTTCATTCTTTGAAATCTATGGAGGAAGATGTTATGATCTACTTAATAATAAAAACTAACTAGTTATATTAGAAGATAAAAATGGATATGTTTAAATTCAAAATATTGTAGAAAAGCAAGCTATGTCAGCTGAAGAAATGATCCAATTAATTGAATATGGCCACAACATTAGAACGTAAATTTAGATTGATTTTCAAATATTTTGCATATTTTTTAATTCAAAATATTAATTTGAAAATATTAAATAAATTATTTGAATATTCAAACAAAAGAACCCATGCTACAGCTTCAAATGATACCTCTTCTCGTTCACATGCTATTTGTTAGATCATGCTTAGAAATGATAAAGATAAACAAGTTGGTAAGTTGGTTTTGGTAGATTTGGCTGGTTCAGAAAGAGCTTAGGACTGTCAAAGTAACAATAGACAAAGAAGAATGGAAGGTGCAGAAATCAATAAAAGGTATAATTTAAATTAATTTAAAAGTTAAATTCATATATTCTATTTAAAAAAATAAGTTTATTGGCTTTAAAAGAATGCATCAGAGCTATGGATACAGGTGCCGCACATGTTCCTTTTAGAGCTTCGAAATTAACTTTAGTTTTAAGAGATTCTTTTTAGAGCAAATCCGATAAATCAAAAATTGTAATGATTGCATGTATCTCTCCTGGCTCCTCTTCTTCAGATCACACAGTAAACACATTAAGGTAAAATAAAAAATAAATATATTCTTTTAATTATTACTAATTAATTATTTTGAAAAATAGATATGCAGATCGTTTGAAAGAAAATAAGCCACCAGTAAAAGGAGGTATGCCAAGAATAGATGCTCCTTAGCTTATAGATGAAATGCCAAGTTACAATATTAATCACAACAATATAAAATCAGATAATTAGTTAAATGATCAACCTAGCAGTTAAAAAGAGTAATTATCAAACAGAAGAAATCATTCTTCAAACTAAATGGATGATGCTAGTGTAATATTTTTTTATTTACTTATGTTGAATTATATTTTATTTATTTATGAAATAAAGCCTTAGCAGCAACTACCTCCAAAATAAAATAAAACACCACTACTTCCTCCAGCAGATAAAAGAATAGCTTAAAAAATAGAAGAAGAAAGAATAGAAAAAGAAAAAAAATTACAATAATAACAATAGTAGTAAGCTTAATAGCAATAACAACATCATATGAAAAGAGGTCAATCAAGTAATTTACCCTCAGCTAACAAACAAACTCCTACAAATTAATAGTAATAGTAGTAGAAAAACAACAGTTAAAACAACTTGAGCAAAAATAGCTCAGATGATGAAGGTGAACAAATTTAGCAAGTTAATAAGGGAGTAAAAGATGATGTCCGTTGCATGAAAGAAACCTTAAAAATGGATAAGAATAATAAAGTTTCAAATGAATTTTTTGATTTCCATGAAAAAGTTAATACAATTTTAGAAGAATAAGAAGAAATATTTGCTACTCACATGGCTGCAATTAAAGTAAGAAATAAATTATTTATCAAAATATATTTATTTTTAAATAAAAATAAATAATAGGAAGATGCCAAGCTCCTAACTCAAGAAAGTGAATTAATATCTAAAGTTTAAGGAACTGGATTTATAGATTATGATATTGATTTATATGTAAAAAAGTTAGAAACTGTCATTAAGAAAAAGCTAAAAATGTACAATCTTTTACATAAAAAGCTAGATACTTTTAAGTAAAATAATTGCATTTATTAAACCTTAAATTTATATTTATTTATTTATAAATCAATTAAGGAAACATTTATAAGAAGAAGAAGAAATAAGCTCTAAAGTTAAAGATACCTTCTACTTTTGAAACTTAAATTAAATAAATAAATTATTCAAATAAATTCTAATTAAAAATTGTATTTAAATTAGTTTAATTTTTGTTAAATCTAATTTATTCAACTTAAATTAAAAATATATTTATCTTCCTAATATTAGTTATATTTTTTATCTTAATTTTTAAAAATTGAATATAATTTTTAAAGGATTTTTTTTAGAATTTCAATTAACTAAAAATATTCATTTAACTTAAACATTTAAATTAATAGTTAGCATAAAAGGAATGATTTGATAAAGATAAATTATTTTATTCTTCTATTTTAAATAAATTAATAAAACATTGAGTTTTACTTCATAAATAACAAAATTATATTTTACTATTTATTTGTAAAGCTTTTACTTAAAATTTATTTTATAAGCTAATAAAAAGAAATCATAATAAAATGAAAATAAATGAAATTATTCTAAACCAAAATAATTTTTAATAAAAATTATGTAAATAAATATTTTTTAGAAATTTAATATTTTGAATAATAATCTAAATCTTAAATAAAAATTAACATTTTTATAAATCAAAACAATATTTTAAAATTAAATAAATTTCATAACTCTTAAATTTTATATTCATTTTTTTTCATAGTAAAAATGAGGTAAACAATTATAAATGCTTTTATTAATTAATATAGTCAATTATCTTAAGATATAAAAACTCTTAATGATCTAATAAAATTGTATATTAAAATATTTTGTAATAACTGATAGAGAAAAATATTAAATTCATTACTTTCTAGTATAAATATCTCTATACTAATTTTTTATAATAATAGAAAACTAACTAAAATTATTCTTATAAAGTTCATAAATTCAATTTAATTTTATTTAAACTTTCCATTTGAAAAATGTCATCTAAATTATTCTCTTTGCAATTCAATAATCAATAATTTATTAGATACATATTATTAGTTATCTATTAATTAATAAAAATGGTTACTTTCAATTAAAAAGTATAAATAAAGTAATGAAAATTTTATTGATATGTAAATAAATACAGAATATAAATTTACTTGGTTTAAATTACAGTAGTTATTTTGAGTAGAATTTATGACAAGCTATTTTGGAAATTAAGAAAGAAATTATCAGTGCTTTTTTTTATCAATTAAATAATTTATATTTATTACTCTACTTATCTGACTACCTGAGCAGATAAATAGATAGATAGCTAACTATATATATCTTTTAAGTAATAATAGACAAATCAAAAGTAATAATCCTAACAGATATATGAATCTTTGAGCTTTTCAATATTTTTTGCTTTCCATTTTTTAAAGATATACTAAGCAAGCAAGGAAATTAGGAAGAATAATACCAGTCCAACCCCAAAGATAAAGTATGTTTACCAGTTTTTCCATGTGATTCCTGGGTAAACTGGAGACCATATTAAAGAATAAGACATGTTTATGAGACCATATACAAAAGTCAAAAAGTAAATAACTATCATGTGTCTCTTATAAAACTAAATGTTATTTATGACAAAATCTATCACAATAGCTATAAAAAATCCTCCATGTAACTAAGAGTTAAAAATTATATTCAATCCTCCAAATTATGATATATCACCAAGCTGAGGGACAATAAATCCCCAAAAGACTAAAACTATTAGAGGTTGTGTGCAAAATGCGAATTCGAACATCAAATGAGTAAATTTCCAAATCCTAACATAATAGGAAGGTTTTTTGTTAATCCTAAAAGTAATCATTTCAATCATAGTAAACAAGAAATACCATTGAACATTTAGTGCTCCCCAGAAAGTCAAAAACTCTACAAACGCTCCAATATTAGGGATTTTTATTGTTTAAATTGTTACGACTACAGAGGAGTAAATTGCCAAAATAGCTCTGATTCCAAACAAAACTTTATGGGAAACCAAATGGCTTTCATTCATGCGATTTGGGACTTTTAAATCTTCCCAAAAGTACTTATCTAATCTATCAAATATTGGGCCAAACATTTACCTAGAACTTCTAACTTATATATATTTTTTTTATCTTTTTATTAAATGTTTAAAATTTCTAAATTAAAAATTGATTATCAAAAATTAACAAATTTACCAACAAACATAATATTATTATTTTTTTTATTATTAAAAATCTTTATACTCTTTATACTAATTTAGTTAATTATTTATGATTATTAATAAATAACGTCACATTACTTTTTATACCAATCAAACTAAAAATTTTAATACTTTTCTTAATTTTTTTGTCTTTCTTTAATATTATTTTTACTATTTTTGGATTTATTTACGGGGTTGGGGTTGGGGTTGGGGTTGGG